AGTATACTTCGTTCAATTTACGTATTGCTATTATAGTGTGCGGACTATTCAGCAATCTACTTGTCTTCTGGTTCTTTGGGATTTTCATGGATGAAGCTGTACTGAATGTCGGCAACTGTTTTCGTGCGTAATAGCTGTCATTGGTAAATAGTGGATGATCCGTGTTTTGCTCCAATCCCCAAGCGGCCCCTCTTTTATTATAGTATGTGTGCTATTCAGCAAGCTACTTGTCTTCTGGTGCATTGGAATTTCATGCATGAAGCTGTCATTAGTAAACCAATGATCCATTCTTTCTTTCAACGCCTACTAACTTTTCTTTCATAATGAGTTATTCAATGACTACTTGTCTTGTTCCCTTTGGATTCTTAATGGATGCAGCTACCATTGGATATCGACAGGGTTTATTCATATGGCTTTCATTGGTAAATAGTGGGTCACCCGTTTTTGGCTCCAATCCCAACCAACCCTCTTTTATTATAGTATGTGTGCTATTCAGCAAACTACTTGTATTTTAGACGCACGGAATATTCATGGATGCAGCTATCATTGCTAAATATCGTTCTATGAATTCAAAGAAACTGTTTACCGTGCATCTTTTATAGGTGAATCATGTCAGGGTCAAAGGCTTAGCATCGACGGCGGCATCCTTCAGTGTCAGCTTGCCTTATTACATCGTTCGATGGTTTTCGTTACTGTACCACCTATTGGACACTTCCTTTTATAAGCATCTGCAGCGGCAAGACAACAAGTTCTATACCTTTTTGGTGTCATAGGTATTATATAAATACTGTGTGGTTCTAGTTGCTGTCAACCCTTTCAATGGATATCCTGCTACGCATGCCTGTTATCGATGGATCATATCAGCTACAAACAGAAGCAGCAATGAGCAACAGAGCCCACATCTTTAGTGTCAACAACATTTATTTGATCCTCTGGTGTTCTCGTTATTGGCCAATTGATTTCGAAACCCTCTTCACCGCACGTATCTTATGGATGTATCACATCAGCAACAAACAACAATGTTACGTGTCCTTTTGGTGCTGTCAAGGTGTATCCATCTCTCATGGCATTCATCATCAAGTATCTTGGAAAACGGCTATCAGGATTGGTCACTGTGTCAGCATCTCTACAGCAAGGGAAATGTATTTCTCATTGCTGGAGGTGGCATCAAACATCGTGGATTCTCATATGACACTGGCTAAGTATTGTTACCATTACCTCAAAGATAAATGAGTGATATGCAGTTTTATAGGCCCATCATTCCATCAAGCTATAATTTCGCATGCTCTTTGGTGCCATCAAAGTCTCTCCTTACAGCTGTTAATGGCGAATCCTATTGAATTGGAAGACGAAGATCAACATTTGAATTTGGGTGGGTGTCTCAGAAGCAAGCAAGCGATCTCTATCTTATAGTTGGGGTTGTCAAGGATACCGTTTCCATGGTTTTGGAAATCAGCTACCTACAAGTCGTCTCTTTATCGGTGGATCTTCAGAGCAATGTTTTTATCGGTGCCATGGCGGATCTCATTCCTCAAGTACTTGTATGGATACCTTGGACGTTCTCTTGGCTTCTCGCGTATGCTTTTCATCAAGACCGGATTTATTTGTTGCAGTGCATGATGTGTCTCTCTGATGACGCCTACCCAAGAAGGTCGCTTGATGGCAGCTACTACTGATATGGCGGATGTTTATTTGCTATGGGTAGAACGGGATGGTGCCTTACTCTTTGTGTAAAGCATCGTTGGCAGCTATGATTTACATGCGACAGTGTGGTCAGCCCTATCATGGCCCTATCAATTGCATTTGAGGATTACTGCCTTAGCCGTTGGAAGTTAGACTGTTACTCAGTAGCCTTGTGGTAGATATGGGATCATGTATTGCTTTTCGCTCTTATGGGTCGGCCTCTGTGGGCGTGGGATGCTATCCTTTTATCAGACCGAACATGTTGGCTCGAGCAGCACCTATAGAAGATGCTGTTGTTTACAACGGCAGCCCCCGTTATCCGGCTTGGTGCACCGTAGGGGAGAGGGTGACGGCAAAGCCTTCGCGTGGCCATCCTTGTCAGTACATGGGTTTCCATGGAAGCTAATTTGCCACCTTATCATTTATATATTTTTTACCCATTCGTGAGCATCACTAACAGTACTCTAATAGCTATATCAAGTGGCCAAAAGGTACAGGCTGGGAGTCGAACCCAATGAGAGATGATGCCCAAGTTGCACTACCTGACCAAGAACCTATTCAATAATAGCAGCATTCATTATTACAATAAACGCCTTTTCCATTGTCCTTCTTCGCTGCACATACCTTTGTTCATACACATAAAGACCTTTGTTGTTGGGTTGCTGGAAACCGAAAACCATGGTGTAGGGATTTTGAGCCGAAACAAGAAGCCAAACCAGCCAACGCCTTGATACCAAACTTGCCCTCTATACAAGCTAACACGTCAATGGAACCAGTTCGACTGCAACATTGGACTCTGAATGCACCTGTCGACACCAAGTAGAGCAGGGATAGCAACGAACAAGAGGAAGCAACGATGTTGCCATGGCAATAGCCAACCACACACCACGCTCATTCCTCCACGCTCACTCCCTGACAATACATGTTCACAACTATATTAATGCCTCACAACCAACGAGAGCAGACTTTTATAGTACATTACCTTGATCCCAATGTCGTGAATGCGATAAAAGCAGATGAGGGATAAAAAGAAGAGGAAGCGTTGTCTCAAGTCGTGGAGCTACAGTCCCCCAAATTTAAACCCCCTACTGCTATTACACTGAGGCCACTCAATGACCCCACATACACCATCCACCCAAACACACAACTCACCCATCATTATCATCACCCTCACGATAGGCAATAGGTACATGTAAATAAAGAAATGATCCTCACGTATAGCAAAAGGGTGTGTGCCATTTTACACTTTACATGATAACGATGATCCAACAACAGCCATTGCCTTACTACCAGGTTAGCTCAAATCAAGGAAGTTAAATGATGGGCATGCTGGGCTGGAGCAGGAGCATCGTTCCATTGTCATGGAATGCAAAAAAGTTGGGAATGCATAAAAGTGGCTGTTAGCTGCCAATGTATGACATGAAAATGAGGTTTGCGTACCTGTCATGCATTGTCCCTGAAGTCCGGACTTTTTAGCTCAGTTACACAAAGAGGTCCACCTGCATCTTTGGCTCTCCAGGCTAAGGTTTAGCTATTTTACATTAAACAAAGACCACCTTTCATATAGCATCATACATACAGCATATGTAAAACATAAAGACGCCTGTATCTCCAAACTTTACAATCAAACGTGGGGTTTTTATTAGAGCAATGTGCTCGGCTTGGCCAACTGCACCTTGGGTGAAAGTTTCACGTTCAATGTCGCAACCAGCCCAAAAAATATTTTTTTAGTCGTCGTCGAAAAAAATTCAAGAGGTCGACCCTGCCTTGATCCAACCATGGAAATGAATGTCTGGAGCAGGAGCACATTCCATTGTCATAGAGTGGACAAAATTTGGAATTGGGAGGAAATGGCTATTAGCTGGCTATACATGCAGTGTTCCAAAATAATGTATAGCTATCATACGCTGACCTTTCCAGTCATGCAAATCGACTGGGTTACACAAAGAGGTGCAGAGTCTAGCTACTTCACAATCAATAAAGACCACCTTTCATATAGCATCACTGCTACAGCATACGTAAAACATAAAGACAGCTATAGCTCAAGATTCTACAATGAAGCGTGGGATTTTTAAAGAAGAATGCTGCTCGGCTGGGTGTAGTGCACCTTGTCATGGTATGGAAAAAAAGTTGGGATGGGGAGGAAATGGCTGGTAGCTGGCTATACATGCAGTGTTATTAAATAATGTATAGCTATCATGCAGTCCTAAACAATTAACTGTATTATACAAACACGCTCCTCTGCATCTTTTGCCATACCAGGGCCTAGCTACTTGGCAATAAAGAAAGACCACTTTTCATATGGCATCATGCTTACAGCATAGGGGAAACATAAAGATGCCTTAAAGTTTACAAGCGAAGCGAGCAATCTAGGCAACTAATGCGTTTATGTAATAAACTCTTTCTACTCTTCTAAGCTTTATTAAACGGGTATGTGATTCAAATAGTGGACGATGGATGATACGGTTGATGTTATAGGAAACGGATGAATAGGAGACAATTGGCTGCTATGAGATCGTCAGCTTTAACAGGACGCTTAGCAACACTGATGGGAATGCTCTAATAGATGGGGGATGTCGCGCACCTAGTAATCCAACGCTCCGGGGCCAAAAATGGGCGGCGATTGTAGTTGTAGATCATCTCTCGTTACACCGCCAGTCATATGCAGCACTCGTTTCTTCCTGTCAAAGAATGAAAATCTACACGAAAACCGGTGACAAAGGTAAAGGAATACATAAAGATACACACACGCGTATGTTGTATGTCGCTGACACTTGTACCCCTTTAAGGCACTTCAAGCTTGTACAATGGCGAACGTCGCGACAAGGACGATCTGATCTTTGAAGCTCTTGGTTGGTTTTATAAATGACACGATCTCGCGCTGAAACTGACATGCGTATGATTGTAGGCACTACCGATGAGTTGACCTCCCATATTGGGTGAGTAAGAGAGAGAGAGACTTGGGAATGGATCATGTATAGTGACCAATAAGAATATAGTCTTGCATTGGAATACTGTGAGGAATTGAAGTTGGAAACCGTTTGCAAGCAGCTTGAGGAGGTGAGCGATGATGATGAAGATGACGCCTTTGCTGGTCATTAACATGGTACATGATGAATAGATTCAATGCCGTATGCAGGATATTGGTGCCAATGTTGCCACTCCTCGTGAGCGATCCAATGAGAGAAAATTGGGTATGTACGATGATCTATGCTCTTTGAAAGGCATTATACTCACCTTATGTTTAGGAAAGACCATCTTTGAATCTCATCACGCCGAACAATTGGAAAAGTGGATTGATGCCATGACCCTTGAACTTCCAAAATTGACCAAGTTCATCTTGCCAGTAAGAATGAAAAGACCTTGGGCACGAGTGTATCAAGTCCCTTATGATGATTCTTTTTTTCTAGTCTGGAGGAAGAGCAAGTGCTAGTTTGCATGTAGCAAGAACCGTATGTCGACGTGCCGAAAGACGTGTTCAACCTCTTGTACGCGAACATTTGTGTGATGACACCGTTGCCATTTATCTCAACCGATTGAGTGATTACCTTTTCACTGCAGCAAGATATGCAGCTATGAAACAAGGCAAACCCGAAATCATTTACAAGTAAAAAAGAAGCACCACTTACCCTCCCCCCACAACCCTCCTAGTCCAACCCATCATTCATTCGTCTCTTTGTAATAAAACCTCGACGTAGATAGTCTGTTAGGATATGTATAGTGATGCAATTTAATGAACAACACCCAAACTACGAACACTTCCTGGTGGCATTGGTTTACGCCGCTGTGTCTTCATACGATTAACAAATGCATTGCCTCCTGCAGCCTGTTCTCGACATAAAGGACATCCCACATCGCGTGTTGATTTGAGTAGTGCGGCATGATTGACTTTGCTGTGAAGGGAGCCTGGGTGGATGGTATTGGTGGGGATGGCCGTTGCTGATGATGCATTATCAGAAGTATCACAATCGAGCAAGCATCGCTCGTGGAATGCATGGCGACAGAAAAAGATGATGGTGTTGGGGAAATCATCGAGGCTGGTATTATCAAAAACGGGTTCATCACATTCACTGCACAGCATATCCTCTATGATAAGGATTAGCATGAAAACCATTCCAAACATCACCCTTGTATGTACTTACGGTGGCAATTGATGCCTCGCTTTTGTGTCTTGTACATTCGATCGGCAAGGTGAACGCTGTCACTAACCAAAATCTTCTCACATCCTTCATGCAAAGACATCTACAACAACACCATTAGGTCACATAGTGAGAGATCCACCAAGTCCAGCGTCAGCTTACCTGAAGATTGTAATCTTGCAAAATCTTGAGCAGTGCATCCTTAAGACCAGGGATCTCAAGCTGATCGGGAATTCGTTTGATCAATCGTAGTGGCTCAATATCGGTACCCACGTTCTCAAGCAATCCTCTTATAAAGTCTACATAGAAATTGTTAGCTCATCCTGTTCGTCGTCCCCCATTAATCAAACATACTTGGCTTGTCCATTGAATACGTTAATAGATCCTCCCAAAGATCATCATCTTTTTGCTCTTTTGCAAAGTCGATTGCCTGGAGCAGAAATCAGTGAGTGTGTATGTCAAAAGATTAAAGAAATGATGACACTTACTCTTTGTACATCATCAAGACGTTCAATAATAAGCATCAAGGCTTGTTTGTTATCACCCATTCGTCCGAGAATAAACACCATTTCTGGTACCAGGTCCTTTTCTTCGCAAATTTTGTATGCCTAATATGGGTTCACACGGATCCATAAATGTGCGTCAACGTCATGCGCATAAAAAATCCCCAAAATCGGACACGTACCTTTTCCAGTGATACATAATGACTTGCACGTAAGAACTCAATGAGCTTGGGGTAATCATAGTCCGCATACAACTCGATTTGCATGTTGTGGAATTCGTAGCCAATGTGTCGATCCCGGTCAAATAGTGCATCCAAGTACGTGTGTAAGAATTGTCGATGTGATCGAAGCTGTTGAACAACTTTGGGGGGCTATCATACGATATGATCAATCATTGTCATCTTTCTTTCCTAGTATATATATCCTTACAGGAATGGCATCTGTGTTCTTGGCAAGCATCTGTACAGCAGGCATGGATGTAGGCTTCTTGGGCGACGGTGAATCGTTGTCAGCGTTTTGTTTTTCAAGTAAATGCTGATCGAATTCCATCAATAGCACCGCTTTATCCTTGACAGCATCAAACATGTTGTATTCTTGAATGAGTTCAAATGCATTGGGTCGTCGTAGCCTGAGATTGTACTCGATTGCCTTATCCGGTTGATTGTTGTAGGTGTATCTAATAAAGAACCATCAGCATTCATTATCTTAACCCCCCCCCCAACCCGGTCATTGGCAACTTACAAGTCCGCGAGACATTCTATCAGTATTTCATTGTCCTTATCCTTTGGTAGATAATCCTCAACAGCCACAATGACATTGGAGAGACTATACAGGGACCTTGGCCATTTGTGTATTGTGTCTCGTAATGCCTTCCCATAAAATCCATCAGCCATCCCAAGCTACTATGCATCACTGCCCATATTTTTCTTACCGCATGATCACTCTTGAGGAACCACGCTAGAACGACTTCGTAGATTGTGCTGCTGAGTTGTGGATCCTTCATAGGAAGATGAGGTGCAATAGCCTATTGCAAAAAGGAGTCAATACCTTTCCCCTACGATTTTAATTCAACATACCTTAAGCTCACCCATTTCAGTAAACTTGAACACCCAATCCTCCCATGCAGTCTTGTCATTGCCAAGCACGTGACGACATTGTTTTGCAGCCTCCTCATAGTCTTCGTGTTCAATGAGCCAATTGAGATACGTCTGACCAATCTCACCAACGTCGAAACGATGACTTCCACCATAGTGTGCCTCAGCTTCGCGTGCTGCTTCAAACGCTTCACCATAACGTTCGTGATCCATGAGCCATTCAATATGATCATCCATGTCACGTGGTCGAGCTGCAATCATGTCCTTGGGTCCCAAAACATAAAACATGTCCTCCTCATCGAGAAATTCAAGCATGTAATCGTTGGCCTGGTAATGCTCGTAACCATGCATTGAAAGAACATCTGCTGATATTTCCTCATTGAGCTCGTTGATAATGTGCAACTCAGGACGCATGGCCAATCTCTTTCGTTGCATCGCTGGATCCTGGGTATCAACATCGGCCTCTTCTTCATCAATCATGAATGCAAGCAGTAAAAGGGTATCTTGGAAAGGTGCAATACCACACACAATATAATCGGTCTGGAACATGGTGGCGATTTCAACGTATCGAGGAGGCATTGAAGAAGATGAAGATGTTGTTGATGCAGTGTCGCGTGTTTGTTGTCGTTCCTTAACAATAGCCACGGTGACCGTATCCGCCCAAGCAATCAGCAAGGTGCTATCATTCTTCCAACACATTCGGCATTTGTAAAGGTCGGCACGTGGACTACCGGCCGTACGTTCGATATACGTGATGCGAGAATGTGTGCTGGTATCATAAATCTTGACGCCTGTGTCGTTTGCCCATGCAATCAACGTGCCATTCCATACGATCGAATAAATAGGGCCTTCATTTGCATGAAGGACTTGATCCTTATGGCCGAGCCATCCTTTCTCATTCATGATCAATTGTTCAGCCATGCCACCGGATACAAATTGTTTGGTCGATCGTCGTGCATATTCAGGGTCGAGGGCCACGGCTTTGACAGGTCGTCGATAGTTGTAATGCTGTACCTCATTCGTGTATAGTGCATAAATAAAAACCTTGCCTAAGGAAATAAAAGGTGTTAAGAGGTGAATAGAACTTACGTTGTATTGTATGTATATGCTTACCATCATCCGAGGCACTTGCCACATATTCACCAGCATGATCAATAGAGATATCATTTACAGTTGCTGCATGCTTCTGGAAAGTCTTGATGATGTTGCCTTCAAAGTCAAGCACATGAACTGCACCCCAATGTGTACCCATAGCCTATCACATAGAATGTTGATATATGATTTTATCCATTCGAACGACTCCTTTTTTTTACCACAAACTTGTCAGAGACTCGCAATGCTGAAGCAGTGTCCTTTTCTAACAGATCGCGTACACCAGCGCCTACGCGACGATAACGTAGTTTCGGCTCTTCTTCCATGTCTTCCTCATCCTCGCTGTCTTCGCTTTCAGCACCATCGTCCAAATCGTCTTCGTCATCCTCGGTCTGATCAGACGCAAACTCTTCAGCGTCGGTAGGTTGTTCAATGTCGTCATGTTGTTCTTCTGGGGTGCTGCTCGATTCAGCCATAATAATAGGGTAGGGAGATACAGGGACAAAAAAATGAGAGAAAGAGTGAGAGAGAGAGAGGGACAGCCTGAAACGCTCTGAATGCAACATCCCCCTACTTTACGCGCATTGACCTGATTTGGGACACAGCACAATCGAGCACCAAGTTGTCACTACAAGTTGCATGATGCAAGGGATATAATGAATAATCCTACGTAGTTGCCTAGAAACGCATACGTGCATATCATCTTTGTGCATAATAAAGCATCATTTACTGGACGTAGTGTTTTAACATCGTGTGATCCTCTAATAGTAGATTGATGGAATGTGCCTTGACCCCATGACTACACATCATGTGCAGCATGACAACCCTTATTCAATCTCTGAAATCCACAATCTCATCCTCATTATGCAGTGCCTATCACACACGGTATCAAAAGTGACACCAAAATGTGGATAATAAATAGCCGTTGCTATGGATGAGTCTTTGGTATCGGGATGTGCAAATGAATGGGTTGCCATGCCAACACGTTAATTAAACCACTTTCCATCCATTCCTTAGCAGGTTCGATCATCATCCTTGATCCACGAGCTGCTAAACGGGATGTATACTTTCAAGCGACAAGCCGATGACTAACAAAGAAAGGGTTTATTGTGGTTCTATCTATGCTATCTATGCTCTTGAGGACAACGGTGACATGGTTGTTCGTACATTTGGTATGTGACTCGATGAGCAGAAAATGCTTTGAGGCCATGGGGATGATCAGGTCTGAGTGTATGTAGATTTAAGCCATTCATTGATATGCGAAGAATTTGCGACCCAGCTTCCTTTACTTTTTCAACATGCCTCTCCCCAAAGCCGAAGATCTTGAACAGCTCGAAGACATTGGTGAGTCAGTGACAACAACACATGCAATCGAAGCCTTTTGGACTCATTCAGGTTGAACGCTGACGATAGAAAAGCAATGGGCTGTCAAGGCAAGTTATAAAAGGTAGGCTTCTTGTTGCGCGTGATACCCCCCCCCAACCCACCAGATCGTCTCATGTTCTCGATTGTAATAGATCTCGGTTGATTAGCACGAGGATAGCAGCATATTGACAGGCATGTATCTACATACATATAGGCTATGCACCATGCCGAGACATACTTCAAGTTGATCACCAGTGTGGATATGCGTAAATTCCCTCTCACAAAGTAAGTGCTACTGCTACACGGTGGATGATGACAGACAGGGTGGTAGCTAACGTGCTGGTTGTGTGTTGGTATTAAGGATCGACGACGAGATCTATGAGGATTTTGAAGCTACTTTTCCCGAGATTGATGTCAAGCACCTTAACGACGAGCATTTCAAGACCCCCAAGGCCAAGGAGAAATGGAGAAACTGGGTCAACAAGTACGAGAAGCGTGTCAACGAATTCAACTTTGGCAGTTTGATCCGTATTGATTATCGCGAGGATTACTTGGAACAAAACACCATGTTTGGTATGTAGTCTATTTGCGTGTGTGTGCATCAAGGGATCAATCACTCATGTTTTAATGGCTTCTTTTATAGGTGTGCGTATGCAGGTACGAATGAATGGATTGATAAGATGGATTTTGGGGTAATGTATAGGGTCTCACATTACATGATTGTAGTTTTATGCTATCGAGATTGCTCGCAACAAGAAGGGTCTCAATGAAGAATTGCGCCAGAGTCTCAAGGCATCATCCTAGATTTACATTTGACATTGAACAATATACACATTAAACGCATTGAAAAAGAAAAAACATTCTCAAAGTGATCATGTAAAGCTGTTATCAGATAATCCTCTAAAAGGTGTTGGCAAGCCTTTTCTTGATCGTTGATCTGATACGCTGATAGGCTAATGTGGGGTGGGAAGATCTTTTAAATAACGTCAAAGCTGCTTCTCAGAAGCATGACGCATGTTAAGCTCGTAAAAAAAGGACAATTATGTATGTAGTTCCGACAATAAGGTGATAAAGATATAAAAAGAGATAAGGAGGGTCATGGTGGTGGTGCGATCCAACATTATCAACATCATCCTCAGCCCACATATCGTGTAACTTTATCCTTTTCCGATTTCTCCCACTTTTTTTTACATCATGGTGTTTGCTCGCGCAACAAGGTTGATTTCTCAACGACGACGACTTTTAGTCGCAACGGGTGTGGTTGCTACGACAGCAGGCGTTTACATGGCCACGAGGCCTTACACCAGCTCGGTAGTACATGCTGAAAGAAGCCCACAAGGTTTAAAACTATGGCCCACCCTCCCTGGTGAAAATGCTACGGTCAAGTCGGGTCTCGCTAAACTACGAGGTCAAGCTGCTGAGAACCATTTTCGCACTGCCCTTGTGAATAACAGCAATAAGACCGATTTCGATGTAGTCATAGGTATGCGATGGTTTGTTTGTGTGTGTATGTGTCATTTGCTGATATGCATGAAAAAAGTGGGTGGAGGCATCATTGGTCTCGCTACAGCTCGTGAATTGCTTAGACGCTTCCCTACCATGACGGTGGCAGTATTGGAAAAGGAACGTGAAGTTGCAGCTCATCAAACAGGTCATAACAGTGGCGTCATCCATGCTGGCATTTATTACAAGCCAGGGTCACGTATGGCATACACCTGTGTTCGTGGTGCCGATCTCATGTATCAATATTGTGCCGAGCACGACCTACCTATCGAACGTTGTGGCAAACTCATTGTTGCAGTGAACGAAAAGGAGCACGAGCAAGTGGAACGTCTTTATAAGGTAGCATCTCAAAACGGTGTCAAGGATTTACAGGTGCTCAATAGTGAAGAGGTAAATGATGTTGGGATTATCAGGAACATTCTTTGTCCTTTTGCGTGGGAAGTGGGAAAGTTTACAAAACCTTATCTTCAGATTCGTCGTCTGGAGCCCAATATCGTTGCCTATTCCGCATTGTATTCACCTCACACAGGCGTCACGGATTATGGTTTAGTCGCCCAATGCATTGCAAACGAGATTGTGCAATCTGGGTAAACCTTTGTCGATGGGTTTCTTATCCAGACGTCATACACTAACATCTATTTATACTATAGGCGAGGTGAAATTAAATTGGCATTTGAAGCTACGGAATTTAAGCAAAGCGATGATGGTAGTAGAGTGGAGGTAATGTATACCATTTTGTAAGGTGAAAGGGATTTGTACTCATTGAGCTCTCTATTTCAGGTTTTGGGCAAGGAGCCAAACCAACGTGGTCCCTCTCTCAAGGTGTCGGCCAAAAATATCATCACATGCGCTGGTTTCTACTCAGATCGCGTTGCTGGTTTGACAGGTGGTGATGCATCCAATGCACGTGTAGTCACTTTTCGTGGGACCTATTATCAACTCAAACCTCAATATCGAGGCATTGTACGCATGAACATCTATCCGGTTCCTAGTGGTGGTGGTATTCCAGTGGGTGTTCATCTTACGCCAACGGTATGTAAGCCTCTACTATTGAAGCAAAGAAAAGGCTCATTGACCATGATGATACATAGGTAAATGCAAGACGCGGTATCCAGATGATTGTTGGCCCTGGAGCATGCCTTACTTTTTCACGGGAGGGCTACGCGTTCTTTGACATCAATTCCAGGGATCTTTTTGACTCACTAAGCAATATGAACTTTTGGGCATTTGCCATCAAGAACCCAGGCTTGTCCATTGGTGAACTTTACAAGGATATGAACAAGCGTGCATTTTTACGTCAAGCACAAGCATACATCCCTGGTTTAACGGAGGATATGGTAGAGGAGAGCTTCTCAGGTGTCATGTCACAGGTGTTTGAAAACGGAGGCATTGCAGCCGGTGACTATATTTTGGAACGTAAAGTGATGGATGGCAAGGTGCTCAATGTACGCAACGCACCTTCACCTGCATGTACAGCTTCATTGGCTATTGCCGAGATGCTCATTGATACTGCAACGGAGGATTTTGGATGGACAACTCAAGCACAGCAGCAACAACAACATGGAGCTAACAATGCCACGACTACTATTGCTGTTCAGCCGCTGGATACGGCTGCTGCTGCTTAAGTAATCATTGGGCATACATAGAAACATTATATAAAAGTGGGATCGTTATTGCAACAACAAGATGATTTTAATGCATTAAGCGTGATAACCACGGGCGGTTTGAATCAAAACTAATATAAGCAAGACTACGAGAACAATGGCACATGCAACATGTCGTGGGTGCCGTCTAACATACCATGTCCACTTTTCTAGTTTGGTTGGGTGCAAGTACCGCCTGTATTCCTTCCTCATGTTTGAAAAGAGCTGTTGCGTTGCATGACTTGGTGAATGATAATTGGCACAATGACGAGCAGTGGCAAGTACATGGTATCTCCACCAAGGCCAATCAATCATCAACGAGGCTGGTATGACACCTGTGTCAACTGCAAGTGCAAACGAGCGTGGATCTGGCACCAATGCTGACAACTTGGACATGCAATCGGAAAAACATTGCTCAAAGAACGCATCGCCTTGTTGCTTGCCAACTTCATTATATAAGCTGCTGTCACTTTGAAAATGCTGCCAGCTGTAACGTATGTCGAGCAATGATACGACTTGCACACAAAGAGCTCGCATTCGAACATCGACCGCTACACCATGTAACTCTACTTTTTGTTCTGATTGTATCCGAAAGCCAGCCTTGCTCCATTCATCCAAACTTGGCATCCATTGTTGTTGTTGTTGTTGCTGTTGATTCTTGATAATGCGCATTTCTTTGTTTGCTGAACCATTACTTTTGCTCATTGTAGGTTGATGGTGCGTGGTGGTGTTAATGATCCAATCATTGGGTAACGATGAATAAAGATTGCCTGAAAGAACACATGCCATGTCATCAAAATAATTCAGATTTTCAGCTGATGTTGACTTGTCGTTTATCCAATGTCGAATGCGACACAGCTTTGAATAAGGTGCTCGGTCCAAAAATAAGATCAAGAGGGGCTCAATGTCATATCGTTTCCAATCCTGCTGTAACACTGTAGCAGTAGTCGTCGTCGTCGTCGTCGTCGACCCCTTCATGCATGCCTGATCGATAATAAACGAGAATCCTTCTTCTTCAGTGTGATTGTTCTTCATCCAATAGCTGTCATTGAGATGGATCGTGTGTAACAAGTCATGCAAATCGATTTGTCGTTGCTCGAAAAGGATACGTGCATGTTGGGTTGGATCATTTGCCATGCCAGCCGATGCCATAGACGAGGGAATACAAATATCATTTGGGCTTGGGTGAAAAAAGCGTACAGCCAATTTGGATTGTGCATCCAATGCTTCCAGGGCTGTTTGGAATGGCCATTGACTTGCTATGGACTTTTTCCTCTCCATGTAAGCACGTTTGAGATCTTGAAGTACGTGGTACGTCCCCCATCCAATGGTGTATCGTGTGCTGTAAAACTCGCGCAATCTTATCACATGTGCTTCCCACCATGGCCAATCAATGAATAGCATCTCTTGTATAATACCAAGTGCCGTTGCCAATGTAAATGATGCAGCGTCAGGAATAAGAACGGCGAGTTTGAGCATCGCATCTGCAAAATAGCCTTCGAGACTTGACGAACAATGTTCTTTATCCTTGGTGGGGCTGGCAAAGCTGTATTCTGAAAGTCGTATATCAAGCAAGCTCACACGTTGGATATGTATCGTGTTGCCATCTTGCACTTGGATACCACCCTCCACGGCGTCGTCACGGGGTACAATGGTGAGACCACCTTGGTTGACAAGTTGATGTATTGATGGTACGTGGTCCACGGGTGATGCCAATGAGTACAAGCTGTTGCGATGAGCATTATTGCCGTGTGTGGAATCCCATTCACCCATATCAAAGGCGTAGTTGGCTGGTACGGTTCCAAAAAGATCACCAATAAGACGTCGATAGATAGCCTGTAGCTGCATACAATAGGCAGATTGCATCTTCAATAAACGCCGGCTAATGTTCTCCAAGATCCATATACAACGGGTGGGATAAAGAGAAAAGAGCTTGATAAATGGTTTGATGGGAAATGTGGTGCATTGTTCAAGTTGATTGTTCATTTGTGTGCTGCTGCCTTCAGCATACTCAACAAGATCGGTCACTGACAGGTTGCTGTTGTTGTCAGTAGTGCACATGATGTTGCTCTTATGATCCACATCTCGTATCACGTGCTCAATATGATCATACAACTCTGCCAAATCATGTCGTCTTTGATAACAAAGCAGTGCAATTGGGTCACGTCTTTGCTTATTTGCACAGATCTCCAATGTTGGCCATGAGAGTGCATTGCGATGTGCGTTGGCGGTAGGATGGAAAAATAGCACCGCTTCCTTGTCAATACCATGCAGGTGGCCTTTTAAAAGAGAGAATGCACCACCACCATCCGTCATCTTTGATGTAAATAGCTCATTCAAATGCTCCAGCGTCTTTTGTAATTGCTCGATAGGCCAGAAATAAGGTGATTCTCGTTCATAATATTCTGCATTACGCAGCACATTATCTCGCCACCAATGAAAATCAATCAACAACTCGTCAGGTACAAGGATTTCATGTCGACATGCCAATTTGAAAGATGCTTCATCAGGAATTAAGCGAGCCAGCTTCACCATCGATGTCGAAAACGCAAGTTCATAGGCATTCTCAGTATGTGGGATATCATTTTGTCGAAAATCACTGTAGCTGTAGCGTAGATCATAGAGCGAAATGCGACGTATACTCACAACTCCTTTTTGATCATCCACGTGAATCCCACTATCACCCTCATCATCATGGGTCAAGACGCGAATAGGGATTTTGGCATGGGCCAACTGTGTGAGGGATGGCATGTTTGGCAAACCACCTGGTTGCAATACCGGAAGGATCTTTTGCGTATAAGCTGCTGTTTCAGCTCCATGAAAATCGCCCATCATCATGCTCATCCAATGGCAAAGACGCTTACACAGGGGCTGCATATCAAAAGTGGATGATGATGATGACGAATAGAAATGATGGCTATGCAGTGCTCGAAAGAGTCGTGGAAATACGACAAGTTCATGATGGTGGTCGTCGTCATAAAAGAGCTTCAATAAAGGTTCGTATAAGAACCGCTTGATGGGATGACATGTCATGTTGGGTCGTTCCAAGCAATAGGGATGTGCGCATGCAAGCATGTGCTGGATCAATTCATCGGTTGTGGTGATGCTCTTATTCTGGAGGAGAATCGAATCATCCATGTCGAGCGTATAGTGATCATCATCATCATCCACTTGATCCCATGTGGCATCCAATTGTTGTCGCAAGCGATCGAAAAGATGACATCGAATTTCCAGGAACCGACGGATGGTGTTGTCAGCCGTGGGCATAAAGGAGACTGATTCAGGTCGAGTGACAATGTTTGGATGGAAGAATAAAACGGCCGTTTCCATTTTACGTGAATCGCGTCTCCGCATCTCTCTCACAATATCCGATCCATTGATGCGTTTAGGTCCACCACCACCACCACTATGACTGCAAAAGGTGGCGTGAGATACATAGCGCTTTCCCTGCCATCCTATCATTCATTACTTACCTTGTTGATGTAGACGACGACTGAGAAGGGGTTTCACTCCTTTTGGTAGTATACAACGGCTTACGCTTTGAATGAGATGTTGAAGAAGACATGGAGGATTATAGGCTAGATGATTCAATCAGCATGAGCCATCACCAAATGCCATTTTTTTTTACCTCTTGATGCCGTCAAGGAAGAAAAAGAAAGAACAAGATATCATGACCCGGGACATTGCAGGGATGTTTTGAGAGTGCATGCATGCATCATCCATAGTACGCGTTGTAATTCATTGCACAAGAGGGGTGGATCTCCGTCAAGGGGATGATGGCATCCTTGCTGATGAAGTAGAAGAACTCGGCTTGTTCGGAAAAGGTAAGCTCAGCGTTGTTGCACATTGTGGCACGGTGCAATAGGCTCCCCATCTCCTTCTCTGATACACTTCTTGTTGTTGTTGATCGGCACACTCTCTACATGATTGTTGTTCTTTTTTGAACGATTTGATATCAATGGAGGATACAAGAGGATTACCATCATGAAGAATAATATCAAGGCGCCAAAGTGGAGGAAAACAAGGAGAGGTTGGGGGGTGCATTATCATCAGCAATGACGTATCCAACCTAACACACACTTGCGTATAGGAGTTTAAATGACCACCCTCCTCCAGCACATCGACAAGGCCTCTCACCTTTACACGGATCCATCCATCCCTATCTCTTGCTGGAAGGTAAGCGTTCAAAGGATAATGGGGGTATCCATCGTTGGATCATTGTAGATATCGCGTGGATGGGATCAAAGCATCAATTTCAAGTCCTCATCTGGTCCCTTTTTACTCTCTTCATTAGTAATGGCTGAACAACAACAACAACAGACCCCTACATTCAAGCTCGTTCTCGGTACGCCAGACATTACCTGCTTCTGCTACATTTCGTAATTGACGCTCATCTGGCCTAATGCATAGTTGGTGACGGTGGTACTGGCAAGACCACTTTTGTCAAGCGCCATTTGACTGGTGAATTCGAGAAGAAATACGTCGGTAAGTTGATGGCGTCCTCCTCCTCCTCCTCCTTCTGTTCCTCCAAAAAGACGCAACGCACACACGCACGCGCGCGTACAGCACACATCCAACCATACGTATACATACACGCGTATACGTGTCGCGTCAGCTACGATATATACAACCACGACATTTATACGATGACTGATATATACGACATTGTTGATCAATAGCTACTTTGGGCGTCGAAGTTCATCCTCTCACTTTCCATACCAACTTTGGTCCTATTGTTTTCAACACTTGGGATACTGCTGGTCAAGAGAAGTTTGGTGGTCTTCGTGATGGTTACTAGTACGTTGAAAAATGACAACCATGGATGATGGATTTGAACTTCAACTGACAGCATCATCTTCAACACACCAAAACAGCATCCAAGGCCAATGTGCTATTATCATGTTTGATGTCACTTCTCGTATCACTTACAAGAACGTTCCTAACTGGCACCGTGATCTCGTCCGTGTCTGTGAGAACATTCCTATTGTCCTCTGTGGTAACAAGGTTGATATTAAGGTAAGAGAGAACATCATTCTTTGTATATCTTTTCATTGTACTTATTCTATGTTACTTTTTATAGGAGCGTAAGGTGAAGGCCAAGACCATCACTTTCCACCGCAAGAAGAACTTGCAGTACTACGATATCTCTGCCAAGTCCAACTACAACTTTGAGAAGCCTTTCTTGTGGTTGGGTCGCAAGTTGGTTGGGTAAGTTACTACTACAATGGGGAGGAAACCCATAAGGAATGCAGCTAAAAGAGAAATCATAGCAACCCCCAATTGGAATTCGTTGCCGCTCCTGCTCTTGCTCCTCCCGAAGTACAAGTCGACAACCAGCTTATGCAACAGTACCAGAACGAAATGAACGAGGCTGCTGCTCAACCTCTTCCTGAGGAAGATGATGACTTGTAAATTCTCTCTCTCTTTCCAACAATCAACATTCTACGCTTTCTCTTTCTCTCTCTCTTTCTTTTCCATTTCAATACAAATACATTTCCATGTTTCCAATGCTGCAATTTTTCATTGTTGTATCATCATGCATTTTCCACATTATTAAATTTACATCAAGATAATCACAGGCGCTTTTTTTATTGTATCCAACAACGAGACCACAATAAGATAGCAAGATAAAGGCGAATCGCTTATTTGAGCTAGAAGAAAAGGATACACGTGTCAGTGTCAGTTGCCATGGATACCACGTACTCTCTAAAAGCTTACCTTCTTCTTGGGACGGAGCTGGTTGGAATGACCACACTTTCTCTTGCGGCAGTTGGTAGCACGAGGAGGAAGACGAGCATAGCACTTGCGGCAAATGTTCTTTTCGCAGTTGTACTTGGAAGCAAGAGCCTTAAGGGAGGGTTCGATGATACCACCACGAAGACGGAGGACAAGATGGAGAGTGGACTCCTTTTGGATATTGTAGTCAGAGAGAGTGCGACCATCCTCAAGTTGCTTGCCAGCGAAAATCAAACGTTGCTGGTCTGGGGGAATACCCTCCTTATCTTGAATCTTTTGCTTGACATTTTCAATCGAGTCAGAGCTGTCGTAGTAGTAGTAATAATAGAGTCGTGTCAGCGTATAAATGTCGTCAATGGGTTGGTGGTAATGGGAATGGGTCTATTGCTGTTATTAATAAAAGGGATAGGATCCTACCTTTCGACCTCGAGAGTGATGGTCTTGCCAGTGAGAGTCTTGACGAAGATTTGCATTCTAATTGAGATTGATGAGATGATGGATGAATGGATGGATTCGATGGATGGATTGAATGGATTGCTGCTGTACCTTGTAAAGACACAACGAAGAGGAGGATCTCACTTGGGTGCCGGCTCAGCTACCAACCTACGTTCATCCCCACCAACCCCCCAAACCTATTTGGAATCCCGCATCTCATGCAACCCATTTGTTACTGTTGCTGCTGCTGCTATCCATTTACCTTGACAATCCTCGGCAATAAGGGATCGATGTTGTCGTCACGTACCATGGTCACCCATACTTTGGAACCATCGGATTACTACCCGCAGCTTATGATACATGATGGCATACGATAATAAATGGATGACCAATATGAAGGGTGGAAGATCGCTAGACTGCACGATAACAACGAGCTCCATCACTATCCTTTCTCCTTTCTTCTCCCGCCATCTTGATTTTTCCCACAACCATTATTCTTCTGCCAACCCGCCACCAACATTATCTTGCCATCTTCCAAAATAAAAGTACTTGTTCTTTTGCCCACATCCAACAATGAATCTTTATACATCTAAACCCTCTTTTCATGTTCAACTTTCACTGTAATCTATTGTACCAATTGCTGCAAGAAGGTCAAGGCATGGTCTACTCTTTGCTGGGGACCTTCTATCTTGATGACCTTGCCGTTGTTCTTTAATTCCACCTTGATGCCAGTTGCATGGCGGTTGATCTTCGTCACCATGTCTTGATCTTCATTCAAAGGATATACAAATCAAAAACGGATATGAGATTGTGCTTGAATGTATTCATTTTAAGTGACTTACCAAGAATTGCAATGATATCCATAGGTTCACGCTTCCACTTTATTTGTTCGCGTGAATGGGCACCACCTAAGTTGTCCCGTTTATCACCCTCTAAAAGATCCCAAGGATTGAGGAACTTTGTGCTGCATTGTGGTTGTGATTCATCATTGATGCAAACGCGCTTTGGGGTTGGAGTTGCGGAGGAAGAGGAGGAGGAGGAGGAATCTGTTGAAGATTCGGCGATGGATGTTGTTGAGAGCTTACGCTTAAGCGTAGCAGGAGTAGGTGCGGAATCAAGATGAATATTTACATAGGCGGAAGTAGAGGTAACAGGATCAGGTGAAGTAGCGGAAGCAGGTGGAGTATTTACAGATGCGGAATTGGTTGAAGAGGAAGAAGTAGGAGTGGCAACGGAATCAATAGGGATATCTACAGAGGCGGAATTGGTTGAAGAGGAAGAGGTAGGAATGGTAGCGGAAGCAGGTGGAGTATGTACAATAGCGGATGAAGGTGAAGTAGAAGAGGTAGGAGTGGCAACGGAATCGAGAGGAATATTTACAATAGCGGAAGAAGTTGAAGTAGAAGAGGTGGAAGTGGTAGCGGAAGCAGGTGGTGTATGTACAGGTGCGGGAGAAGATGAAGAAGCCGAAGCCAAAGTAGGAGAAGGTGGAGCAGCCGAAGCTGAGAGAGCATTGGAAGAAGCAGTAGCTGTGGAAGCAGTAGCTGGATGAGACATAACTAAGTAATAACAGAGAAAGAGGTCGAAGGGAAGAACAAAGGATAGCGCATCATCCATCATCTTTTATGCTCTCCAAGTCTCCATGAACCGTCAATGGCAAGAATGTTAGGATTCCTAGTTGGCTGTATGCATTCTCTACCCAACAAAGGTCTGCGCTTGACAACGTCGTTGTTGCAGAGCTCAATGAGCTGGATGTCTTGCTGGATGCTGGGCTTGATATAGAGATGCGCATTCAGTTGTTCTTGTAGTCATCACCCGGGTCCGTGTTAGAGAGGACGTGTTCCCACTCTTGCTCGAAGAACAAGGTCTTTGCTACTTGACGATGGCACCTCAACCAACTTTTGCGGATGCATCACGGGAGAGAGCTATAATGAAAGTAACAAGGTAGCGTGTATGAGTAATGATTCATCAAGCAGCATCATGATCAGGATTTACCTCATTACAAGGATACAATAATCGCCATACAACGACAACGAGAGTAGGATAAAAACAAAGCACTATGAAAGAGACCACAAAGATCAGCGCTTATTCACAGGTTGAAAGATAGGACAATGCACACAAACCTTGGACATTTGACTTTGTAAGCAATCAAAGAAGAATGACATAGAAAAGAGACGTTTGGTAGAATGATGGCCGGCGACAACATCCTTTTATTGTGCACTGTGGGCGTGGGTATTGTTGTCTGTTGGGGATGATGCATTGATAAATTGATGCGTGAGCTGAAAAGTGATGGGGGGCCGCATAGACTTACCATTGTTGTATGCGTGTTCGGTAAGCAGTGAGGATGATCCAATCACCTTTGATATCAGCAATCAAGTTTCACCAGGCATTGCGTAGGTGTGGTTTGAATAAAGGATGTTGCAAGAGACGTGACGCAAATAGCAAAGCCCGAATCAAGTGAAGTGGCCGAAGCAGGAATGGAAACGGAATCAGTAGGAATATGTACAGAGGCGGAAGCAGGCGAAATGGCAGAAGTAGGAGAAGTAGCGGTACAGAGGCGGAATCGGTTGAAGTGGCAATTGTCATGGTTGAGGCATGGAGGGCGTGAATGGTAACAAAGCCGGAGAAGGGAGGAGTTGAATTTTCAACAGGAGAAAGAGGGGCCTTGTCATTCTTCCTGTACAATTGGTTGCCTGAGGCTTTTATTTCATTTGTATCATTCTCAATGGACCTCTTGGTGCGTAGTTTAGGATCGATGGCCCTTCATTTCGACAACTCGACTTACATGGCAGGGTTTTTTGATTTAGGCCTTGCTGACATTCATACGCTTCCTTTATTCAAGGACGGGACTTGAAGGGTCAACGCTATTGGTGGAGCAACGCATGATGATAGTAAGGTCCGCCTATGATAGCAGTATGGAATAGCTCGTTCTTGTATAAGGATGCGTGGGATAGCGTTAGCTGAAATCTCTCATAGATAAGCATGATTTGTTCGTGTGCTCGTTCCATGTTGTATAACAGCCCATTCTTTCTTGATCATAATGAATTAAGCTTACAATGAACCATGCTTGAAACAATCAGGCACATGTTGTTGCCCATCATCACCCATCTTTGTAGTACAAGCGTTTGAGAATCGCCGCTGCCTTTCGTCTGCTATCAGCATGTGATTTAAGAAGCTCTAGTGAATGTAATAATGCTGTGGAAATGAGCTAAAGCATCTCGTTACGACGATGTAAATGATCCAACCTCTTACTTTTATGACCTTCAATTTCTATTCCCTCTTTGCAACCCAGAAACCAATAAGTGATCCACATCTTGCGCATTGAGCTGATAGTATGATATCCCATATATTACATTGGACCAATTTCATTTAATGAGAAGTCGAAGAATAGCATATTGTGGAATGGATGTCTATCAAGTAACTATGATAAAGGAACAGCATCGAAAAGATACAAAGGGTGAATCACATAGAGGCAACAGGGATAATCGTGTCATTGTATTCTTGGTTGCTGCCACCATAATCATCCTTCATCCATGATTGCAAAATAGCTGCTGTATGCATTGAATTGAGTACTCCAATATCATCCATTCATGGCTGTATAACACCATTCGTCAAAGATACAAGCCCTTTTGTCAATTCCATCCAATTCACTATCATCCTCAGCTGTATCCACGCGATATGATTCATCCTTCCTGCTGATGACGCGACAAGTAACCAAAGCAACATTCCAGGATTCGCCATCGCTGCACTTCATTGCATCCCTCCATCCATAACCATTGCAAATCCAATAAGAGAGAGCCTCTGTGATTGTTGCTGATATGCTTCCTTTCCCATCAAGCTGTTGGTCCATCTCTTTCTTGGTCATTTTCTATCGCAGCTCAACAGGGTGAAGATTGCTTGTGTTGCTTGATAGCTGATATGGCATCATCTTAGGAAGTTGTATATACCAAAGCAAGTTGCTGCAATAACTTGAGACAATGAAGTAAAGGCCTTGCTAATATCACTTGCTGTTACTGTTGGTGGCGTAGAGGAGAGTGCAAGAGCGTGTGTTGTACTAGAGTGACAAGGTTGTGAACGTCGTTTGACACAATGCAGTAAAGGCTTTGCTAATGGCAACTGCTGCAATGAATGCTGCTACGATTGGTTGTGGCAGAGGAGTGTACAAGAGAAGGTGTAGTGTCCAGAGGAGGTCCGTGTGTTGTAGTGGGGTGTACACGCCATGGACTTGCCATTCAGGCAAAGACAATCGAATCAAGACAATTGTAGGATTGACATGGTGGGTTGAAGCAGGACAATCGTTCGCAGGTGGTAGTTGTATATTTGAATGGGGCAACAGATGAGATTGGGAGGAAGAGACAAAGGCTGTGAGTGGAAAAAGCGGCAATTAAATGAGTTGAATCTTTGTTTGAGGTTGAAATGCAGGGATTGTGGCGACATGGTCTGTGCACCTTGGACAGCAGAGTGATACAGCACACATTGATGCAGATGCATCTAAGCTATTAGACCCATACAATATATGAGAGAGTGGATCACGTATAGCAGCGTAGCAATCGCATCTCCTCGTTAGCTGATTGCATTAATCTTTTACATGGGCATCTCGAAACTAGCAGCGTGAAACGATTCAAAACGAAATCCAGTTTTATTCAAAAGCCATACGCCAGATCGGGAAATGCTTCAAATCCTTGGTTTTGAGGTCAATTACCTGGCGGGTTACTTGAATGTCTGTGATGGTCAAAAGACCCAAATAGTCATGATCAATGCTAAATGAGCTGATCGCATTGATTAGCTGTACATCTTGATCCTCCTTGGTGGTCGGCGCCTTTGGAGTTTTACGGTTGATGATGGTGATGTGGGGAGTGGTCTCCATATGGAAACCACTTGATCCCTGCAACATGTTTGTACAAGCTCTACGATTATGGTGATGAGTACAATGAACAGTATTATACCGCCATAAGAAGCGCCTCTACATACCAATGGCTGTGTGTGCTGCGCTGGTGGTGTCTTCCAGAGCCACATCGAGAACTAAAAAATTCGTCAAGAGTGAGCAAAATACGGTGCTGAAGCACTAGTAGTAGATGATAACTACCTTGACGGGGTTTGCTTGCATTAAAGTAAGCACGCCGGTTGCAGGTGAGGCCGACTTTGAGTGATGCCTGTAATGGTGCCTCTTTGCAAGATATTCTGCCAGTGACATTGCTTCACTTGCTGAAGATGTCCTATCAGCGTGTCCAAATGAGAAATGCAAATTTTCAGCTGAGGTTGTCTTCCCAGCATCGCCCAATGTACTTTGAATTGAGTCACGTTTCACCTCTACATCGGCACCAGTAACCTCAAGAACTACGTATGTTTTGCTGCTGGTGTTTTCGTCGTAACCTAGACAAGCAAATGCTTTTAGAGAACGATGTCCGATATTGTATGTGGTTCAATGCATGCTTACCAATTGCTGCAAAAACGTCAAGGCATGGTCCATCTTTCTCTTGGGTCCTTCTACTTCGAGTACCTTCTTGTTGACGAATTTAACTTTGATACTAGTTGCCTTGTTGTTGATATCCTTGGTCATGCGATTGTCTTCATTCAAAGTTTATACAAATCAGAAGCGGGTATGATGAGATTGTGCTTGAATGTATTCTTTTAAAGTGACTTACCAAAACTTGCAATAATGGCTTTGTGCCCTCGTTTCCACTTATGGGTTGCATGGATACCTCCCAATGTATCCCGTTCATCACCCTCCAAAAGATCCCAAGGATCAACGAATTTGCTGGCAGTGGTCAAAACATCACCTTGGACGCAAATGCGCTTGTTGGTATTGGTTGCGGAGGAAGAGCAAGAGGAGGAAGAATCTGTTGAAGATTCGGCGAGAGAGGTGACATCAAGCTTACGCTTTGTAGGGGTAGTGGCAGGTGTAGCGGGATCAGAAGATGGTGTATTAGCGGAAGCAGTAGCGGAAATAGGCGAAGTGGCAGAGGTAGGAGTGGTAGCGGAAACAAGAGGAATATTTACAGAGGCGAAAGTAGTGGCAACAGGATCAGGATGAGAAACGGAATCAAGAGGAACATGTACAGAGGCGGAATCAGGTGAAGTGGAAGAGGTAGGAGTGGTAGCGGGAGCAGATGGGGTATTTACAGACGCGGAAGAAGGTGAAGTAGCCGAAGCCAAGTAAGAGGAGGAGGAGCGGCCGAAGTTGTAAGATCGTTGGAAGCAGAAGCAGAGGTAGTAGCTGAATGAGACATAACTAATTAGAGGCCGAAGCGAAGAGCAGAGCGCTGCGCGGCATTCATCGCGTTTTATGCTGTCAATCACAAGAAACTTGGCACATGACAGTGATTAATTGTCCGCAACCCCTCCAAATTCCGCCACTTTTCATTTAGCTTTCATGCTTCCAGCTTATTTCCTCTCTCACTGCACTGGCATGTACTTTGTCACCAACAAAGGAGTCCCAAATTTCCCAGACTGAAGTTGCCTTTTCCTACAAATGTTCAAGATATCCTTTTAATAACATACGTCAATATACAAACGAAGATGATGGTCATGCTTACCAAAAAGAAGGATCCATCAAGGAGCAAAGCCAAATGTCGTAAGGCAGCAATGAGCACACCAGGTGCTAAAGCAAAGAAGTGAGCTACATAGATGAATGCATGATGATTACCCTCCATTTTTGGCATCACATAATAAAGACTATCCTTGAGACTTACCAAAGGCCATTGATGATGAATACAAGTAGAAGAAAGAAAGGGCGTATGATAGTGTTGGTGACAACAGCCTTGTTTATATGTGAGTGGGCGTGGGTATTGTTGTCACGATTAATCGATCTGATAAAGTGGTCGAGCATCTTGGAGCACCGAGTCGAAGTGATGGAGAATCACAGCTGATAAATCCACCTGCATCTTGAAAAGTGATATTTTGTAGGTGACAGAAGTATGTCCATAGCTAACTCTTTCTTCAGCATTATGAATTAAGTTTACAATGAGCCAATCTCATGTAGCTCAAGCACTATGCATGTTGGGCAGCATCACTCTCAAATTGATCAACTTTGTAATACAAGCGTTTGACAGTTGCTACTTTCCTTTCGTTTATCAGATTGTGAAGCAGGAAGCTTTATCGAATGTAGTAATAATGTTGTGACAAAATAACAAAAGCATCTTGATATGATTATGTAAATGATCCCATCTCGCTTTCGACCTTCAATTTCTATTCCCCCCTTTCAATCCAGAAACCAGCCAAGTGATACACATTTTCCCCATATGAGCTGATAGTAGGATCTCCCATACATTACATTGAATCCAATTTTCATTCAATAAAAAAGTCGAAGAACAGTACATGGTAGCGGGGGCATCGATGTAATAAATAGGATAGAGGAACAGCTGCCGCCGTGATAAACATCTTCATCCTTGATGGGAAAATGGTCGCTACGTGATTTGACTTGAGGATTCCAATATCGTCCATGGCCGTCAAACGCCTTTCATCAAAGGTAAAAGCCCTCTCGTCAATGCCATGCAACTAACCATCATCTTCAGCCGTATCCACACGACGTGTTCCATCTTTCCTGCTGACAACATGCCAAGTAACCAAAGCAACATCCCAAGATAACTCATCACACCCTTTGATTCCATCCATCCATCGTAACCATTGTAGTCCAACATGTTGATCGAAAGAGCCGTGTGATCCCTGCTGCTATGCTTCCTTTGTCATCCGATTGTTGATCAATCACTTGCATGGTCATTTTCCATCGCTGCTCAAGCAAGTGAAGATTGCTTGTAATATGGTGTACTCGATAGTTGATATGGCAACATCCATAGAGATGCATGTGTATCAAAGCAAGTTGTTGTACGTAAGTAGAGTTGCTTCTATACAACGGCTATCACCTGTTCACCACAAGACAAGTTGCTGTAAGTAAAGAACGGTGTTTGAGACTGGGATAAAGGCCTTCAATGGCGACTGCTGCGTTTGATCGTAACAGACAAGCGTGCAAAAGGGTGTGTTGTAGTAGGTTGCAAGATTGTGAATGCTGTTTGAGACAATGGAGTAGCGACCTTGCTAATAGCAACTGCTGGAATGAATGCTGCTACGTTTGATTGTGGCAGAGAAGAACGCAAGAGGGTGCAATGTGTCAAGAGGCTCGTGTGTTGTAGAAGAGTGACAAGAAGGGCTGTGTGCATGTCAAGAACTTGCCTTTCAGTCCAAGGCAATCGAATCAAGACAATTGTAGGCTTGACATGATGGGTTGAAGCAGGACAATCGTTCGCAGGTGGTAGTTGTACTTGAATGGGCCAACAGTTGAGAATGGGAGGAAGGAGACACTGTGCTGGGAGTGGAAGAACAGTGTGGTCAGCCTATCGTGGTCCTATCAATTGCATTCAAGGATACTGCCTTGCCGTTGGAATCAGGCTGTTCATCGGTGACCTTGTGGATATGGGATCATGTATTGCTTTTCGCTCTTATGGAACAATATGGATCAAGAATATGCATGTATTTTTATATGACTAAGCCAGAAGATTTCAATAGGCACATAACAAAGAATAATAAATAGACTGGTTTAATTGAAGAATAAACTCTCTAGTTGCAGCGTCGTTATCTTTCCGGTATCATTGTCGTGAATCTCGTCGTCGTTCGTATGGTCATTATCGTCGTCATCTCCAATATTGTTGTCATCCTGTGAGGCTAATGTCATCATTGTCGTCTCTATAAGTAAAAGAAACGAGCAAGTTAGTAAATCTGGCAATGGAAGGATGACGCTCACTAGTAACTTGGGCGATGCTCTCTCTGGAAGTAAACAAAATTATCCGCAGGCATCGAGAGGGACTAGAGAAAGCGAAGCCAGTAAAGCAAGCAGTCTCTCCAGTGTGCATCAATAACCCACTCGCAGATGTGAAAAGCAACAAGGTAAAGGCGTGGTCTACCCTGTACGCAATCCAACAAGCTGCTCATAAAGAAACCCCACTCGCAGATGTGAAAAGCGACAAGGTAAAGGCGTGGTCTACCCTGTGCGCAATCCAACAAGCTGCTCATGAAGAAAACTTACCCGCAGGCATCGAGAGGGACTAGAGAAAGCGAAGCCAGTAAAGCAAGCAGTCTCTCCAGTGTGCATCAATAACCCACTCGCAGATGTGAAAAGCAACAAGGTAAAGGCGCGGTCTACCCTGTACGCAATCCAACATCTGCTCATTCGTCAAGAGAGAAGAAAGCTCGTGGAGCAGGAAGCAAAACCAATCAATACTTGCGTAAGTTGAGGGAGAGCGCCCATTGGTGGCTTGTATCCTGGAAACGGGGTTCATGGCAACGTGATTTAAGGCCCGAATAACATGGGCGGACTGGAGCCAGAAATAAAATTAACGCATGAGATGGAAGACTAATTGGTTTTGTATTAGAAAACGCGACCTGTCAGCCTGCCATTTTGACTTCTGCTCTTCATCCTTCGGTTAATGCAGCCGACACCATCCATTAGGAGAAAAGCAACTCCATCACGCTTATGGCATAGGTAAAACATAAAGGTGCTTGTATCTCAACATTTTTCATAGTGAAGCGTGGAGGCCTTTATAAGAACAAAGTTGCTCAACGAGGCTCAAGGAACCTTGCTTGCAAGACTGATGCTTGGGGCCTTGGTAACAAGCCAATGGTGGTGGTGGTGGTTGGATCATCATTGTCATGTAAGGTGGTAAGTGACACACACCCTTTTGCTATACGTGAGGATCGTTTCTTTTATTTACGTGTACCTATTGTCTATCGTGAGGGTGATGATGACGATGGGTGGATGGTGTGTGTGGAGTCATTGAGTGGCCTCAGTGTAATAGCAGTAGGGGGATTTAAACTTGGGGTACAGCAGCTCCACGACTTGAGACAACGCTTCTCTTCTCTTTCTCACTCCTCTGCTTTTATTCCTTTCACGGCATTGTATCAAGGTAATGTACTATAAAAGAGTGCTCTTGTTGACTGCGAGGTATTGATACAGTTCTGAACATGCATTGTCAGGGAGTGAGTGTGTCCAAAGTGCCGAGGAATGAGCGTGGTTGGTGGTTGGTTGTTGCCATGGCGACATCGTTGCTGCCTCTTGTTCGTTGCTATTCTTCTCTACGCTTGGTGTCAACAGGTACATTCAGAGCTCAATGTTGCAGCCGAACTGGTTCCATTGACGTGTTAGCTTGTATAGAGGGCAAGTTTGGTTTCAAGACGTTGGCTCGTTTGGCGTTTTGTTTCGGCTCAACTACACTACTACACCATCGTTTTCGGTTTCCAGTAACCAACAACAAAGGAGTTTTTTGTGTATATGGAAAAGGCAAGTACAATGAAACAAACAATGAAAAGGGTGTTTATTGTGTGTGTGCTAATAATGAATTGAATAGGTTTCTTTGGTCAGGCAATGCAACTTGGGGCATCATCATCATCTCTTTGGGTTCAAGTCCCAGCCTGTATCAAGTGGCCGCTGCGTCGCTCTGCACTAGCCAAGTGTGCTGGAAAAGCTTCTTGGAACGCGTCCAGGGCTCTATAGGCCTGCGTTGAGTTGAGGATGGGTCGATGACGATGGATCTTTGGAAGAGCATGGCCACCGTGTTGAGGTAAAAGGGGATTTGCAACAGCTTGTGGATGTGTTTAACCAACACGCTCTTCTCGTGATAGGCTCGTTCTTTCCCTTTGAGGATTTCTTTTCATGAGGTGGGAAATGATTGGAAGGATTGGGGATCATTCTTTCTTTGGAGAGGATGAATGAGAACAACTATGAGCCTGGACTCTACGGAAGTGATGTCCTTCCTTGCCATGGATCGAACTGGCCTTGCGTGATTCGTGCAGTGCTTTCTCAAGAACAAGGGATCGCCCGACGTTGCTCGTATGGTGGTGATTTGGTTTGTGAATTCCTTCTGATTTGCTTTCTTCCTTTGAGAGGATCTCCTAACGGTATACCAAATCGTCATCATTCCCGGTATCAGATGGTCTAACTTGGCTGCTTTTTACTTATAGAGATGACTATTACGATGATTACCACATTCACAACAACGACGATTGCGATGATTACCACATTCACAACAATGACGATTACGATGATCACCTCATTCACAACAATGACAATGATAACCACAACGAGATTCAAAAGGAAGCCTGCAAGATCCTATTCTTTTTCTACTTGCGTGTCTTGGATATTGGTGGACGATGAGATTGACGAGGTGACGACTGCTGACGAGTACGAATGATGACGGACGATGGAGACGACGATGTCGGCAATGTAGCAAGATGAAATAAAGCGTTGTTTATTTATTACACGCTTGTTGGAGGTTGCTAGCTTGTGGATTACATACTATTGCTTCGAAGATGGAATAATAAAGGTGGTCCGGTTATCGGTCATGCAAGAAGTACATGGCTTTTGTGATACAATAAGGAGGAGTGGGGAAAAAGTGAAGAGATCCCTCCATTGAGTTTCAGGATGAGTGACCCATCATTGGATTGATTACTGGTTTGTGCAGCTCGACCTTCTCCTACATGCAAATGTGATGATATGGAACCATTATTGACATACGCATACCTCGACACACCTTCATCATTGGATACTGTTTACTTACGTACCTTCACAAAAGGCAATCATCATCATCATCCATTTGTGCAGCAACCTGTCAAGGCTATTGAGCGTAGTTACTATTCTTCACCTGCCACAGCCCCACCACCTATCACATCCATAAACACACCCACGCACCCATAACAAGGTAGAATTGATGTTTAAGGAATATGTCATTTCCCATCGTCCATGAGATGAAGGTTCAACAAAGGATCAAACATGATACAAGCAATTATTATTCGTGGGATATTATATATACAATGGGATATCAAGGTCGAGGATTCATGAGATTAGTGCAGTGCAGCTTCAGTCAATGATCTTTTCCTTCCGCTTGGTTTAGGTGAAGGCATGCATGGTGGAATGGGACTGGATGGAAGAGAATTGATCGTAGGCATAAGCATCGTTGAATCGTTCAAAACAACATGAGCAGTGGATTCCATTATCTGTCGGATTTGCCAAGTTAAGAAAAGCAGCGGGATCATTTTGGCTGAGAATTGCTCCAGTGCCCTTGGAAATTCGTGTGGGCCAACCTTGGTTACCCTGCAAGCTCCACCAGCCGGACAATCCATGATGTATGCCGTGAGTTGGAATCCTAATAGCGTACATGTTATGTTTTGTGGTACATGTTGTGGTATGCACTTACCTGATATTAAAAAGCCACAGGCTTTTAGCCCTTTTACACTTGATGGTGCTGATTTTGATAGCTGCACCAAAATGTCTTTCAGTGCGCGAGGAAGTTTTAAACGTCCTTCATTTATAGTTTTCGTGCCGGTCTGATCGTCCTCCAGGCCTGCCTCAACGCAGCCATACTCATAATGCAAGTAAGAAAAACGAATGTCGACCTTTGTTCCAATCGCTTTTCTTCTCAACTCTCCAGTTCCTGCAATCCGGTTGGTGTTTCTTCTTTGTGCCGTGGATAACATTGTCTTCTCACCCCTATATTCATTCATCGTTATTGCCTTATTCTAAATACATCAGATAATAACGTACGTGGTTACTTTGATGTTTGATGATTCAAAGCATTTCTTGATAAAACCCCATACATCGTGTAATAAGTCACTTTCAGATGACATACAATCAGGCAAAGAACCATAAATAAGTAGGTCCATGGCGTCAATGATGGACTTCTGAGCCCAATACAATGAAGCCTCCTTGATGGGGTGGAAATTCATGTTTTGTCGATGGGCGAGTAGCGTGTCCATGTCATGCTACAAAAAAAACATTATTTGACTTGTTAATCCACGAATATCAATGAAGATAGAAGTAATCGTACCTTGCCGACATACGATAAAAGATACTTGGAAAGTTCATTTGGAAGTTCGGGCAACACTGGGGCTTGATGAGTTTTGATGATATCCATTTCAGCCATCGTGAAGTACTTCTCAGTGATCCATGCGGGATCCATTGGATCCATGATCATCGAATGCACGGGACTTAATAGCCGATTAGTGCAAATGTTCTTGATAGGTGACACGCTCAACTTACCTGTGTTGCTTGCAGGTCAATGCTCGCTTGAGCATCTGTCCCTCCACTGATACTTTTTTCTCTTCATCATTGTATAACCACCAACGCTGACTATCAGGTAGTTGGCTATATGTATGTTCTACCCAACAAAGGTCCGCACTTGATAAGGTTGTTGCAGAGCTTGTTGACGATCTCTTGCTTGATGCTGAGCTTGTTGAGAGAGAGATACTCTCTTCTGCTGCTGCTTCATTTTTGTGCTCCAATGCTACTGCCAATTTATCCCAATCAGGTTCGCTTTCATCCTATGTATACAAGTTCTTTGTATAAGACAGTATAAGAATTTAAGGCAGCTTTTTCGTACCACTGCAACTTTCAAAACCTTTGCGACTCTCCTGAACCGCGATTTCCAGTTGTTTCTATGGTCTTCGCCAGGATTCGTGTTATTCACGACATGATCCCACTCTTGCTCAAAGAACTTGTTTAGAGAAGGCATTTCGCCAGCTGCAGTTGTTCGAAGTAAAAACGCCTCGATTTCTACGGCAATGGATCAGTATCAACAAACCAACATGCGGTAGTTATCTCATACCCTTCGATGGATCAGTCGTCATGTTGCTAGGCAACCTATTGAAAAGGAGGTCTCCATGGCAATGGTGATGCGCAGGCATATTAAACGAGTCACTCAACACTTACCTTATTGTCAGGCATAAACTCGTGCCATGCCATTCATTAAACACCGCTTGAAATGATTTGTGATATCTTGAACCAATATAATATCCTCTTGTAAGATCGTGTCATAACATGGATGACTTGTTTGTAAGAACTACATTGTCCCGTTCTAAAAGCACCTTACATAAAAAGGACCATGCAGGAAGTGACAGCTGGATGAGAAATTAATTAAAGACATGAACGTTACTTGCCACGTGACGATTGGATAAGTTTCAGAAACTCCTTTGGCTTATGCATAGGATCGGCACAACAGGTACCATAGGTGGAGTTTGTCATTTTCAAGTAAGGTACCAAGCATTGCTAATGCCAAGGATGATGAATGTCAGGTCAATGGATGGTTGCACATGCTCAATGAATGTGGCAGTGGATATCGGATGCACGCGCCGCTGAGCTGGCGGAGTGTGATCAAGTCATGAGGAGGAGAAGAAAGAAGGCGATTATGGTGTGCCACACCTTTCTATCTCCCTCCTTTGCATAGACATTCGTAATGAGCTTCATGTAAGTAGTTGCTTTACAATGCGCACCCTTTATAGTTTATTCATTTCGTTTTACTATAGAACGGGATTCAAAAAGAACCTTAACAGAGCAGGCACAACGGTAAATGGAATTGGGATGCAGTTTCTTGGCTTGCTTGTAAAGGAGGGGAGTGAAAACTAACTCTTGGCATTATAGCTCATGCAACGCACAGGCGTCGTCGATCGCACTGTCGACAGCGAATTTGACGAGGAATACGAACGATTCAAAACGTAAGGTGACAACCTATTGTAAACGACATTTCAATAACGGGAACCTTCGATAGACTTGAAAAGAAGGCTGAAAAGCTGACAAAGGAAGCCAAGGGTTACCTGGATGCAATGCGAGGTAAAACGGCAATGGTATCCATGGAAACCATGATGACTTACTCCATGCTATAGCAATGACTGGAACTCAATTACGCATCTCACAAACCATTGGACACTTTTACGATGATACGGTCATTATGGGACCTGGTGGACAAGAATACAGAAAAGTCATTGAAAAGATGGATGAGGAAACCAAAACAGACATGGTATGCAAAGCAATCTCTCTCTCTTGACACCCTATACACCTTTTTCTCATTTGGACATTGGATAGGATCAAGCATTCAGATCCACCGTACTTGAGCCATTATCGCGATTCTGTTCTTATTTCCCTGAAGTCAACGAAGCTGTGAAACGACGTCAAAAGAAGCTCTTGGATTATGACGCCCATCGTTCCAAAGTTCGAAAGTTGATTGATAAGCCAAGTGAGGATCCTCAACGGTTGCCAAGGGTACGTGTATATATGCTATATGCATACAATAAGGGTCAACATTGGGACTTATTGTTTGTTGTTTTATGCAGGCGGAGCAAGAAGCAAACATGGCACGTGAGATGTATGAAGGCTTAAACAGTATCCTCATTGCGGATCTTCCCAAGGTGGTGGAGTTACGTGTGCCCTATCTCGATCCTACTTTTGAAGCACTTGTCAAGGCTCAATTGCAATTCTGCCAATCCAGCTATGAGCAACTCGAAGGTTTACGACACCATTTTCCTCCAGAGACCGATGCATCCGATAGGCGTGTGGATGATGTGCTTCAGCAGATGCGTGAATTGAGCATTTGTGGCAACTTTTAGAATGAGTCGTTGTTCATTGTCGACGTGTGGAATAAATGTTTATATTGAGCAACTTGGATCGTGGATATGGTTGTGAGTATTGACAATGAGGATTGGCGTTGACAACATTTGCATTCTATCCAAGGAAGCGAATTATGACAATGGTTCATGCCAATGGGGTCATTGTTGCACCATCTACTACAAGTCCGACGGGCCGCTTCTTGCCGATTGTACAACAAAAACGCGGCAATTTGAAACCACCACCTTTTGTGACAATGCGTACAAGGCACCAGATCAAGAAAAGGGTATATATATTATATAATGTTCTGATCCCACTTGTTTTCTAATCCCTTGTTTACATGGCTCATAGTGATACCACCAGCCGTAAACGCGACCACTCACCACATCATGGATCCACGTCGGGTTCTGTGGACACGCTTTTTCACCAAGAGGATCCAGCACTCGGCACTGAAGGCACGTTTGGAGAATCTAATGCTGACCCTGTGGATGTTCAAGGCAAGTTGTCTTTTATACGGGTACATTGACGGTATAAGAAAATAACTAGAATGGCGATTCTACATAATAGCTGCCATTGGAGAATATCAGGAACTCAAACGGGAGCTATCGCGCATCAGCCGTCAACATTCATCGGCACACAGCGAGTCTCAGATGGAACAAGGCGACGTTGAAGAATTCAATCTTGATGAATTTCTACATGGGATGTCTACACAAGCACAAGAAGCTGGTCACAAGCGAAAACATCTTGGCTTGATATGGAAAGATCTGACGGTGGAGGTATTACCTTACACACACACGTCTCTATTTGATGTTCTTGTGACTCATGGATATTCGGGAAACTTATAGGGTTTGGGAGCTGATACATTCACGATCCCTACCTTGTGGAGTACGACCAGCGAGTTTTTTCAGCTATGGAAAAAGTTTGGTGTTGGGATCAAGAGTCGAAAGACCATTCTTCGCAACTTGGATGGTTTTTGTAAGGAGGGCGAGATGCTGTTGGTTCTCGGGCGCCCCGGTGCAGGATGTTCAAGCTTGCTAAAGGTGCTTAGTAATGAACGGGGCTCTTACACAAAGGTGGAGGGTCAAGTGAGCTATGGTGGACTTGATCCAGAGACATTTGCCAAAAAGTACCGTGGGCAAGTTGTGTACAACTCGGAAGAGGATCAACATTATCCCACCTTGACATTACGTCAAACACTTCAATTCGCTCTTCGATGCAAAACGCCTGGAAAACGACTACCAGAAGAGACAAAGAACGACTTTGTGGAAAAGACAATCTATCTCCTTGGCAACATGCTTGGTCTCACCAAACAAATGCATACGCTTGTGGGTAATGCTTTTGTCCGTGGACTTTCGGGTGGAGAAAGGAAACGACTTTCGATCGCTGAGACCATGACAACGCTTAGTTCTATCATTTGCTATGATTGTTCAACACGTGGACTTGATGCAGCTTCAGCTCTTGACTTTGTTCGATCCTTGCGAATCATGACCGACATTTTTCACAAAACAACAGTGGCCACTTTGTATCAAGCATCAAACAACATTTACTCGTTATTTGATAAGGTGCTTTTGCTTGACAATGGCTATTGCATTTACTTTGGCCCTGCGAATGAAGCCAAATCATACTTTGAGGAACTTGGTTTCTATTGTCCACCACGCAAATCAGTGCCTGATTTCTTGACGGGGTTATGCAATCCGCTTGAACGTGAAGTGAAGCCTGGTTTTGAAATATCGGTCCCACAACATGCGCACGAGTTTTCCAAAGTGTACTATGAATCCAAGTTACACCAGCGCATGATGCATGAAATGCAAGCATATGAAGCTCAATTGGAATCTGAAAAGCCATCCGAGTTATTCATGGAAGCCGTTCGTGAGGAACATCAAAAGCATGCATCCAAGAACAATCCATATACGGCATCTTTTTATCAGCAATGCAAAGCTCTTACGATTCGACAATTCCATCTACTGATCAAGGATTATCCAGCACTGGTTTCTCGCTATGGCACTATATTCATCCAAGCCTTGGTCACAGCATCCTGTTTCTTTCAAATGCCATTTAGCGGTATCGGCGCTTTCTCACGGGGTGGTGCCATTTTCAATGCACTTATTTTGAATGCCTTTATCTCGCAATCTGAACTCTTGGTCTTTATGATCGGCCGTCCTGTTTTGGAAAAGCAAAAGCATTATGCCATGTTTCGTCCAGCTGCTTTTTACATTGCCCAAGTCATACTCGACGTCCCCTTTGCTATTGCTCAAGGTAGTAATCAATATCATCCTTCCCCTTGGCATAGTTATTAACTGCAAACGGCTCTCTAGTTTTGCTGTTTCAGATATGCTCTTACTTCATGATGGGCCTCAATCTTGATCATGCTGGCAGATTCTTTACCTACTTTTTGGACCTATTCGCGATCGTTATGATGATGAATGGCTTCTTTCGTTTTTTTGGCGCAATGACATCGAGCTTCTTTATCGCCACGCAAGTATCCGGCAATTTGCTTATGGTCATGGGTAAGTAGCAGGAACCATGTTTTGCATAGGCAATGGTCTCTGACAACATTATTTAGTTACATGCATTGGCTATGTCATCCCCTTCAATTCCATGCACGTGTGGTTTTCTTGGTAAGACATGAGGGTGTCTTTGCGTTTAAATGGTAAACAACATTCACACACCATCATCGACAACAATAGGATTTACTGGATTAATCCAATGTCATATGCATACAAGGTGCTACTTATCAACGAGCTCCATGGGCAGATTTATTCATGTGATGGTCCTGGAAATGCTGTACCCTATGGGCCTGGTTATTATGATGATTGGAAACACAAGAGCTGTACTATGCAAGGCGGCAAACCTGGAGAAGACTTTGTGCGTGGTGATGACTATCTTCGAGAGTATCTTTCTTTCGAGCCGAATCAGCTGTGGGCACCCAATCTACTTGTGGTCATTGGATACTTTATACTATTCACATTTCTCACTGCATTGACCATGGAAGTGTACAGCCCCAACAAAATGGGTGTGCTGAGAAAGTTGTACCTTCCAGGAAAGGCACCCAAAGCCCGTACGGATGAACAAGAGATTGCTAGACGACGTGAGCAAGTTGAAATGACTGATGGGATGCAAGTGACAAGTAGCTCAAGCGTATTTTCATGGCAGCATGTAAATTACACGGTGCCTTACAAGGGTGGTCAATTGCAACTCCTCAATGATGTATCAGGCATTGTTCGACCGGGTCACCTGACAGCGCTCATGGGATCTTCTGGTGCTGGGAAAACCACATTATTGGATGTATTGGCACGTCGAAAGACAATTGGCAAAGTTGAAGGAAGGATTTTCTTGAACAATGAAGCCTTGATTGAGGATTTTGAACGCATCACGGGCTATTGTGAGCAATTGGATATTCATCAACCTGCAGTGACGGTGCGAGAAGCCATGCAATTTTCAGCCTATCTTCGACAAGACGCCAAAGTGCCCAAGAAAGAAAAGGATGACTATGTCGAGCAAATCATCAAGCTATTGGAAATGGAGGATATTGCAGATGCACAAATTGGCAATGTGGATGATGGTGTGGGCATATCGGTTGAGGAGCGTAAACGTCTCACGATTGGCATGGAATTGGTAGCCAAACCAAAGTTGCTGTTTTTGGATGAACCAACATCAGGCCTTGATTCACAAAGCTCATTCAACATTATTCGATTCATCCGTAAACTTGCTGATGCAGGCTGGCCCGTTCTTTGTACGATTCATCAACCATCAGCCATTTTATTTGAGCACTTTGATCATTTACTACTGCTTGTTCGTGGTGGTCGCACTGCCTATCATGGCGAGATTGGCCCTGATGCACGTATCATGATTGATTATTTTGAATCCAAGGGCGGTCCCAAATTTTCATCGGATGCGAATCCTGCCGAATACATTCTTCAAGTGGTGGGTGCTGGTACGAGCTTCAAGGGCAAAACCCAAGATTGGGCTACTATTTGGGAGCACTCGGATGAAGCTAAAGCACTAAAAGCTGAGCTGGATGCCATTTATGATGTCTCTGATCCGCATCCCAAACGTAAAGCGTATACGTATGCCACTGGATTTTGGACACAGTTTCGGCTTGTGCATAAACGAATGGCTTTGGCCTATTGGAGATCACCTGATTACAACCTTGGACGATGGATGAGCGTTATGATCACAGCCCTATTCAATGGATTCACGTATTGGAAGCTGACACAGAGCTCGATCGATTTACAAAACCGGGTTTTTGCCTTGTTTGGTACCTTTATCATGGCCATGATCCTGGTAGGTTATGATGATGTATAACTTTACAACATGCTCTTTGTTGATTACAAGGTAGATCATTTATGCACAACCCAAATTCATGGTTGAACGATTGTATTTTCGACGTGAATACTCTTCTCGCTTTTATGGATGGTTACCTTTTGCTCTTTCTTGTGTCTTGGTGGAGGTTCCTTATATCCTTTTCATGGGCGCTACATTCATGGGCGGATTCTATTGGACAACAGGACTTGCCAACACACCCGAAGCATGTGGATACTTTTATATCATGGCTAGCTGCTTTGTGTGCTGGGCTGTATCTCTTGGATTTGTCATTGCTGCCGTTTCAGAAACACCCAAAATGGCATCATCCCTCAACCCAGTGCTTGTTTCCTTCTTGTTGCTCTTTGCCGGAATGATGCAGCCAGCAGAGTCTATGCCGAAATTTTGGTCATCATGGGTGTATTGGATTGGTAAGTATAATGTCATGTTGATGGAAATTCTTTATTAAATACTACTATCCTATGTAGATCCGTTTCATTATTACATCGAGGGGTTGTCAGTGAATGAGCTTGAGCACGTTACGGTTATTTGCGATGATAGTGACTTTGTGGAATTTACACCTCCTGCCAACCAGACATGTGGTCAATATCTCGAAGTATTCTTTTCATCCGGTGCTACAGGTTATGTGGAAGACCCTGATGCTATTGACCTTTGCCGTTATTGCAAGTATACTTCTGGAATGGAGTATTTGAATACCTATTTTGGATGGGATCCTGCCAACAAGTGGAGAGATTTGGGTCTCATTATTTGCTTTTTTGTTTTTAATCTCATTGTCTTTGTACTTCTATGCTATCTCAAACGTAGGGAACGTCGCTAATAAAAGTTATTACTACTACTACTACTACATTGATGATGGCTGTGGGTGGGCAGGTGAAACAAGTGCCACACACGTGCGTTGAATCGGAGACTGCAGTTTAAGGAAGGCAGCTGCTGCTTGGTGGGCGCTCTTGGTATTCCTACTTCTTTTTCTCTTTTCCACATTTCCAACACACACCCGACCATTGTCAACATGGCTTCACCAGCAGGCGGCTCAGACCTTTTTGCGAGCTACGAACAAGATTTCCAAACCGTAGGCGATGGCATTCGTAACAAGATTGACCAGCAAATCCCCAGCCAATCAGGAGGTATATTATCCGAGTGATATTGTCAATGGGTGTGTGTCGACGCAATGGACACTTTATTCATATACAACAATAGAGCAACGTAAAGCAACGGTTCGAGCTGTAGAACGTGAACTGGACGAAGTTGATGAAATTGTAAGTTGATTATATGATAACGATGGTTGGCGGGGGGAGGAATGGTTGCTATGGATACGGAGATAGGGAACCCAAGGTCGAGACCAGATACCGATATTCATGCAAATGTTATAGCTTGGACAAATGGAAATGGAGATCCTCAATATCCCTGCACCTTCTCGTACACGTCTTCAAGCAAAGCTTCGATTATACAAGTCCGAGGCTGAAAAGATGAAACGCGATCTCGTAAGTTGTGTGTTTGTGTATATAGAAGGCGTCGTCACCTCTAATGCAGTAACAACAATAGCGACGTGCCAATGCAGTAGCCCCTCGCTCTTCCGATCGTGATGAATTGTTTGGTGATATGCTTTCCAGTCAAAGTGATCTCGACGCATCTACCATGGACCAACGTCAACGATTGTTGAGTGGCACTGAACGATTGGGTGAATCAAGCAGGAGGTTGGAAGATAGCCATCGTTTGGCATTGGAGACTGAAGGTATTGGTGTCAATATTTTGAGCACACTCAAGGGACAACGTGAGACCATGTTGCGTGCTAGAGATACGGTAAGGCTTTTATAGGATGGATTCAGGATAACAAAATACTCAATTCCATTTCATATATATATAGCTGGCTGAAGCCGATTCATACATTGACAAGGCATCCAAGACACTTAAGGGCATGGCTCGTCGGTAAGTGAATGACCAAGGAATGATCTCTTTATTTCATGATTAAAATACTGATATAGACAACTCTAATAGCATGGCGACAAACAAGATGATTACAGCTGCTATCATTTTGATTCTAGTTGCTTTGATTGTGCTTGTCATTTGGACAAAGTTGTTCTAAGATATGATATCCCTTTTATTTTTTACATCTTTATCTATCCATCCTTCTGTCTCATCCCCGGTTCTTGACTGACTTTTCAATCTTGACCTCGCATGGTTTCTCAAACATATCCGATGGTACCTTGATAAATCGTTGTGATGCTGCCTTTTGTGCGTCTTCATTGTGTTTGTAAACAACAAATCCATAGCTAAGATATTGTCGAGTTTCAGGACACTATAAACATACATAAAAGTTGAGTCTCTTTAAACCAATCTATAACTCCCCCATTGCCTATCCAAGATCGTACCCGTAAGAATTTGTATTCGATCATGTCACCGTATTCTCCAAGTGCTTTAAACACAGTGCGTGCATGGGCCATGGAGGGAATGGTCTGAGAGGTTTTGAAAAACATGCGAGTGGGGGTCATTGCACTATTGCGGATAGCGTTGGCTGCAGCTGCTGTTGACATATTTTTGTGTGTGTGTTATGTGTGAGTGGATAAGAAAGGGGAATCGGTAAATAAGAGCCCGCTCCCAATTTGACATTTGTCAAGCCCGGCAGAAGTACTCAACCCAGAAAATCATCATCTACGTACTTGACCCGCTTTTTATCCCTGCCAGCGAGGATGTATCTTTATTGGTACAATATGAAGGTATAATCTCTCTCTTTTAAAAGAAGCCATACGGTCGATCACTGCTACTACCACCACCACTTGCATCATTCCTATCATGGGGTTGAAAATGGGCTGATTTGGCTATAGCTTCTTCAGAAGGTTCATCATTGTGGTTGAGTACACGTGATTGTTTTGGTGGCGGAGGAAGTGCCAATGCAGGTATAGGTGGTGGTTCATCGTTACGAGTGGTCGTTGTGGATATATCACGTGATGAGGGTGCCTCATGCTGTTCTTGCCGTTGTTCATCTTGGAATGTCCCCAGGGGCTTTAATGGCACAGCACTACTATTGAAAGCGGGAGATGCCGAAGATGATGTTTGTCCATGCCATAATGAGCATGCTGCTTCTTGACCCTCATCCACAGATACACGTCGCTGTCGTAAAGCTGTTGGTGGCTCACTTAGTTCTGGATAAGGATCTTCGAGGACTTGAGCCGTTTCCAAATCATGCACATCGGGTGTTAATAAATGATGCTCATCGTCTGAAAGTCGTCTCGCATGTTGTTGCTTCTTCCTCAGATGCATCCGTTTCTTTGCCAACAACACCGTATCACCTCCACAAAGGAACACGTTCTTAAAGAATTCAGGTACGAAGGATAGGTACCCGTCAACAAAGGCCAGTATATATGCACGCCATGATGTCGCTTCTTCATCATCCAGGATATACTCTTGTGGATCCAAACCAAAGAACCGATCCATAAGCAAGGCGACAATAGCCATGACAGCACAAATCAATAGCACATAGTATCCATTCTTGATAGCAGCTGCAGGCCAAAAGGTACCACCGCTATGCTTTGGTGCCTCGTCATGGATAAGATCAAAATGGGAGAGCGCGGCAAGTAAAAGATCACCAAAATAGAAAATGACCATGATTGGCAACTTGACACACCAAAACATGCCATGTGCTCTGATACGTCCATGTTTCCACTCATCATTGTAAACGGCCAGGTAGGTGAAGAGCACCGCCAAGATCAAACTGAGTGATGCAAAGTTGATGATGACCAAGTAGGTATACGCACCATTCAAAGCAAATTGACCATCACAATAGACGCCTTTGACTTGAGTAATGATGGAGACCAATGATTGAATGATGTTCCTGGAAGATAAATAAACAATGTCAGACGCAAGATCGTATGCTTTATACGTATGTGAATCGTACCAGATCGGGAATTGAAGAACGCAGATATCGGTAATGACACGAAAGTGTAATCCCCATTTCGATTTGCTATATAAAAAGAAGAGCTGAATCAGTGATAGCAGTGGATGGTGGGATGGCAACGTATGAGGTACATTACAGCGTGATCTTGACCAATCCAAGGACTTTGGTTGTCACCGCTATCTTTTGGCCTTCGTTCTTTTGGCGATAAGGTTGAAGATAGGATTGCAATAACATGTAGAGGCTGTAGACAGCAAATGACTCGAATAGTTTGGCGAAAAACATAATGACGGTCTCGTACTTGTAACGAAGATAAGAAAACCATGCAAGTGCCGCATAGATCGCTGGATAGGCGAGTACTCGCACCTTGTAACGTTGTATATCAGGCGTGTAATAGTGACCGAGATGTTGTTTGACAGTGTGTGCAGTGATGGTTACTGTAACGAGGGTGAGAAATCCAGAGATAAGCCAGCCCCAGATATGCATATTGGAGCTACAAGACAATGCGTTAGCTTCAGGAACCGTACCCTAGGCCGAGGTATACTTACTTGGGATCAAGGACAAGCTGCTTCAGATCAAAATCCGGGTTGCTAAGTTGAATGGAGACGACGTGGTGGTGGTGAGTATACGTAATGAGTGCACCATTGAGACACATACAAGCCATCTTCCCCGAGACCTCCCACAGTTGGACATTGTTCAGCCATTGCAAACGGATTGTGGACAATTGCTCATCCAGTCGCGGTGAAAGAAAAAGAATGAAGGTATTGAAGTGCATCATGTGTGCCGTGTGTAACAATGAATGGATTGCAGGATCAGGTCCGATCACCATCTCTCTAACCTTTTATGCTCTTTCATTGCCATTAGCGTACATGCAATGCAGACAATGACACTATCGAACTCTTTCTTGGTGGATGATCATCCAATTACTGCTGTCCCTGTTATCAAAAGTGCAATGGGTGGCGTTACCCCTGAATACGAGTGAAACACCCGCCAGCAACAAATTGAAGCAGGTTGCTATGATACGTTAGATGTAAATGAAACTTGACAACAACAGCAGCAGCTCAACCTTTCTTCTATCACATATGGAAGATCCCGTTGTGGGGCTTTATACAACATAGAGTTGATGCTAATACATTGCTTGAATAAACTTTTGAACGAATCCCTTTGTGATCTACCAATTGACATGGGCGGGGTTGGTTGCCATGTCACGTGTTTTGCTCTTGGTTGTTTTGCTACAATACATTCCATATCCATGCCTAAAGAAATTCAAAAGCATAGATGTAGTTTTACTTGATTTAGGAAGACCTTTTGTGAAAGCACCTCGTCGCAAGTGAAGAATTTACTTTACAGAGCCCAACTTGAGATTAAAGATGGATGCTTTAATTAAAAGATGTGAGTGATAATACTACATAATGATTTGGCATCGTACCAAAGACAAGAAGTTGCTTCATTTGGATGAGCTCATGACACCTGCAACATGCTATGGATTGTGTATGTAATAGGTGTCAAAGCATGCGATATTAAGAGTCAGTTCATGTGATCAACCCCAGCCAGACAAAGCATGGTGGAGGGGGATCGGCCCGAAATTTGGAGCGTGTAATACGCACACCTCTTTTTGTCTCTTTGTCACCAACTCATCTTTTATTGTCTTCGAAATGAGCTTTGAACTCGACTCTCTTAGCTACGCCTTGCTTGCCTCCATATTCAGCGCTGCTGCCATGCTGTCGGTGCGCAATGCTCGTGGACCTGACATTCATCCCTTACTACTCAACACCCAGTCCGATGTCTCCCGCGTTCGTTATCCTGGAAGCTCGGCTATCTATCGCTCACGCATGTACCCCAATGGCTCTCCATTACTTTACACCATGGACCGCTCTATCCGCACTCTCAAGGACTTTTATGGTGCAGCCTTTGAAAAGTATAGAACCAACGTCTTAGTGGGTGGTCGCACTACTGCTGGCTCCTATTCTTGGGTAAGCTCTCTTTCTCTATTTTAATTACCACAGCGGTTGATTGATTGACATTATTCATTGTTATAGTCCACTTATGGTATGTCACTTTTTGACACATACACAACACATACGCGATATTGATGGATGATGGATGATGTAGAGGCAATCGAGAAAAAGTCCAAGCACATTTACTCAGGTCTTGTACATGCTGGTGGTCTTGAACCCATGTCGAATAACGAGTCGTCGTTTGTCGGTATCTATGCAACCAACTCTCCAGGTATATATCCCATGGCAACATGGTTATCATCACAAGGGTCATTAACAAACCCCATTTTGTATAGACACTCTTGCCACTGAAATCGGTAATGTATTGTGGGTGGATATATGGGTTTGTCGTTGACAAATGATGATTTTTAGGATGTCAGTGTGGTGGCCTTGTCACTATTCCCATTTCGGCTGATGCTACCTCATCTCATTTATCGCATATCCTTCGAAACTCGGGACTACGTGTTCTTGTTGTCGATGCTTCCCTTGCTGAACGTGCGCTCAATGTCATTCGCGGTGGTAATGTGGCTGTAAAGGTGTTGGCTATCCTTGGTGATGGTCTCGCTGCCAACGTCAAGCAAAATGCAGAAGCAATGGGTATCCAACTCTTGAATATCAGAGATGTGGAGAATAAGGGTACTGAAAATCCAGCTGCACAAGTTACTCCAGGTATGGAATATATCTATGGATGATACACATGGAGGTCTAATGGTATTGGAAATAGAGAGTACCACGATGGCCAGTATTTATTACACGTCCGCAGATTACGTAAGAAGTTCTCTTGTTGGTAAAGAGAATGATGGATTGACATTGGAGGATTCTTATATATAGAAGGAAGGCAATAAGCCTGGTGTCGTGTTGACTCACAAGGTAAGAGGAAGGATGGATGGATATGGAGACTTGTCAAGGGATACTTATCACAAAATGTAGAACATGGTATCGGTTGCCGGTAAGATCGCATTGCGTCCTCCAAGTAAGAAATGTGGTTGACAGGTTGCCCTTTTATAGCAAGCTATCACGCTGTCATTCCTCCTCAACAACGTATCACACCCAAGGATCGATTGATGCATAACTTTGCTATTGGTAATAAGCATCTTTTTTGGAAAGTCAGATTGGGTACTTATGGAAAGGAAAACCATAGATAACGTTTTTGGACATGTTCTTACCGCTGTCCTTTGCGTTTCGGGTGGATCTATCGCTTATGGTGATGAAATTGCCAATGAAGATGTCAAGGTTGATGTGTCCTCTACACTTGCTCCTGCATTGGAAGCCAAGCCAACCATTTATGCAAGGTAATGAAAACAAATCACCCTATGTTCTTGTATCATTATTCTAACAATGCTTGTAGTGGTGCACCATTCCTTGCTCAAGTGAAAGAAACGATCGAAGCACGTTATGGCAATTCATTCCTATTCCGTCGTGGTCTTGACAAGAAGAAGGCTTACTTTGAAGAGGGTCGCTTGGTGACTGATAGCAAGTATGACATGCTTGTATTCCGAGACATTAAGCAAAAGACATTTGGAAGCAACATTCGCTTGGTGATTATGGACAATGGTAAGGATAGATAAAAGGTGCTCGCTGTGAGCAAAGTGATAACCCAATATGCGTTTTATAGATGGTACTGGTTCTGATATTGCATCCTTTTTCAGAGCGGTGATTGGTATCCAAGTTCTCAAAGCGCTTGATCTTCCCGAGACATGTGGCACTGCAGCTCTCTCTATGTTTTACGATTATCAATTGGAAAAGGCTGCCTTTGGTGCACCATTGCCATGCAACGAATTGAAGTTGGAGGATATGGCTGATCAAGGATATACCAGTGATGATACGCCTAATCCACGTGGTGAAATCTGGATCCGCGGCAACAATGTCTTTGCCGGTTATTGGAAAGACCCATCAGCTACTTCTGCAGTCATGGATCCCGATGGTTGGTACATGACCTCCATCATTGGTGAAATACAAGCAAATGGTACCATCAAGGTTATTGGCCGTAAATAATGTCATGTAATAAATTGATGTATTTTATCACGCACGTTTATGTATCATCATGTTCCAGTGGCTATGTATTAGCTAGGTAGACTAGGTTGTCGTAAGTGTGATTTATAGATTAGCGGCTTTGGTCATAAACCTGATTGATTAATTATTCGTAAACTGCCACTTGATAGCCCATTCCTCCCTATCACCTTTGTTGTCCAATCCAATGCACACGAACGATTGTCCTGCTCCAGCCCATCATGCCCATCATTTAACTTTCATGATTCGAGCTAACCTGGTAGTAAGGTAATGGCTGTTGTTGGATCATCATTATCATGTAAAGTGTAAAATGGCACACATCCTTTTGCTATACGTGAGGATCATTTCTTTTATTTACGTGTACCTATTGTCTATCGTGAGGGTGATGATGACGATGGGTGGATGGTGTGTGTGGGGTCATTGAGTGGCCTCAGTGTAATAGCAGTAGGGGGATTTAAACTTGGGGGACAGCAGCTCCACGATTTGAGACAACGCTTCTCTTCTCTTTCTCACTCCTCTGCTTTTATTCCATTCACGACATCTCGATCAAGGTAATGTATTATCAAAGAGTGCTCTTCTTGGCTGTGAGGTGTTAATGTAGTTCTGAACATGCATTGTCAGGGAGTGAGTGTGTGTCCAAATGCTGAGGAATGAGCGTGGTTGGTTGGTTGGTGGTTGCCATGGCGATATCGTTGCTTCCTCTTGTCCGTTGCTATTCCCGCTCTACGCTTGGTGTCAACAGGTACATTGAGAGTCCAATGTTGCAGTCGAACTGATTCCATTGACGTGTTAGCTTGTATAGAGGGCAAGTTTGGTCACAAGACGTTGGGTGGTTTGGCGTTTTGTTTCGGCTCAACTATACTACACCATGGTTTTCGGTTTCCAGTAACCAACAACAACGGATCTTTGTGTATATGGAAAAGGCAAGTACAATGAAACAAATAATGAAAAGGGTGTTTATTGTGTGTGTGTGCTAATAATGAATTGAATAGGTTTCTTTGGTCAGGCAATGCAACTTGGGGCATCATCATCATCTCTTTGGGTTCAAGTCCCAGCCTGTATCAAGTGGTCGCTGCGTCGCTCTGCACTAGCCAAGTGTGCTGGAAAAGCTTCTTGGAACGCGTCCAGGCTCTATAGGCCTGCGTTTGAGTTGATGGGTCGATGACGATGGGTTGTTGGAAGAGCATGATCACCGTGTTGAGGTAAAAGGGGATTTGCAACAGCTTGTGAATGTGTTGAACCAACACGCTCTTCTCGTGATAGGCTCGTTCTTTCCCTTGAGGATTTCTTTTCATGAGGTGGGAAAATGATTGGAAGGATTGGGGATCATTCTTTCTTTGGAGAGGGTGAATGAGGACAACTATGAGCCTGGACTCTACGTAAGTGATGTTTTTCCTTGCCATGGATCGAACTGGCCTTGCGTGATTCGTGCAGTGCTTTCTCAAGGACAAGGGATCGCCCGACGTTGCTCGTATGATGGTGATTTGGTCTGTGAATTCCTTCTGATTTGCTTTCTTCCTTTGAGAGGATCGCCTAACGGTATACCAAATCGTCATCATTCCGGTACCAGGTGGTCTAACTTACTTGCTTTCTTATTTATAGAGACGACGATTACGATGATTACCACATACACAACAATGACGATTACGATGATCACCCCATCTACAACAATGACAATGATGACGACAGCGAGATTCAAAAGGAAGCCTGCAAGATCCCATTCTTTTCAACTTGTGTATTTTTGGATGTTTGGTGTGACGGATGAGATTGAGGACTGGTGACGAGTACGAGTAGGAATAATGACGGAGGACGACTACGACGATCGTGGTGGCAATGTACAGTACATAGCAAGATAGATAGATGAAATAAAGCATTGTTTATTTATTACACGCTTGTTGGAGGTTGCTAGCTTGTGGATTACATACTATTGCTTCGAAGATGGAATAATAAAGGTGGTCCGGTTAAGAAGTACATGGCTTTTGTGATACAATAAGGAGGAGTGGGAAGTGGGATGAGCTTGAGAAGAGAAAAAGTGAAGAGATCCCTCCATTGAGTTTCAGGATGAGTGACCCATTCAATATGTATACGTATCTTTTTACATATACAAATTGGTTTATGCAGCTCGACCTTCTCCTACATGCAAATGTGATACATACCTTGACACACCTTCATTATTGGATGCTGTTTTACTTACGTACCTTCACAAAAGGCAATCATCATCATCATCATCCATTTGTGGAGCAACCTGTCAAGGACGCGTTTGTGTAACCACCACGTGCGGTTTCACTCAGCTCTTCATCTTTCCGTTAATGCAGCCGACACCATCCACTAGGAAAAAGCAACTCCATCACGCTTACAGCATAGGTAAAACATAAAGACGCCTGTATCTCCAGACTTTACAATGAAACGTGTGGTTTTTATTAGAGCAATGTGCTCGGCTTGGCCAACAGCACCTTGTGTGAAAGTTTCGCGTTCAATGTCGCAAACAGCCCAAAAAATATTTTTTTGGTCGTCGAAAAAAGTTTCAAGAGGTCGACCTCTGGATCCAGTTTGGCTGGTGGCGACATTGCGAAATCTGGTATTGGCAAGCTTGATCGTGAAACTTTCTACCATGTGCTGTTGGCCGCCGGTTTCATTGCTGTAATAAAAACCCCACGTTTGATTGTAAAGTTTAGAGATACATGCATCTTTATGTTTGTAAGCGTGATGCTATATGAGAAGTGGTCTTTGTTCATTGCCAAGTAGCTAGACTCGGAGAGCCAAAGATGCAGAAGGACCTCTTTGGGTTACTCAGCTAAAAAGTCAGGACTTCAGGGACAATGCATGAAAGGTAATGCGCAACCTCACTGTTATGTCATACATTGGTACACAGCCACTTTTGTGCATTCTATTGTAGGTGGACGATGCTCCTGCTCTAGACATTCATTTCCATGATTAAAGTAGGCTGATCTCGAGCTGATTTGGTTGAGTTACGCTCACACAAGATTACATCGGTTGAGCTACATCGATCGAGCGTGCTTTATGTGCCTTGGCCAACAGCACCTTGTGTGAAAGTTTCGCGTTCAATGTCGCAAACAGCCCAAAAAATATTTTTTTGGTCGTCGAAAAAAGTTTCAAGAGGTCGACCTCTGGATCCAGTTTGGCTGGTGGCGACATTGCGAAATCTGGTATTGGCAAGCTTGATCGTGAAACTTTCACACAAGGTGCTGTTGGCCAAGCCGAGCCCATTGCTGTAATAAAAACCCCACGTTTGATTGTAAAGTTTAGAGATACATGCATCTTTATGTTTGTAAGCGTGATGCTATATGAGAAGTGGTCTTTGTTCATTGCCAAGTAGCTAGACCCTGGAGAGCCAAAGATGCAGAAGGACCTCTTTGGGTTACTCAGCTAAAAAGTCAGGACTTCAGGGACAATGCATGAAAGGTACGCAACCCTCACTGTTATGTCATACATTGGCAGCTAATAGCCACTTTTGTGCATTCTATTGTAGGTGGACGATGCTCCTGCTCTAGACATTCATTTCCATGATTAAAGTAGGTTGATCCGAGCTGATTTGGTTGAGTTACGCTCACACAAGATTACATCGGTTGAGCTACATCGAGCGTGCTTTATGTGCAGAGTGATGTAATCTCTTTGACCGCAGCTCAGTCAAATCAGCTCGAATCAACCTACTTTAATCATGGAAATGAATGTCTAGAGCAGGGGCATCGTTCCCATGCAGTGGATCTCGCAACAATGATGATTGGATAAAAGTGGCCGTTAGCTAGCAATACATGCCTGTTCCTAGATGATCTATAAAGTAATTATACATTGACCCTTTCATTCATGCAAACGTAGCTGTGTTACACAACACGACCCTCTGCATCTTTTGCTCTGCCAGGGTCCACCTACTTGACAATGAACAAAGACCACTCTTCTTATAGCATCACACTTACAAACATAAAGACGCCTGTATCTCCAGACTTTACAATGAAACGTGTGGTTTTTATTACAGCAATGGGCTCGGCTTGGCCAACAGCACCTTGTGTGAAAGTTTCACGTTCAATGTCGTAACTAGCCCAAAAAATATTTTTTTGGTCGTCGTTGTCGAAGAGGTCGACCCCCAGATCCAGTTTGGCTGGTAGCGACATTGCGAAATCTGGGATCGCCCACGATGAACTTCATACTTTGACACAAGATTCCTTTGACCCCGACAAGCACGTTGATCTATTAAAGAGCCCACGTTTGATTGTAAAGTTCGGAGATACAGGCACCTTTATGTTTGTAAGCGTGATGCTATATGAGAAGTGGTATTTGTTTAATGTGAAGTAGTATGACTATAAGAGCAAAAGATGCAGAGGGCGTGTTTGTGCAACTTGAGTCATTCAGCACAGGCGATGCATGATTCTTGTACACTATTTAGGAATAGTTCAAAATGCCAGCTAATAACCTTAGTCCTCCCATTCACCTTTGTTACCCGATCCAATGCATACGAACGATTGTCCTGCTCCAGCCCAGCACGTCCATCGTTCAACTTCTTTGATCCGATGAGATTTGACTGAAAAACGCTCAAACACAGAAACATCATCCAATATCAGAAGAATCAAATTGGTAAGTTATTTGTAAACAGCCGGCTAATAGCCCATTCCTTCCATTCACCTTTGTTGTCCAATCCAATGCACACGAACGATTGTCCTGATCCAGCCCATCATCCCCATCCTTCAACTTTGATGATCCGAGAGGTTTTGACCAAGTTACGCTCAAGCACAGAAGTGTCATCCTTTTCAGAAAAATCATGTTGCAAAGTTATTTGTAAACTGCCACTTGATAGCCCATTCCTTCCAATCGTCTTTGTTGCCCAATCCAATGCATACGAACGATTGTCCTGCTTCAGCTCATCGTCGCCATCATTCAAGTTTCTTGATCCGAGTGGATTTGGTTGAGTTACGCTCAAGCACAGAAGTATCATCCAATATGAGAAAAATCATTTTGCAAAGTTATTTGTAAACTGCCAGCTAATAGCCCATTCCTCCCAATCACCTTTGTTGCTCAATCCAATGCATGTGAACGATTGTCTTGCTCCAGCCCATCGTCCCCCATCATTGAACTTTCTTGATCCAATAGGATTTGACTGAACAACGCACAAGCAAAAAAGTACCATTCAACGTCAGTTCACCTCACTCAATTTCCCAGCTCTTCCACTCCAAGCTTATTTGCCTCTTCCTCCCATTCTCAACTGTTGCCCCATTCAAGTACAATTATTACCTGCGAACGATTGTCCTGCTTCAACCCATCATGTCGAGCCTACGATTGTCTCGATCCCATTGTCTTTGGGTTGAATGGCAAGTTCATGACATGCACACAGCCTTTTTGTCACTCTGCTACAACACACGAGTCTCTTGACACAACGCACTCTCTTGCACACTCCTTCGCCACAACCAATCGCAACAGCGTCCATTCCATCAGTTGCTATTAGTGAAGGCTTTACTCCATTGTCTCAAACAGCGTTCCTTACTTGCAGCTACGTGTCTTGCAGCCTCTGTTACGTGTACAGCAGATAGCCATCATATAGAAGCAGCGTTATTTACGTGTAGCAACTTGTTTCAATACATACGACTTCTTATGGATATGGATATGGATCTTGGTTTGGTGCATGGGATGGATATGGATAGGGCTATGGATATTGGCTTGGTTCATGGGATGGAAGGCCATGTGTGTATACAATGCATGGGAAGAAGAGTCTTTGTTCTTATGCATCCATTGTCAGCCTGGCTTTGATGTTATCATCGTGAGCAATTGGCGGATCCGATTATCCTACTTCACAGCTATTCCATGGCAACAATGGAGATCATCATCCTTTATGGAACCATCATCATCATCCAACTGCATATTTGGACGTGTCATGCATCAAGAGTTATCTCACGTTCGTCCATTCAGCTTTCCAAAGCGCATGTCCAAAGGATAGAGTGGTTTTCCGGATCGATGCATCTTCTCCATTTGTGCAATTTGCTGTACTTTTCAATCTCATGTCCATTCTATCTCTTATGAATGATGTTGGATTAAAGAATTACTTTGCGAATATAACATTACATTGGTCTTCCTATAATAGCGTAAGAGACGTTTCTTCGTTGATTGTGTGTGGGGATGTGATGCATCATAGACAGATTCATGCAACATTGTAAAAGTAGCTCCACTTTTAAATGCTGTGATAGAGGACAATGAAAGGGTCGGATGGATTCATTGTTGTGCTTTGAACAACCAAGGACGTGTTCGATAGTATAACTCACCTCCCTTGGCCTTATGATTGGATCCTTCAATAAAGTCGTTATCCCTTTGTGGTGTTGTATACATTAGCCATGCTGTAGTCGTTGCAATCTTTTGGAATCGATGATCACTTACCCTTTCGATACATTATAGAATAGCATAAAGAATCTCTCTCAGTCTTTTTGAACATGACAGCGTTCTTCAACACGATCACAAGGAAAATCTTATCCAACCACTAAAGTGTGTAAGACTGTTTATTGATATAATAAAGTAAAAACGACCTTAAAGATTAGGTGATTTTCGGATTGCGAGAATGAAAAGATATAATGTGTCAAACAAAGACACGAAAGAGAAGAAAACAAAAGAGATTGATATAGTGGGGAGAAACACCCAAGCAAAGATAAAGAAGATAAAACGAATAAAGGAGTAGGCGAGCTAGAGTAAGAGAATGATGAACAAGCAAAATGGGATCAACCACATAATCACGTGACCACAAACAAAAGAAAATTAAAAAAGAAAGTGAAGAGAGTGGGATTCGAACCCACGCCTCCGAAGAGATCAGGGCCTTAACCTGACGCCTTAGACCAACTCGGCCATCTCTCCCACTCGCTTTTTTTACTTTTGAGTGCGCTGATAAGTCTCCGACATTCCTTATTTGGGTGGGGTTAGTTTAGCATATGAGGTTTTAAGCCAATGCGAGGATTTAGAGTTTTAAAAGTAGCCAATGATCCTCACTTTGAGCTTGTTGCAGGAATTAAGAGTCCGCGCTCTTCACACGTGATCATTATCATTGTCTCTTGGCTCTCTTTATATGGATTTGAAACATACAATGAAAATAATGCCATGTTTATTTGGTTACTCCTTTCAGCAATATCTCCCATAGCAACATCTCCATGACAATGGTAGTCATAGCGTATTCAAGCATTCAAGCATTCAAGTAGACTACTGGGTCAAAAGAGCAATAACGCTATTTTACTTGTGACAGCGCCGTTCTTCTTTTCACTGAACATGACGATACTACTACTGCTACTCTTGTTGTTCTTCATTACGGTCCACAGTCATTGCCCCGACTTCCATCACGAAGGTCAATTCACCTTGGCCACGCTCGAGAATGTAGACACGGCAAGTCCAAAGCTGCAATGCTTAGACCGACCTTGTTTAACACCATGCATAATACTAGGCCGAGTCGATTCTCCGTCAACATGACCAAGTCAAGGAGCCTCATGTCAAAAAGTTTGGTGGAGAGACACTGGCCTATGTCACGCCATGGAATAACCGAGGTACGGTTACGAATGATATTGTTGGTTTCTCTATACGAATCGTTACCGTTGTTGTTGCTAGGATATGACGTGGTCAAGGAATTCAAGGGCAAGTTTGACTAGTAAGTAAACACGTCGAGAGGGAGAGTGATCCTATGATGGATATTTACCATAGACATAGCGTATCCCCTGTATGGTACTATGTGGAGCGATCGTAAGTAATAACACATGTTACTACGACGATCATACTAATCGTCTATTATTACAGGAATGAACCTGATGATGAGATGTTCAAGATTATTGGCGAACATGATGTGGATACAAACGTGAGTTGGGTCACAGGGCTTAGTGATGTATTTCTGGCACGACTAACATGGAGCTTTAGTGGATGGCAGAGGTGCGGGGACCAAACACTGGCAAGATTGTACCAAGGTTTCAATTTCGCAACTGGGATTTCAATGGCTATCAGTCATTTGCTTCCAATCCAGAGGATGCACACAAGATGGTTGAATTATTGATGGATCAAGTGACGTGAGTAATATATCCTCACATGTGATTTTTCTGACACACAATCATAGAAAGCATGGCTTTGATGGCATTGTGGTCGAATGTGGCTATCCTACCTTCTTTCCTCTTTTTATCAACAACATGGCCGCTGCGCTTCATAACGACAACAAGGAATTCATTGTAGTATTACCACCTTTGCGTTCAGCTGAACAGAGCAAGATTTTGAATCGTGACGTCTTTGCTTCCCTCGCTCAAGTTGTGGATCGTTTCAGCATTATGACATACGATTATTCCAGCCATTCACCGTAAGTAGTAGTACTACAAGTTTATGGACAATGCAAAAGACTAATGATGATTGGCAGCCATGGGGGTCCCTCAGCACCAGTGGATTGGATCATGGACAACATTGAGCAACTCACCAACGATGAAAACGCACATCAGCTTTTGGTTGGTATCAATCTATACGCCATGTCGTATCAAGAGACTCGGATGCCCGAGGCAAAGATTCTCAGCAGTCTTTTGGAAACGTTGGATGGCAAGGAGCTTGAATGGGACGAGGAGAGTGAGGAGCATTGGTTCGAGGATGGTGATGGTTCCAAAGTATGGATGCCCACAAGAAAGGTAAATGTTTGTTATGTATGCTCCTGATATAGGACAACAAGACCTAATCGAAACCTATAGTCTATCGAAAAACGAGTTCATCTTGCCGAGGATTATGAAGGTAAATGGATAACCATCATTGTTGGCCCTTATACTCATTATGCTTGTTTTCTACTGCTAGTGGGTCTTTCGCTCTGGGAGGTGGGACAAGGATTAGATTACTTTGTAAGTGATACGCAGATGAAGAAAAGGAGGATTTATACTCATCGGGAAACGTTTTATAGTATGAGCTGCTTTGAAGGGGATGATTACTCTTTGATAATAAAGGGACTATGTAATGATGCGATTGTCATAATGTGGGAGAAGGTTTGCCGTCAAAGTCATTTTCATCCACGCTTCGGACCAGGCTTGTTGTTGTGTTTGTGCTTTCTCGATGATTCATGGATGCGAAATCACGTGCAGTGACAGCAAGTTGTAGTGGCGGGAAGTGTCATGGTCAACGTCGATCAAAGTAAGGCGTACAGACCAAGCGCTCCCAGGAAACTCCTTCCATCAACCCCATTGTACCACCTGATCCATTACACGAGTGCATTGACAAAACATACACAATCACTTTCTCATCAAGGCAATAAACGACAATGAAGTGAACCATTTCAATGATTGCTACACCTTTTGACACGTTAACGCTGTTGGTTGACACGAAGATAAGAATGATTGATTCATGATCTTACAACGATTTTCACACATCATACACAACATGGTGATGGCCAAAGTAATCATGCTTTTTATGTTTCAAAAGTAGGGATATGAATAAAGGATCACGGGGTGGATGTGGGTAGAAACCTTAATAGAAGAACAATTGTACGTGTAACCATGCAATGCGAGGTAGAAAGTACACTGCATACATTGGCTCCATAAGTAAAGTGAACGATAAAAGTCGACTGCAGCACAAGTTGTTTTGCATGATGACGCGTTTGCCTGCTGGAAAACACCTACAGATCATAATACCACCTTTGTTGAAAGTCGTAAGGCGGTGAAAGTGAGCGTGTTTGGCCCAAGACGCGTGCTGGATAACAGGAACCCAAAGCTGCGATCCCCCCATGTACTTGCCAATCCTTGAGAATCGCTCAGATCGAAGCCGGGCAAGCCGCAATGTACTCATGTGGTCCAGGTCAATTACATGCAAGTCGTAGATTGGCGCAATGTGAGAGAGAAAATAAGCTAGCAGCAAAAAGCCTTGAAATTATTGAGTTGGAAAGTGGGGGGTTGCCCAAGCAACGGAAGAAGTGTCATGGATACCGAGAACCCAAAGCTGCGATCACCTCCATATGCTTGCCAATTCTTGAGATTCGCTCAGATCGAATCCAGGTAAACGGCCATATACTCCTCTAATCCATACCTATTACATGCAAATCATAAGTTGGCGCAGTGTGAGAGAGGAAATGAGCTAGCAACAGAAAAGCTAAAAATTACAAAGTTGAAAAAGTTGGGGTCGCCCAAGAAGTATGCTTGATCCCCATACGCTTGTCACTTCTTGAGAATCGCATAGATCGAAGCCAGGTAAATGGCAATGTATACGTGTAATCCATATCTATCACGTACGAGTCATAGATCGGCTCAATGTGAAAGAGAAAATAAGCAAGCAGCAGAATGCTAAAAAGTTAAAAGGAAATGAAAAAGTGGGTAATTTGAAAGGGTTGTCATGTGCGAACTTTATTGCCATTGACGATTCATGGCGACTTGGAGAGCATAAAAGATGATGGATGATGCGCAATCCTTTGTTCTTCCCTTCGACCTCTTTCTTTGTCCAACTTAGTTATGTCTTCAGCTACTGCTACTGCTTCTGCTTCTGCTTCTGCTACTGCTCCAAACGCTCTCTCAGCTTCGGCTGCTACACCTTCTCCTACTTTGGCTTCGGCTTCTCCATCTTCATCCGCACCTGTACATACTCCACCTGCTTCCGTTCCTAATCCTGCTTCGGCTACTTCCTCTGCTTCCGCCATTGTACATATCCCTCTTGATTCCGTTGCCATTCCTACCTCTTCTACTTCACCTTCTTCCGCTATTGTAAATATTCCTCTCGATTCCGTTGCCACTCCTACTCCCTCTTCAACCGTTTCCGCATCTGTACATACACCACCTGCTTCCGCTACCATTCCTACCTCCTCCTCTTCAACCAATTCCGCCTCTGTAAATATCCCTACTGATTCCGCACCTACTCCAGCTACGCTTAAGCGTAAGCTCTCAACAACATCTATCGCCGAATCTTCAACAGATTCCTCCTCCTCCTCCTCTTCCTCCGCAACTCCAATCCCAAAGCGTGTTTGCATCAATGTTGATGCTGAATCACAATCACAATCACAATGCAGCACCAAGTTCATGGATCCTTGGGATCTTTTAGAGGGTAGTGAATGGGACCACTTAGGTGGTGCCCATCATGTGCACCAAGTCAAATGGAAGCGTGCACATAATGACGTTGTGCAGATCTTCGGTAAGTCGCCTAAAAAGTACATTCTAGCTCAATCTCATCATATCCGTTTTTGATTGTATATACTTTGAATGAAGATCAAGACATGATCAAGAAGATCAACAAGAAAGCAAGTGGGGTCAAGGTTGAGCTCACCAACAACAACAAGGTACTCAAAGTACAAGGTCCGCAGCAAAAGGTGGATCGTGCTTGGGATTTCTTGCAGCAATTGGTAAATATGTATCGAACCAAATGGAACATCAATTATCCTTATCTAAAAGCATTTGCTTATGTAGGTTGTGACCGAGACACCAGTTGCAACCACCTATGTTGTGATCGATGTTGTTGGTGTCGACGCAGACGCAAAGCTAGACTCGCTATCACAAGCAATCGGTGATGCTGGCAAAACGATCCCAGCTGAGAAGTTGCACTTCTCAGTCTGCCACAGCAGTCCAAGCTTCTCAGCAAGTGAGGCCATTGCACTTGCTGAGGAGCTTGACGAAAAAATGAAGCCCACAACATTACCAAGAAACCTCAATAGCATTTTCAAATGCAACAAAAAGGTTTTCTTCAATGTTGATGGCCGACATCAAGGTAGCTATAATCTATCATTGCTTCAGCATCTTTTTTTTTTTTTGCTCACTCTTGACCAAATTTTTAGTCCTTGGTGTGGTGCCAGAAGGCACCACCAGCCCACCACACCAATTGATCAGTATGTATTCTTGCACCTTTTGGTGGTATAACACCTTCCAGACTATACTCATCATTATGATCGTAGAGTTCGTGCAAAGCACGCTGTCATCAAGCGATCTTGACATGGAAGCAACACCCCATGTCACAATCATCAACCGCCGGTCCCCCAATGCGCAGAATTCCAGGGCCGATCAAGACCGGCGGTTGGTGGCAGAAATCAACAAATACAATTGCGACCACGATTGGCTAGGCCCTTTAACAATCAAGGGCGTAAAAGTTTCACGACAGGTGTTGGATCTCACAACCAAGCAACTAGACCATTTTACCCTCTGGGAAATGGTTTTGCAATAATAAATTGATTTTGTCCTCTAAATCGTCTCATGCTGCTTGTTTCGAGATGCCCCTATAAAAGATATGATACCAACGCTGCTACACGTGATCCACTCTCTCGCGTATCCATTATTCAAGATCGTATGCGTGGATCCAATAGCTTAGATACATCGGCTTCAATGTGCATGATGCTGTTGCACAAATGGTGATCGCTGTGTTAAAAGTGCACAGACCATGCTGCCACAATCCCTGCATTTCAACCTCCAACAAAGATTCAACCCGCTTAAATTCCCACTTCTTTCCACTCTCAGCTTATTGCTCTTCCTCCTATTCTCAACTGTTGCCCCATTCAAGTACACAACTACCATCTGCGAACGATTGTCCTGCTTCAACCCATCATGTCAACCCTACAACTATGCCTTGATCCGATTGTCTTTGACTGAATGGCAAGTCCATGGCGTATACACCCCACTACAACACACTTCTTGAAATACGCTGTCTTGCACATTCCTCTGCCACAACCAATCGTCACAGCGTCCATTGCAGCAATTGCCATTAGCAAGGCCTTTACTCCATGGTCTCAAACAGCGTCCACAACCTTGTCACCCTACTACAACACACGCTCTTGCAGACTTCTCTGCCACGACTAAACGTAACAGCTGTTGCCATTACCAAGGTCTTTACTCCATTGTCTCAAGCTACTTGCAGCAACTTGCTTTGGTATATACAACTTCCTAAGATGATGCCATATCAGCTATCAAGCAACACAAGCAATCTTTACCTCGTTGAGCTGCGATAGAAAATGACCTAGAAAGAGATCGACCAACAGCTTGATGGGAAAGGAAGCATATCAGCAACAATCACAGAGGCTCTTTCTTATTGGATTTGCAATGGTTATGGATGGAGGGATGCAATCAGGTGCAATGATGGTGAATCAGGTAATGTTGCTTTGGTTACTTGTCGCGTCGTCAGCAGGAACGATGGATACGGCTGAGGATGATGATGGATTGGATGGAATTGGCAAAAGGGTTTGTATCTTTGACGAATGATGTTTTGAAGCCATGGGTGGCATTGGAATACTCAAGTCATATTATGCAGCAACTTTGGGATCATGGATGAAGGATGATTATGACGGCAGCAACCAAGAACGCAATGACACAACTATCCCTATTACCTCTGTGTGGTTCACCCGTATCTTATTCAATTTGCAACCCTTACCATATTTGTATGATAAACATCGATACTACCATGTCCTATTCTTTGACTTTCATTGGATGAAAATTGGATTCAACACAATAGTTAGAGAGGGGTGGAACACTTGATGGGTTTCTAGATTGAGAGGGGGAATAGAAATTTGAAAATCGCCAAGCGAGGTTGGATCATTTGCATTGTCATGTCGTGATGCTCTTGTTCTTTGGCCACAACATTTTATGACCTTACTATAGCCTTCTAGCACACATGCTTATAGTAGAAGAAAGGCGGTGGGGATTCTCAAACGCTTGTACTGTAAAATGGATTTGAGAGTGATGATGCCCAAGATGTGCTTGATTGTTCCAGAAAGCAAGGTTCATTGTAAGCTTAATTCATTATGCTCAAAAAAGTATGAGCTTCTATACAACATGGCATGAGTACACGAATACACCATGCTTATCTATGACAGTTTACAGCTACCGCTATCCCGTGCATCCTTATATGAGAACGAATCATTACATATGTCCGGGCAATCATGGGCGGACCTTACTATAGGAAGGCAGGGGAAGGGGCCTATTATGCATTTCTCCACCAATAGGATCGACCCTTCAAGTGCTGTCATGCATTTTTGGCTCTAACATGAGTGAGCTACTTGACACCGAACAAGATCACTTTTCATAAGCATCACGCCTACATCATAGCAAAACATAAAGACGCTTGTAACTCAAAAGTTTACAATCAAGTGCGGGGATCTTTATTAGAACAATGTTGCTCGGCGAGGTCGAAAGGGCTGCCTCTTGTTGCTTGCATGTTAAAATGATAATGAGCAGTCTTTTGAATCAAAGATTGGAAAGCATCTCTTATGTTGCGTAGTATGTGGTATGTAACCATGGCAACAGCTGGTATCAACAGGAGCGAAAAACAGGTACACTGCAAGGTGAGAGCTACAGATCGTACTGTATTGGGCAAAAGAGATTCCAAGATCAATGGCAACGCGATCGATTCCAAAGCTTCAACAACAACGCGCGCAAATCATACACTGCTCGAGTTCCATTGCAACACAACAAGTACGTTCAACATTGCAGTCTTTTATTGTCATGGCTTACACATGCAGATTACTATTCTAAAGCTTTCAAATGGTCAACCACTTACAACACAATCACTATGGAAACCCGTAGACAATCACCATGGAAACATGTAGACAAGTAGATAGATAATACTCTTTTTTTATTGATAATAAAGATAAACTATCTATGCATGCGGCTGTTAGCTTCCTTGAGCCAAAGGCCCCAAGTACTGACAGAGATGACCAACGTGAAGGTCGCCACACATCCATCTCCACCTCTCCACACGGGGCACCTTCAGCATGTGTCAAACGAGGTGATTGCAAGTGGGGGGCACTATACAACCAGGTGGAGTTTAAGCCTTTACGAAACATGCGCATTCCCCAGACCCTCTGCACTTCCGGACCATAAGATCCCCGGACCATAGATCTCCCCCATCTATGGCGGCAGCAACCGCATAAGATCTAGTCCCACCAACTGGACATCACAGTATCTCTCCGCAACGTAAAGGCAGGTACCAATGATCCAAGACCGATACAAAGAACTGAAAAGGATTAAAGAAAAAAGAAAACGCCTGCTGCGGATTCTCTTTGCACTTTTTATTTTTCGAACGGCGTTTGAATGTGCGCTCCTCAAAATCACGTGCCGAGATATGATTGTTCATTTGTACACTGAAAAATAGTACGAGCATCATTAGCAGCAGCATTGAAGAGCAGCTTCTTCAACATGAAACAAACGCCATCAAGGTACAACCAATGCTCCAGCATGGTGCTTTGTTCAATTGACCAATCGTTTTAAGCTCTCGGTGTGATTCCTGGAGGCACAAGCCCAGCACACGCATTGATCGGTATATATTCATGCACCTTTTTGGTGATAAACCCCACCAAAACTATGCTCATCATTGTGATAGCAGGAACTTTACAAGGCATGCTTATGATAGAGACCACGCCCCATAATACAATCAGCCAAGGTTGTTGTCAAGAAAAGGTTTTGAAGACAATACACTTTCGGGGCCTTTTGATTATAAACGACGTGCTAGTAACTCGATCAAGGATATCAAGCAACCTGCTCTTACGAATAAAAATTATATCACTGCTCCGATTGTCTCATTATGCTTATGTAAAATGATAATCACGTAATCAGATGACAATGCCAGTATGTATAGCATTGTGCTTGGAGCTATTATTACCATAATACGACGCCACCATATGAATTGTTGTGTGACAATGAAGCGCATGTATTATAGGAAAATGGTGCTAATGTACCTTGGTGATGAATGATTTCATTGTTAAGCATAAAGGATGGAATGAATTCACGATGACCTTTGTTTTTCATACAATGGGGACGAGCACAAACTCATGCGCAATTTCATTTAGCCAATCGGTTGTGGTAGCCGACACCCATTTCCCGCTTGAAATCTCAAGGTACGACACAAGACTTATCATCCGCCACCCCCAACCTCCTTCCTCGACAACACACACACACACACACACTCTCCTTCCTTTCTTACTGCCCGCCTTTGGTATCCCGTGTCATGCTTGCCCCAGGCAGCCAGTCCTCTCCCTTCCCGACACTAATCACCGTACACGATGCTGTCACCGATTCACCAATCTATCGCACCAATGTCGTCCACTGGGACGAGCAACTCGACTTGTTTGAGAAATGGCTCTCGGCATTGTCAACGCATATGAAACATTATATCGAAAAGCTCAACAGTATGTCTATACAGCATCCTCCATTCCAATGCAGTACTCAATTGCGACTTTTTCAGGGTTCAACGCGGACACCTTGGTCATCTGTGACAAGGCTCGACCTCCTCCTAATTTGGATGGTGGGCTTATTGGTATGCTTGAGCGTGATGTTATCCTATGAACCATGTATGTTGATTATCCCGTTTAAACTAGCTTTGCCATTGACTGGGACAGCGTTCAATCGATTGACGATGACATTACAATCCACTATTGCCTGTCAGACTAAATTGGCAAGTCAGCATTACACATGTCCCGAGATATTATCCGCATACTGACTTTATCCTCGTGCCTCTATCCATTAGGCGCTTGAATTGCAAAACAACTTTGTGGAACCATTACATCAACACGCAAAGAATTATCTCAAGGATTTCAAGGTACATGAATGGATGGATACGTGCATGATGGCGTGTGTATTGACCACAACATGGATAGGAATTTCGAAAGCAGCATGATCGTGCCTTGGATCGTTACGAGACTCAGCTCCAAAAGTATGCAGCTCTTAGCAAGAACAAGGATCCCACTGTCATGAGAGATGAAGCCATTCGTTTACATGAAGCACGCAAGGTTTATGTCCACTTGTCTGGTCAACACATGATGCGTGTTGTCAATTTTCGTGGTCTCCTTGCGAATTTATTGGTGGAACGATTCTCGAGCAACATGAAGACCAAGGAAGCATTCGATGAATTATCACATGTTTGGAAGGATCTCAATTCTTCAATTGGGCGATGGAAGCAATGGCTGGTGGATGTAAGTAAAATGGATTTCATTGTGTGTGTGTGTGTGACATGCAGCCTTTTGCTGACAAAGAAATTGGGATGCAGGATCAACAAACTTGCATATATGAATTACGCAAGCTGCAGCAAGTACGGGAGCGAGTGGAAAGTGAATATCTACAACTTATGCAACCGCGTAAGGAATTGAGCGCGTACATGGGATCACCTCTTCCTATCAATGGGTCCAAATCCGCCACCAAACCAAAGACGCAGCCATTTTCAAAATGGGGATACCTGTTTTCTCGTATTTCTCGGCATACTTGGACACGGCGATGGTGTTTTATTTACAATGAGCATTTTGGATGGTGCACCGTGAGCAACAAACCAAGTCGTGCGATGGTCACAGTCGAGGAAAAGATATCGCTTGCTTCTTGTGATGTCAAATTGGTCACGGATACGGATCGACGCTATTGCTTTGAAGTTGTGGTGCGACCCTCACAGTAAGTTTAAATATCCACCCATCCTTATTAGGTTGTCTAATATCGTACTCTAGAACAAGCTATATACTTCAAGCTGAAACGGACGATGAATTGCGCGATTGGATAAGCTGTTTTCAAGGCGCCACGTTATTATACAAATCCAGAAAGCCATCCTCTGCAGGCCATCGAGAAAGCATGGACAACCAATCCCTTGTCGATTCATTTCCTTCGAGCAGCCCATCACCTTCGAGTTCATTCACAGCTGGATCACCTACACGTGTATCGCCCAAATCTCGCTCTACCACCATGATCACAGCACCCAAAGACATTTCAGTCACTTTGAGTGGTACAGCACCCTTATGCCATTTATCAAGAATTGCCCACCCCGATGACATTAGTGGATTGACATCAAAGGCAATGGATGAATCTCAATGGTCGATTGATACAGCATCCGCCATGGTCATGTACAACTCAAACTCGCTTTCCAACTATGATGGCATGTCCTTGATCACGTGTTTGTCGTTAAGCCCGGTATTGGTATGGGAAGCAGCATCCTTGCGAGGCATTTCGGGTACCTATGTACCAAGTACATTATGGGGTGTACCATGGCCAATTCTTGGAACCACGTTGCTTGGAGAACGTAGTGCATCCTTGCCTTCGGTTATTGCAGTTGACAAGACAACAGTGTCATGGCCCTTGTCACGTGATAGTAGCTTGGATATGGCCGTCAATCTCGACAATTACGATTATCCTACCGAGAACATCTTGCTACGACAACTCTTTGGTGGTTTATCACACGATGAAGTGGTCCTTGATGGTAGGTAGCAAGGGAATTTGTCAGCAACTATGCATCCTCATTTCATTTTTTAGTATTCATTGGTCTCTTGAGAAGGCACAACAAGAACATTGTCGATACGCTCAACAGCTTTGATAGCGTGTCTTTGGATTCATTTGATCAAGAGCTCAATTCTCAGCTGGCTCATCTCACAATGGCACCTCCTTCCGAGTATGGTTATGGTTATGCCGGCAAAGCTTTTATCACACAGCACAATCTTTGGTTCTACAGCTTTTCGATGCTTGCCTTTGTGAATACGGTAATGCCATTTACCCATTGTCAAGGCGAATGGCCATAGGCTAATTTTACTCTGAATTTAGGCTGTGATTCGACTCAAATCTATCAAGGATATCCGCGTTGTCAAGGATGGTGCTTCTATCAGCAATCGGGATCATGCATTGATCGTGGATGTCTTGACTGAGAATAACGAATTGACGCCTGTTGCATTGAGCATACCGGAAGAAGATATCAATACAGTTGCCGAGCGATTACGGTTGGCAGTGGATAATGCCAAAAGCGAGAATGTAAGTGTATGAATTCGATCATCTTCCCAATGGCTCAGCTAATGTATCATCATATCATATCATCAGCCCATATCGCTTGCCGAGTTGTATGCAAAGATCACAAGGATATCTCAGCGACACCGTCATCGATCATCCTCTTTACTTTCAGCCGATTCTCTTGGATCACCTGGTGAGACGAGGAGGAAAAAGAAACGACTTTCATTCCGAGCATTGGGTGCATCACGCCCTTCAATTACTTCGAGACGACCTGTGGAAGTGATTACCAATACGGATGAAAAGTTGACCCTTAATATCGCACCTCCAGCACAAGAGCATACAGAAAAACCCGAGATTGTTGTGGATGATTCAGCTGTCATCGTATCATCTCCCGCTCAAGTGGCCTCTGGCAATGGCACATCCGAACAAAACAAGCTTGCTGTTCCTGTTGAACCTGAATCAGAATCGGAACCTGAGCCTGAACCTGTTGATCGTAAGTTACCAAAGCCAACCAACATCTACAAGATGTATCACTAACCATCCTATTATGATAGCTGATGAACTTCCTTCTCATATTACGGCTCCTGATGGTCCAAAGGATTGTGCATGTGACCAACATTTGGACAAGGTGGAAATTGAACACGAGTTTCCCATCTCTGCCAAAAGACTCTATGGGCTCATGTTCAGTGATGAATGCAACGTTACGCCTAAAACGAATGGTGGTGTTTGGGAAGGCAAGACTTCAGGCACTGAGGGTCATGGTAAGAGTTATTAGCATTATTCAGGCACACCTTTTGTATTGATTTGGATGCTTTTAGATTTGAGGGTCACTCCATGGGAGAAAGAAAATGATGAAACCAAACGCACGCTCAAGTACATTATGCCTGTATCTAATCCTATTGGTAAGTGTATTTATTGGGATGATATTAATGGTCATGGATCATACTCACCAAGGCGAATATTAGTGCGTATGAAAGAGGCCGAGGTGGTGGAAACGCAAGTGCTATTGAAAAAGGAAGACTACCTGTAAGTTGTTGCGGTATGGGAGATATGGGTGCAGTGATACTCAATGATGGGAAAAAAGGTGCTATGTTGTGCAGATCTCTACCAAGACAGCGGCTCTGCCATATGCTGATGCGTTTATCCCATCGGTGAGATATTGTATCACGTGGATCGACAAGTCGCGTTGCAAGCTCACGTGTTCTCTTGGCGTTGCTTGGGTCAAGAGTGTCTTTGTCAGAGGTATGGATGAATGGCTTTGTATGTTCAAAGATGGACAAGGAATAACAAATGTATATGTGCTATTAGGTATTGTGACGAGAGCAGCTATGAAGGCTATGGGGGAGAATATGAATGTCTTCCTGCCGGTTATTCAAGAGGCGGCCGATAAGATTGCAGCTGATGTTGAAGCACAACGGCAAACGGCGTCTACTCCAAAGAAAAAGAAGTCGAAAAAGAGGCAATCGCAAGGCGCTCGTCAACCTGCTGATGAATCCAATGAGAATATCGCTGATGAGAGCTCTGTTGACACATCCAGCGTTGAGGAAAGGAAACAACCTACACCACATGCGGCAGAGTCCATACGACGACCCATGACACAATCAAGCCCACCAACACAAATACAGGGATCAAAGACGCCAACTACTCCACAACCCACCAAGCAACCACAATCATCATCCTCTGAAAAATCTCGCAATCAGCTACCACCTGCTATTCTTACGAATGCTATCCAATTACCCAGATCACCCCAACGAGTGAAGAAGCATAAGGAAATTGCCCATCAGCAGCAAAAAGAGCAGCAGCAAAAGAAAGAGCAGCAACAACGACAACAGTCTAAGCAGACATCAAAGCAACGCTATGCTACGAAATATGTACGACGTATTGTGCCTTATCGTGTGGCCATTTTATTATTGGGCTTGATTCTTTCCATCACATGTATTTGGCAAGTTTGGAGGTTTATTTATCGAAGCAATGCCATTGCAGCAGCTTACGAGGGTGGTGGCGGTGTGTTGACAGCAGCTACAAGCGAATCATCATCCACGCGGGAAGTTAAGATGATGTATCTTCGTGATATCGAGCATGGAGTTATCAGCAACAGCTTGCATCCAATGTATGCAGATTCAGAAAGGTACATGAGACAATTATTGTACACGATCATTTCTTTACTTACATATCCCTTCTATTATAGCTTCAGGATGTTTACGGCGGTGAACAACAAGAATAGTGATGATGGCAGTAGTAGGAACACCGACATCACTTACAAATGGTCGAGCCCACGATACCTGCAAGCAGCCATTGATCTTGATTTGAGTCGTGATCGTTTAGCCTCTCTACGCCATGATTTGCTCATGATATTCAAAACGCTTAACAAGATGGACCTTGATCTCCGTGAGAGCGAGTACGTGAATTGGCTGCTGGATAGCCGTGTGCACTGTCATCGATCCATAGAGGCAAGAGACCATCCTTTGCCAGATTGCCATGAAGTCATTTATCAATTAGACACCCTCTTTTACAAAAAGCACAAGGACTCTATGTTTTAGTAGTAATATTTTTACATCCTATTGAATCTAATCTTAATACAATCTACATATACTCTAATGTAAACACTCTATTGCTAGACAATGGATGGTGGGATACATATATCTGTGACAGGATGAATGTGTGTGTGTGTGTGTGTGTGTGTGTGTGAGTGGTGGTTGGTGAGTGCGCAGCGGCGGTGCCAATTTTTCTCTCTTCTATTTTCACGCTGGTTCTCTTGTTTCCACTGACTCTTTTATAATCTCTCTTTGACGGCTCCATGAACCAATTCACTGCACCAGCCGGCCAATCTGAAGCGTTTATGCAAAACATTTATGCCAATGGAGGGCCCAATCTTATGAACATGCCACCCGAAATGCAAACCATGACAGCCCAACAGCTTTCGATTCAGCAACAGCAACTCATGTCTCAGCAACCCCAAGTAAGCATACAAGGAAGAAGCAAGCAAGCAACCCGACGCATGACGCATTAACGTATTGTGTATGACAACAGGTATATGGTCAACCTTTTGGATCCATGGCGGGTGCCGCTGGGATGGAAGCGACGACGTCTCAAGTAATGTCTGGCATGCTTGCAGCTCAACAACAACAACAGCAACGACCTCCCATGATGGCCCCACAACAACAACCTTTTCGACCTGCCAACTTTGCACAACAACAAGCTTGGCTTGCCAAACAACACCAAATGGAGCAGCATCGAAGACAGCTTATGGCTATGCAACAACAGCAACAAATGAAGTCTATGGCTCAGTCTTCCCCAGTAGCTGCAGCAGCAGCAGCATCAGTATCAGGCACCCCATCAACGGCAGCAGCAGCAGCAGCAGCAGTACCACAGCAAATGCCTGGTGCTAATCCAGCAACCATGAATCCTGGTGCAATGCCACCCACCGTGAATCCTCATCCTGGCACACCCAATCCTTCCATGATGACCACTGAAGCTGATAAGGGGAAAGCTGCTCAAAATGATGTGAATGCAAAGCGAGTGGAAACGGTAAGTATCCATGTGGGACATGATGATGATGATGATAGTGATTAAATGGGTTCATTGTTATTAGATATTGATTATGAATCAAGAGTTGATCCGTTTGTGTGTCATTCAACAACAATCCCCACAGGAGCCTGATATTTCACCTTATCAAGCAAGGTTGCAATCGAATCTCACCTATCTTGCTACTATGGCAGATATTTCCATGGTAAAACCAGGAGAGGTATGGCATCTATATTTGTTTCGTTGTTGTGAGTGGATGTAATTTATAACATACGATCATTATAGGAACCAAGAACACCTAATCCACCCGACTTGTCACCCTTACCTGCACCCAATTCCGATATTGCAAGGAAGATTCATGCACTTCTCAACACAGCACAAGTGATTTTCAAGAATGATACCGAGGCTAATAAACAGCAACAACAGCCAAATCGTAGTAATCCCGAGTCAACAACACCTTCTACAACGCCTGCTGCTGCTGCTGCATCTTCACCTTATTCCCAACCACAAAATGTGCAAAATTCACCTATTCAACAACAACAACAACAACAAGGAATGCGGAGCACTCCACCTTCTCAACCACAAACTCCTCAACAACAACCACAAACACCACAGCAAATGATGCGTGCAGCACAACAACAACAACAACAAGCATCACCAAGTCAACATCATCCATCTCCACAACAACAACAACAACAACAACAATTTTATAATGGAGCCAATATGTCTATGGCAGGATCACCCGCTGTGAGGAACCAAATGATGGATCCACAAACCATTCTTCAACAACAATTACGGCAACAGCAACAACAAAGACAACGCATGATGATGGCTGCAAGTGGGGCTGGTGGTGCAGGAGGAGATATGATGATGAACAATGATGGCAGCTATACCCCTGGCAGTTCAATGGTCCAATCTGGTTCTCCCATGTCACAATCGTTGGATGGATTATCACCTAGCATGACATCCAATCCTGGTAGTATGCCTCCATCGATGCCTGGTTCCATGAATCCAAATGATTTGATGATGAATGGTGGTGCTGGTGGTGGTGGTGGCGTGAGTGCAGCTGGTGGTATGATCAATCCCGCCATGGTCATGAACAATGCTGGTAATATGAACAACATGATGGCAGCAGCAGCAGCAGCTGGGATGTACAATGGAAGTCCAGGCAGTGCTGGTGGTGGTAGTAATGCTGGAGGCGAGGATATGAGCAACTATCAAAACGTGGTCATGATGATGCAACGGTTACAACAGCAACAGCAACAACAACAGCAACAACAACGGGAATTTGAAGATGCATTTGCCAACCAGCAACAGTCGTAAATTATCATCACCACCCACTTGACAACATTTTCATTTACCCCCCCCCAACCCCACATCCACATTTTCTCATTCACCCCTCAAACCCCTCATTGTATGAAAAAAGTTTTCTGATTACATAAAAGGTTCAGCGATCCATCAAAAAGAGTGTGTGTGTGTGTGCAAATAAATTACATGCTTTATTTTACTCGATTCAAAACAAAGTGAGAGAGAGAACACAACTTTTTAATAGTGACGAGGAAAAGGAATCTAATTAGGAAGGTAAGAGTGTACAGTGGTGGTAGTGGATTGGGTATGGACATTGCTGCTGTTGTTGTTGTTGTTGTTGAGTCGATTAGCCAAGTTACTTGCGGACGAGGCACTGCGAAGTAAAGGAACATGGTTGGTCTGATGCGTTCCAAACAGGGTATCATGGCTATCACCGCTATATCGTTTTTTGCTCCAATACTTCATGCTAAAAGCACTAGGTGACAAGGTGGAGGGACCAAGCATGGGACGATAAAAGCTTCTGAATCCATTGCTCAAGTGTCCATTCGTAGGCGTGGCATTGTTGCTGCTGCTGCTGCTTGAAGTAAGCGTGGTCGTTCCATTGATTTGAATCGTGACAGTGTCATTGTTGGTCGATGGTTCATTCTCATCAATGTCATTCAAAGGGGGCGCACTACGCGATCGACTCATCCATGCATGAAGGTTGTTATTGTCATGGATATCGATGTCATCGGATGGGGTATGTAGACCAAGGATGCCACCTGTATCTTGCATATTCGTTCTTCTTTTCCTTCCAGATCGCTTATAATAGAGCCACCACAAAAAGAAAGCCATGACAAACATCAAAACCAGTAATACAGTGCTACTATTCGCCAATAAAGGGGAGGAGGACCATAGGTTATCTTTTGTAGATGCATTGTCGAAATCATCATGATCCGTAGCATGTCCACGAGCATCACCCACAAGTGGAATTTGTTTTGCAACATGCATGACCATAGCGCCTAAGGTCCACGAGACTTGGATATCATTAATGGTATCAATGCTTTGAAAAGGTGGATTCCAATTTTTAACCTCGATGCTATCGATGGACTGTTCCAGCAGTTGTGCATCGTCCGAGACATTCAAAGAACCATGGGCAGGATCGGTGATACGTGGAATACCAATGCCATCATGTAGTACATTTACAATCCAAGCTGATTTGAAGCACTGCATTTGTCGATGATGAATCTCGATACTCTCATTGATGTTGTTATCATCATGATGATCCCAGGGACGTGCACAGTATTCAGTTGCCTTTTGTTCATATTCTGCAAAGTCGTATACACCACCCAAGTCCAGGAGATCATGCGACGAATACCAGTATTCGGATATACCAACAAACTTGTTGACAGACCAATCAATCTCAGGGGTATGCACGCCATTGAACAAGCATGGTTTTGTAGGGCAATCAGCATTCTTGTTGAGTAGGGGTGCCGTAGCATCCATGCATTCTGAAAATGATCCCGTGCCGTGTAATGTGAGAGGGATGCTGGTGGATAATGTATCAGTGACGTTGAGTTGGGGTGGAAGGCATGGATCATTGAGATGAAGGGTGCGATGTTCATCCAGCAAATTCTTGTCGGCATTACGCATATATTCGTCCTTAACACGCTCTTCCAAATAGCGTCTACGCGCCTCATTGCTGCCGTAACCCAAAAAGGTGGTTACAAACACGTCGTATTCCACCTGTTGCCCATCCAATGTATGTAAAAGAATCGTACGTAAATCATCGCTGTGTGCTTCTCGTTGATGATGCTCAGGTTCAAAAGCGATTTGTGCACTTGCACCTCCCATATCCAAGAATCCAAATGTATGATGGCTATTGAGCGTATTGGTGACACTCATATCAAATCCACCCATCAAGTAGTTGACTGCCACCCATCCATAAATGCCTTCATCCTCGCCTGAGATCACCCGGATTTGCTTGTCACAATCATCCACTGCAAATGAATAGTTGTCTCGAATATAGCTGCAACTCGCATTCAATACGGCCTGTCGTTCGTCTTCGGGAAGTAATCGCATTCCTGCCGTTGCCATGAGAAACAAGGGTGTATTCGGTTGCTGGGCAACAGGTACCACTTCGGTGGCAAAATCCAGTAGCGGTTTCAAATGCTCGCTCACTTCTTGGGGACGACTTCCATAGGTTGAAATGCCTAATACGAAATTAGTTAGATAGATAGATCCAATCAATAATGCATGAATAATTTCATGTACCTACCAGGTTCTTCACGTCGTGTCCATTTAAGACCTTGAGCATCACCACGCTCTACAACAGGTATCCTTCCTCGTAAATCCACTGGTAATAGAGACGCTTTGGTATGTTCAAAGTCTTCCCAAGAGTACACATACACCCGTGACCCTGACGATCCTGCATCCACGACAACGCCGTAATGGCGATTCTCAGCCCACTTGTCATCGTTGTCGTCGTCGTTGAGTGGCGCCACCAGAGGTTCAAAGGCCGTTTGCCGCTTTCGTAAAACGTGGTCTGTCATTCAAAGACAAGAGAGTACAAGTCAACCAAGATGAAAGCACACAAGATGATGATGAGCAGGAGGAGTGGATAAGGTTCACACTGGGCGCTTTACATGGAACAGGAAAAAGGTTCGCGGACTCCACACCTTGAAATTCTCAACGCCCGGATGAACGGCTCATGGCCACGTGATACTCGCCCTTTTCCCTAAATGTGCCTCTGCTGCTTTGAATAGAAACAATGGCACCATTCTTTGATCAAAATAGAGTAGACCCATGTCTATATTTGTTCCATGTGACACCACTTGTCGATGTTTCCCTTTCTAGTCTATCTTGATATCCTCCTCATATTATCAATGAAAGCGTCTTGTTAGTAGTGATGGTTTATTGTTACAAATGATTAAAGGAAAGAGGTATGTTCTATTTGATTTCGATCGTATAGAGTGGGCCTACTTGTCTTCTTGATGAATAAATGGGTCATTAGACAACGCTAAAGGATCATCATCGTGGGTGAAAAGTGGTGTAAAGGTAGCGTTTTCCTTGACATCATAAATGTGGGTGCTAAATGATGCCCTTCAAAAGCTGGTCACCTGGATAAACTTATTGATGTTGATAGCCACGCCCTTTTGGTAACACATATGGTATCTTGTTGAAGGGAGATGAGAGAAAAGAAAAAAAAACTTGCTGCTTGCTGGTCAATTAAATTGGATGAGAACTTGCTTGTGTGTAAGAATGAGGAGGAGGCCGAATGACTGCTGCAGGTCAACAACGTAAAGGATGAGGGCAAGGCACGCCATAAACAGAAGCACACGTTAGTATCCGCTTTTCAAAGTACTACTTTGGTTGAATTTGAACAACCACTGAAAAGGATAGCCTCAAGTGTATTGTATTGGAGACATTGCTTTGGTGGAAACTTGTTTGTTCATGCACTGCGTATTGTTGAAACTCAGATTGGTAGATCCACGCATTGGACCTTTGCGTCATTGTCGATATCAGCACCCTACAGTAGAAAGCCATTGTACTAAATCCAGCTTTCACCTATCAGGATAGTTAATGCGACCCAACAAGGAGTATGATTCGAATTCACCTTAATGCAGGAAAGAACATCATAATGGTGACTACTATGATGGCAATGAAACATCTATGTATGAATGACGACAATGACCACCGTTTAACGACACGTTTGAAAGAAATGAGGTATGCATAAGACCTCGGACATTTGATCTTGTAAGCAATCAAAATGGTATGATAGAGGCAAGAGATGATGATTATGATGAGTGGCGAAACCATTCTTTTATTGTGTTGATGAATTGCTGTATGATAGGGTGATGGGGCGTATAAGTGTCTGAAGAGCCAAGGTGTAAAATTGTCCATGCATAAATTAGGGCAGGTGATAATAGCCATCATCAAACAATGAAATCAATTAATCACTTTTGTTCCTGCTGAGTACACTCGCATTACAATAATAGGGACTATTTCTTGTCATTGTCAGCAGGCTACTCTTAATGATGGTGGTATGTGTATATGTGTAGCGTATTCGAGTACTCTGTGTAAGCAGCAATGATGATCAGCAATCAAGCTCCACCTTGAATAGTGTTGAATAAAGCCGAATGATGATGGGTTCAAATGTGACATTGCCATTTGGTTCATCAGCGGGGTTGAGTAACAGCTTTAGAGCGTCGCGCGTTATGTGTCCCATACCTGCAACTTTGCTTCCCTGTTCTATATTCTTCTTCAAACTATGGACAACGCTGGACCTTCCGATGCTGACAAGGTAATGCATTATACACGCTCTTCACATACCTCTAATGCGTCTTACAACTATACAGATCCGATTGAAGCGCCTAGCAAAGTTACAACAGCAAGCTGAAGAACAAAAAGCAGCAGCAGCAGCAGCAGCCGAAGCGAACAATGCTGCTACGACGTCCACCACCACACCTGTCAATAACCAAAGCACGGCATCGTCAAAGCCAATCCAGTCATCGACACCAACGCCTCCAGCTAAACCAGTGGCAACACCAACAAATGTATGGATACTATATACATGATGGCTACGCAATATGCTGATCTGCGCACATGCATACATAACCTTATAGCCACCAGCGGCTCCTCCTACTACTACTACTACTACCAGTACACCACCTTCCAAGCCTGTAACGTCACCCACTCCAAAAGCACCTGCAAAGAGCTTCGAAGACTGGCAAAACGAGGTGCTGTCACGTATCCTGCAGGTGACCTTGAACGTGAGTAGTAGATGTTGGGGCTCTTTACAGCATTATCTGACATGGACCTTAGTTGGATACTGTATATAAACAAGGACGATGTGTTTACTTGCATGGATTGGTATCAGAACTCGAGGAGGAAAATGGTAAGTCTTTCATGGATGATGAAAAAGGAGGTGGTGCATTGGGCAGGCAGAGTCAACTAAACACCATGATGATTAGAATCCAAGCCATATCGCCTAAGTGAATCATTACTCGATCGCATTTTGGTTGCACGATTATCGATTGATCCCAATGAGTCCAATGATGAATATCCTGAAGACGTTCGAAACGACTTGCGTGTATTGGATTTTGACTATTTGCTCGCTTGCTGGAAACGTGCACATGAGATCAAGCGCAATACATTGACACGAAGCAAGGTATATTGATCGTATGATATTGAGGAAGCAATTTACTCATGAATACATGTGTATGTAGAACCTTGATCCAGCCGTGCTTCAACAACGTTTGACATTACTCGACAACACCAAAGCCTTGCTTATCTCATACTCTGGTTTGACGATCCAAATGCCAGACATGTTTCCCCAGATTCAAAGGTAAGCGTGGTGGATCTAAAATGTTGCTGAATCAGTCATTCAAACGAGTTATTATGTAGTCCCACACCTTTGGGTCCAGAGCAATTAGTTCCTCGCTTGTTGGCTGAACCAGATACGGCTGAAGGTTTACCAAGTGAATACCTTGTAGAATTGGTGGCAAGATTCGCCGATGATGGATTGGATCAGGTAAACAATAGCAAAAGAAGAGTCTGATCTCGTGCGTTTTATTAAGCCATCCTCAATTAGATCATTGGCTCCGCATTGGTGATCATCTCAAACCGCTTACAAAACATGAATATCTTGGATGATTACAAATCAAGTCTACGGGTATGTGGAATGGGTCATTTGTGAGATGTGAAAAAAGCGACTTACAATGGATACATATAGGCATTGACCAATTTGTGTGAGAACAAGACGATTGCTGGAATGGTAAAAAAAAAAGAACGGGGGATTTGGGAATAGTGTGGATTGACAACAAGTCGTGTATAGATCACCACGCTTCCTGAATTCGATCCGAGCCATGCTGCTGCACATAACATTGAGAGTATTTCACTCCTCGGTCCTTTTCTTAGTCTCACTGCATACCCAGATCGTTCGGTAAGTACGGTAATCATGGATGATGGGGGTAGCCATACTGACTTGTGAATGATAGTCCAAAGTGGCCGAGAACTTTTTCCAAAATGCAGAAGAGCGTTATTCAGCGGACATCGAATCTTGCATGAACGGCATCAGGGCAACTATTCACAACATCCAGGTACATCTAAGAGTGATTTATAGGAGTGCAAATGTATTGATTTGTATTGTAGAGGACCATGTTTGGCGTTATCAACAACATCGTACGATCAAGTCCACAGGCTCGTGAAGCGGTGCTTTCCTACTTTGCCCACATTCTTCAGCTCAATGTTAAACGTGCTCAAATGCAAGTGGATCCATTGACGGTTGCAAGCGAAGGATTTATGCACAACATTGCTGCCATTCTTCTCAGCTTTTGTGAACCGTTTATGGATGTCAAGGCGTCCAAGGTAAGAGTGCTTACCACCACCACCACCACCATGGAGTATGTTATTGACTCACACTTTTTCATGTAGATTGACAAGATCGAACCAACCTACTTTAGAACAAGCCGTCGACTTGATGTCACAGAGGATACCAAGGTCACTGCTGACAAGGAGCAATCTGATCGATACTATAACAGTGGCGAGCCAAAATGTAAGACAATGGGTGATTGATGATGATATGGCTGGGAGAACTCATCCTTTGTGATGTAGCGCACAACTTTATTAGCGACATCTTTTACTTGACATTGGGATTCTATCATTATGGCCCTATTCGATCATTCGTCAACTACAATGAATTCAAACGAGAGCATTCGGAAATGAAACGTCAGATGGATCGCATGGAACAAGATATTGCTCGTATGGGAAATGTAAGTTTTTGTCTTTTGCAAAAGATGATTGTATGCTAAATAATAACATTATAGACACCTATGCAAGATTTTCTCATGCAACGCTTAAAGGTATGGTAAAAGAGGATGGGATGAACTCAACAGCTAACCTTGAATCATAGGCTCGACTTGATTTGATGTCGATGCACAAGTTTGCTTACGAGTCGATGTTGATGGATGAGGAATATTTGTCCGAGACGATGCGATTCTACAACCTTGTCATGTCATGGATGATTCGTACTGTGGATCCTAAGCACCAGCATCCTTGGGCCATGATCACCTTACCACTTCCAAAGGACGTACCCGAAGACTTTGCTATGCTTCCAGAATGGATCATTGAAGATGTGGTGGAGTTTTTCATTTTCCTCGGAAAGTAAGTATTTGTGCGCGTGCGCCGCAGATGGAAAAAGATGGCTGTGATGGGCTCATATTGGTATATGAAGGTACTGTTATCACATGAAGGTTTTCAAGAGCAATTCCCAAGAGGAGCTTGTGACATTTATCATCACTTTCCTTCGCAACACACAATATATCAAGAACCCATATCTGAAAGCAAAGCTTGTGGAGGTAATGCCATACAAGTGACAAACAATGAACAATGACCATTCATTATGTATATATAGATTCTATTTTTCTTCACCTATCCAATTGCCAAGGGCGTACCTGGCGAACTCGAGACAATGCTCAACTCACATCCACTTGCCTTGGATCATTTGATGGTGTCACTGATGACGTTTTATGTTGGTGGGTACAAGCAACAAACGTCATAGTACAACAATATTCCTCATCATGCTTTTTACTTTTACAGAGGTGGAACAAACCGGCACCAGCTCTCAATTTTATGACAAATTCAACATTCGCTACAACATCAGCCATATCATGAAGACCATCTGGGGTCACCCTTCTCATCGTGCCAAGCTAAGAGAGGAGAGCAAGTATGTATATTTACGTTTGCATCATTTTGTTTTTTCAATTGACACTTTTATATAGAAACCATGAGATGTTTACCCGATTTGTCAACATGTTGATGAGCGATGTTACCTATCTTTTGGATGAAAGCTTGAGCAAGCTATCGGAAATCCACCAAATCCAATTGGAAATGGAAGATACAGCTGCTTGGGAGGCACAGCCAGTGGTAAAGTTTTGTGATTACCTTTTATATACGCAAGACAATGAACTCATCATCGTTTTAGCAACAACGACAAGAGCGGGAAGGCAATTTGCGATCTCTTGAACGCCAAGCACAGTCCTATGTCGCATTAGGTAGTGAGACGGTTCACATGTTGCAGTACTTGACGGCTGAGGTGGTTGAGCCATTTATGGTGACGGAGGTGGTGGATCGATTGGCTGCTATGCTTGATTACAATCTTGCTCAGCTTGTGGGACCCAAGTGTACTGAGCTCAAGGTACTAAACGAGGTTGCTGTTGCTGCTGCGTATTGTGCAATGCGATTGACCATGGATGATTTTAGGTGAAGAACCGAGAAAAATACCATTTCCAGCCACGCGTGCTACTTTCAGAAATCATTGACATTTACCTTCATCTCAATTGCCCAACCTTTGTGGAAGCGGTGGCTCGTGATGGTCGATCCTACAAGAAAGAATACTTTTCAAAGGCAGCTTCCATCATGTTGAAGCAACGTTTAAAGCATCCGGATGATGTAGCCGCACTTGAATCCTTTGTCAACAAGGTCGAGGAAGCCATCCAATGCGGTGTTCTCGAGGAAGAAGAACTGGGTGATGTGCCTGATGAATTCTTGGGTAAATGTTTTTTATTCTTGTTATACGATGGCTATGCTTTATTAACAAGGGATGTCATCCACTAGATCCTATTCTTTCCAGCGTGATGGAGGACCCAGTGCTGCTACCAACATCCAATACCATTGTGGATCGCAGTACAATTCGTGCCCATTTGCTTGGTGATACTCGTGATCCATTCAGTCGTGCACCCCTCTCCATGGATATGGTCGAACCCGGTAAGGCTTTTGACATTGACATGAAATCCATTTATACAGTCCTTTAATCATTTTTTGTTGGTATAGCTGATGAGCTCAAGGCAAAGATTCAAGCTTGGAGATTGGAGCAAAAGAGCAAGCGAAATGCAACAAAAGCTGGTGATGATCCCATGGATACTAGTGCATAAAAAGCGTTTTCTGTTTTTTCCACAATGTCGCTCATGATATATAAAATGGGGATTGGGGTTAAAGATGAGGTTACATGTTGGGGAGGGTTGTACAATGGGTGAGAAAGAGAAAGATGGTTTGTGTGTGTGTGGATATGAAGAGGAGTGTGTGGTGGAGGAAGATGTTTGTGTTTACAAGAGGACGCAGCTGAAGGAACGTTTATTGAGTGTCGCTCGAGCGGCTTGTTCAAAGACCTGTGCTACGTCTTGATTCAATTTTGCTGAGCATTCATAATACCCCATGGCTCTAATAGTATCAGCCATGGCCTGGCCCTACACACATGTCGATCACTTTTTTAGTCATCCCATACGCTTGATCCTCCTCCTCATCCTTCACCTTTACCTGTTGATATGATACGGTTGTCATGCCACGCTCTCGTAAAGCTTCCAATGTTTCAGGATCATCTCGCAAATCTCTTTTGCATCCCACTAGGAAGAATGTGCTGGAGCCACAATAGTATTGTACTTCAGGCAACCACTATATTGAGTAACATGTGATTTGCAAAGATAAGCCAAAGGTTCATCATCTCCTTGATACAAGCGCGCGCTCCCTCCACAAACCCCATCACTCTACCTTTTCAGGGACATTGGCCAATGTCTCCGGGTCACTAATGTCGTAAGCAATAAGGATAACGTCCGAGTCAGGATAAGCAAGCATGCGTAGTCGGTCGTACAGCTCTTGCCCTGTTACAAATGATTGTTGTTGGTGAATATACATACATTCGACCCTTGTGCATTATAAAAGATTACCTGCTGTATCCCATAGCTCAAGGTTGACTTGACGACCATCCACATGCGTGGTCTTGACAAATGTGTCAAAGGCAGTTGGCACGTACTTATTATACTCTTTCTTTAGTTGTTGTTTGCCATAGGATCATCGTTGGTGATGATGTTTGATACCTGCTCCACCCTCCCACAAAGAAATAATTACCTCTGTTGGAAACCTGCCCGCGGCATAGACAACGAGTAAGCAAGTCTTGCCACATGCACCGTCTCCTACAATGACGAATCGACGTGAAACTGGTTTTTTGACCATGGAGAAAGAAAATGGAGAGTGTTGTGTCGTGTGTGTGTATAGTTGAGTAGTAAAAGGAAGAGATAAAAAGAGAAGAAAAAAGGACCTGTGTGAACTTGTATGAGTGCGTGTTGGGTGCATCTCTCACTCTCACTCTCTTATGCTAAGCCCTGGATGGGCAAGTATAGCGAGTGAGCAGTATCCAGGCTGAAAATGGAAAACTCGACCAACAGCTGTGGCACAGTGATCTGTTTGTGTATGTGTGTGTGCGCATGTATTCATGTGTTGGATCCCTCAACATTTGACCTCGTATAGCAGCATCATCATTACTGCGCGATCGATGATGCTCCATCCAGCAATATCAAAATCTCTTTTACATTTACGAGACAAGGAAAAGGGCCCCTATGTATATACGCGTCTTCATACAATGAAGGATGGCATGGTTACCTATATGCTGTGCCATCCTTCGAGGGCGTGTCATATGACACACTCCATGAAGTGCAAGTTGCCATCTTTGTGGCTGGCCCACCCGATTTGCCTTTTGCAGAAAACTACACTATGCCTTTTCCTATCACTCCTATTCTTCCTTCTCATTTCCCTTGTTTCGTTCAAGCTGCCTTTTATACTACTTCATGCATGAACGCTCAACATTGCTGGTTTACATGCATTGCGCATTCAAAGAACGATCACCGTGATAATGGCATGACGAAGTTTAATGAGCGATCGACTTATGCAGAAACGCCATGTATCCGACTCCGATTACTCATTTCCCATCAGTGATCTTTCATGCGTCATTTTATACAAGCAGGTAGTACCATTGCTAACATGCCCATGTATGGCTACTAGGATGCAGATTTTTGCTTACCAAACACCAGTATGTGGGTATCATATTTTGTAGTAACGTGTCATCACACACAAACCCTTTATTGGCGATATGGCATGATATTACTATATAAACCCTGTGATGATGAGATAAGCCGCCCTGAACAACAAAAATCTCTTGTCTAACCTGGCTGAGCTGAGACACACCACCCACACTGCTACTACTACTATGAATCAAGGTTCGATCATGGGATAGTTAAAAGTATCTCTTTGAATGATTCATATGAGGGATGATATAAAAGGATTCTATTGATCTTATGATTGGATGTATGAAGAGGGATGCAGTATTCTATATTACATGATGTGTGTATGTGTTGGGGGGGTTGTTCGCTTTATGGGGTATACATGGGTGGGCCTTGCATGATCAATGTTGATGAACTGCTTGAGCCATCTTGGCTTTTTGCACATTCCTGGTAGGGTGGTAATCTTGCATCTTGATCTTGACGTCCATCAATGACGCGTATGTCGGTTCCAAATCGGATGGTCTTGGTATACCTCCTCATGTAGCGCCTATTGTCATCATTTTTGCATTTGACCACTGCAGGGAAACTCAGCAGCATGGATACAATCACGTGATGGTCCATTGCAAATTGATCGTGAAATTGAGTTGAAGGGACCAAATGCTCCGGTACCTGATACGCTAATCGGAACGATCGGGGATGGCTACCTAATCTGAGCGGAGGTGCCATTGTATGATGTTGTTGATGTCCAGATGGATCCAATTGTACCCATCGAATAGGCAGCAATAAATGTTTGCTTAATTTTTGTGTAGAGACACGTCGTCGTTCGATCCATTCAATGTAAACTTGCTCAAGCCACATGCCTTGTAAATGAGGTGCCATCTGCAACAGGATGCCCATTGTCTTGCCTGCCGTAATAGAACGATGCTCAAAAGCAATCCGATACTGGCACCAGGTTGTCGTTTGTTTAAGAGAGTCGATGCCATGATTGTGATACAATAGTGATGCGGATGAGGGTGCTGCAATCAATCGTACAGGTATTGTGCAAGCGGTGTTTCGAATACGTTTCCGCGACAGCCATTGTGGTTTGCTGCTGGTAATGGAGGTGGTAGAATTTGAAGTGGAGGTGCTAATACGATTATAATGCATGGTAGCTCGCAAGCTGTATTGGATATCAAGTTCAGGGCATTGTATGGTTGCAGGTAGATGGCTAGGCAATATTGATTCAAAGGTACATTGCGTAGTGCCTGGTGAGATCAGCAAGTCGGGTGCTGTATCGGCATCGGTATTATTGCTGGTGGTGCTAACTGGATACAACAAGACCGGATGACGAGCAATTTGTTTTCTTTCTCCCTTGAGTGGTCGATCACCATCTACATTTTCAATCATATTAATAAAAGCTGTTGCAAGTGAATGATATGAGCAAGGATCACACACACACACCTGCTATGATGTATTGGAATCCTTCAAAGAGTAGTTCCAATGATTGGATGGTATATGATTTTCGACATGTGATGCTGACCGATCCTCGAAGCACACCACCATTGCCACCATCAACTGGTAAACGAATGTCAGGTTCCAGTAAACGAATATCAATCAAGGGGCCTTTGTCAAAATCCATCAGGGGAAGAAAAAGGGAGTATGAAATTGTCAATTTAGAAAGAGAGAGAAAGAGAAAGAGTGAAACCAACGAGGAGGACAACCGCGCCTTTACTGAATTAAAAGAAAAAGGGCCTTAGATTGTCGGTTAATCATAATTTGTTGCAGCTGTGCTTGTAGCGGAATGCGGCTCTAGGTTTTTGCAAAGAAGTCTAGCTGGGTTGATGTATTACAGCATTGACAGAATGAACTCTAAAAGGCGAGGTTTCAGTTTCATTTATGTTGAAAATAAGGAGAGGTGTGGAGAGTGGGTATATAGTCTGTGCGAAATGACACTATTATGTATGCCTCTATAACAAATGGGTAGTCGCATTATTGTAGTATCCGCATGCAACTTTCCTTTTGCGGACAAAGAACAAAGGTTGGGCTCGTGCACTCTCTTCTTTCTTCACTTTTATATTTTGTTACACCACATTTGGTCCAAAGGAAACATGCCTTATGCAAGAACAAACCTTGAAGACACCTATGGAGAAGACTATGCCGACCTCGACAGCATCCTCGAACATGATGGCCGTTTCACTCCTGGCTCAAACCACTCATTACGCCGCCAAGGTTATCGCATTAGTTTCCGAAGCATCGACGATGAGGAATTGCAGCGTGTTATGCGCTCGCTCACCACACCTGTTCCTTCAACAAGGCAAACGAATCACCATGACGACGATCTGCAACAATACAAACAACGGCCTGACGATGCCCATTCGCTGAAAAGCGGTTCTTCGAGAGGATACCACGACCGCAGTGAGAGTGTCATGTTGTTTCGAAAGCTTAATAGAGGTATAGAACTCGAGTGAATAGGCAAAACGAGAGGGTACTAATGGGTATAATAACAATAGGTGATGACGAAGTATCCTTGGACCTTGTGTCAAGTGAGCTCAAAGACTTTATTGATCCTTCGTTACTTGAGGATACAATGTCACGGCCTGCCAGTCGTACGCCGAGGTAAGATGCAATTGTATTATCGCCTGCATGAATGTTCTCTATATACGAGCCACTTACTGTTTTTTCTTGTTTCCAATGTAGTACACCAAAGAAGCCCTATGATGAATCATTTGAGCAACAACAGGAACAGCATCTCAAACAACAACAACAACAACAACAACAACCACGCCAACCACAGCAACAACATCTTAGACAGCCTTCGATTCGAAATGATCGTAAACATTCACTCGATGCACGCTTAGTGAACAACAATAGCCGTCAAAGTATGATTGATAGACGACGTTCAGTGGCTGTTGTGGAGAGCGAGGATGGCAAAGAGGGTCGCATGAATGCAATGCTCAACAAGTCAGCTCGCAAAACAGAGGAACTTTTACAAGCTATTCGTCGCACATCCTTTATCCGAGACTCTTCCGAACCGGTCAATCATGCGCCTAAACACTACACCTCGTTACGTACCAACCCAACAACAACAACAGCCGCGAATTTGAATAAGCGACAAAGCATGGATCTTGAAGTGCTTTTGGCATTGAAAAAGGACACGGACGCTATTCTTGAACGTAGAGCATCCCTTTTATCCAAAGCACGACCCAATAATCGACCTATTATCAATGATGGAGATGATGATCCTCACCAAATGCGTCGAGGTAGCACCAATGGAGGAGAACAAAATACTAGCTTTGAACATCGATATCATCATCAACAGCCTCGCATGAGATCTACTCCAAGAAGCAAACTATCCAGCAGCGACGATGATGCAGCAGTTGTTAGAGATCAAATGACATCGACACTTAGCAGCAACACGACCACCACAACATCTTCAGATACATCTTCCGCTTCTTCGTCAAGACGTGTACGCACTGTATCCATGCCAGAAAAACATCGACTTTTATCATCAAAAACAAACGAATTGCCTTTTGAGGAACCTGTGGTCAATCTACGATCACGTGCCAGTCGCAATATGATGATCCGTAATCGTGAAAGCCGGCCCTCACCTTCATCGTCTTCAATCACCTTGTCTCGCGTATCTGATAGTTTACCTGAAACACCACCTGAATCGGTTGTTGAGGAAATCAAACCTTATAGCAGCAACACCTCTTCTTTCATCAATAATACCAGCACAACTTCCACCACCAATGCACGATCATCATCATCTTATCGATCAAGTAGAAGGGTTACTGTATGCGATCCTGCTGTCCCAAACCTGAATCAACAACAATCTTTGCCACGTACAACTCGCAATAGATCAAGCACATTATATGATGATCAGCCCACAGCATCATTACGATCCAGCAGAAGGAACACTGTTTCATCGGCTCGTCCCAATCACCAGGTAACAAGGTTTCTCATACATGACGTGGTGGCCACCATATACTGATGGGATGTTATCATAGATACCAGAAACAACCGAAGAAGAACCATCCGTAGCTGAAATGGCGAATGATATTTTGACAAGCATTCGACAACGTCATTCAACAACAACAACAACACCGAGATCCAGCACAGCACGAGTAGCCACCACTAGAGAACGAAGCTCCACATTATCCTCAGGATCATCACCATCTCGCTATAGTAGCAGTGTTCGATCACGACGAATGACTGTATCCGGAAATGATAGTATCCATGACGACGACAATGAAGATTACGGCTTGAAATTATCCAGCAACAGTGCAACAAGACGATATAGCAGCCGGCCATCACAACATCATCAAAGCACAGTACTCTACAGGTTGCCCCATACCAGACATAGGGAATCTTTTGCTTAACTTTCATCCATTCATCCATCCCACCACCATCATCATCATCATCCCTTTATCTAAACGTTTCTCCTTTTGCTTTATACCTTACACTTTTGCGCAAGTATATATATGTAATACATAAAACATATCGATCCAATATCTACATTGTGAGAAAAAAGAAGCACAATTTATTCCGCCCTTCCATCCATCCTACTAGACCGAGATAGCTACAAGCGAGGGCAGTGGGGGAGGGGATCCACACAATACCTAATTACTTTTCTCTTCCTGACAGGGTAAAAGAAAACAAAAGCAACTAGGAGGGCAAACTTGGGTTTGGGTTTGAGTCAAGAATCACCGCCACCACCACCGAGGAGACACATTTCCTTGAAAAAGATCATCCATCGTTACTACAACAAGGACAATCCAAAAGAGAAAAGAGAGCTGCCCATCATCAAAGAGTGTATGTGAGCTGGGTTGTGGAGGGAGTGGATGAGAGAGAAACTGGGTGTGTGTGTGTGAGTGTGTGTGTGCTGCAAGAATGAGAGAGAGACAGAGGACGTGGGGGGAATTGTTGATAAAAGAAAAAGGGAGCCCTGTACACGCTAGACCCTTCTTCTAATATTGGGTGTACGCCTGGCTGGCTTGACTTCGCAAATCGAAATCTTGACTAAGCATGGTCGAGATATCTTGAGACTTGTAATCATCATAGGGATAACCGCCAACTGTATCCTGACTCAATAAGCTATTGTTGCCACCCATTCCTGAACCTCCTTGACTCGATAACTCCGCCATCATACGCAGTCGATCGCTCTGTGACAAGGCAAGACCAATGGATGTTTGGCTGCTGTACATGTTTTGTGAGGGACCACCACCATTACCACCACCTGCTGCTGCTGCAGCAGCCGCTGCTGAAGCTGATCCACTGGACCAACCAAATCCATGCGTAGCAAATGTCGATGATCCAGGAATGTAACGTGACATGTTGCCTTCGTTGTTGAGACTTTGCTTCACATTCTTGCGGTTGAACACACTCGATTGTGACAAATCTTGCGTAAATGGACCACTAGCAGAAGGAATAAAGGGAATGCTGAATTGCGATGATGGCAAGGAACCAATTTCCGAAGGAATATAACCAACAGGATCGTGCGTTGCCATGTAATCTTGGCCATAGGCACGTGCACCACGGCGATCTAAAATCATGCAACGTAAGTAACTACCTATAAACACTAAAAGTGGTGTACTTACTCTCACTTGCAAGGGGTGCCTTGGCAAATGCTTCACGAGCATCAATTTGATGAGCTAATCCTTGACGGAACTTGTCATCCTTGCGGTATTGTTTGCGAGGTCGACTGAATTGGATCATGGAAGCACGCAGGTTGTTCAATGCACCATCCACAAGACAACCCTTTTCCTTGTAATGAACCAAAAGATGATGCCAAAGAGGATGCTATGTGACAACAAAATCAATATCCTATAACCAACACCCATTCGTTCGTTACAACTTACCTTGCTAAGGATCTTGGGATTGCCGAGAATCACCACACCATATTTGGCACGTGTCAAGGCGACATTGAGACGACGAGGATCACTCAAGAAACCAATACCTTGATGTTCATTGCTTCTGACACAGCTGAGAATAATGTAATCCTTTTCACGACCTTGGAAGGCATCCACACTGGCAACTTCAATCTCCTTGTAAAGATCCTTACGCAACGAGCCGTTGAATTGCATGTATTGTACAATGTACGAGCGTTGACCTTCATAGGGCGTTACAACACCAATTTGGGATGGAAGGATACCCGCTTTCATGAAACGAGTGACGATCTTTTCACAGTTGGAAGCTTCAGTGCGGTTGAGATACGATGTGCCCGATGTCGAGATTTCTTCGTTTCCCAAGTTGACATAAAACATCATGGGTGTCTCAGGTGCAGGCCAAGGGAAATCAACATTCTTACGCAAGCGTTCCTGAGTCGTGATACCATTTTGGAGGGTGCCTTCGTAAAACATGTTGCTAGGAAACTCCGAAAGGCATGGATGCATACGGTATTGCACTTGCAAACGAATGGGACGCAAACCAAGAATAACAAGACGCTCAAACAAGGATTGGCAAAGACCTGCACGAGCTGCCTTTTTGTTCATAATGACAGGACCCAATTGTTGATGGTCACCAACAAGGACAGCTTGCTTACTGCCAAGAACAAGGGGAATCATACACTCAGGCTCGGATGCTTGGGTTGCTTCATCGATAAGCACTGTACGGAAACGCAACTTGGCAACACGTGGATCACCAGCACCAACACAAGTACAACAAATCACATCCGCATTCTAGATCAAAATCATCGTATAAGTACATGGATATCTCTATAAAGATCTCTGTTTTCTTTTACCTGTAATAATTCCTTTTCGCATGATCTCTTGAGCGACTTGTACTTCTTTTCATCGGATGCGCTTAATTCACCTTGTTCACGCTTCAACAGGATCAATTTTTGTAACTCCACATTGGTATCCATGTTGCGAACTTGTTCATGAAGCGTCAAAAAGGATACGGGTGAATCAAGTTCTTCACGAGACTTGGCAGTGAGACGCACAACCTTGAGACCGGTTTGATGAATCTTCTCAGCAAGTTGATCCACAGCAACATTGGAAGGTGCGCACACAAGCACTTGGCCAGGGTTCATCTTGGCAAGGTGATACACAATGGATGCTGAAGTGACAGTCTTGCCGGTACCAGGAGGACCTTGAATCAAACTAAGCGGCTTTTGCAATACGGACTTGACAGCATAGACTTGGGAATGGTTCAATTCAGGAAGGTTGGGTGCTGAGAACCTGTTGTTCGTTGCATAATGAATAAGACATCATTTCTTTATATCCAATCATCATCATCATCATTACTTACCGCTTGGGCATTTGCGTCTTGAGCACTTGGGGTTCCACATCATGACCCAACAAACGATGGTAAATGTAACCACTCACACTTGTCTCATCCACAGCAAATGTCTTCATGGCACTTTGCATACGATCAAAGCTGGTCGATTTCCAAACAAAATCCACTGAAAAGTTGTGGGTGCATTCAACTGGTACTTTGTTGTTTCTACGCAATTCCAAGGCAACTTCATCACTGACATCTAAAAATACATATACCCAAATCAGAGACAAAGAATACCCAAGGGGGTTGTTGTTGTTGTTGATGAACTTACTGTTGGGGATCTTGATGACATGACCGGTAGCTTCCCAAGGATCATGTAATTCACCACGATAGCGTAGACGCAATTCATCACCCACAGCCAATTTGACTTCACCCATTTCAAGCTTGGGGAAATAAAACCATGCAATGTTCTTTTGATTCAAACCAACGTCCCAGCGCACGACCACATCATCACACGTCTATTATTCACGATGATCAGTGATCATGTTCCATCATTCCCTGGGTATCCATCCACTTTTTATATACCTGTGATTCCTTGAGCTTCTTGTCATAGTCAGCCTCCATCTTGACGAGAGGACCGAGAATGTTCTGATATTGATAAGCATCCTCATATCTGCGTTTTAAAAAGTGACACATGAGCATACCAACCAATCGCATACCAAAGCAGGTACACAATACATACCGTAACAAGACTGGGTGAGGTTCATCATCGACACCAGGTTTCTCAAGATCCTCCAAGGTAGCTTCACTGTTATCCTTCCAAAGCTCTTCCAACTTGTTGATTTGCTGCGAAGTGATTTGACGGGCACGGAGCTGTTCTTGTTCAGAAGGAATCTTGACGAGCCAAGTAAGGAAGCAACGATCATCAATCAATGGCATCCATTGCGAAGTATCCCAATTCATATCCTTTGACGATGGCACTGCAGCACATGGTTGTCTAATGGAAACAACAACAATGAATATCTTCTCCCATAGTTTCATCCTCCCTCCTTTTTCCATTTACCTGCATAGCAACACAACCACCGTATCACTCTTTGCAGGAATAAAGCCGAGTAAAAAGACGTTGCGACATCCACAATTGTAACACTCGAGCACTGTTTCACCTAGTGGCGACTCTGGGTGCAACATGACCTCCTTGTGTTTGGCACGCACCAAGTGGTTGATTATGTGCGATCCTGAAGTATTGCCACGGGAATTGCAAAACCAACGACTGCAAGCAACACACTTGACGACCGATGCTGGCGAATGGATGCCGCAGTAATTGCATGCGTGAGGTGGAAGGTTCTTTTCTTCTTCTTCGTCGACCACTTCGCCATTGACTTCACCAAAGTTATCAAAGTCGTCCGTCTCTTCAAATTGGAAATCGAATCCGTTGCTCTTGGTGGTGGTGGTAGCTGCTGTCGATGTGGTGGGTGATGCCTTTTCAATGCTGTTATTGTCCAATGACAAGGAAGCTAACGACAAGCTGGGATCGTGATGAAGGTCGGCCGTCTTGGGTTGAGTAAAGTCATTGTAGTCGTATTGCGACGATTGCGTGTCTGCTGAATACTCCAAGTAGGTGAAATCGTCCTGGGAGTTGACTTCAAAGTGATCCATAAGTAGTTGGGAATGAAATGACGACTTTGAGATCAGAAAAGGAGGGAAAAAAGAAAAATAGGCCTTTTACGTTGCACGAGCGACCCGGTCTTATCGCTGCGGCGGCGGCGGCGGCGGCTACGGCGAGTGGCAACCACCAACCCACCATCCCCAGCAGCAGCCAGCAGTGATAGTATTAATTGTATAGATTATATATCCTTTAATGATAATGCACAATAAAAGAGACGATGATGAAGGGGATAAGGAGGAGTACATATGGGATAAGTGATGCTTAAACCTTTTCCTTTTCACTATTGCTGTTGGTGGCGATATTAGAGGATTCCTCTTCAGTGGCGATGAGCTCACGTAACATCTCGCTCACGGTAGGTAACTTGTTCAATTGTGCTTGCAGATCACGACGTTCTTCCTTTGCTTCTTTACTAGAAGATTCCAATGATTGCTGTAGCTGCTCACGTTTTGTATCCACAGCTTCAACACGTTGCTTGAATTGGTAAAACAAGATCTCTGCTCTTTGAAGCGTCTCTTGAACATTGATGCCCATAGAAAGGTCATTGATATACTACATACAAAACTTGTCAATACCAATTTCAACTGCTATTCTCAATAAACCTTTACCTTGATAATCTCATCAAATGATCGAAGGTAATCGATGATGGAGTCTCGATGCTAATGTGGTGGAACATGTAAAATGAGTATTGATGTTACTTGGACAAAGTAGCAACCGTATAGCCTACCTGATCAAGGATTGCCAATGCAACAAAAAACATAAACTTGTCGGTAAGATAGTCGCTCCACAAGACTTCCCACATGGTCAAGGTATCATCCCATGAAAGCTCTCTCTTAAACCATACAAGGAACCATCGGAAGCAGAAAAAGAGATTGTCGCTGTCCGCACGCTGGAAGTGCTTGTATAAGCTTGGGTCCATGAATTGCAAAAGGGTATCCATTATCAGCAATTGTCGATGCATCCCTGATTGATCCATATAAAAGTTGGACTTCTACAAAGGGTAGAATTAGTCAATGTAATCAACATGGCTCCATATGAAATAGCACATACAGTACGGTTCATGAAACCAACAAAGGCTTGAAATACGAGATCATCTTGGATCACCATGTAAAGTGGAGACAAAAGGTCTGACATGCCTTGGACATAGCCTATACTACACCATATTAGTGAGTTGTTCTTGCAATGATCAAACGAAAGCACTTGCCAAGGTCTGTATTGTACATGTTGTATGTACACAAGAGCTCTTTGAGCTTTTCCAGGTTCTCATTGGTGCCGACATGCATGGTGACATCGGGATTGGGCATATCTTCTTTGGCATAGAATGGCACTGTACGATCCGTTCGATGGACATCTTTGTCTTTTAACGACATGTTAGTAAGGTTCCACCAAATACAAATGATGATCACGAAACATACCTATCCTGTGCTTTTGATCTTGAAACTTTGCACTTTCCTTGACCTCTGGATCATCCAACCATTTGCTTCTTAGCTCTCGATATGATTGTCTAGATACAAATATCATTTAGTTTGACAACGTATGAAAATAAATGGATGTATTTTACCTGTATTGTTCAGCCAATCGCTCTCGCTCATCCGCTGTCGAATTCCATGGGAAGACATCTGTAAGGAACAACCACGCCTCTCTTCGAATACTTGGATCAAGGCCACCACAAAAGATACGCTTGCGGATATAGGGTTCGCCTACAGATAATCTGCCTTGATCATCGAAAAACGATCGCCATTCAGCCTCTGAGATGGGTTGCGTGCGAGTGTGAGTAGGGATAGAAAAGTCGTTTTCATTCTACATATGAATATCATGGGTGGTGTCAATAAGATGTATTCGTTATCATAAAGGAACCTTACATTCAACACTTCAAAGACACCCAAGGCAGTTTCTTCTTCCCAACCATGGCCCCAGATGCCCACATGTCGATAGCGTCTCTCGATAGGCGTATCTTGATCCGAACGAGCTGCTAGTCCCGCTGCCCATTTAGCAAGATAAATGCGTGCCGAGTCATAGTCGTCTGTTGTAGCACGCACAGCATCCGTGTTGAGGGCTTCTTGTAAACGGGGAGGAAGGTTGCGTGTAAATTGACGAGACGCAGGATGATTCAAGACACCGGCTGATGATGGACCCGATCCATAGGTTAATGATACATGTCATCTGTCACTTGTTGTTTCCTTTGTTTACCTGCAGCATCACGAGAGAACTTTGTGATTCGTGAGAGCTTTTCCAATGCATTCCACCGAAACTCTTTCCATGTCTGGACATGTCAGGGTTTACCATAGGTAAGTATATCATTCCCACAATTAAACCACACCCCTGTCATCATCACTTACCGCCATCCAAGGATCCATTTGGGTCGAATCGAATACTGAAGTATCATAAGCATGCTGCTTTTTGGCTGTTGTTGTTGTTGTTGCTGTTGATGATGCTTTTCTTTCACCCACAAGATACAAATGGGCATCATTCTCGGATCTGAAAATAGAATGTTAGGCTATGTATCTTGCATGGATCGAAACATTAAAGACACATACCGAGTCACTTGAGTCAACTGACATAGCCTGTGCATAAACTCATCGCCACCCCAACGGACCTGACAATCGGTACCTTGATCATCGCTAAACTTGCCACCTTGTGTATTCTTTTGAAGCACCGTGCTGCGACTTTCATCATCGTGGAACCATAAGGGTGCTGAAGATGATCCATCCTTAAAGTTAAGCACCACGCTGCCGTACCATTTGGTGAAACAAGGAGGCCGCACAAACACCGAATTGATATTTTCCAGCGGCGACGAGATAGCATAAAGAGAGTATTGATCATGCGGCCTATCCATCAAGGAAGGAATCATGACGGTCGAACCTGAAGAAGCAATGCTCGCTTAACACCAATGATGACAACATCCATGATCCTCGATTTTTATACTAACCTTCTTCCTCCTCAGGATTGTTATCCACTTGAACAAACGCTTCCATATCCTTGGAGAGTATAAGTGCTTCAGGTGTCCAAGCGATCAAATACTCATGAGGTGCCTATATCAAGTTGTAAGTATCAGGGTGTATGTATAGAAGAAGAACCTACCTTTTCGACAATCGAGATATAGCCAGGGATAAAGTCGCTCACTTTTGTTGAGGGGTGCACATAGACTTTTGATTTCGAATAAAGCAGCTTGACTGGAATCTCGGTGTCTTGCAATGCTGTGCCAAGCTTCGCCGTTGCTGGGTCGCTGGGAACCGTGGTGGTTGTTGCACCAGGATCGTTCACGATCTAAGTCAACATGGGACATTGGTATGGATTGAATACAGAGACCATTGGCGGGTATACATACATCAAAGCTATCTTCAATAGCCATTGGGAAACAAGGGAGGACTGAGTGAGTGAGTGAGTGCGTGTGTGTGTGGTCCGAGCTTGAAAGAAAGCCAAGAACAAGAGGTGGAAGCAGTAGGTAGCGTGACATGCTCACACATTCATGCCCGCTGAGCCCTGACTTGACCAATCGTTTTCTCCCTCACCAGCATCTTAGTGGTTGGTGATGGTTGACATCAACGTAACGTCTTCTCGCCCTTTCACTACAACGGACTCCCATCCGGCTAAGCAATGTTAGTATTATGTCCATAGCCATCCATTCACAAAGGCTATCATCCTCTTATACAATAGCCTATATAAATGATATTGCAATAAAAGTAAAAGAATGAGAAGAGCCATGATAATTGATTCTATTATGACTGGTGGATGGTGTTATGAGGAAAACAATGGTAATGCTAAGTTCTGATGGGTAGAGTCAAGCTTCTTCTTTGTTGGCATGGTCTTCGCCATTTTGAGTTGGCTATGGGGCAACGTTGCTCTCAATGACCCTGCACATTTGTCACGTGGCGGATTAAAGGATACCTGATCTTTGTTGAGTGCAATGGCCAGGTATCCCCTTGAGGCATATGATGGCCTCCATGTCACTTGCTCAAGAAATTCATATAATCGAGCTACCTAGCAACTCCATAGCAACACGCCGTATCATGGCACACTTCCCACGATATCACATCTTTCCCATACCAATAAGAATCACGCCATGTCTTTTATATATCCTTTTATCATAATGAATGGATTAACAAGTGATTAATAGGGCATGCAGCTGGGATGGATGTTACACAGTGAGCAGCGCGTTGGTGTCAGCAAGTCGTTCATTTCTTGTTGGGACCTGGTTCGCTCCTTCCGCACCACCCAATGACTATTTACAACCTGTACATTTTCGATCGGCATTGCCAGTGCATCTATTATCAAAAGTGGCATCATAAAACACCCAGCAACAATGCGACGCCGAGTACGAGCATGAGTCAAACAGGGCATAATACAACCACCATGGGTAGCAGCAGTCGTTTGGGTGGTCTGACGACCTCATCATCAAGGTTTTCAGCATCAAGCCCGGGATCATCTGCTTTGGACCATCACAGTGGAGGTAGTGGAACAGGAACGACGGCTGGTGGTGGTGGTCCTGCATCATCCATGACACGTAGTGGAGACGACCGGCTATTGCAGACACAACCTAGTGGATTGGCAGCGGGTAGCGTGATGTCCATTGAAGAAGAGGCCAAACTCGTCTATGGTGTTGTATTTTCATTGCGTAACTTTGTGAGGAAATTGAGTGCAGAGTAAGTAGTATGAGGGATATGAGGGATGGTATCATTTGGGCTGACACGCTCCTTCTTTTGACAAGCCAAGATGAATTTATTTCGTATCGAACATCCACTTATCGATTGCACTATTATGAAACGCCTACTGGACTCAAGTTTGTCATGAATTCGGATGCCAATACGGAATCATTGCGTGCCGTGCTCAAGCAAATCTATGTACAACTCTACGTGGATTTCGTCGTCAAGAATGGATTGATGAAGTTTGAAGATACACGCTGGGAGATTAGTCAAGGTGTTCTTCCTCCCGATCAACAACAACAGCAACAACAACAAGGATCGATGAATGATATGAGTACAAGTGGTAATGGAACAGCTCGTCCTTCGGCACCTCCCCCTGGTAATATTTGCAATGAGCTATTCAGGATAGCTGTCGATCGTTTTATTCGAAGCCTGCCAGTATTTGAATAATCTTATCCTATTCTTTACGCTTGTATTCAAATGATCATACCCTATTATGCAAATGAATAGAGATGTTGTAGTATCAAAAGTGGGGTGGATCAATCATTGGATGTAAATGTGGATGGCAAGGGATGTTCGAGTGACTTGGGGGATGATAAATAAGCGGTTGTGCTTTGTGAGAGAGACGAGTCAATGGCTTTGAGAATACAAGGATGAATCACTTTTACAAAGGATTTATTATGACATGCATGAAAGGCGGGGTGGTAAATAAGAGCGTCGTGATGAGAGCGGAATGGCGATCCTTTACCCGTTTTCCGGTACTTTCTTTATCAACACGTCCAATGGAGACAATATCCGACACTTGGATTCGCAATGCTTCGATTGAGGATTTGAAGGAGCGTTCTAACGGTTTCTTTGACGAGTTGAAAAAGCTCATTGCCGAATCAGCGAAATGGCCCACGCTCTCTCACCACACCAGTAGCGATGGCACCAAGACAACGGTACGACGTCGACCTCAATGTGGCAACCCGTGGTTTCTACAACGATCCAGCATAGTGACCAGTGTCAGTTATGCAGACTTGCGTAGTGTTCTTTTTACGCACCATTCGTTGCAGGAGCCAAAATACATTGAGCTTATGCAGGATGCACGTGAACTATGGGCTCTATCTACTTCGGTCATTGAGGAAGATGCAATAGGCGTATATCAGCTCAATTATAAAGCGACATTGGCATCAGGACGCGAGTTTGTGGAAATGGTTGTTGTACGTGAAACCCATGTTGATGACGAACAGGAGGAGGATCAAGAACAAGGAGAAAATGAGGATTACCAACAAAGACGACGTGCATTTATGATTGTATCGAAACCTGTATCCGATGTAACAGAACCTGTACGACCTGGATTTGTACGAGGCAAATACGAAGCATGGGAGTATGTGGAGGAATTGGAGAATGGGGCGGTGCAATGGACATGTATTCAGCGCTCGGAGCCTGGTGGATGGGTGCCAAAGTGCATCGCTGACAGAGTTACTGCAAAGGCGTTACCACAAGATGTATCTTCAGTCATCGAGTATTGCAAACACAAGCAAAGAGATCAAGTAGCTTAATTACGTAGTATCATTATCGATCCCTTGCTCCTCCACCATTTGCTTACACTATTATCCCCACCACACTATGTAATTGCTTGCATCAACAATATCCCCACACTCATTTTCATTTTCTCACAGCAAAACAAAAATATCATCTTTTGGATCAAACGAATTTACAATGTGCTATTCTTACAAGATATTTGATACAATACATTTATGGTATGAAGGGGGATAGGATTACATGTCATACACAGCATGGGACCCGCATGCTGTATATACAGGCTTGACTTGAGCGTTAGCAGGAAGAGCCAAAGTGCTCTTGATAGGCTTAGCATTGGTGCTGTTTCCTTTTTCAGCATCGACATCAGCAGTGGAATCCGAGTAAGTGGCAACAGCATGACCAATGGCTCTTGCGTGCAATAAGAAGAAATCATGGTTAAGGTTGTCTACGGTGTCTCCTGCTGCATGGTAGTTCTCATCATAGGCAACACCAGCTTGGCCACCATATTGCTTAGCCTCTTCCTCAGTCATGATACCTTCAGCACCAGTAAAAGTACCACCACTTGGAATACCAGCTTCCTATAGTATTACATGTATATGTGTAAATAAGCAAAGTACTTGAAAATCAATAAAGAAGCAGCAACTTACAATGAAGGGACCATAGTCACTTCTGCCATTGAATTCGGATGGGGTTGAATAACCATGGTGCTCCTTGAAAAAGTCAACGAAGATTTTCTCAATAGCAGTGGATCCAGCAGGAGCATCAACACCTTCTGCCGAGGCACTTGGGCTGTATACACCATTGATAGCGTTAGGGCTTGCAACCATATCAAAGTTGAGATACAATGCAATGTTGTTCTTTTCTTCTTCAGAGAGGTTCTTGACATAGTGCTCAGCACCAAGCAAGCCGAATTCTATTAATGATATGAAGAATTAGCAACACACGTACATTAAACGAGCAAATGATATGAATTACATGCCTTCAGCAGTCCACCAGCAGAATCTGACGCTATTTTTTGGCTTCACATTGCGGAAGAGGTGAGCCACCTCCAACAAGGCAGCTGATCCTGAACCGTTGTCATTGATACCAGGGCCAGCAACAACGCTATCCGAATGAGCACCCACCACGATCACGTTCTTCTTGTTACCACTCTAAAAAGTACCCTGGTGTGTGAATATCCATGCAAATGGGGGATCACATGTGCATGCATAATAATAATATAATTACCTTTGTTTGTGCACAAACATTGGCGGTGCTGCGCTCCTCGTGGAATTCAACGAGGGTCAATTTGAGAGTAACTTTGCCTTCTGAAGCTAGCTTTTTTAAGAGTTCACCATGCTCTTTGGAAATACCACCAGCAGGTGCTGCGCCTTTAACAGGACCACCCAAGGTACCATTGACATCACCTTCCTCATTGTTGTATACGAGGACACCCACTGCACCTGCTTTGCCGGCCAAAGTTGCTTTATCACCAAAGGCACATTCACCTCGCACGACCAACGCAATCTTGCCCTTGACGTCTTCACCATAATCTTCAGCCTTGCAGCCATTATTAGGGATCACAGCGACTTCACCAGTGACGCCCTCTTCAGGTGTGCTGGAGCTGTAAGTCATAAGCTTGACCTTGATTTCATCTTGGCTTGAAGAAGCAGAAGGGTCCGCAAACTCGACCGTTTCCTTGACCGTTTCGGTATAATTGAAAGTAGCGGCTAACCCAAAAAAAAAGTGTACATCATGTGAGTGAGACATTTTGATGCGAGTTACAGTATTGAGCCAATATACTTACGTTGCACGGTCACATCATAGTAGGGTTTGGTTTGATCCACAAAGTATTGGATGGTTTCATTATGGCCCTTGGATCCAAAAACTCGATTACCACCATTGGCATCAGCGAACGATTGGAACTTGTCAGTGTGCCGGGTCAAGCCTTTGATAGTCAATCGGTTGTATAATTGCTTTGACAATGCATGTGCAGGTGGACCACGCTCTTCAACAGGGGCAGCCAATGCACCCAAGGCAGCCAAGCTCACTGCAAATAGAGATGGGACAAATTTCATTATGAATGTATGTAAAGAAAAAGAGGGATGATTTACGACAATCGTATCCTACACATCCATTGTAGAAGAGGAGCTTATATAAGAGTTACAAGAAGCTCAGCATTATCCAATGCAACATTAGACAACAGCAACAGCCCAACCCCAATACAGAATTACATTCCTTTTCTTGCCATCATCAACACTATCATTATCTGTCATACCGAAAACAAGAGTTGAAACAAGCTCATGATGATCGTTTCCACGGTCTGGGTTGTAGGTTTTTCTTTGTTAAAAAGGCAACAATGGACAAATTCGACATCTAGCTTTAATGCAAGAGGGTGTACCTTGTTGCACAAACCGGTACATTCCACAAGATGTATATGTACGCTCTCAATTCCCGCTTGTCTCATAATGTCACCACCAAGCAAATCAATTCCGCATGATAGTATATAAAATAATACATAATGTATTGCAAATAATTGCTGTGTATGCTATGGGTTGTTATTTATTGGATATGGATGCATGAAAGGCAATGGGTATCTCTTCAAGACGTCGTTCGGTCGTATTTTCCCCACATTCTTGTATGGTGTGTTGTTTTTTCTCGCGGGCTGTCAGACCTAGGACGTTCATTTACCAGGGACCAGAGATATGGTGTAACCGTAATCCTGGAACACTGATTGCGAATTGCGACCGTAAATCGTTGCACGATACCAATGAGAATGAAATGCGTGCTGTATTAGGTTATCCCACGGTAGGATTGCGTGTGCGTGTGACCTGTGTATCTATCTCAGTACATATCCTGGTTCTCGCTTGCAATAGGCTTACCAGCAGCGGCTTTGGACGTAATCGATGTTGAATAACGCTTCCCTTGCTGTATGAAAATTGCTTCGAATGGGTCTCTTCCAAGGACTCGACCCTGCTATTAACAATTAAATGAATGAGAAATGGAGATAGCAGGCATGGCATACTAAATCGATGTACCTGATTCAGGCATATTGCTGGAATCGCTCCAACCCGATCCTGAAAATGGGTCGTCTCCACGAATAATCACGTGTACCCATCATCCAGACTCAGCTCGTGTATGGTTATACCCTAGGTTGCTTTCCCTTCTTGACTCTAGCCAACTTTCATTTCGCCTACGGTTCGCTCCATAAAGCCCAAACGCCTTAGTCAAGACCAGCCAAGTAATGGTTTGAGTGGCTCCCAAACGACTATAGTCCTTGTAAAAGACATCCCCGTCGTGATCAGTGTATTAGCCCTATAATGACCTAGATACAATAAAAAAGTTAGGAACGTCCAATTAGAGAAATCCAAAACGTACCATCGCCTTGCCTCCAGAGGACACATATATGAATATCAGAGCTCGCATCTTGATTGTTGTCAAGCAACCTCCTTGTGTCAATAGGCGACTCGGAAGGCTCCTTCCAATCGTGATGTTTGAGTGATCCTGAGAGCACCATGTCACCAAGTCCACCTTTACCAGAGGCATCACAGAAGGAAAGCTACATCAAAAGGGATGTGAGTATGTGATCCATCAAGCAACATCATTAGATTTTTACCTCTTTTCACATATCATAATGACGACAACGACAACAATGAAAGTAGGAAGACAATGAAAAGCTAAAAAATGACCACAACAATGATGATCAGCTCTCTCATTCACAGGGTTGTAGATGAAAGACTTACATCAACTTGGGTATTTGACCATCCAAGGAAAACCAAAGAGGTATGATTGAGGGAAGAGATGAGATGCAGAGCGTCTTTATCGGGATCAAGTCTTGTTCTTCATCAAAGAGCCCTGAGTGGGATTCATTGTTCATGCAAAAATAGCCATTGACATACCGAATTAGGCAAGGTCATATTAACCACCCATCCCTTTCTCCATCCACCACCTTACCAGTAATCTAAGCATGCGTTTTTTCATTGTCTCCATGATCTCGACGTTGTGACATTGCTTTTCAACAACCCTCATATGGGGTAGGATAGCAGGAAAGAGAGCGACGATACAAGAAAGTGGAAAAGGCTGGCTGAAAACGCAAAGGTATTCCTCCAGACGCGTGATAATGTTCATAGCTGGCGTTAACTTGGTTGTCAAGGAAACTGTATCGGCGATGGTCGAAAGGAGTCGATCGTGAAAGTAGATCTTCGGAATGCATGTTCGTATAACTGCTGCACCACAACGTCGTTTCTTCAGTCAATGTTGAGGTTCATTTGCGTTGTGGTTGTAGGTGGAGCGTCTCATTGAGTGCTGGAAAGGTTGGATTGGTGTCAAGAAGAAGACTGACGCAGTGGAGACTTGAGCCCCCTCTTCAATCAAAATTTCCAGGGGCAGTGGATACCCGAGTCATTAGAATTATCTTTATTATCATATAAGTAAATGCATATGCGTGGTGAATGCAATGATACAAAAAGAGAATCATGCCAAAGGGGAGGAGAACAACGTTACCATTGGGGGGGTGGATACGAAATGGATTGTGAACACATTAAGCCCTGGTATAATGGTAGTATCGATATCGTACACGACCTTCATCCTCTAACTTTTCAGTCTCATCGGTGCATTGAGTGACAAATCCCAGCGACACCATTTTGCTCTCAAAGAGGGCTACCTCTTCAGTATGTGTGGGACGCAATGGTATCATGAAATGAAACTCATTTTCCATCAGCTTGTCGATAGCCACGGGTAAATGCTCAGCATGCTCCATCTCGTAAAGCAAATCGCTTGCAATGACGATATCGAATCGCTTTCCATCCCATTGATTATCTTCACCACGTGACACCTTGATAAAATCCAGAGCTGCTACTGAAGCGCCTGATCCATTCAATTCGACATTCTTGGCCACATTTGTGAGCACCGAAGGATGATAGTCCGTCAACGTCAAATCATCCACACCAAGTTTGCCACACACCAATCCAACCAAGCCAGTACCCGTACCAAGTTCAAGGACTCGGCGATTCGCCAAATCAGGGATGAGTTGTTGCTGCACCAATCTCCTAAAAAAGATCCATCCGATGTTGGTCCAAAGATGATCATTTGTGTGTGATGCCGACAACAACACCACTTACTTTGCTAAGAGCGGTGCTGCACCCCACGTTTTAAATCCGATATCATTTCCAACGTAGCTTGGTTCATGCAACTGAATGGCAATTTCATCTCGTACACCATTGGGATCCAGGTATGCAATATGCCATGTGCGTGTGATGGCACCTGCAGCTATAATTCAAGATCCGCCACAAAATCAGCCATCATCATCAACAACGCCACCACCACCTTTATATACAACAACCTACTTACCTCCTCGTCCAGACAAATGAGCCAACAAACGAGCAGCTCGTTCAACTTGTTCATCATCCCATCCCATTTCACCAGACACAATCTTGACCAAAAATGCACTAGCAATCCTATTGGCTTGTCGAAGATGATCCTGGGTCACTCGAGTCTCATTATCTTCGGCCTCATCGTGCATTTCTTGCCCATCCGATAATTCAATGGTGGTGTAACAGTCATAGGATTGTTGTACTAGTTGCTCGAGTAATGTCAATGCTGCATCAATCTCTTGGTGATAGATGTCTTCAGTGGACGTTTTAGCAAGCACACGAGCTTGGTGGATATGGTTGTCGATGGATTCAAGAGCTTGATCAGGTAGTAGCATCATGGTAGTAGAGATTATCCCACACTCACACAAGCCCCAAGGAGGCAGCAGAGCGGTTGGTGAAAGGGTGAAAAAAGGGAGGAGGTTCTGGAAAGAAAGAAAAGAGGAGGGTGGCTACGGCGTTTGAAGAAAAAAATACAAAGGGGGAGGGAAAGAGGTACACCTCTTGGTCGCCGCCTGAAATAGACAACCTCTTTTATCTAAAAAGGAAAGCTTGTGCAATGACACCATTCGCCACGTTTTTCATCGATTTGTGGATGATGCACGTACCACTGATTGATTCCTCCTATGGATGAAAGTGACATCTTTTTACCAATAATCAATCTTTTCTTCATGTTAATTGTATATACAAGCGGAGGAAACCCATACGTGACCAAGCCCATCCATCATTGTTGTGTTCTTCTGTAGCTGGGTTTGTCAATAATTGGCCATTCGATCACCTTGCTTTATGCGTGCCATGCATGCGACTTGTTAAACAACCCGATACCCTACACACCTACCACATCGTTAGCTTGTCAGCTGTTCACTTATTACCAGGCGACCACAGACTAATACCTCCTCATTTAGCTCTACTACATTTTCCCAAAGCATACAAGCCTTCTTTGACTATAAGATTACTTGATCATTGAATGTCTGCCATTATTGGTGATAACTTTTACTATCCATATCAGCATGTAGTATGTAAATGGGGACGTCGTTTACACAATAAGAATACCTTCACGCCTTGACAGCATCAAGAAAAAGTAGTCCTCCGCCAAGCTCGATTATGTAAGTGATCCAGCCACCAGCAACGTAGGTAGTAGATACACGTGCGACATGGCAGATCAATGCTTCATGACACACGCAACGGCTTATGATTTGTTATTTATCCGACCCAATGCGTGCTTATCTCATTACGTTGCTAATCAACGATTACCGTGCGTGCGGATCATAATAAAGTTGCATCTGCTTCTTTTTTTAGAGACATGTTATTATATGAATTGTGCCATTGTAGGCGATTGTTGTCGGTTTCTTTAAGGGGATATTGCGGGCTCGTTCATTGTAGTGACCCACCACTCACGCAGCTTCTACTGTCGGGGATTACACAATGTCTTGGCCTGAGGTGCCGAAGTACGGAGGAAAGCGCCGAACACCACGAAAATGATAAGAACATCGTGATAGAACCAGATAGTCATGTTCTATAACATGCGAACATTGATTATATGCAATCAGATCACAAAGTGTCATAGGCATATGGTGTTTAATAGAGGGATAGTAGTAAAGGCAACATCTCGATCTTCTTGGCCAAGCACAACTCCGATATCAGCACGCAATAAGGCAACCTTTATCAACGGCATTGTGTCCGCAAGATCAAACACATATTTAAAGATCCATCCTATTACCCTTTTTTTTCTCTACTCGTAACTCGCAACCACGCCAAAAAAAATCGGTTGTCTCTTGAGCTATGAATCACAGCGAAAGCTCATCGGATACCGTGCTTATGCAAGAGCTATCCCACCACACAACATATCACCAGGACCAACAACAAGCATTACACCATCATCAAATGCACGCTGAATACGATCCTAGCAACGAAAAACAACACCGAAGGAAACAAAAACGACATGTTGTAAAACTTTGCAAGCTCTTTTCATATGCAACGCGTTGTGACAAGATTCTCGTTTACCTTGCATGGACGTGTTCCATCCTTGTTGGATTGCTACAACCAGGCTCGATGGGTTTGTTTGCAGTGAGCTCACAAAAAGTGGTGGATGCAATCAATGACAACAAATCCATCAGCGACGCTACCATGCCCGCCGTTTACTCTTTTGTTGAAATTGGTGCCATTATCATGGTGTTGGCGTACATTGCCAATGCATTGTGGGTTTTTACAGGCGAACGTCAAACACGCAGGGTAAGTGACACCATTCTCCTTTCAAAATAGCCTTACTTATCTTTGACTTTTTAGATCAAGGAACTCTATATGCATAGCATTCTTCGACAAGATATGGGATGGTTTGATCAAGCTGACGAAGGATCACTTACTACACGGCTTGCCACGGATGTACAGCTTATCCAAGATGGGTAAGTTTTTTATTCAAGCATCTTTTTATTCCATCTCCATGGATACTAAGCTCTCTTGTTTCCATAGAATCTCGGAACGTTTTGGTGCCATGTTGCGTGCGTTCGCTTCATTTATCATTGGTATTCTTATGGCGCTTGGTATGGCTTGGCGATTGGCACTTGTACTTATTGCAACAATGGTCCCTCTCGCTTTGGTGACATGGTTTTCGGGTCGAGTGGTATCCAAGGCAACCCAAGATGTACAAGATTCCTCTGCACAAGCAAGTGGGATAGCTGAACAAGTATTTGCTGGTATCCGTACGGTGTACTCGTTTTCATTACAAGGTCGATTTTCACGTCTTTATGATGAAAAATTGGTCAACGCACGTAAAGATGGAGAGCGTCGTGCTCTGATTGCCGGAGGTATGTGTACATGTAAGCCTTATTGACAAAGATCAAAGGTGCTAACAACGTGATGTAGCATGCTATGGTGCCTTCCTTTTCGTTCTTTTTGCCGATTTTGGTCTTGCATTTTGGTATGCGGGAAAACTTGTTAGTGATGGCACCTATGAAGGATGGCGGGTCATTGCTGCCTTGTTTGGCGTATTGATTGGATCCATGTCTATTCTCACTGTGCCTGGTCATCTTGGAGCGGTGTCTACAGCACGTGGTGCCGCTTATAGAATCTTCAAGACCATTGATCGTATCCCTCTTATTGACATTGACTCTGATGCTGGTATCCATCCCGAGAAAATCATGGGTGATATTGAATTCCGCAACGTCAACTTTGCATATCCCACTCGACCAGGTAAGTTCTCGAGTACCAAGATGTGATTGTTTATTTACACTTTTATGCATACTATATAGATATCCCTATCCTCAAAGATTTGAGTATCAAAATCAAGGCTGGCATGTCCGTTGCATTCGTGGGACCTTCAGGCTCGGGTAAATCCACTACCATTCAATTGATCCAGCGTTTCTATGATGTGCTTTCAGGCCAAGTTCTCGTTGACGGGCAAGATGTGCGAGCCTACAATTTGAGAGCCTTACGTGATCAAATCGGTGTTGTCAGCCAAGAGCCTGTTCTATTCAACATGACCATCCGCCAAAACCTCTTGCTTGGGAGCTCCCATTCATCCGTATCTCAAGATGAGATTGTCGCTGCATGCAAAAAGGCCAACTGTCATTCATTCATCATGAAGCTTCCCAATCAATACGATACCTTAGCCGGTGGTGCTATGATGTCAGGTGGACAAAAACAACGTATTGCTATTGCGCGTGCCATTCTCAAGAACCCAACCATCTTGCTATTGGATGAGGTAAGTCATCATCTACATCTTTATATCATTTTACAGTATAACTTACCCCATACTTTAAAAGGCTACTTCTGCATTGGATACGCGTTCCGAAAGACTTGTTCAACGTGCCCTCGATGCCGCTGCTGCCAATCGCACCACCATAACGGTGGCTCATCGCTTGTCCACTATCAAAAACTGCGACCTCATTGTTGTCATGCAAGCCGGCTCCATTGTCGAGATGGGTTCCCATAACCAATTGGTTCAACGTGCTGGTGTCTATTCCGAGCTGGTCAAGAAGCAGCAAATTGCCACTCAGCAAGTCAACAGCGCATCCACCAAAGATCAAGCCCAATCCTTTGATGAAGATGACAACGATGATGACGACTTGTTGGAAGAAGATGATATGGAGAAAGAAGGCTACTACAAGATGGCACATGTATCTCGAAGCAGCAGCCATAAATCGATTGATGCTTATGAAATGAAGCGATTACGGGAGAAACAAGAGCTCAAGGAGATGAAGCGTCAAAGTGTTCCTATCGGCAAGATTTTCCATCAAATGCGTAGAGAATGGTTGTTGCTTCTTGTCGGCTGTGGAGGTGCTGCTATTGCTGGTGCCATTTATCCAGCGACCAGTTACATTGTGGCTCTCACTATTCAACTCCTGATGAGCGGTGGTGACAGCATTGCTCCCTCACCCCTCGAAGGTGTCAATCTTTACGGCCTTTTATTTGCCATCCTTGGCGTGGCTTCCTTCATTGGCTATGGTATCCAGCACAGCATCTTTGATTTATCGGGTGAACGCTACACTGAACGATTACGCAGCATGCTCTTTAAAGCATACATCAAGCAAGAGATTGGATACTATGATCAGCATTCTGTGGGTGCTCTTACGGCGCGTTTGGCTGTTGATTCAAGAAACGTCAATGAGCTTGTAACCAAGGTCCCTGGTGACATTGTTCATACCATTGCTACCACCATCACTGGTAATGTTTGTTCATTCAATGACACGTGAGCGATCACTCATTATTAACTTTTGCATTAGGTCTTGTGATCTCGTTTGTTTACAGCTGGCGTATTACTTTGATCATGCTTGCCATGTCTCCTGTTGTTGTGGGTGCTAGCTTTTATGAAACGCGTGTGCAACGTGGCTTCTCTGATAAGACATCCAAGGCACAAGAACAAAGCGGCGAGATCGCATCTGAAGCTGTTAAGGAAATCCGCACCGTAACAGCTCTTGGCAAGCAAGGCTATTTTGAAACCAAGTACTGCCATGCTCTTCAACGTCCTCATCGTTTGGCTCAACGCAAGGCATGGCTCTCCTCCATTGGTTACTCTATCAATCAAGGCTTTGTGCTCTTTGCTGCTGCTGTTGCATTCTATGCCTCCATGAAGTTTATGGAACAAGGGATCATGGAATTGGATGGTTTATTTGTGTGTTTGTTGTGTGTCATGATCACTATGAACGGCATTGGCAGCTCAAGTGTCTTTGCTACAACGTATGCACGTGCCAAGAACTCTGCTATTGCTTCCTTTGCTATCCTTGAACGACAATCTGAAATTGATCCCGAGCTCGAAGGCATCGAACCAGCAACCGTGGATGGCAGTATCAGTTTCCGCAATGTTGGATTCAGGTATCCAGCACGTCCTGACGTTCCTGTATTTGATGGCTGCTTCAATTTGGGTGCGAGTGCAGGCATGACAGTGGCATTGGTGGGACCTTCAGGTTGTGGCAAGTCGACTACCATTGGTATGCTTCAACGCTATTACGATCCAACGGATGGCGTGGTACAAGTTGACGACCACACTACACGAAAGTATACATTGGGCAATCTAAGGTCGCACATGAGCATCGTGGGTCAAGAGCCTGTATTGTTTGATATGACCATTGGTGAAAACATTCGATTTGGCGTTGATGAAAATGTACACGTGACCCAAGAAGATGTCGAAGAAGCATGCAAAGCTGCCAACATTCACAAGTTTATTTCCGAATTGCCCGATGGATACGATACAAGAGTTGGTGATAAAGGATCTCAATTGTCTGGTGGTCAAAAACAACGTATTGCTATCGCTCGTGCATTGATTCGCAAGCCCAGGATCTTGTTACTCGATGAAGCTACCTCTGCATTGGATAGTGAATCCGAAAAGTTGGTGCAAGCTGCAATCGATGATATCGTCAATCAAGGAGGTCGTACAATTTTGACGATAGCGCACAGACTCTCTACAATCCAAAATTCAGACATGATTTGCTTTGTCAAGGATGGACGTGTTGTGGAACAAGGAACGCATTGGGAACTATTAAGGCTCAATGGCCATTATGCAGCACTTGTTAGACAGCAATCTCTCAACGCATTTTAGATGATCCATTTCCTCCTCCTTTCTCTACTATTGCATGTACATTCTTTCCAACTTTTATATATATTTCATTGTTAAGACATAAAGAAACACAGTACATTGTGTGTAAAGGTTTACCAACAATCCCCTTGTTTATTCCACAATGGAACTTTGCTAATACGTTGGACGTACAAAGCCTCCCACATGGTCAGGGGGTGGTGGTGCTTGCTGATAGGGTTGTTGTTGCTGGGGGAAAGGATACGTTTGTTGTTGCTGTTGTTGTTGTTGTTGTTGCTGCTGCTTTTGCTGGATCGCAGCTTGTAGCAGTTGCTCTTTGTTCGTGTTGGCAATCCGAAGGCCTGCTTCACCAAATACCAATTTCGGTACGTCCACCAAGTAACCACTCGTGCCTTTTTGGCCTACTTCCTTCTCAGCTTGGATCCAGAAATTCATCTTGCCAGTCTTATCATCGTAATACCCAGCACAGTAGTTCCGTTTGCCCATCAACTTTTTGTTCTGACGCTATTACCATATATGTACACAATCAGCCAACTTGTCCTTTATAAATCCTTCCTTATCTTACCGAGTTGCCGTTGGGAGAGAACTTGAATAGATTGTACATCTTCTCCTCGACATTGCCGTTAAAAGTGACATAGGATGAATTTTGGTTGAGGATGGTGAGCAAAGCTTGTGGTGGGGGTACGTTGACAATAGCACTCGAAACAATTTGGATCATGAGGAATGGATCGCCTTCTTCTTTGTTCTTCATATCCTTCGAATATAAACGACCCGTAGCACAACAATGCACCTAAAAGACATCATGCCCGTTAGCCCATTATAAAATCACAATCACTAGTACCGCATCAATCACTCACATCGCCTCCCAAGAATGATACACGAATGGATCGTTCACGTGCAAGAATCTGTAGCTTCTCGATCAAACGCTTACGTTCCGTTAAATGATTGCCAGCTGTCCAATCTACATATAATAAATACACAGCAGCAATCAATAAAAAGATGTCATCCAATACCACGTTCTACTACTACTTACGATCATTCATATCATCCAGCAATTCAGGATCTCCATTCCACTTGTTGAGTTGACCACTAACCACAGTGCCGATAGCACCCGTCTTTCCCACCAATGTAGCAAGATTAAAAGTCGAAGCTCCTTCCATGGCGTTCTCGAATAGCGTCAATCGTGGATAGATGAGTGGTACGCCTGTCATGATCAGCAAGTGCTTGATTGTTGGTGGCATCACGCGATATAATTCGTCAAACACAATCTGGTACGACTTTGGACGGCATACATCATACTTTGTACGTTCGCCACGGCAATCCAAAGCGACCATACCAATATCCGGACCAAGCGTGGTGACAATGTGATTGCATGTAGGCACCGTACCCGGTACCATGCCATGTCTGGACGCGAGTTCAACAGTAGTGTGCTGCTGGAAGAGGTAGTAAAAGCGACAAGCATTGGCAAACAATACTAACAATAACGCGTGATATCAATGCCAATGTTGCAATAATAATAGAGTCCTTATCCAACAACTCACCTCGAAAACAATCACAATTCTGCATATCGGCTGGGTAAGATCCATAACCATCAATGATGTCCTAATTCCATGCCAAAATGAATCAATGATGTCTAGCCTTTTTACACCTCGATAGACTTACATGGTCATCCCACATGTTGATCGAAGGAATTGTTGCATACGCTTTCGCCACTGCTTCTCGGTGTTGGAATCTATCGTTACACATGAAGATGAGCCTCGCGGGTACGCAAACCTTCCTTCTTCGGGTAAAAATACTCACGCGAAGTTTTGAATGTAATTCCAAAAGAAAAAGTGTTCAAATCCTTCCTTCATAGCCTGTGGTAATTGCATAGCAAGCCGTTTCTTTGGGTTGGACTCCTCACGCCATGGTTTCATGAAATCCTCTTTCATCAATCGGTCTTGATAGAGCTGATCTCCGCCTCCGAGTAACACATGAAACGGTGCCACAGCGTGTCGATCCAAGACATCCTCCCATAGTGGCATTTCTCCAAATTTGTCCTTTTCTTCTTGAGGAATATCAGAGAATCCGCTGCATGAATAAAACATAAAACGCATCGATTCAAGTAACGCTGGGACATGGAAAGTGAAGGGACCCACACCGTTTGGATCACCACCCCAGCTATAAGTGACCTCTTGACCTCGCTCCTTGGCCAGTGGCAAGTGTAGCTCATAACGCCAGAAATGATACGTGTCTCGGAATACATCCAAAAGTTCTCCTTGTGCATGGATCGGTTGTTGTTGAAGTGACATGCGGATGACGAGTGGGGGTGGTTGCCGATCGGTGGCGACAATTAAGCAAGACGCGCGATAAAGGCCTCGTGCATAGTCAATGCCAATGTAACGTAAGAGAGGACCACAAATGACGCGCTCGGGAGTGTTGCTACCAAGGCCAAGATTGCGCATCTGGTCAACTGGAACATTATCGCTACTCATTGCGTGCGTGTGAAAAAAGGAAATGCGTAAAAGAGGCTTTGTGTCAAGTGTGAGTGATAAGAAAACGACGACGCGTGATCCCAATTTGGTGCATGAAATGCAGTCGGAACAAGGCCAGCTGCATGTTGCTGCATGGCTTTTACCTTGGTGACAGATGTTGTTGTTGTTGTTGGTTACTGCCTTCCTTCTTATGCCCATTGTCATCATCATTACCATTACCATCATTGGTCTTCTTCTTCATGTATTAGTACATTAACATCATTTTGCATCATGCTCAATAAATGATCCTTCACTACCGGTGATTACTCTCGTTGACGTGATTACCTACTACTACTATTGATCCATCATTGCTTCATCATCTACCATGTACATGATTCATGCCCGATGGCAGTATTAGTATCATGCATCGGCTAATTTACATTACAGCATGAACCGTTCTTAAACAAAACCGATACAAAGGGAATTTCGATATCCACTCGCCCATCGATCACATACATGGAAGGCAGCAGTAACAATAATGCCCATTGCACATGTGGTGCTCCTTGTTCAATATCTCATTCTCCTCATGATCGGCATTATCATCATGCGTATGTACACACACACACACACAAAGTACACCTCTCCCTTCCATCCAACATCAACACACCCCCCCCCCCAATATACGCACATTTATTCGATCCAGTAATCAGGGCAGGCTTTTTTTATGTCTCCTTGATACAAACACACGCACTCCTTCTCCCTCTCCCCACATTTATTATGTACCCCTCACTCTCTCTTGTCATTTGATCTTTCCATCCCACCCCCAGAATTCCATTAACAGAAGCTTTGTGTGTGTCCCTTGATTCCAACCCAAACTTCTCCTCCCCCCCAATTACAACCGACCCTGATACTATCCAAGAAGGGTCTACTCTACCCAGTACATCGGATAATTTCATATTATACATCACTCTCACAAGGATTTGGATGAGATCGAATGCATTTGTATTAGGTTAAAAGAGAAAAAAGGACCATTTGGGTGTATACTAGTGGTTTTGATTTGTCAATTAGGGCTGAAAAAGTATGTGCGTGTGTATTTGAACAAGATAAAATGCCACAACTTATAGAGTGAATAGAAGGGACAGGTATGTAAGGTGGAATTAAAATTGGGAAGAAGAGAAACATGAGAACTTTCTTGGATTGTGCCAAGAACACAAGCGACGAAGAAAAAAATGCGAAAACATATAGTAGACAACTCTTGTACCAAAGGGTAGCAAAAGGGCAAATAGGATGTGTATGTGTGTGTGTGTGCGAGGGTGTGGTATATGGTATGTTGTGTTGTTTGTCGTAATATGGGTGATGTTGTATGTAAAATAGTGTACTTACTTTTTAGGGAGGGGGTGAAAGCTTATAGATGAAAGAGAAAAGAAAAGAAAAAGGAACATGCAGTGAAAAAAGAGATGCGGTGATGAATGCTTGTATGAAAGTGTGTATAAGGTGGTTGGGATGTTGTGTGCTTGTATGTGTGTGTGTGTGAGAGTGTTGAAAGAATAGAAAAGCAATAATAAAAGATGAATGATGATCCAAAGCGGAAGCAATGATGATGCTGATGGATGGCGTTTGAGTATGTAGGTGCTTGTGAAAAGGAGATTAGGAGCGATAGAGATGTAAAACGATGCATTTAGAGGTCACGGAACCAAGGATGTGTAAGGATTTGGTGGATGCTGGGACGCTTCTCCGGGTTGCGTTGCAGCATGAAGGATAGCAAATGCATGCACTTGCTTGATACCTTGATTTTAGGCGTGGCAAAACGACCAGCGATAGCCATGCTAGGACTTGTAAAAGGGACTTCACCAAAGAGGATTGTGTACATCAACACACCCAATGCCCAAATCTCTGCAGGTTCAGCACGATAAGGCTTGCACATGAGAATTTCGGGTGATGCAAAGGACACGGTGCCGTAAAACTTGTTAAAGTAAAAAGTCTTGTTTTGGCCATAATGGCGTGGCAGGATAACAGAAGAACCAAAATCAATGAGCTTGACCTGTTGTTGATACAAAAATAAAACATTCATGCATGTGAGTGGTGCTGTGCTTGCATGGCTTGTGTAACAAATATGCATTACCTTGTATTGGTCATCAATCACAATGTTCTCATCCTTGATGTCACGGTGGCAGATGCCGAGCGTGTCGAGATAGGCGATGCATTCAACAATTTGACGGAAGATCTTTTTGGCAAGGGCTTCATCAAAGTTGTGGTGTCGTTCGATGCATTCAAACAAGTCGCACGAGGTGCGTCTTGTATACAAACGAGGAGTAGGGTACTCTTCAGTGGGCGTCTCTGGAGATGAGGGGCATGAATCTTCAGAGGCTTGTGACAAGGCGGGTGAATGTGGGGGTGGTGAAAGATGTTGTTGTTGTCCTGTAGCAAGATTGTTGTTCTTGTTGTCGAGAGCTGAAGCTGACCATTGGGTGCCATGCAACTCCATAACAAGGTAAATGAAAGCATCATCTTGGTAAAAGTCAACAAAGTTGACGACATTTTCATGGCGCACATGCTTGAGGACATAAACTTCCATGGGTACAGGGCCAATCTCAGGATCACGGACCCATGAATGAGCAGGTACCTTATGACGGAAGATAAACTTGACGGCTCTTTCGATGCCCGTATGTCGCTCGGTTGCCGATACAACAAAGCCGAATCCACCACTACCGAGTTCTTCACCGAGTGAATATTTGCCGACAAACTCGGGGTGCAAAGGATGATGCATAAGGGAACGTGCTGCCACAGTCAACTCCTGCTTGGGTTGTGGAGTGCATGGTGGTGATGGTGGCATTGATGGACGTACACCACCAGGAACCTGCTGAGTGGGGTGGATTGAAATAGGTGCCAATGATGGCTTAGGCATGGTTTGTGGACCGTATAGTTGAATTGGTTGTGTTGATTGCATTGTGTGTGTAATAATGTTGTAATTTAGATAGCTGTACTGCGTATGTGTGTTGTGTTGTGGATGTAAGCTGTATAGCTGTGTGTAGATGTAAAATGTGCCGTGGCAAGATTAAACAAGTGTTGTAATTAAAAGAGAGAAGAAAGAAACAGCGTGTGAGAGTTGTGTGATTGGAGCAAGAACGATTGGAAAGATGGCAGGTATTTAAAAGAAAAACGGACAAAGAATTGGGAGCGATCGTCAGGAGAAAAAGAAATATTAAAAAAGGGGAGGGTCCCAGATATTACGGTTGACTTGAGTCGGATTTTACGATGGAATGGGAAACAGCTCGACGAATAAGGAATGTCTCCCTGATGTGGAATGAAGCCTGCAGCACGACCACACACGCCTATATACTCGCGGCTTCACTATCGGTTGGCTCTCGTATTCATCACGATAAAACACACACGCGTATACACTATCGTGCCCCACCATTACACCCGAATTTGTTTTTCTATACTTTGCAATCATTGCTGTTGCCTGGTAGTAATCAAGAATAAAAATCAAACCCTGATTCTACTATCGCGCGATCTGCATTCCCTATTTTGGTGCAACATCATGTAAAAATAAACCTGACATGCTGGTCGATCAATGATCAACCCAGCTTTTTCGGCCTTGCAACAAGCATGACGTTCAAACTGTCATTTTGATACGTGAGCGTAAATGCGTGTGTGTATATGCTTTGCTTTCCCCTTACCATGTAGGTTACACTGCTGACGCGTAGCAGGATGATCTGTCAAACCCATATGCAAAAGCAAAAACAGATAGCCACTTTTGACCATCATTTACTCCTCCCCCCAAAAAAAGTATCGCTACCCCATTTCGCTCTGTGCGTTGCTGTAGTACACAAAGATGCACGCACACTTGCATAGTGATACAAATAGCTTCCATGCTTGTGTAAATAAGCATGCTTAAATCCAGTAATGCGGAGGAGCATCCGTAGTAGTATGTAGAATCATGCCGCTTGCGGCGTGTGTGCATGAGCAGCTATATCAACAACATGATGACTAGTAGATCATCGTGTATATCAATCACAAGCCGTGTGTGAATATGTGTATGTGTGTGTACATCCTTTTTTGTTTCCTCTCCCATTGCTCTCTTTCTCTTCTTCCCCCAACTTAAACCCCGTGTGAGTGATTCAAGGAGAAGGGCATATGCATCGCGGGATGTCATTGTTGCATCTTGCTTTAAACAGAAGACAAACACAGATACATACATCTAGACCGCTGTGTACACACGGCTGACTTGATAAAGTAATCAAGGAACAATGATCTCATATCTGGGTTACAAAGACACCACGCATTGTCATTAATCCACCGTGCACATGTTGCTAGCAACCACCGCATTGTCATAAATCTGCATCCAATTTACTTGCTGTGGCTTTAATTGTTGCAGTGTGTGTGTGTTGATGATATTATGTGCATTAGCCCAGCGTACTTTATCTTGGGGATAGGGATGAGGTCGACATGATGAGGAGGAAAAGGACATACTGTATATGCATCACAACAATGAACAACATTTACAAAGGGGGGAATGGGTGTATACGCATGTCCACGGATAGATACAGTTTTTGATGCAAACCAAAATGGAAGTGGAGTGGGGTAGGGATATCTTTGAACAATGGCAACCAAGGCACCCATACACATTGATGATGATAGTGTCCTTGAGACAGCCTTCCGTTTCCGATAGATCACCGAATCAGGCTGCCAATGTATCCTAGAAGAAAAAAGGGTCTTTTTGATGTATTGGGCAACGGCAATGTGCCTCAGGGCCTAGACCCCAATTTGGAGGATGATGATGATGACGATTGGGGGGAGTACAAAGTCGTCAACGAGGAGAGGGGGATTAACCATCAACGGTGATGATGTAGCAAGTTGATCAACATATCACCGTAGCACACTTTTCATTATGCAACCTTGACGCTCTATGGCTTTAACGGACATTTTTTCTGCAGATGACGACTTTACCATGTGCCAACGGCGCACATATAGAAATCCATCCATAAATAAATCATCCATGCAGGAAAGGGGGTACAAGGAGAATGGCACCTGCACATCTTTTGACTTCCACCACCACCCCCATCAAACGCTTCATGATAGCCATACATACATACATACTCCTTTGCTATTATCTTTTCTCATGCCCATTTCCCCTTACGTGGATACTTTCCATCGGCATCATCTTATGATGCTGGTATATTTACGATTCTCGAAAACCAAGAAAAACTCGGTAATCGACCCTGTATGTGGTGTGTAATATGATCCCCTTTTTTCATTGCTGTAAGGAGAAGAGAAGCATGAATCCACGTTGTTCTTTCATCAGCCGTTCCACGCCTTGGGTGTCATGTGCCATAGGCATGTACACATTGCTTATGCCTAATCTTGGTTCCTCCCCCGCTACATACGTATTCATTGTCTTTGTGGTTGCTGTGAGTGTTATTATGCTGTTCGCTCTTTTTCCCTTTTCATCATGCATCCCGGTGCTTATGCGAAAAAAAGAACAATGAAGAAAATTTTGGTATCCATGCACACTCGAGGGATGATAGAAACAACGTAAGCAAATCGCTCTCCTTGTCATTGGATCTAAAGCTTCTTCTCCTCCTCCTCCACACCACCTCCTCAACATAACCACCACCACCTGCAAGAACCACATGTGTCATTTTACTTTTGCTCCCAAATGGTCATATGCACATAAAACGGAGAAACGATAAGGACACACACGCCCACATACCCCGCTTTTCTATCAAGATGTTCCATCCCCCTTGTCAATATGGCTGGTGTGAATTCTGAGGTTCAACAGCGTGAATGTTGTGCAACAGCATGGCTATGATTAATATTCCACGTAACACATACACATGGTCTATCGTGATACATGGGCCTGTCTTTTATACCGGAGCTATCGGGAAGGTAATAGTCCACTCATGGATGATTTGCTATGGTGTTGTTGGCTTGTTTGATATATGAGTACATACATCGATCACCCAAAACAACACCTACAGCAGGGTCGGACATTGATGATGGAAATGGTAAAAATGCATGATGAAAAACGCATAGCCCAAATTCATGCCGATGGATTTGCTGGAACATTTTGTGTGCTCACATACATACATACCTCGCTCGCATAGTGTATGTAGCCTTTTTGTTGGTCCTGTGAGTACATCTCGGTTGATCACTACACATGGCATGCTACCCCCATTTATGCATCAACAACCGAGCACCATGTACTATAAGATCATGGGTCATGTCTGCTTGATTGGCTTGTGCACTTGTGCATGATCTTGCAGCCGGTCGCTGCGTGAATATTGCTCATGCACATAGTAAATGAATTATTGGCACCTAGCATAGTCCTGCGGTCGGATCAATGTTTCAATCAAAAGGAAGGATTTCCTATTTATCGGTATATCATGCTAGTAGATGTGTAGTTTTACTTATGCAAGCTCATCAACGAGTATGCAGCAAAGGATAACACGGAGCAAATGAAGAGCCAAACAACGTTAGGGCATGGTCAATCCACGCGCGTTGCTATATTATAAAGGTAACCTAGCTACCACATCCTTGCACATATCCAAATCGGGATTTGGTTACCAAGGATACATGTTGAATCATATATGAAAGTACATCATCAAATCAACGTTTATGTTGAACATTGACTAAAACCATGGATCGAGAACGTCGTATGTTGTAGGATATTAAACTATCAACAAAGGTAGCAAGATGGCATGAGGTTCTATAACTTCATTAGATCAGATCATTGTTAGGCCGATCGAATGATACGACGCAGCTATACTGCATGATGATGGCTCATATGGTATTTGTGGATAGTCAACTCAAGGGTACGTGGCACAATGAGTGATTGCCAACATCCATTGTTAACAACAAATATATTCATTTGTAGGGAGTAGTAATATCAAGGTGACAGATAATGAAGCGACACGTAGTAAGGGAAGAGGATGGCTGATGTGGCGCATGATGTTGCTGCGTGAAGGAAGCGGGATACGTGTTAAAAGGACAACGTTGCCAAGGAAGGACAAAGGGTTGGAAGAGCGTAGTCAGGTACACATGTGATTGGGTGGTGTGTGTCAAGAAGGCGTTGGTTCCGTGCGATTGGCTGCTGATACTCAATCCAAAGGGGAGCCAGATGTGAGTAGAGTCGCGCCATAAAAACTGTAGCTTTCTTTCTTTTCACTTCCTCATCTCACAAGCACATACTTTCTCATCTCCTTCATTTCACACTCACCTCTTTCACCAAAAGCATCTAATCATACACCATGGGTTTGAGCTTCTCCAGACTTTTCTCTGAGCTCTTCGGCAAGAAGGAAATGCGCATTCTGATGGTCGGTCTCGACGCCGCCGGTAAAACCACCATCTTGTACAAGCTCAAGTTGGGCGAAATTGTCACCACCATTCCCACCATTGGTAAGTCTCATTTGGTTTATTCTATGCTCATTGGAGGCATTGCGAAACAACAGCTTCTAGATGAGGAAAAGGTACAAGAAACGAGGTCTAATTATTATGCTACTACCACTAGGTTTCAACGTGGAGACTGTGGAATACAAGAACATTTCTTTCACTGTATGGGATGTGGGAGGTCAAGACAAGATTCGTCCTCTCTGGAGACATTGTAAGTAGGAGAGAAGGTGTTTATGGATACACGCGCGATATGGCATAGAGACTGATTATGGGATCCTTTTTAGATTTCCAAAACACTCAGGGTATCATCTTTGTGGTTGACTCGAATGATCGTGATCGTGTGTCAGAAGCACGCGACGAACTTCAACGTATGCTCAATGAGGATGAACTTCGTGACGCCTTGTTGCTCGTCTTTGCCAACAAGCAAGATTTGCCTAACGCCATGAACGCTGCCGAGATCACTGATAAGCTTGGTCTTCACTCCCTTCGCAACCGACACTGGTACATCCAAACTACGTGTGCAACAAGCGGTAAGCATTATACCTCAAACAGTGCCAATCCAAATATTTATTCTGACCATGATGGACGATGCTGGAATGTTTTATAGGTGATGGTCTTTACGAAGGCTTGGAATGGTTGTCCAACAACTTGAAGAGAAGACAGTAAAAATGTTCTTGCCTTGTATACAGGTGATCTCTGTTGTCCTTTTTCTTTGTTACCAATGCCATTCATCATGCACTCCCCCAAACTCAATCCCTCACACACCACAATTGTATCCCCCCACACCTTTTAAAATGATAGTAAACTTTCTTTGACATTTATACAACTACAAAAGAATCATATATCAAGTATTGGTTGGATTTGTCATTATCAACTTTGAATGTGGAGAGCAGGGTATAGCAAGAGCATTTAAGGTTGCCACTTCATTACAAAGATGTCATTGTTGTTAAATCCAAGATTGTGCGCACAGACTTTTTTGGGATTATCAGGGGAAGCTGCTATGAAACCAACGCATTGTTTATATGCGCTCGCATTTGCCGATCAAAGTAAAACATCATGAGCAAAAGGTAAAACCATCGATCCCCAGCTATTCCTGTTGCTTGGCAACGTGGGTGATTAGGTAAAGGAACTGAATAGGGTCATAGCAATGGCTTTTTCGGATATAAGGAAACATCCAACCAAGGGATACCATCATTAGTAAGGTTGCGAAAAAAGAGTCGGATGGACAAAGTATAAGCACGTGATCCAAATGGATGAGGAGAGTCTAAAGATCGATACTGGTCGTCACGGTTGGTTCTTGACATGTTCAGCTTGAGAGCCTTCAGTGAATCTATTGGAGATGAGCAATCCCCACCTTGGCGTAACGCTAACGGGGTAAGGTTTCCATCGCCGCAGAGATGGTTCCAACAAGAAGTCCTGCTTCTCAATTCGGTTACACAAACAAGTCCTTCTACATCCTTGGCTCTATGAAGCTTGAGCCGCTTGTCAATAAACAAAATCACTTTTTTATATAACATCGTGCATACAGCATAGTGAAAACATAAAGGCACTCGTACCTCAGAATTTGACAATCAAACGTGGGCTCTTTAGTAGAACAATGTTGCTCGGCAGGGTCGAAAGCATATGCTGCCCTACTCTCATGTTCGTCATGGACAACCCCAGATTCACCCAATGTCGCTACCAGACAAAAAATATTTTTGGCCGTCGACGAAAAAAAATTCAAGAGGTTGACTCGAATCCAATTTGGCTGGTGGCGACATGGTGAATCTGGGAATGGCCACGATGAACTTCATACTTTGACACAAGATCGCTTTAACCCCGCCGAGCAACTCTGTTCTATTAAAGACCCTAGGTTTGATTGTAAAGTTTAGAGATACGGGTACCTTTATGTTTACATATGATGTAAGCGTGATGCTATATGAAAAGTGGTCGTTGTTCATTGTGAAGTAGCTTGAACCTGATAGAGCAAAAGATGAAGCGGGTGTGTTCAATGTAACACAGCTGCGAGGATATGACTTGGAAGGGCCAATTCTATTGGCGGACAGTGCATGAAGGCGTTGTGGTCCCTGTCCAGCATTCTCAATCGTATAGCATGTAAATAAGGGCGTAACTATCTTCCTCAAATATACGTACACCCGTACACCGTTGTTCTAGTAGGGTACATGCATTATACTTATGGATGAAGGTACCATCAACTCCCCTTTTTGAACCGCCTACTCACACCAACATCCTCGAACAACATCTAATTTCGTCGAAATTGAGTAAAGCAAGTGATTAAGACTTTATGGGACTTCTTCTCATTTTAATGCTTCAACAATCCATGATATTGACTATTCTACTCAAACATCTTTTGAAACATCTTGAGGTCGTTTCCCACTTTTGCTTGCCGTGCAAGGTCATGCATACCCTATATACATCAACAAAGATCATTGGTATGTATTTCCCCATTCCCATCATGCTCTCAATTACCATCATCTTCAGTGCCTTCTCCAATGTATCCCATAATGCTGTTGCTGTTACATCATCCTTGGAGGGTTGATGCGAGTATAAAGCGAGTGCAGATAGGACATGCTCAGCTGCCTCCTTGTAACACCTGACGGTGATACACGATCTGCTGAGATGGTGTCGAGCACTGATACACGAAGGATCCAATTCCAATGCATGGCTATAAGCATCAATAGCTTCCTCTGCCTTGCCGTCATTCGCCAATGTGATTCCCAACCGATTCCATAATACCGCATCCTAATCACCCGCACATACATATATAAGAAGGCAATCAACATCTCTGAAAAGTGGAAAACTTACTTTGGGTCTCATGTGCAATGCAGCTCTAAAGCAATCCGCTGCTTTATGATATTCACCACTAGCTGCTGATAGGATAGCCAAGCCAACTTGTACATCGGGATCCATGGTATCAGCCTCTGGATTTGACGTAGCTGCTGCTAAAAAGCTATCCATCACCCGTCGATGTAGCATAAAGGGTTCATTTGGCAGCTGTCCATTTGTCGAAACGAGGTTGGGATAAGCTTGAGAAATCCATTGCTCCAAAGCATAGTAAGCTGCTGGGTATAATTCAAGGCTGCTGTAACAGAGAGCTAATTGCATCATCGTGTGATGGGATGGATCATGTCGAGTCTTTTTCAGGGCTTGCACTGCTGCTGTGTGATTATCGTTTCGTGCGTGTAGCTGAGCAAGCTGCATCCATGCGTGGCTACTGTTATCAGGATCCTGGCGAATGGTTGCTTCTAATGACAATATCGCGTTGAATGATGAAGTTGGCATGTCAACGACGTCTTTCTCTTCCAAATACGGATTCGCTGATGCAAAGGTGTAGTCTCCTAGATCGGGTTCAAATATTGCTTCATCTCCTTGCTTGGTAGGAAGATCACTTTCATCCATCCAATCGTCAAAGTTTTCTTCATCATGCGTGCTGGTGATGGTTGACGTGGTCGATGATTCGGGTGCAAATGATGTTGATGGTATCGGTATCTGCTGTCGTGAAACAAATGGTTCCATATGTTGTTGTATAGGTTTATGGTATAGTGGCGTTTGCTTTGATATCGAAGGGGTATCGATTGAAATGGCAGCAAATTGTCTTTCCCATTGCTCATCCATCACATGACTCATCTTGGTAGGATTCTGGGGGCTTGTGAAATGTTGTGCATAAGCGTGTTCCAATTGAGTTGCTGGAGTCACATGACTAGAATGATAATGCCATGCTACTCAAAGACTGTCAGCTTGGTGTATTGCCTTTTGTCACCAAGAGATACTTACCATCTTGTAGCTGCTGCTCATTCCCATCATCATTGTTTTTGTTGTTGTTGAACTCCCAAGCCCATGTATCAGGTGCTTTTACTTGTAGTGGTGGCGGTGGGTTATCCATAGTGAATGGCAATGGATTGGCAAGGGGAGGAGGAGGAGGAGGCTCATTTTGAAGAGGAGAAAAGAATTCATTGTAGGTGGAATCATCTTGCAAGGTGCTTGGATGTTGCGACACAGAGCGGAACGGCTGCATACACGCAACAATGTCAAATCAAATTGATAACTCAGGTTCTTCTTCTTACCTTTGTTGCTGCTCTTCGTGAGGATTCCCCCGATCGAGCCTTCGTTTGTTTCAGTTCAACAACATCCGACCCTGCATTACCATTGTCTTACCTGATGCAGCTCTCTATTGGCGTTGAAATGCTTCCACACGTTGTTCAGAGCTCCATGACTACCACAATCGGCTTGAGATGCGTTCATTGCGAGAACAAGGCAACCAAGAAAGAATAAGGAGAACGACTTGGTTTACTGTTTGCATAAGCGAGTATCCCCGACCTCGTTGCCGATGCATGAACGAGCTGCTGATACAGTGAGACAAGCCCAAATATCCCCTGCAAAAAGCCATCCTTGTCGCGCCACCCACACAATGCGTGCAGCATGAATCGTCTTAGTGGATCTGTGTCTGGATAATGAACATGGACACAGCAGACCCATGTGCCATGGAAACCAAGGTAATAAATACACAACAATCAATCAAGTTCTCTTTCTCTTTCATTGCATTAACAATGGAGTACTTTTATAAAAAGGCATCTAGTCTACTTCCTGGTTCATTGTATCATGAAGCCGAGGAACCTACTCATGGGTAACTATTGTCTTTTATCGATCAAGTATTGTCGCATGTACTCAATGCTATCAAAATAGTGATATACAGCAATCATCATCCGCTGCCGAGCAACAACCGATGGCTAGCACACAACGTGCAACGGTGGATCAAAATTCGACATTTGTGGCACCTGAACCCACACGTGCCAAGCAAAGTGGATTGCTCAGCAAGGACAACAATCAATTTGGATCCGTTACAGGCAAGCAACCTGTAAAAGAACCAAGCAAGCCAATGCCTACTACTACTACTACTGGTCAACAACAACAACAACAACAACAACCAGGATCAGGAATGGTGTCAAAAACCAATGAAACAGGTAAGAGGATAATGGACTTGGACATGTATTTTAATATTAACAATGAAAAAAGGACCCAATCAAGGCATGGCTGCTGGTGGTGGTGGTGTACCCGATCATGAGGATGAATTTTATGGTTCTGCGATTGAACAAAGGAAAGCACCCATGTCAAATGCAGCACCCACTTCAAATGTGACCCAACAACAGCAGCCACAAACATCTGATACGGCACCAACGGCTACCGGTACCCATAGCAGAAAGGATTCACGGGTGATTTCTGATATGCCACCATCTCCACACCAACAAGCTGCAGGGCAATCAGAGACAGCTGCAATCCCACCATCATCATCACAACAACAGCAACAACCTTGTCAAAAAGTTCAATTTAGCACTGATGCACCACAACAAAAGCAATCATCATCCCAGCCACCACCTCTCAATACTAAGGCTCAACCAACAGCTGCACCTGTAGCAGCAGCAGCAACAACAACAGCAAACACAAACAAGAGTGATGGCTCTTATGCAGCTGATCAAGGTATAGTTCATGCATATGGATGGTTATGAGAAATGATGCCTGACATGGTGTTAGGATCTTTTCATCCGGCAGATAGCGAGCATCCAGCAGGAAAAGAGAGCGCGCCTGTAACCGATAATGCTGTACCGCCTACACAACAACAGCAGCAATCTCTTCCTGGTGACAAGCGACGTGGATCAAAGGGATCTGGACATGGTAAGTGAATGGCTTGTGTATATGATTTATCAAGTAGCTAATGTCATTTTTCACATGAAAGGCATCAAGAGCTTTTTCGAAAAGATCACACATCCAGGTCATTCTGGTGGCAAAGGAGAGAGAAAATCATCGGCAAATACGCAGCAAAAAGGTAACATCCACATCCATATCATCATTCATAGGCTCATCTTTGTCGAAAATACGACCTAGATTTCAGCAAGTATGATATCAGTTCGGCACAAAAGCAAGGTGGTTTCGCTGCCGGACCTATTCCTGCCAATGGTGGTTTGGCTGCAGCTGGTGTAGGTGGTGCAGCCATGGTAACGGGCATTGAAGCCATGGAACAGGAAAAAGGTATAATTGATTTATGGTATTGTCATATGGAGGGAACTAATCAAGGCGATATTGGGGTATCGTAGAACGACAACATCAACAGCAGCCGAGCACACAACCGACAACAAAAGGAAATGGCCGAGATCTTGGCAAGTCAGGTGCTGCTGGTGATATACAACAACAACAACATGTGCCACCTGAAAGCACCAATGAAGGCAATGGCATGAAGCAACCTAATGCTACTGGTGCTGGTAATTCAACAAATGCCACTGCTTTGAACCAGCAAGAAAGAACCAATTTGGATCACAAGGGTGGAAACATCCAATCGTCAACTACTACCGATGATATGCAGCGTACCAATCAAAGTGCTGGAATGAATAATGCAATGCAGCAGCAGCAGCAGCAACCTACTACAGCAGATGCCACTAACCGACATGAACCAAACCAAGTAACCGGCAACAACAACAACACCGTTGGTCGAAATGTTGCACCGATGCAACAACAGCAGCCATCTGCTGCTGCCTTAGGACCACAAAAAATGAATCAACCAGCTGCTGGTGCACCACAACAACAACAGCCACAAATGCCAACCACCACTGCCAAGGAAAAAAATGCTGCAACTACCGAAGCATCTCAGCAGCAAATGCAACAACCCATGTCAGCTGGTGATGGTGGCACAGGTGGAGATACTATGACAACAACGGCTCCTAGTACGGACCAAAAGAATCCAGCAACAGCGGGTCAAGGTAAATGTAAACTCTATTTTTAAGCGGTTTATTTGTAGTGTATGTTATTCGATCATACTCTAATCTGGCATTGTTTTTATAATTACTAGGTGGTGCAAAGGAAGAACGGCAACAATCCATGACGCAAGAAGCAGCGGCTATTCAACAAAGCAGTGGCCAAGAAGGCAAGTCATGTAATTAAAGCATCCTTTACGACATTGAAAGCTAACATAGAGATTCTTTAGTACCCGTATCCTCTCGAGAGAATGGAGGAGAAACAAAGAAATGGGTATCATCACCACCCAGCAATACGGGTAAAGGAATTGGCGGTGCTATTGCTGGTGCGGCGGGTGCCACGGCTGTTGGTGCCGGCGTGGCGCATGCACGCGGTGACACAAGCAATTACAGCCACCCACAGCAACAACAGCAGCAGCAGCAGCACGGTCCGTCGTCGTCGGGTGACACAGCAGCACAAAATGACGTTGCTGGGCAACAACAACAAGACCAATCACCACCACCACCACCACAACGACGTCGTAGTAGTCTCCAAGAGTATATTTCAGGCATGATTGATACACGACGTGGCTCATTCAAGGTAAAGGAAAAGGATACATAAGGATGATGTATTATATACTCATGGTGATGGGTTGCATGTACTTATAGGAAACATTGGGCAAATTACTTCATCGTGAAAATTGGGAAAACGATGGTCAAGCATTACGTATGCATGGTCAGCAAAAGATTGACGACTTCCATGCTGCTCAACAAGCACACAAGAAATCCATTACTGCTATCTAATTTACTATTGTGCCACACTCGTTTTATTATTTACTTTGTACGGTTGTATTAAAGAAGTTGTAATCGAATCTCAAGAGAGCAAGCATGTGTAACTGGGGCACAAGAAATTCTGATGCGGGAAGCCCGATGAGGTAATTGAGGCTGATGTTACATTGACACAAATGCGTGTGGTGTGTGATACGGCTTACTCATTTTGTGTGTGCGTATATACCTAAGGTGTGTGCGTGCATACGTGGGTCATGGATGAATGAGTCAATTTTTTTTGGATTCAACTTGCTCCCTGTTATGTACTCCCCTTGTTGTTGAAGAAACAGTGTTCTTGATGTAAAATGGTCGACATCGGCTCCGACGGCAACGAGGAACGTGTAAGAAGGTTAATTGATGGGAGATGGTGTGTATAGGTTAAGCCACGACGCTAACGAATAAGGGAGACATTGCATGTGCCTACTCACTCCACTGCGTCGTATCGTATATATCATTCTTCACTCACAAAGATACTACACCCAGACATACGTATACAATAAAAGAAAAGCACCAGGATCATTCAACAGGTGATGATGAGTGTATGTGTTGCTGTTCTTTCTATATCGAAGAGGTTGCCATAGCAACAGCGGATGTTGTAGTGAGGGTGTTAATAGCGTGTCGGATATCATAGCACGGATTGTCGGACAAGACGACGACGGGCATTTGCAAATCTACCTTTAAGGGAAACAAAAAGGGGTGCATGGCTGACAGATGTAGGAGAACAAAGCATCTAGTGATGTGCCACGACGATGAAATGGCATTTATTTCTTCATGTGATGCTGTGCCTTTTACACAATGACAAGGGCAAATCCATAATGATGTATGATTGGGGATTGTCAAAATAAAGCACATCGGCACGTTGAATGGATAATGTAATTGGGGGAAAGGGGTGTTTAGTGTACAAGGAGGAGGAGGACCATCATACACATACACACACACGCTCATATTTACATGGGCATGAACGTGAATGAGAGCTGCACGAAAATTTTCTGATTGATGAGGGGAAGAATGGAATATCGCTTCGACCAATGCCAGGCCGTTCAGTTAATTACCTACCAAATTACCTCTCATGGACCCTGATGACCCCCCTTGGATAATTCCTCTCGCTCCCCCCATAAGCTCCCCCATGTGCTAATGGTATAATGCGTAACCCACACACACACACGCGCGTTCCTTTGGTCAATGGAATGGATACATGTTATTGTGCAAGAATAACGCATTTAATGATGGGGTATAACAAAAGAAAAAGAAAAAGCAATATGGGCTTATATGTACAGGCAAGCAATACAATGTCATTGCTTTGAGCCAGCAAATATCAAAGACTACTACTACTGCTGCTACTACAACTACTACTACTTGAAGATAAACTTTTCAGAGTATACGATGATGATGCATAATGAAAGAGGGGGGAGGGTTGAAACAAGAGGATCGCTTATAGATGAGGGAAATGGAAACAAAAGAAGATTAGGGCATACAGGAGACAAAAAAAAATGGCAAACAAGAAGGGGAACGATCGAAAAACTGAGGGAGTGTGGGTGTTGTGTGTGTGAGAGCGTGACATGTTGGCGAACGAATGAGAAAAAAGCATCATGCTAGTTTTGACCGGCAAAAAAAGAGTGGACTGGTCGACTTTGCGAAGGATAAAAAGAGTGAGATGGGATAGTGTGATCGATGATGATGAATTGTTGTTGTTGTTCGCAAGCGATTGTCATGTCCAGTCGTTTTCAATGTTTATGCGTACAATGGGCAATCGGATGACATATGTTTTGTCGAACCACAAAGATAGCAGACCTTTTGTGATGCTGCTGTATGCGCATTCGTGTTGACTGCCGAAACAGCTGTTTTCGCCTGGATGGCATTGTTCCGCTTGTGCATTGTGCAAGTCATCGTAACCGCTTAGCGTGATATGTGTGTATGTGTGTGATACGTATAGAGGAGGTGGTGGTTGTTGATATGTATGTGAATGTGAATGTGTGTGTGTCTTTTATATTTTTCGTTCTCGTTTGTAAGCTAAAAAGCTTGTAGCGTAAAAGAGGTGTCTTATGGGGCAATAGAAAGCGTGTGAGAGAAGAGAGAGAGAGAGAAAGAAAGAAGAAAAAGCAGATCTTGAAGATGAATGAACGGCTGTTTTATATGTTTGGGGGTGAAAGATGGGGGGTGACATGGACGAGGAGGAGCAGGAGGAGGAAGCCAATGTCAAACTTGAAGGGCGGTAAAAGAAAAAGCGTCAAAGTGTAACAGGACCAACATTAATAGGGCAATCCATGGTTTGAATAAACCATTTGTAAAGCAAGGTTTATGTTTCCGAAACACTTTTTTTATTACGTAGGATAAAAGAAGTATGATTGATTTATGTTTGAGACATATAGTTACTGTAAGCAGTGTGGTGGAGAAGGAATCATGCACCCTGCAGTCGTGATACAGCGGATGTGATAGCAAGCAAGGAGCGATAAAAAGTGAGGGAGACAAAGTGAGAGAGTGAGTGAAGGGCGCAAAAAAAGGGGAGGCTGACATACGATGAAATCCCGGCTTTCCGGGTTTCATTGCTTGTTTGTTCTCTGCCGGCTTCCGTGTGACACCAGTCATTTGTACATGTTGCTTGCTTACAACATCATACACCCAGCCACATTGTCGGTTTATGCGATATTTTTAGGCGACTATACCAATCAATGTTCCTTGCACCACGGAACGTGATGCGGCGCATTCGGTGTGTGTATGAGATTTATGTGTCAGACTCCTGTGTTGTATGCTGCACGCTAGAAAACAAATGACGTGTATGTACTTTTACATTTACAAGAGTGCATTATTACACCAACATTTATCAATTGAGATGCAGCAGCATTGTATTTATAGATAACAATGTTCTCATCGTGCATGTTGTTCCCTCCACCACCACCTCCTCCTTCTTACACCATAACAACCCGCATCATGAAGAATGACCACCATGTGGGTGGGTAAGTAGTGAAATGGCGTGTATAAAGTGTATCATCATTGTTATTGTTAATTAGCATCACACTATTATAGATAATATCTACCCATAGAATTGGATATTCATGCTTGAATCCGAAAACAGAACAATCCGCCATTTCTATTTTGTACACGAACAAGGCTTTATTCGTCGCGTATACAAGGTATCTTCCGTTGCTGTGTGTCGGAAATTGGACTCACCTTACACTTTGGGCCTCATATTAGTACCACTTGCACCTCTTCACTCGCACACACACACATTACGCACCCCCCCATCCACAACATGGATCTCGGCTATCGAAATCGCAACCACCCAGCTCATCAATACCAGCAAGAGATTGTGAAAACAGATCTTGTACACCAAACTATCCAAGCCATTCACCAGTTATTACGACACTATCCACACGCATTCGACCTCCATTTCCTCACGCCTATTGATCCAGCATGTGCTATACCAGTTGAGGATGCCATTCGACAACTGCACAAGGATACGATTGCTCTATATCGCTCACGAAACGTTGCCTTTGATAGCCACTGGGTAAGGTTTATTGACTTTTACGGCAAAAAGTTATAGTGGGGGATAGCTGATACGGTAATTTAGCACTGGAATATTGCCTGGAGACAAGCATTGTCTTACGAAAGCATTGCCGAGCTTGCTGATGGTGATACAACAAGGATCATCCAATCTTGCCATCCAAAGTGTCAAAAGTCTGTTGAGGCCATTTACAAGTACGACTTGGCTCCTTACATGCGGTGGTATCCATGGCGTTGGTTCTCTGATTTGGTCTTGATTGGCTCTGGAGGATTCTCGGCTGTTTATGCAGCCCACGTTGCCTTGTTGTACGATGCATCTCAAGATGGACAAGCGATTGGCCAACACAAGCGCCCTGTTGCTATCAAGGTGGTGGATGAAAAGATCTTGAACGAGGTAACTTTCGAGAAGGAGGGGGAGAATAAGAAGGGATCAGGATGTAACATGACTCTCTCTCTCTTTACATACATAGATCATTGTACAATCAAGAGCCTTCCTTGCTTTATTATTCCATGGCATCACTGTATGTGAGAGCACGGGCGACATTTTGATGATTACAACATTGGCGGAAGAAGGCAACCTTGAACATCGTATTGGCAAACCAGTGGAATATGGCTTGGATATGATGAACGTCACCGACATTGTGACACGATTAGCGTTTAACCTTGCCAGCTTGCATGACGAAATTGGGATGTGCCATCGCAACATTCATCCAGCGAACGTGCTTTGTTCAGATGACGATTATTTCCTTATTGATTTTCGATTCTCGACTGCATCGAACGAAGCGAGTGATGTGATCAAGTCATTTATGGGGCATTATGGTAGGATGACACGTGTATTATGCGAGATGATCCAGTGCGGCTAATGATGGTTTTGGTTAGGACGAGCACCCTATATTGCTCCAGAAGTGCGATCAGCCATTTACACTGAAAAATCAGACATCTACTCGTTAGGCGTGATTATGTGGCAGTTGATATCGGGTGTCGTGTTTCCATCACCTGAAGTGTTCTTGGACGCTGAGGATGTGTATCGGATTGAATGGATTCCTGGTGTCCCACGGTGGTATCAAGAGTTGACAATGGCGTGTCTTGAGCCATGCCCTGAACATCGACCTTTGGCTGAAGAAGTAGGCTTGATTGCACGTAAATTTGCTGTATCACCACAATCAGAGCAAATGCGTGTGCATCAAAAGGATTGGATTGCGTATGCGACTAGGCGGAGAGAAGCTTGTCAAGCACATCAACAACGTTGGTCAACCAAGGGAAGAACAACTACCACAACAACTACTCCATCATCAACCACACCAACAACAGCAAATGGTCATGGCGGAGGTGGTGGTGGTGGTGATTTGATACCGACACGCAACAAGGAGGAGGATGATATGATGATGATGACAGCATCTCGCGTGTACGAATTTAGGAATCTACCTTCTTTGGATGAGCTCGTCAACCTTCCATTTCATCATAGGCCATTCGATGCTGCTGATTTGTCTGGAGAATATTAATGTGCCTTGAACTTTGATCCGTTTACCTTTCATTTTCCTCCGCCCCGTATCCCGCCGTTCACCATCTCTATCTATCGATCTCACACTTGTGCAACCCAGGCATGTTTGGATGTCTCTTTTTGTTTTGTGGGACGAATGTGGTACAAACAAACACACGCAGATCATACATTTCATTTCTCGCTCCCCCTCTTTGGATCATGCATATTCTCTCTCACAACCAACCTCCTTGTTATTCCCTTCTCCTCCACCATACACATCATTGTGTATCACATTGCAATATGTCTTATCTTGTTATGGATCGTTGTTATATTTGTGAACAGGAAACGTGCATTGTATTATTATAATAAATCCATTCCCCCACACATTTTACAAAGAAACCCCATCCAAAACACAACAAACAACATGTATTTTCATTTAATGAAAGCTTACTCGATATATGCTTTGCCACGAGCTTCACGCGATACAAGATTTTTGCATATGCAGGAGATGCTGCTGTTTACTTAACCCCCGAAGAGTCGTGACATGATGATGACCCGCGGCTATTGATGCATAATGTGAGAGTTTCATTGTCAGCTCAAATGTCCACCAAACATACAGGGTAACCACCTTTACCTCTGGTGGCCGAGAGAAATGAATGGTTCTTGGTTTGACGGTCAAAATGGTCCAAGTTAGGAAATGAAAAAGATTAAAGAACGCTACACCTTATCCAGATGGCACTAGACAAGTATGGGCATGCAGCATATGCCTCATTTCATTTTAATTCTGTGCTAAGATCGCCCGTGCTGTAAATAAAATTCGTCGATCGAATGGTGTTGGTTGGGTTCCACAGAGCCGTAATTACGGACTTTTTGGAATGATGGTGGTGGTGGTGGCCCCTCCTTCCCTTTGCTGTGGCTCGTTATTGACCTCAAACTCAGGGGGTGAAAATTTCCCCAACCATTATCTGCATTGCGGAATTGGATGTATAAGGCAGGAGGCATTGCTGGGTTTTGGCTCGTGGATACAGTGGATACGATGCACTGGATCAACATTTGAAGGGATGTAAAAAATAACATTTGACAGATTTGATACCATACTTTTAGGTTTGTACGTGGCTATACTACTACGTCAAATAAGTGATAGTAGTAGTAGTAGTAATAGCTCGCGTGAGAAATAGTGGCTGCTACTACGACTACTACTTGGTAAATGAAAAGCACCTTGCCTATTAAGCGATGATGATGATATGGAGTCACATTCATGCATAGCGGTACAGGCCGATATGCAACCCCACGCACTGACTCGCCACCCCATCATCTCATCTCATATGCAGGAAAGATTAAATGACTGAGAGAGAGCAATATTACACACCGACAAGATGACACCATACGCGTCGAATCGGAGGATGCATGTTTAATGGTCTCGCCCCCTATTGCATGCCCCTTTTAGCAAATGAGACAACAACATTTAGCTAGTATGTAAGGGGGCAAAAGGGGGAGATGAAAAAGAGCGGGTAACAGACGTTGACCTTGAAATGATACGCAACCGAGGCAACGGATGAAAAGCGAGCCTGTATGTTTTAAGGAGAAGATCACGTACGCGTTTGCTTAAGCTTTTCTGTATCGAGCATGTGTTTCAAATTAGAATCAAAGATGAGGCCCGAAATGGAATGGATCCAAGGAAACGTACTTGAACGCGTATGGTGATTGCGTACGTTACGACAATGTGGTTCCTGTCATCGTTTGGATACCGGCACCATCAAATCAACATTGAAAAATGGTATAAATATGAGGATGTTCGAGCGACAAAAGACATCCTCATCAACCTACAAACACAACTTTCCCCACCACAACTCCTTTCTTACAACCAACAACAACCCTTTGCCACTTCCTTTCAAAATGCACTTCTCCACTGTCTCCATTGCTGCCCTTGTTGCTGCCGCTGCCTCCGTTCAAGCTGCTCCCACTGGTCTTGGTGGTCTTTCCGATGCCACCAGCGGTCTCACTGATGCCACTAGCGGTCTCTCTGCTGTCACTGATCTCCTTAACAAGATCCCTGGTGCCGAATCCCTTACTGGTCTTGTTGATGGTGACATCCTCAAGACTCTTACTGGTGTCATTAGCGAGTGCAAGGCCAACGGTGCTGATGATGCTGCTACCACTGCTGGCACTAGCGTCAGCTCCTCTGTTCCCAAGTCTGCTGAAGGTGCTAAGGGCATTGTCCAAAGCCTTGTCGAGTCCCTTTACCCTGGTCTTTCCAAGGCCACCAAGAATGTTGACGAGATCGTCGCTCAAGTCCTTGGTGCCCTTGGTGCCGATAAGATCGGTCAAGATGTCCTTGTTGACTCCTTGTCCACTGTTGATGCTTTGACCGAAAAGCTTGGTCTCGGTGTTGGCTGCCTTGTTGAAGTCATTAGAAAGGCTGTCGAAGAAGTCGTTGGTGCCGCCAAGGCCCAAAAGCTCGCCCTTCCCGCCCTTGATCAACTCGATTAAGTATCCCGCCCCATCATCACGTAGATCGTTAAAGACCTTCCTTTATACAACAACATTTTGTCAGAATAGTCATCTTTTGTCACAATATAATGTTGATTCTATATCATCTTTCATACTATGGAATTCTTGAAATGCCTCGTTTTATCGTGAACACGTTTGGAAATAGAAGTCATCGATTAATAATAAGAACTTCCTATACGATGACGACTGATAGGATATACTTAGCAGCGATGTTGTTGATGAGACATGTTCACACGTGGGGTTGTTTGTGCTACACAATGTACTTTACAGGCTAAACAAACAAATGACAAAGATTGTCGGATCAACACGGAGGTATATTATATGAACTTGCTCTAGTGCAAAGATGTCTACATTTTTACCCATCAAGGTTGCTATTCTTTTTCCTATACCATGTTAAGTTGTTGGACAAATCAATCCCATTGCATCATGGATACAAGAAAATCCAAATACGGGTGTTCATTGATTTCATCATTCTACTACTATGCGGTGGGGTAACATCCATTCCCCTTTCTTTAGTCGGAGACAAGGAGTTTACACGCACACACAAAGTCTGACTTTGGTTGCCATGGCAGTGGACGTGCGTTGCACAGGCCGACTGGGATCGGGGCATAGCCTGCATAGGGGCTTTATCATGCCAAGGTAGAGTGTTCGATAAGCAACTGTGCAATGTTGGCATTGAGGAGTCATTTTTGTGTTCCCTTGCAAAAAACAGCAACAGGTTGTGTATACAAGGAGTAGTGCTCATAATGCAATTACAAGTTTGTGTGACATTTTTTCAGCAGCAGAGATGATAATAGATCGCCCTTTTGTTGATCATGATCCAGAATTTCCATATCACAATGAGACCCATGCTATGTTGTTTTCCTTTATTCAATAAATAGAACAAGGTATGGCTTTGTCAAATACCTTACTTTAAGATTGAACCTTACATGTATATGTGATGCGTGTAGTAATCATGCATGTAATACCTTATCGCTGGGTCAAATCGACACACGCAAGGTGTTTGTCTCCTTAAACCCCTTGAGACTGTCATCCAACAACTCAGTTCCATACATGCAAACAAGCTCACGCTTTCTGAGATGTGATTTTCAAGGGGTAAGTGATCGCTCTATGATATGCCATGCATATTAGCAGCGGCAAAGAAATACGAGTGGCCGAGTTGAAATGTCGTTTAGTGCAATAGGGAGTATGCAATCATCACTTGTATGATGGAAACCAGATGAAATACAAGAATGCTGTATGAGGATGTGTATATAAATACTCGACATCTTGGGTATCCATGGTAACCATCATCCTCCCCACAGTCATACAAATCTTTGCTCAATAATCACAACCATGCGCTTCACTGCTATCTCTCTTGCTACTATTGCCTGCCTTGTCGCCACTGCTCAAGCTGCTCCTCCTCCTCAACTTGCTCCTTTGGCTCTTGGCAAGCGTGTTTTAGGTGTTGATGGCAACGGTGTTGCTGGTGCTACCTCTGCTTTAGGTGGTTGCAAGAATCCCGCTCCTGCTGGTCCTAATGGATACCCTACTGTTGATCCCTCGGTCACATCCCCCAAGGGTGTTGTTCAAAGCTTGGTTGAATCCTTGTATCCAGGCCTTTCCAATACCACCGGACAAGTCGATGAATTGGTTGCTGATATCCTCAGCGCTCTTGGTGCTGACAAACTCGCTGGTGGTATTCTCGGTGGTGCATTAGATGCCGTTAACGACCTTGCACAAAAGCTTGGCTTGGAAGTTGGATGCATTGTCCAAATCGTCAAGGAAACGGTTGAGAAGGTTTTGGGTGCCGACAAAGCCAAGGCTCTTGAAGCTGCTGGTGGCGATGCTGCATCATCATCCCAACAATAAGATCAAGCTTAGATAATAGTCTTAACATGTTGCTGCTGTTGTTACTTTTCCATTATTGACATAATAATATACGAATGTACCTTTGATCATACCCTTACATCAATCTTCATGTGTTTATGATATGTACGTTTGCATGTTCTTGGTTCCAGTAATATGGTTGCATATGTATACCTTCGGCTAAAAGCTGTTGCTCTTTATTTTACTTTGCAATTTGTTGAAGGTTCATGGTTGGCTGTAACTGATCTTTGGTGCTATCATGCATGTCTTAAAAATGGCAATCCTTCGACATAGTCGACATTAAAGGATGTCACCAAAATAGAATGGCTACTTTGGTTGTGCTTATTGGACGTCATTGTGCAAAAGTCAAAGCTGCTTATGATAACGCATGGTCACCTAGCTATCGAAGAATCCATTTCGTTAGCAATTGTTAGCAACAATCGCATCACATTATCATGCATCAACAAGGGCAATGGACATGCTTGACTTTAGGTAAACATGGATTGATGCTGAATAATAGCATATCAAGGTATCAGCAATTTTGATAATCTTCCGTTAGATTTGCCCATAATCCTGGTCAAACATCTCGCATGATGGTTACATTTCAACGGCTTACCTATTAGTCAGTACACCACATGGTGCGTTCTTTGGAGACTCTTTGTTGTATGCCACCGCCATCATCTCAATCACCCGGCTCCGCCAGGGGCTTCTTTATTATCGGGATCCGGAAAGTTTGCATTGCTGCAATGATGGCCGTTGGTATTATGGTACCCCAAGCATGATCCCTCGGGGTTCAGAGGACATCGGTAATAACAAGGTTTTTCTACCACCTCGTGGACACACTTAATAATGTTTGTTGACAATGTATACCTTCGTGATAACCTTGTCATCGTTTCTGGTACCTTGTACGTGTGCTGATGCGATCATCTTCATGCATCTGATGGAATAAAAGTTTGGGTTGGATAACCGATAAGCCATCGTGTAGCTAGTAGGGAGCTCGTTAACTGGGTTGTTATGCCAACCTTGTGTTCCTCGAGAAACACAGCAGGTTGTTTGGTGCACAAGGGGATGTTCATAATACAGAAAGTCAATTAGTGTAACATTTAAAGATAAGGGATCGCCTGTGGATTCATCACCAGCAAAAAAAAAGGACCCATATCACATTGACCAGTGCCATATGAATGTTTACTTTTATTAGATGCCATTGTTTCACTATTTGGAACATGTAATGTGCTTTGTCAACTATCCTTGCTTTAATACGGGGAGGGGTTGTCGCATGATGATGTAGATGCGATGCGTTTAATATGTAATGCATCCCGCATGGCTGCTGGGTCAAATCGACAAACGCAGGTGCTTGTCTCCTTAACCCCTTCGAGACTGCAATCCAGCAACTCAGTTCCATACAAGCTCACACTTTCTGCTGAGATGTGATTTTCAAGGGGTAAATCAATCGATCAATGCTATGTGCTGGTACAGCGGCAAAGCAAATACGGGTGGCCGAGTTGAAATGTCGTTTAGTGTAATAGGGAGTAATTGTTGGCTTCCTGTTGATGCCACAAGCAAGGTTCAAGAAGGTTGGTAGAGGATGTGTATAAATACTAGGCAGCTTTTCAGCTCTCGTTTTTCATTATCCTCACACATACATACAGATCTCTTCTTTATAAATCAACATCATGCGCTTCACTACTATCTCTCTCGCTGCCATTGCTTGCTTTGTTGCCACTGCTCAAGCTGCTCCCACTGCTCAATCAGGTGCTTTGGATGGTGCCTTGTCAGCTGTTGATGGCAACGGCGTTGCTGGTGCTACCTCTGCTTTAGGCGGTTGCAAGAATCCTGCTCCTGCTGGTCCTAATGGATACCCTACTGTTGATCCCTCGGTCACATCCCCCAAGGGTGTTGTTCAAAGCTTGGTTGAATCCTTGTATCCAGGCCTTTCCAATACCACCGGACAAGTCGATGAATTGGTTGCTGATATCCTCAGCGCTCTTGGTGCTGACAAGCTCGCTGATCGTATTCTCGGTGGTGCATTAGGTGCCGTTAACGACCTTGCACAAAAGCTTGGCTTGGAAGTTGGATGCATTGTCCAAATCGTCAAGGAAACGGTTGAGAAGGTTTTGGGTGCCGACAAGGCCAAAGCTCTTGAAGCTGCTGGTGGCGATGCTGCATCATCATCCCAACAATAAGATCAATCTTAGCTATTAGACGTAACATAGTTACTACTGTTGTTGTTTGACTCCCTCTACTACAAGCTATAATAATATACATGCAATGTATCGTTTGCCATACCCTGACATCATGATTGTGTAACTGAATGATGAAAAAAGTGAAAATTTTGGTGAAGATATGGATGACGAGGAGAGAAGAAGAGCATTAAAAGCGGTCTTTAGCTCTACGACTACCACCGCCATAATGGGTATCCATATGAAAGGTGGGATTGAAAGTAAAAAATGGTATCAAATGAAATGTAAAGCAGTATCCTTGACAAAAAAAGAGTGAACAATGTGAAAGCTATCATTGTATTGCAAAGAAAGAGAGAAAGGAACAATGAGATTATGTCCGGTGATGGCGTTCTTTTGATCCGTTGTTGTTCCGGTGTTCGTGTATCACATGAGATCTTCTTTTGGTAATTCCATTGCAACACATACAACTTATGTTCCGCCGTTATCCGTATCCGCATCCGAAAACAACATGGCTTTTCTTTATTCAAGCAAAACATGGCGGGTTACTGATACAAATATACACCAAAGGGATATCCCCTTGGAGACTAACAAGGGTTGCCAGGGGACATGCATTTCTAACAACACGTGGATACACGTTAATGCTTGACGTATGTATAAACCTCTTCTTGCATCGTCGTACATTGCTATCACGCTTGCTACACACACAAAAAGAACAGCTCCGCCAACTCTTTCTTTCTCTTTGGTCTTTCTTTTTCTCACCTGTTCACTACATACTCTTCACAATCAGCCATGACAAGCCCTGAATTCACAAGCCCTTTGAGAAAGTACAAGTTGGTGTTCCTTGGCGAGCAAAGTGGTAAATGACCCTGTCATGTTTGCTTGTGTTGTGATATGGCCTTGGTAACCACCACTGACGAACGCATTTCAAACTACTAGTTGGCAAGACATCGCTCATTACGAGATTCATGTATGACTCTTTTGATAACACGTACCAGGTGAGTGGCATGGATACGTCGTCTTTGGTGATACGTTGGAAGAGCAATAAGATGCATGTGTAGGATCCTTTTTTACTCACTGATATCTGTTCCTAGGCAACTATCGGTATCGACTTTTTGTCAAAGACCATGTATTTGGAGGACAAGACTGTTCGCTTGCAGCTATGGGATACAGCTGGCCAGGTACAAAAGCAACTTTTCCACCTGACATTGAAACCAGCGACTCACCCAATCATTTCAGGAACGCTTCCGTAGCTTGATTCCGAGTTACATTAGGTAAAGCGACTACAGGCAACTTTTTGAACGAGCAAGCATGCTTAATATCATGATTATCCAGGGACTCATCTGTGGCAGTGATTGTTTACGATATCTCAAGTAAGTTGACATCTGGCAATGGACCTTGGTAATATCATAAGACTCATTATCCCTATTCCTTGTAGACCGTGAATCATTTGTGAATACTACACGATGGATTGATGATGTACGAGCTGAGCGTGGTGATCAAGTTATTGTTGTGCTTGTGGGCAACAAGACGGATTTGAATGAAAAACGGTATGTTGTTATTGTGTCACACATGTCGATACAAGCAAAACAAGGTTTAAGACTAAGCCCTAATGTTAGTGAGGTGACGACCGAGGAAGGCGAACGACGTGCCAAAGAGTTGAATGTCATGTTTATTGAAACGAGCGCTAAAGCTGGCCACAATGTACGTTGATGCATGGTGGGATGTTGTTTACCAAGTCAGATGCATCTAACAACCCATGATTTCCTTGCAGGTCAAACCTCTCTTTAGAAAGATTGCACAAAACTTGCCTGGTATTGATTCACATGGCAACGAGCAAAAGGATCAGAGTAAGTGCTTTGTTATTACCATCATAATCATCATTCATCTATTAACATGCTTATAGTGCAAAAGGTCAATTTGAGCTCAAGCAATGCAGAGTCCTCTGCTTGTGCATGCTAAACCACCCAGGGCACACTGCATCAGGCCTCTTGTCTCCCCACCCCCTTGTTGCTTTTCAATCCTATATACACCATTCGCTATCTCTTTTTTTACCCCTTCAATTAGCTAATCTATTTGATATCTCTCTTTATAAAGATAATACAAGAAACAATGTGCTTTTTCTCATCTATGATACTATTTGCGTATGAGTCATCATTCCGCGGAGTGGCATGCTGTGTGAGTGTGAGTGTGGGTGTTGCTTGAATACAATGCGTGAATGACATGGATATCTAAGAAGCTATCTCTTTCTTCTCTTTGTGCACTCGAATCATGTCGGCTAGACCTTTGAAGGTGTTGATATCAAATGATGATGGTATATGCTCCTTGCCCATCTACATCCTTGATACTGACTTCTTGCTCTTGCATAGGTCCTCCTTGTCACGAAGAATCGCCGTTCATTCTACCCTTCATTGAGCATTTGGAAAGCCTTGGTTGGGATGTCAAGTAAGAATGCCGCATCTTGTATAGGTTTCTTGTAAGCGACTAAATGAAAGCAATAGAGTATGTCTCCCCGATTCCCAAAAGTCGTGGATCTCCAAGTCGTTCATGATAAAAGAGCACGTTGAAATGAGTTACTACCACCGAGAAACAGGCGAACGTAGCTATCATAGACAAGCACCATATGATATTGTCCTGGTAAGCGTTGATTAGGATTGTATGATATAGTGGAATGTGCCTGACATGAGGACGTATACGCTGCATGATTTAGCTTAGTGCTACACCTGCCACTTGCATCAACATTGCCCTGCATCACATCTTCAAGGATGAGCAATTTGACTTGGTCATTGGAGGTCCTAATTTTGGACGAAACTCGGCAAAGTAAGTGAGGATCATTTTTGCAATCCATCCTATACAAACTCATGTCCTTTTGGCAGCATTTACACCTTGTCGTCAGGTACCATTGGAGCTGCACTGTAAGTGGTGAGAAATGTTCTCCTCAGAGGAGCTTACCTATTGACATTGTCGAATTCTTTCTAGTGAAGCTGTCATGAGCCAAAAGAAAGCGATTGCCTTGTCGTTTGCATTCTTTTCACGAGACTTTGCCAAGAACAAAATCGAATGTGCATGTCAAATGGGTAAGTATCTCAATACATTTGGCGATCAATCATATCCTTAATCTATCTTCATAGCTTCGAATGTGATCCAACACTTGTATCAGAAGGACATGTGGCCTGCACACGGCTTATTCAATGTGAACGTGCCATTGGTGGATGAATTACGCCCTGTACGATTGACACATTTCCACACCACAAGTTATGGAAGCCTTTTCCGCCCACTCAAGGATAAAATGATAAGTGATGCGGCAACCACGAGCGATGCATCAGGAGAAATGGTTGAGCAAAGCGTACGCAGTGAAGCTGAAGGCCACGAACCAGGAAAGACCATCTTCCACTTTGCACCTGATATCAAGAGCATGAGCCATCCAGCTGATCCAGATTCCAACACGGATGCCTGGGCATTACAAAATCGCTATGTCTCCGGTAAGGTTTGCTTGAGAGAAGATTGACATGCATAAATAACCCGTTGTATGTTGCTGTTCTTTGTTCTATATTGTAGTGACTCCTATGGTTGCTGCATACCAGATTGCGAATATGGATAAGGATTATGAACTCGATTCTCTGCATGCAAAGATCTAATTATTACAGTATCATACCGATAATAAATTTGGATACAAAGGAAGTTGAGCATTATCTATACATGTGGTTATCGCGTCCTCTGTCAAAGCCGGAAGCATACTAGACCATCCTCCCATCTCCCACCGTATGTTAATAAAGGAACGTGTGTTACGACGTTGTTAGCAAGATCCAATTACAAAAGAAAGGGTAGCGAGTTATACTGTGACATAAAGTCTTTGTTCAAGACACAATGGCGGATCAATCAGACCCTTCCTCTTTATCACACCATTCACAAGTAATCATACGTCTACAATCCTGCATAGATCTCTCTATAACATAGTCCCTCAAATACCCACAAACGGTAAAGTCGAACTTAGGAAAAAGGAAACTTCGAAATGATTGTCCAAAGCAATATCGTGTCAATAAGAAACCTTTTAATCCAATATCATCCACAAGAGACAGAAGGGATACGAGATGGAGAGGGTAAAGTGCACTGTGCAAAGGTGAATGGATGGACGTGAGGTAGCACTTGATGTGTGGCGGCAAATGTATTCATGATGGCATGTGTATCAGAATATGGAGATAGGATGATGATGGCTGTACCTTCATTGACAGGTTGCACAAATGATTAGTTGCCATGGTATAGCGTGTAAAGTACGATAGCTGGTTGCAGGATGGTCAATCAAATTGACAATGGATACGCCCCTTCCCACGTGTTGTATATACCCAATTCCTTCCATCCCATGTATCAAACCCATACAGTATTCATATCCATATCCATAGGAAGCTCGTATGTATTGATGCAAATTGCTACATACACGTAAATAAAGCTGCTTCTATACAATGGCTATCTGCTGTCCACTTGGAAAAAGGCTGTAAGGCAAGATGCTGCAAGTAGAAACGCTGTTTGAGGCAATGAAGTAATGGCAACTGCTGCAATGAACGTTGTTACGGTTGGTTGTGGCAGAGGAGTGTGCAAGACAATGTGTAGCATCAAGGAATGCGTGTGTTGTAGCAGAGTGACAAGAAGACCGCGTACACGCCATGGACTTGTCATTCAGTCAAAGGCTTCTGGATCAAGAGGGTTGTAGGATTGGCATGATGGGTTGAAGCAGGACAATCGTTCGTAGGCCGTAGTTGTACTTGAATGGGGCAACAGTGAGAATGGGAAGAAGTGGCAAGAAGATGGGAGTGGAAGAGGTGGAGTTCAAGTAGATTTCTTTGGTGTTGGATGATGACATTTCTTTGTTTGAGCGTTCTCATCCAGATCCTCTCGTATCAAGAAAGTTGAATGATGGAAGTGTTGAGCTGAAGCAGGACAATCGTCGTATGCATTGGATTGGGCAACAATGGGGAATGGGAGGAAAAGGCTATCAAGCGGCAGTTTACAAATAACTGCAAAATGATTCTTCTGAAAAGGATGATACTTCTGTGCTTGAGCGTAACTCAACCAAATCCACTCGGATCAAGAAACTTGAGTGATGGCGACGATGGTCTGGAGCAGGACAACCGTCCACATGCATTGGTTTGGGAAACAACGGTGAAAGGGAGGAAGTGGGTATTAGCTTCCAATGATGAGCTGTTACTGAATAGTGTATAGCATACCATTCGTTGACCCTTCCAGTCATGCAAATCGGCTGGGTTACACAAAGAGGTCTTTCTGTCTTTGGCTCTCCAAGGTCAAGCTACTTTACATTAAACAAAGACCACTCTTCATATAGCATCACGCTTACAGCATATGTAAAACATAAAGGTGCCTGTATCTCAAAACTTCACAATCAAACGTGGGGTTTTTGATAGAACAAAGTTGCTCGGCCGGGCCAAAGGAATCTTGTGTGGTTGTTTCACGATCGAGGTGGCCAATCCCAGATTCACCATGTCGCCACCAGCCAAATTGGATTCGGGTCGACCTCTTGAATTTTTTTCGACGACGAGCAAAAATATTTTTTGGCTGGTGGCGACATGGTGAATCTGGGAATGGCCACGATGAACTTCATACTTTGACACAAGATCGCTTTGACCCCGCCGAGCAACTCTGCTCTATTAAAGACCCCAGGTTTGATTGTAAAGTTTAGAGATACGAGAACCTTTATGCTTTATATATGATGTAAGCGTGATGCTATATGAGAAGTGGTCTTTGTTCATTGTCAAGTCGCTGGACCCTGGCAGAGCAAAAGACGCAGAGGGACGTCTTTGTGTAACTCAGCTACTTTGCATGACTAGAAGGATGGAAGGATGATACTGTATTCCATTGACAATGGTCCATATCTTGCGAGCTATCAGCTATTTCCTCGCAATCGGCACTGTTGTCCACCCTATGACATGTGAGCGATTCTCCTGCTCCAGACATTCATTTCCATGATTGGATGGTCTTGATCCGAGTTGATTTGGCTGAGCTACGCTCATACAAGGTTACTTCAGTTAAGCAACATAGAGCATGGTTAGATGTGTGGATTGATGTAATCCCTCTTTGGCTGTATCTCGGTCAAATCAACTCGGATCAACATAATCAAATCATGGAAATGAATGTCTGAAGCAGGAGCATCGTTCCACTGTCATAGAACGGGCAACGTTGCCAATTGTGAGGAAATGGCTGTTAGCTCGCAATGTATGGGATATTGTCAATAGTATACAGTATCATCCTTCCATCCTTCTAGTCATGCAAAGTAGCTGAGTTACTCAAACACGTCCCTCTGCATCTTTTGCTCCGTCAGGGTCTAGCTACTTTACATTAAACAAAGACCACTTCTCATATAGCATCACGCTTACAAACATAAAGGTGCCTGTATCTCCAAACTTTACAATGAAATGTAGGGTTTTGAATAGAGCAATGTGCTCGGCTTGGACAACTGCACCTTGTGTCAAAGTATGAAGTTCATCGCGGCCATTCCCAGATTCACCCAATGTCGCTACCAGCCAAAAAATATTTTTGCTCGTCGTCGAAAAAAAATTCAAGAGGTCGACCCGAGTCCATTTTGGCTGGTGGGCGACATTTGCGAAATCTGGGATTGGCCACCTCGATCGTGAAACTACCACACATGATTCCTTTAACCCCGCCGAGCAACTCTGTTCTATTAAAGACCCCAGGTTTGATTGTAAAGTTTAGAGCTACAGGCACCTTTATGTTTTACATATGATGTACCCATGGTGCTATATGAAAAGTGGTCTTTGTTCATTGTGAATTAGCCAGACCTTGAGAGAGCAAAACATGCACAGGGACGTGTTTGTGTAACTGAGCCATCTTGAGGGATCAATCCTATTGGTGAAGAAATGCATGATTGATCCTTCCCCTACTGCCTATAGTAAGGTCCGCCCATGATGGCCGTATTGCATGATTCTTTCTTATATAAGGATGCACGGGATAGTGTTAGCTGAGGACTGACATAGGTAAGCATGGTGTATTCGTGTACTCATGCCGTATTGTATAACAGCTCATTCTTTTTGGAGGTTGTATGTAATGCATTAAGCTCACAATGAATACCATGCCCTGTAACAAGCAAATGTTGGGCATTATCGCTCTCAAATTAGTTATATTTGCAATACAATCGTTAGAGAGTAGCCACTGCATTTTTTCTACTATTAACATGTGAACTAGAAAGCTTCAATGAAGTCATAAAATGTTGTGGCAAAAGAACAAACGCATCGCGATACGACGATGTCAGTGATCCAACCTCACTTTACGACCTCCCATTTCTATTCCCTCTTTCAAACCAGAAACCATCCATGTGATCCACATCTTGCCCATACGTGCTGATACATGATACCCCCAATATTATGTTAAATCCAATTTTCATTCAATGACAAAGGTGAAGAATGGCATATAGTAGTGTTGGTATCTATCAAGTAAATAGGATGAAGGAACAGCATTGCAAAGATACGAGGGGTGAATCACATAGAAGCCACGGGGATAATGATGTCATTGCATTCTTGGTTGCTGCCGTCATAATCATCCTTCATCCATGATTGCAAAGTAGCTGCTGCGTGCATTGAATCGAGTACTCCAATATCATCCATCCATGGCTGTAAAACACCATTCGTCAAAGATACAAGCCCTTTTGCCAATTCCATCCAATTCATCATCATCCTTACCCGTATCCACGTGGTAGGATCCATCCTTCCTGCCGACGACGCGTCAAGTAACCAAAGCAACGTCCCATGATTCACCAGCCCTGCACTTGATTGCATAGCTCCCTCCCTCCATAACCATTGCAAATCCAATTGTTGGTGGAAAAGAGCCGCGTGATCGCAGCATGCTTCCTTCTCCATCCACTTGTGGGTCCATCTCTTTCTTGGTCAGTTTTCATCACTGCTCAACCAGACGAAGAATTGCTTGTATTGCCGTGTATTTGGTAGCTGATATGGATCGTCCATTGGTATCCGTAAGTATCAAAGCAAGTTGCCATAGGTAAATAACGCGACTCCCATACATTGGCTATCTGCTGTTCATGTCAAAAAGACGGCAAGGCAGTGCTGCATATACAGAACGCTGTTCGAGACAATGAAATAAAGACCTTCATGATAGCTGCTGTTGCTGTAACGTTTGGTCGTGGTAGAGAAGTTTGCAAGAAAGCGTGTGTTGTAGTAGAATGACAGGGTTGTGGATGCTGTTTGAGACAATGGAGTAAAGGCCTTGCTAATGGCAGCTGCTGTTACGAATGGTTGTGACAGAGGAGTGTGCAAGACAATGTACTTTCAAGAAGGCGTGTGTTGTAGAAGAGTGACAAGAAGGCTGTGGACACCACGCCATTCAGTCAAAGACAATCGGATCAAGCCAAGTGTAGGGTTGACATGATGGATGGAAGCAGGACAATGGTTCGCAGGTGGTAGTTGTACTTGAATGCACCAACAGTCGAGAATGGGAGGAAGAGGGAAGTATGCTGGTAGTGGAAGAGGGGAATCAAGTAAGTGGGAACCAATGTTGAATTGATTTGTTCGCTGCCCTGAACGCTGTTGCAGGACAGCTTATTAGAGAGATGGTCCCTTATTATAAATATGGGTGACAAACGGTTTCAGGCTCCTTTAAAGATGAATACTATGAGATTGTAGTGGTTTCAAAAACACGTAAGCTTATTGTAAAACCATCACTCCATCATAGGTCGTGTTAAGCCATTCAACGAGAAATCAAATTTACGAGTGAAGCGAACAGTTATCAAGGAAGTAAATAGAGTTTCAATCAAAGAAGCCGATTCATTTAAGCAGACCATGAATGAAATACAAAAAATAGATGAAAATTGAAACAAAGAAATAACGAGTGGAAGAGGGACTAATAGTGTAATAGGAGGAATGGTTCTACTAGCTGGTATCATTGCTTGGTGGGGACCAATGTTTGCGCGGCATCATTGGAGGTTGGGTGAATCGCTTTTAAGTGCGCTCATCACTGTTTTTAACGGATTCGCCAACGGTTCCTGTTGTTGTTTGACCACCTGTTTTTGCGGCGGATGCGAATTTGTCGCTAACTGCAGTAGGTTCGCCTACACCAACCGTTTCACCAAGTTTGGCCTTATTGCCACCAAGAGCGTGTACACCACTGCCTCTCTCGAGGTTGTCTTGGGCAACACGTAAACCAGCCAAAGGAGCTTTACCAGCAGGAGTTGAAATAAGAGCTGACTCTACAGCGTGTTGCGCCTTATTGAGAGGATCAGACAAACCACCCAACAACTTGTCTCCAACAGGTAAAGGAGAGGCTTGGATGTTGATCACGAAAGAGAGAGTTGCGATGAAAACGAAAGTAAGGGAGCGCATTATGGCTTGAATAAGATGTAGAAGTAAGTTGATGTTTATAAAATTCTTTATGCCCAGCATTGGCGCTTTTATATATCGTTTTACCATATGGTCCCGTTATCCCTGATGTCTTTTGACATCGTATTTGCTTCATCTCCTTGACAAGTAATGAAGTTGCCTTGTATAGAAATCTGATGGCTTTACCCTTATCGAACAACAATCCCCCTCCCATGCACTGCAAAAGATATTAGTCCAGCGAAAGGAGGTACCTTGACATCTCTCCCAAAAGCACGCATACTCCCCTTTTTCCTCTTTGGGAAGCAATTCACACATTCAATCGCTTGTACTCCTCTCTTTGTGTTTGGACGTCGACGTTTCCATGATCATAGATAATCTTATTACGTGCTTGCGGATCCTCCTATAATAATACTGTGCATATGGAAATAACGAGGACGAGGACAATAAATGGTTAACACACATTATTGCTTGCTTGCTTCTATGTCACGAAGGAGTGATCTTCCTACTGTGGATAATACACACATACCAGTATGGGATCATCCTACATGCAATGATGTTAATACACCCATATTACATGATTAATCTATATCAAGAGTTTGGATCAGCATAACCTGGAAAATGCTATCGACTTAAATCCGATTGGTGGGAGGGTAATGTTGGTATCAAAAGAACGCCTCATCTACATACACCATCCTACGTCTTACTCGATTGATAGTATTGCATGCGAATTTCATGAAAGGAGCAAGGAATCGGTTTGCACGGACGAGCTGGTGTGCGATGCTCTAGGAGGAAGGAGCTTACAGCAAGGTTCTCCGCACATCAGCTTGTATGATGCAACGTCCCTAATGCAAGCACCGTATCATTCAAACACCGTTGTATGCCAAACGAGGACACCAAAGTCAGATCAACAGAATCGCCTTTGCCATGTGCTGCTGCAGGAGTTGACAAAAGCAATACAAGCAGGCGTGCATGCTTATGCATCATGTGTCAGGATCCCCTCCTTCTTGTCGATACAATTCTTTATTTCAATTACATGTTATGGCTCATCTAGAACATAATCAATCTGGGTATATAATCACAAAGAATGTATCAATACAAAGAATTGCATATCGGCAACGTTGGCGAATTGGGATAAAGAACGTATTGTGTCTCTCAAATGAACTCCGTGGATGATCAATCCCATGCTCAATTTTGGTCATCATTTCTCGCCTCCTTTACATTCTTGGTCAACATCCGAGAGGCGTATCGTGGATCGAAACCTACTGCGGCATAAAAATAACGACAATCAAAGATGCAGCTGACGTGCCTCGTTGTATTTGTGGTTGAGTGATACCATATTCCATGTTTATGGGCGATCATAGAACGGTGCTAGGGGGGAGGAAGCAATACATACCTTAAGTAGTGGTGGGTATAATAACAAGGTATTCAAGTCTTTAATGGTATTAATCAACTGCTGCTTACCAAATGTGAGGTGTACATATAAGCATACATAGCCAGCTTTAATAATACCTTGTACTGCTTTATGAAGCAAGATACCTTCGATCATGTGTTGCATGTATTAGCTTGTAGCCAAGTAAAGAAATGGCTACATGATGGTGCTCGAGATAAGAGCGAAAGTCATAAACACAACAACAAATTTCAGATTTCAAAGCTTGCTTTACTCAGGCAAAAGAACAATATGCATCTATGGGCACAACAACAATTCGATACATTGAGATAATGGGGAAGGGGTAGTGGGGAATGTGGGATCACAAAGTACTATTTAGTGGCTAACACTAGCATCGGCACCATACTTTTGTTGCAAGAATTGGCTAATCGTTTGGCCGATTTGTGCGTTGTCCATACCAGCTTGGCTAGCAAATTCGCTTGGCTTGATGGTTTGGTCAACTTCAACACCGAGCTTTTTGGCAAGGCAATCAGCTAAGCTCTTTGTAAACTCCAAGTGGGGTTGAATCTTCTTGACAATCTTCTCGAGGATATCCTTAGCTGGCACCTTTTGAGAGGAACCAAGGATACCAGATAAGTCCAAACCGCTTCCACCAGTAAGACCAGAAGTGATGCCACCAACATCAGCTGTGGCAGATCCAGATGCATCACCAGAAGAGGCGGAGCCACTTGCATCACTAGTAGAACCAGAGCCATTGACATCACTAGTAGAACCAGAGCCATTGGCATCACCAGAAGAGCCTGAACCATTGGCATCACCAGAAGAACCAGAGCCTGAAGAACCATCAACGCTTCCTGTAAGGCCGCCAATAACACCACCTGCAGTATCAGTAATACCAGAGCCGGAACCTTGCTCATCACCGGAAGAGCCATTACCACTACCGCCTGTAAGACCGCCAACAATACCGGTTGCAGCGTCGGCAATGTTAGAGCTTGAACCATCGCCTGATGTGGATTGATCACCAGAGCTTGATGAATCACCGGATCCATTGTTGCCATCATTGTTGCCATTGTTGGATCCTTCGTTGCCATTGTTGCCATTGTTACCATTGTTGGATCCATTGTTGCCATTGTTGGATCCATTGTTGCCGTTGCTGGATCCTTCGTTGCCTTCGTTGCCATTGTTGGATCCATTGCTGCCATTGTTGCCATCATTGTTGCCATTGTTGGATCCATTGTTGCCATTGTTGGATCCATTGTTGCCGTTGCTGGATCCTTCGTTGCCTTCGTTGCCATTGTTGGATCCATTGCTGCCATTGTTGCCATCATTGTTGCCATTGTTGGATCCATCGTTGCCATTGTTGCCATTGTTGGATCCTTCGTTGCCATTGTTGCCGTTGTTGCCATTGTTACCATTGTTGGACCCATTGCTGCCATTGTTACCATTGTTGGATCCATTGTTGGATCCATTGCTGCCATTGCTGCCATTGCTGCCATCATTGTTGCCATTGTTGGATCCTTCGTTGCCTTCGCTACCATTGTTGGATCCATTGCTGCCATTGTTGCCATTGTTACCATTGTTGGATCCATTGCTGCCATTGCTGCCATCATTGTTGCCATTGTTGGATCCTTCGTTGCCTTCGCTACCATTGTTGGAGCCATTGTTGCCATCATGAGATCCAGAATGATTACCCGAAGATTCATCCTTGTCAGACTTATCACCACCAGCAGATGAAGAGCCGCTACCACTATCACCAATAGATGCCGAACCATCACCGTTACCAGATGAAGAGCTGCTGCTGCTACCACCAATAGATGCTGAACCATCGCCATTGATATCGGTTGAAGAGCCTCCACCAACGGGGACATCGCCATTGGCCGATGCAGAAGAATTGCCCTTGCCAGATGATTTCTCCTTGTCGGATTGATCACCACCATCACCAGAAGAGGAGCCATTGGCGCTATCATCACCATCAATAGATGCTGAACCATCGCCATTGATACCGGCTGAAGAGCTTCCACCAGCTGAGACATCACCATTAGCCGATGCAGATGAATCGCCATTGCCGGATGTCACATCCTTGTTGGATTGATCACCCTCACCAGAAGAGGAGCCATTGGCGCTATCATCACCACCAATAGATGCTGAACCATCACCATTGATACCGGCTGAAGTGCTTCCACCAGCTGAGACATCACCATTAGCCGATGCAGAAGAATCACCGCCACCACCGAGGATGCCATTAACAGTCGAGCCAATATCACCACCATGAGGTGCAGGCAAAGGAATCGAATGAGCACCTGCAATGATGCAAACGATAGCAGTCAAAGAAAGGAATGAGGAACGCATCTTGATGAATCAAAGAGAGCTTGAGTGAGAGAGCTGGGTAGGAGTAAAAGAGTGAGAGAAGTTGTTGTTGTTGTTGTTGGATTCTTCGACATTGATGATCGGTCTGGTATTTATACAAAGTAATTCATGCGAACGGCTCAATGCCAATATCAACAATGTGCAATCTCTAATACCAGCTTTCAAGGATATCCCCCTAGAAGGCGACCTAAGATACATAGTGCAGAAAATAAAATGAATATCGGTAATGTGGTGGGCGATCATTTTGTCCAAATGTGTGCTAACCAGAAAAAGTCCTATAGCGTGTGTGCCCAAGCTATGGATGCCAAGAGCCAAAATAGTTTCCTAGAGGCAATAAGCGACTTCCACTCTATGAATATGTGTATCAGCAGCCCTACTTCCACGTTTAACGCACCCCTGTGCATTAGTATCCGAATGCTTATTCCTTTACCCCTGATGCATAATATCCTGAAACGTTCATGCACCCTATCACCTATCCAATACACAAAGCTCCTTCGGCCTCATGTCGCATATACATTGGATACAATGACGGATGCCTACATGAATGCTGATGTCAAAAAGTGTGCAAGCAAAACCATGATTTTCCAAACGTAAGTGATTGCCTACTTGCGCAATTGTATTTCGTATAGGCTCTCGATCGTATCAGCCCCTGTCATTTAAAGTTCGGGATCGACGCTTCCTTGCAATTCTATTTTTGCTCATGTTTACCTAGTATCATGAACAGTGCATGAATTTTCATGATCCATAACATACTTGGCCACCAACCTTATACGTTACCATTGCACATGTTCACCACCAATATTCAAAGTTTGAGCAATGGATGATGGCAAACAAAGCCGATCTTCATCAATGCAAGGTACTGAATATACAATGATCCCATTTACCTATTTCAATTGTAACCCGCCAATCCACGTTTGAATTTCCCCACATCCGAGATACACCAGCCTTTGCCAATTATTGACTCAACGCCGAACAGGAATGAGATCCTCACCACACGCAATTGTTTGGTATATACACAAAGCCGATCATCATCTTATTATTGAAGCTTCACTAGAGCTGCATCCGGATCGCTACGATCAATGTACACTAAGCTATTCACGCTCAGCTTGTAGATGGCTTGTGATCCTGCTCCTTCTCGCAAACCAAGTGATGCAACGAGATCCGAAACCGATGCGCGTAGATCTTGTAGGGGCATGCAATGGTCATGCTGGCTTTGAAGTATGTCGATGACTTTGGCCATAACTTTCCTCTCAGGATCCACTCCCGACACGCGATCAGACAAAATTTGATTGACGAGTTCATGTCGTGCAGCCCTAATGCAAACCATTAATTCCTTGTTTTCTCAAATGCATTTCCATACATACTCTAAGCTTGCAGCATAATCATTATTCATGTATAGCCGATCACGAATAGTGTCCTGAAGTGTCACGGATGGGCTTGTTTGGTCGATCTCCATGCTTTCCTGATTCTCGTCAAGCTCTTTTTCTGCTTCTGATATCCTTTGTCGCTGCCGTCCGCTCTCGCGTCCTAATACCAACATCCATGTTAATCCTATTCACTTCCCAGGGGGTAAGATCGGATATGACCACTTACTATAGTTCTCCAACTCGCGTTCCTTCAAAGCAATAGCACGCTCCAAATCGCTTTCTTCCTGTGCAAGGTAACAACGATAAAAATTAGCCGCTGTGCGTGATGCTCCATTCTCATGCCATAAGCTTTACCTGCTGTCGTTGGTGATCAACATCATGTCTGGGTATCTAGCAATACAACAAGGGATCAGCGTTCTGATACCGCCAAATAGTGTACCTTTCACACGAACCTTCTTCAACCGCTGATTTTCCATTTTCTGCTTTTCCTTGGATTGGTGGGCATTGTTTGCACGAGAGATCTGTTCCATATCCACCCTGATCTACAATTCGAGCAAGTGAGTATACGCGTGCCTCCTAAATCACACAATGCCCCCTTTCCAAAACCCCCCTCCCATCCTTCATTGGCCGTGCTCAAACGTGCATCTTTTCCATATCTCCACAGTGTCCTTCTTTGCATTACATACCTCATCACAACTGGTCCTGAGAAACTGGATATTAGCGTCCCTTGAGCCATACTCCTCTTGAGCTTCATCCATAGCAGCAGCAATATCAGGAATCATACTAAAGCAAATCCGTTACACACATGTTCCTACACATGCAAGGTACGTACACACACACACACACACACACACATACATACCATATTTTGTTAAGTGCTGCCAGGGCTGTCAATAGGCGTTCCACTGTTTGTACAGACGAGCTAGCCGATGTATTGCGAACTGCTTCTGTGTATCTCCTTGAAGGCGAATGAATGGGGTGTTCATTTGCGTCTAGCGTACAGCCATTCCTTACTTACTTGACGTCGTGTTCATTGTTGCTCACATGGAAGACTTTGCATTCGTCAATATCGGCGTCCCGCATGAGATTGGAAGCAGCAAGAGGTTGACGTTGATCAGGGATGCTAGGCGAGCCGTCCTTCAGTTTGATAGAAGCGCATGTGCTGGATTGGACGAGAATGTGTTCGATAGCGTTTTCGAGTGGCATTTTTGAACAACAAAGAGGGGTTATCATGCGCGCGCGTCTTTTCATTGTTGCACCGAAATTCAGCTCACGACCTTGATGGCAGATTACCCTCGCCAAACTACCTATACAAGTGTCATTATCAAAGAGGAACAGGCCATGAGCACTATCCAGCAGCCTTGGGGACACCATGTCACCAATGCAAAATCCTAAGCTCACTAGCGTCTTTTTCAAAGACTTAGTCTCTCGTCTTATCTTTCATTTGACAACAACATCAACAATGTACTACCTAGTATACGATGATCAAATAAAAAGACAAGGATCATTGAATGGTATATGCGTGTAATGTAATGCAAAGCTGAATGGTGTATAATGATGTCTCGCGAGTTGTCTGGATACTTTGGAGCCTTGTCGGGCATGAGACAACAAGGTAATAAAAACCCCATTGGGTGTATGTAAGTGGATGAGTTGAATGATATACTCTATGGAATTGGTGGATAAGGCAGAGGATGCCACTATCGATGCTTATAGCAATTGCATTGAAATCAGATCCTTCTTATGATGTCAATACTTGACATCACATCAGCAACCATATTATGGGTAGATACGTTAGAAAAGGCGTTGGAATGGTGGTCATTGATAGCACAATGCGTATAGAAGATAAGTAGAACTTTAATGATCACGTGTAAAATTAAGGAGCATGTTCATTGTTTGTTCTGGTGATCCTCATTGTCTCCTTATTTCCATCCCGATCACTGGAATAGTACACAAGGTTCATCCCAGAGAAGGGGAATGGTATTACATTTAATAACGATAAAGATGTGTGTAGCGTACGCGAATATAAATCAATACGCGCTTCTAGGTGTATGTGTGTGGGTGGTAGTAGTAGTGAGTATAGGTAGCCATGGTGTGTGTGTGTGGGTGTATGGGTGGCGTGGTTTCTCAAGTCGTCGCCACTACCACCGCTGGCGGGAAGTGGTTGTGGGTCGTGTGTTGAAGGTAGAGTGCGTGTTATCTCTCTCTCTCTCTCTTTCTCTCTCCTCTTTTCTCTTTTTCTTTATCTGCTAGCAGTGCAGCAATGGGCAACCCGGATGAATGGCTTGAAACTGTTCGCAAATGCGAGTATCTTCCGGAGCACGACATTAAGCAACTGTGCGAGATGGTAAATATTGAGTAGCTACATTCTACGGCAAAATTCTCCGGCTTGGCAAGCTCATTCGATCTCCATGGGTTAGGTCAAGGAATTGCTAATGGAGGAATCCAACATTCAGCCTGTACAGTCGCCTGTAACCGTGTGTGGTGATATCCATGGTAAGTAAAGGTTGCCTTGGTGATATGTATGGGCGAGGCTCGGAGAGCCATACGGAGTGCACGGATCGGCGATACCGGATGTGCTGAGCATATACAACATGGATATGGTCTATGGTGGTGGGTCATTGTATTGTAGCTCACACACACACAAATCATTAGGCCAATTCTATGACTTGCTTGAATTATTTCGTGTTGGTGGCGACATTGAGGAAACCAACTATATCTTTATGGTAAGTTGCATATGGATGTGGGGATATATGGATTGGATCTCTTACCAGGTCAACAATAGGGTGATTTTGTGGATCGGGGCTACTTCAGCTTGGAGACGTTTACATTGCTCATGGCATTAAAGGCTCGGTAAGGTTATACATGCATCATTTTGATTTGGTCTAATAATTGGATCGTCATAGCTATCCACACAAGATCACTTTGTTACGAGGAAACCACGAGAGTCGTCAAATCACTCAAGTCTATGGATTTTATGGTAAGCAAAAGAGGGATGGTGAATAGGGCAAAATAGGTGTGCTAATACATCTACTTGTGTTGGGTAGATGAGTGTCAAGCAAAATATGGCAATGCGAACGTGTGGAAGTATTGTTGCTCTGTATTCGATTATTTGACGATTGCAGCTGTAAGTAAAAGGGATGGTAATTGATATCCTTTATTGACCATGTGATGATAGATCATTGATGGCTCCGTATTATGTGTTCATGGAGGTCTCTCGCCAGATGTCAAGACTTTGGATCAAATTCGTACCATCCACCGTGCCCAAGAAATTCCACATGAAGGGTCGTTTTGCGATTTGATGTGGTCGGATCCAGAAGATATTGATACTTGGGCTGTGAGCCCACGTGGTGCAGGATGGCTATTTGGAGGCAAGGTGACAAGCGAGGTAAGGCTTTTTTTGGTCTATGGCGAGCTTTGTATATGAGCTGCGATGCTAAGTGACCCCATGCATATAGTTCAACCACATCAATGGGTTATCCCTTATTGCACGCGCACATCAGCTTGTCCAAGAAGGCTACAAGTACATGTTTGAAAATGACGAGCTTGTTACGGTTTGGTCAGCACCCAATTACTGTTATCGCTGTGGCAATGTGGCATCTATCATGGAAGTTAAGGACGCTGAATTTGCACCTGAAAAGACCTTCAAGATATTTCATGCAGTGCCAGATCAAGAGCGTCTTGCCCCTGCACGGACTGGGTTCCTTGGTGCTAGTGGTGGCTCCGGTGGCCAGTACTTTATGTGATCAACGCTGGATTCGTTGCTATACTTGTTAATGTGTAATTTACTCCTTTTGCATCCTTTCCCTCTATCTCTCTCTATCCCCTCCTCTCCTCCATTCTATAGATCTTTTAGAATACTTACATCGCTTATCCTACTATACTTTTCCTCCTTCACCTCACACACACAACAATCCGTGCATTCTGTTCTGTTTGATTTTACAGCAAATATGTACACAATGCTTATGCATGTTGTATATAAACTATTGATAAAAGATGATAAAGGTATATGCTTGTAATTCGTGTCTATCAATCTAAATCCTGAGACATGATGATTGGGATGGATGTTTGTAGTGGTAATTTCTATACATCCAAAGGTGTTAATGAACGTGGATCAAATAAAAGCATTAGCCTTCACGCCTTACTTGTGGTTCGGTCGGCTTGTTATGGTAACTTGCATATCGTGAGGTGAGGTATTCTACAGCTGGTATCAATGTAAATATCGCGCCGCCATAAAGGGTTGCTTTGGTGGCGGCAATGATGCCACCACGTGCAGCAAGAGCACCATGCGTGATTGCAGCAGAGATTGCAAGGTTCCATGGATCTTGTTTTTGACGAATGCCTTCTATACCACATTCAAACGTTCTCAAAAGTGCAGCCCACGCTGCAAACTGCCCTCCTGTTATAGGTGCTCTTGCATTGGCTGCTGAAACAGCACCTGCCAATCGCTGACCCTATAGATTTCAGAGGGGGAAAGAGATCAATTATGTGTGCTACATGATCATAGCATGTCATCCTTACTTTGACGGAGCCATATGCGCCTTTGATAGAATGCCACAAAGCACTGCAAACTGATCCGAGGACAAACGCACCACCTGCGTTATATAAGATACCCCAAGGACTAGAACGAGCAAAATGTGTGGTAAGTTTGAGAACTGTATAATGACAACACGACCATCCCCAAGCAAAGATACCAAGGATCATTGACATAATCATAAGTTCTGTATGACATCGTTATTTGAGGCAATAAAAGAGGTAGATGCGTCATGTATATATATGTAATGATGATTCTGTCGGATGCCAAAGCCGTTGTACTACAGCTATTGCCTCAATCCCGGCACATTTGAGTCATGGGACTGTGCAACATCTGAAATCGCCGCCAAAATAAGGTTGAGTAACTATGCGCATGCGCATGTGCCTTGACCTGCCGCAAATACACAAACAACGCGACAATGATGTTTTCTGATTGGAAGATCACTTGTACTCCTATGCTGGCTAATGTCCAGCAACTCGATAGCCCTGGTGGTTTCATTATTGCAAAGTATGCTAATCTTTGATTTGCTATACAACATCATCGATTGATGAAGACACAGGAGACTACGTTGATCACCAAGGTAACCTGCCCTTGCAGCTATAAACTCAAACAAGATTATTTGACAGCAGCTGCTTGGTAAGGCAAGGCGCTCGGATCACTTTATGCATATGGCACGCGTGTTGGCATTAGCGTGCTCCTGAGTGCTTTTAGAAGCTCAATTCCCAGATCTTTAATGGATCAGGTACAGTAATATCCCCAACATACATCGCATGGCTTATTGTATAGATCTACTTCTGTGCTTACAAGGCAAAAAGTATCGATCACACCATGCTCGATGGGTGTCTAAGCGATCATCCTTAAACAAAATTACTGCTTAGTATTATAAAGGAAGCGTACATTCAATGCAAAAGTAGTATTGATACAGCTAATTCATCAATTCGAATGCGCGTCTCTGATAGTATCTCTTATTCAAATACCAAAACAGATACGTTTATTATCGAGAAGGAGCAAAAAGGTATAGCCCAATGGATTGTTTGATCAAATGTAGGTGATTAGCGATTCAATTACACGATGGCATAGAAGCAAGCTTCATCAATAGATACTCTTCTCATGCATTTTATATATCAAACAATGACTAAATACAAGTACAATGGTGGGTGATGGACTTGGGTGGATTGCATTGAGTGACAGCTCAGGTACTGGCGACGTTGATGCTACACAAAACTGTCGCAGCTAACGCTTCTTTATCCCCTCTTTTTGTATCGATCGCCGTCGTCTCTTGTCCTTTTCAATTCCGATTCAGCATGGCACCGGGCAAGAAATCCAAGTCCAAGGCAGCCGATCCTGCACCTCCTGCTGCATCCAACAACAAGAAGGGACCTCGACGCAACATTGTCAAGAGCGGCAATGCGGGTGGCAACAAGTCAACAGCCCCTGATCAGCAGCCATCGGAGAAGGTAGCTTGTGAATGGAATGCCTCTATACAATCTTGAGTTGACATGGGTGGGGGTGGCCATTGTGTAGAAATCCATCTTTGGTGATTGGACTGGCAAGACACCTGTATCATTGTTGCACGAGCATTGTCAAAAGCATGGGTGGGAAAAGCCGACGTTTGATATGAAGCGTAGCAAGCAAGGCTTTATTGGCACCGTTCAACTCGGCAAACGCAACAAAAAGACAGCACAGATCCAAACAGTGATATTGACACCACCCACGGATTCCAGTGGCAATTTTCATCAACCTACAGCACTTGAAGCAAGACATTTGGCAGCTACTTATGCTTTACATCGTGTCAACTCGCATATGCCTATGCATCGTGTACTTCCACCCCAACACCGCGACCTTTGGCATCAATTTGAAAACTTAAAGACCAAGCAAACCGAATGGATGTATACACCAGATCCTTTCAATGCTCAACCCAATACACCAGCAGCCAAGAAAGAGAATGCAGTGGATCGACGACCAACCAAAGAATCAGCTAATGCCGCTGTGCCTATGCCTCGTATGCTCGCCATGGATAAGGTGGATGATCATCATCATCATCATCATCGAGGAGGTGGAGGTGGAGCCATTGATGAAAAGCTACGCAAGTATTGGGAAAGTTTGCCGGCAGTCCACATGAGCTCAGAGAATCGATCCCTTGTTGAGGATGTCGTCAAGAAATCCAACATTGCATATCAACCGGTAAGTAACATTTTATTCGGGACACGTATACATAGCTAACAGGAACTTGCATAGATCGATAGAGAACTTTCGGATGAGGAGCGTAAGGCCATTCATGATGGTTTGGTGCGTATGGGATTCCGGCCATCACATGCAGATGAAGCACTTGAATATAGCAGCGATATGGCTACAGCATTGGATTGGCTATGTAAGTACAACAAAGAAATCATGATGCATGGGATCTCATTGTTCTCTTTATATAGGTTTACACGTGCCTGAAGATGGTAAATGCATTATATTCATTGTCTGGGATTTGCGTGTATACTAATCGTGGGTGGATAGATTTACCTCCAACATTTATGCACGCCAATTACAACCCCACCATGACCACCATTTCGCATACAACACAATCACTGGGTCGAGACTGGTTGATCAAAAAGATGACGACGATTGGATATTCATCCGAAGTGTGTCAAGAAGCAATGGAGGAAACAGCTGACGATGATTTGAAAGCATTGGCACTTTTGCAGTGGAGACTTGTTCATGGTGATGATCCAATGGCAGAGGTGGATGATATGTTGGATGCTGAAGAACGTGACACGATGCGACAAGAAGAAGCCGTTGCACTTGAATCAATCTACGGCAACAAGTTCATTGACAAATCGGACAAGGAGAAACAGCGACTTCATTTTTGCATCGAGTTGACAGCACACACTATGCATCGAGGCAAGAAGCATGAATTACCAGTGTCTTTGGAAGTAATGATCGCCGACGACTCAGCATACCCAAGCACAGTGCCTGTATTTGCAGTATTGTGTGACCAGTTACCAGCCTATCTCAAGCTCTCCATGGTGCGTGGTCTAGTCATTGAAGCTGAAGCCAACTTGGGCTTACCATTGGTGTACATGTGCGCTGAATGGCTACAAGACCATATGGATGATATCATTGCTCACCCACCCAAGTTACGCGACATTTCCCAAGGCGTTACCCATACACATACCAACGCCATCGAGTCACCCAACAAGAGATCCAAATCCAATGGCAGACGTTATCAGCCAAAGACTCTGTCACCAGCTGAGCAGAGCAAACAATCACAACAACTCAAGGATGAATTAGCGAGTATGCATGCTTCGGATGAGTATCAGCAAAAGATTGCACCTGTCCGATCCAAATTGCCGGCCAATGGATTCAAAAAGGAAATCATGGATGCTGTACACCGCCACCAAATTATCATTGTCAGTGGTGAAACGGGTTGTGGTAAAACGACTCAAGTGCCCCAATTCATCTTGGATAACGCTATTGAGAATGGACAAGGTGCCACGTGCAACATTATCTGTACACAACCTCGCAAGGTCGCGGCGATTGGTGTAGCAGGTAAATAGATATTTTATATATCCATGATCACAATCCCCCCCTACTCACATGACCTTAATAGAACGTGTGGCTGCAGAACGGTGTGACAAGATTGGCGGCTCAGTAGGTTATGCAGTGCGTGGTGAAACCAAGGTAAATACATACACACAAGGATGATGAGGGTGATGGTGGTGATGATGATGTTGGCACAGCAACCATGAAAAAACACACACACACACACACGGCACAGCCCGAGCTTTTCGAATTGGGGGGTCGTGAGAGTGAGCAATCGTCCTCATCCAACGTTTCGTAGGCGTCATCAAAAACACAACTTCAATTTGTTACTACCGGTGTTTTGTTACGTCGACTGCACAGCGATCTTGAATTGACAGGGATTAGTCATGTGATGATTGATGAAGTGCATGAGAGATCAGGTATGTGCATGTGTGTGTTACCATCCGCATTCTACTAAAGATTCCAATAGTGGATAGTGATTTCTTGCTTATCATCTTACGCCGTGTGTTGAAGAAGCGCAAGGATCTCAAGGTGGTGTTGATGAGTGCTACGATCAATCAAAAGCTCTTTGCAGGTAATGTATTACGAATAGAACTAAGGAATGGATAGGGGAGATTGATGCGTGCATATAATATTTGTTGTAGATTATTTCGGAGGCGCACCCACCATTGAAATCCCGGGCTTCACGCATCCAGTGCAAGATTTGTAAGTGTAGTTATTTTGGGAAACGATCGCATCATGCATGCATAATAACTTTTTTGCATCATCAGCTATTTGGAGGACATTATCCAGATGACGTCGTATGTGTCTCGTTTGCCTATGCCAAAGCAGCGTGATGAAGATAAAGAAGACAAGACACAACAATGGGCCAAATGGCAATCCATCTTGCTGGATCAAGGCTACAATGAACCCACCGTATTAACATTGGCACGTTATCGTAACCAGGACAAGATCGACTATGATTTGGTGGCCCATGTTATTAAGCATATTACTGAGAACGGGGAGACTCGGATCGATAATGGTGCCCAACCTGCAATTCTTGTTTTTATGCCTGGTAAAACTCTAATCTTATGCAAGGGAGAAAGAAAAGGGATATGCTAAATACCCATTTATTAGGTGCAATGGAGATTCGACGATGCGTTGAGACTCTGCAAACGGTGCTGTCGCGTGATGCAGGCAACCAATACGAGATCTTGCCACTGCATGCCAACCTATCACCACAAGAACAAACCAGAGTGTTCAAAAAGGTGTCACCTGATGTTTTCAAGATTGTTGTGGCGACCAATGTAGCTGAGACGTCTATTACCATTGATGGCATCGTCTATGTGGTGGATGCAGGTCGTGTCAAGGAAACACAGTATGATGCAAGCAACAGTATGATGCGTTTGGTGGAAACATGGGCGTCCAAAGCATCTTGTAAACAACGTCGAGGTCGTGCAGGTCGTACGAGACCTGGGCAATGCTACAAGCTGTTTATGCGTGATACCGAGAACAACAAAATGCGTGCCCAACAAGTACCAGAATTACTACGCACGCCACTTGAGCAACTATGCCTGCAAGTGAAATCCATGGGCGAATCCAATGTGAAGACCTTTTTGCAAGATGCACTAGACCCACCCTCTATTCAAGCACTCGATAGTGCTGTACGTACGTTACGTGCTGTGGATGCGATTGATGATAGCAAACGCGGAGATCTCACACCCCTTGGCAAGCACATGGTAAGTGTGATATATAGGATAAATGGGATTGTTGTTCTATGGCTAATGTAGGACAACTCTACAGGCATCCATTCCAGCCGATCTCCGTATCAGCAAGATGTTATTACTTGGATCGATTTTCGGTTGTCTAGACCCAGTTCTCACCATTGCCGCAACCATGTCCCTAAAAAGCCCCTTTACATCCCCTATGGAACGCCGTGAAGAAGCTCGACAATGCCGCGAACGATTCGCTCATGGTCGTAGTGATTGGATTACTGATATGAGAGCCTTTGATGCATGGTGGCAAATATTGAAGCAACAAGGTGTACGACAAGCAAGACGCTTTTGCGAAGAGAACTTTTTATCATTTGCAACTTTGAGCGAGGTGGCCAATTTAAGACGTCAATACCGTGAAGCACTTGAAGAGATTGGATTTTATTCAAAGATGAAGAAGAAGACTACTACCCCTAAGGAGGTTGAGGAGAACGAGGAGGAGGAGGATGAATACAACGCCCACAGTAGCAATGTGAATCTTGTCAAGAGCGTTATATTTGCGGGGTTGAATCCCAACGTGGCCAAGATCCGGTTGCCAGATGCAAAGTATGACAAGGTGCTGAGCGGCACAGTGGAACGAGAGAAGGAAGCAAGAGAAATCAAGTTTTATACAAAGCAAGATGGCCGTGTGTTTTTGCATCCCACATCAATATTGTTCTCCAACAATCAATATGAGCCGTCATCCTTCTTGACCTACTTTTCTCGCATGGAAACGTCAAAGGTGTTTATTCGGGATGCGACTACGGTGGGACCTTATGGTATCCTATTCTTTGCTGGCAGAGTGGATATCGATCATCTCGGCCGTGGTCTCAAAGTGGGCGAGGAAGGGTGGATAAAATTCCGTGCATGGGCTCGTATCGGTGTCCTTGTCAATCAACTCAAACGGCTTCTTCATGCTGAACTTGACCACAAGATCCAAAACCCCAGTGCACAAGGTAAGAATTATTATTATTATTATGTGTAAAAGCGTGTGTGTGTGTGTGTGTGTGTGTGTGTGTACACCCAAACTCTAACTCATGCTCATTTTCCCATTGCAGTATCTGCAAGTAGGGTAGTGCAGGCCATGATCGCTCTGATAACCAATAACGGCGTGTAAATTATTTTGTGATAAAGCAGCGGATGTTCATTAAATGATGCAGAATTGGAAATCGGTATAGATACAAGAGAGAGCGTGTGTGTGTGAAAGACACAAGAAAGGGATTTTTTCTTCTTCGGTGGTATTCAGGGATTGATATATGCGTGAGGGCGACAAGCGTGCACACAGCAGAAGGATGGTATATAAGAGAGTGATCATGTGTGTGCAGGTGCATTGTGCGATGAATCAAAAACGATGGCATATTATGTATACAAGGTTGCTCGTGTGCGTGTGTGGTGATTAGCAGGGTATTAGTGTTTGTGATGTTGATTATGCACAAATGTCGTAGGGTGCAACGGAGGATGAGGATGAGGATGTTGTGGATTGTTGGTCTTCTTCTTGCTCTTGCTGTTCAGTAGCAGCAGCCTCTTCGAGTTGTTGTTGTCGTTGCATCATTTCCATTTGTCGCCGCAGTTCCGACTTTAATGTAAGCAATTCATACATGTCGTTGTAAGTAAGCTTGGCTACTTCTTGTGCTGTCCGATCTGTATATAAATATTTGACATGAGTTTAATGGACATTTCATTTCCGTTTAAAGGTGTTTGTATCATACCGTATTCTTCATTGGCGAATGTGCTAATGTGTTCAACATGGCAAGAGAACTGGACACGTTTTGTAGTCATGATGTTGATGTCAATGGGTAAAAAAGGAGAACAAAGGTATTTGATAATGGGTTTTGAGAAGAGAGAGATGAAAAGGGGTTAGTGCAGACCGCCTTTTATATAGCACATTTTATCAATAGCTCATCCCGCGGAACTCGCCATGTTGCTAATTTCGGTCTGTGCTTTGGCGTGTAATGTCCATGTGTGTAACATTTCGTCTTCCATAAACAACCCCCCGCATTTCGTACTCTCTTTTTCTCTCTCCTCTCCATATACAGTACATACAGCCGCTTTCTCTTTCTGTTATTTGCCTTATCACCTGATCACGTTAAAAGAACAGAACCAGATACACACACACATGGAGTGGCTGATCTCAGCCCGCCATATCGTGATAAATTGGCAGTAAATAGACAACCCATGGGCTTGGTTGCCCAAAACCTGCAAAACACGTGAACCCCTTTTCGCTGCTTTTTTTCATGGCCCCCGCCTAAATCACACACATACGCATCGTATCTCAAACCCCACCCCCCAATTTATGACATGCAGCAGCAGCAGCAATGGTAAAAGCAAAAAGCAAAAAAAAAAGAATACTCCGTATAGAGTTTTCTATGCGAGCAACTGCAGGAGGAGAGAGAGAGCGTATTTAGTAGAGGGAGCACAGCATCTAATCCATGTATGAACGGGAAAGCGTACCAAAAAGTCATCCCACATAAGGATATGCCCGCCGCTGGATAAGGTGGTTTTGGGACATGATGATTCGCTGGGTGATATGCAGGTTCATCAAAGAATACCCAATTTACGTATACCAGATAGGAGGTGAACAACGACAACAACCGTTGCTATAGTAGTCGTTGTTGTCGTTGTTGGATTTTCCATCTGATTCCAGAAAAAGGAGCTGGTTTGATTACCGTATATTGGCGGTGTACATATATGGATGTTTTCTTATCTCTGGTGATTTTAGTGCTACTAGAGATGTAGGGTGTTGTGATATATAGAAAGAAGCCACAGAAGCAGGCTCTGGCCAAGGAAGGCATGTTGCCATCCCACTGTTTTATGATGCAGTACTTTTTCGGAAACCACCTTCCGGTTTCAAAATGTTGCATAACAGCTTTCTTTATTGTATTTGTTGTTTATGTACAGCTGCTTATTGCTTGTCAGACGCTTGAGCAACATACACACAGACATCATTACACCACCACCCAAGGTATATTCCGCCCGCTGCTGGCCTTGTTTTCAACATGAATACTAACATCCCTGACGTGCTGACGACATATGAAATCCTTTAATACTCACTAACCAAATACAATAAGCTGCATGCGTCCATATAAAAGATCAGGTGATAAGCATCGTATAGGCCTTGGTAGCAACACACAAATGAAGAAAATGCCGCCTGTCACCGTACATGTCATTTTGATTGTAGTTTAACAACGTCAGCCATCTGTTACACATACACCGTTACCTGCTTATGGATACAAAGTGATAGATTCGTAGTGTACCACTGCTAACAACATCATGTCAAAAACAAGGCCATGTGAGCGCCCATTCGGAACAATAAAGGGAGAGATGGAAAAGACAAAGCATATCCATAGAACGATTTAAATGACATGGGGATGTATCAATCATGAATCTTTTTATATGCTTGTTGTCATTGAAGAAGCTACTCTTATATTGGGACAAAGAGAGTTTATATGTGTGTGTGTGTGTGTGTGTGTGTGGATATGAAATTTCACTATGGTGGGCCATGTGACTGAAATGCCGACAAAATGCGCCTCACCAGCGCATGAATAGAGAGGACTCTCTTTATTTTTTTTGTGGTGCTTTGCACACTCTTTACTGACCGCTGTGACCACGTGCCTTTCCGCGACAGGCTTTCTTCAACACGCCGCTACTCTTTAGGTACACACTCTTCACCTCAATTACAAGCATCAACCCATTGCCACGCGCATTTGAGAGATTTGGAAAAAAAAAGGGTGAGTGTTATGGTCGCATTGGAAACCCTGATTGGCAACGCTAATGGATCAATACAAAAATAGACGTGATGGAAGACTGTACACACGAAGTGCAGTTTCAAGGCCTGTGTGCCGTTTGTGGCAAAGTCTTGGACAAGTAAGTTGAAAGGATACTATCCACACATAACGCTATACACGCGAGAACTGGATGTGATCGGTGGTTGTGTTGTGTTGTGTATGTGTGCGTGTGTGTGCGTGCGTATGTGTGTGTGTGTGTGTGTCACGTATCAACTTGTTGTACTCACCTACAATCCTTAGGGCCGAATCTACCAAGGATAATATCAACATGAGTCACAATACAACTGGATTGACGGTGAGCCGAAAGGTATCATCATTTTCATCATCATCGTGTTGGTCAATGGAGCCGTGGGAGGGTGGTAGTGTGACAGAGTTTTGTCGATGGCTCATTAAAACTGACGCAATGATGTGGAATTACATTGATGAACAACAGGAAGCTGAAAGGTTGGAACAAGAGAATGCTTCAAGGCTGGTGGAAGATCGTAAGCTGTCATTGATCCTTGATCTTGATCAAACGGTGGTGCACGCTACTTGGGATCCCACTGTCGGTGAATGGATGAAGGACGAGAACAACGCCAACCACCCCGCAACCAAGGACATCCGCAAATTCACACTTCCTGGAAGCAATCTCATGTATTACATCAAGCTGAGGTAAGTCTCAAAAGAGTGTATGTGTGTGTGTGTGTGTGGATGGAATGACGAGCTCATGCACTTTTATAGACCTGGATTGTCCGAATTCCTCCAACAAGTGTCAAAATTATACGAGCTTCACATTTATACCATGGGCACACGACATTATGCAGAGGCTGTGGCACGCGAGATCGATCCTGAAGATAAGCTATTTCGTGACAGAATCTTATCTCGAGATGAGAGCGGGAGTACGTATCAGGGCTGTTTGTAAGATTCGAATCCCATACTTATAGTGATGCATAGGCATGACACAAAAGAAGATACAACGACTCTTTCCATGTGACACATCAATGGTGGTGGTATTGGATGATCGATCCGATGTATGGAGCTTTTCTCCCAACCTTATCAAAGTGAAACCATGTAAGTAGTTGGAAAGAGATATTCTTGGCAAAAGTTTCACTCATAGGCCCCACGTTGATTAGATGAGTTTTTCGTCGGCATTGGTGATATCAATTCCCCATTCGCACCAAAACAGGTAAGCGTCATGAGATCGTACATCCTCCTGCCTATCATGCTGATGATGATGGTTGTTTTCTTTAGCCCCCAGAGGTGCCATTACCGCCAACACCAGAGAGTCAAGAAGGAAAAACGGAGGAAAATGAAGAAGATCAGGGTAATTCATATATGATGAGATGGGTTATATATAGGTTGAGATTAATCACAATGACCTCCTTTATTAGATGCATCAAAAGACAATGAAGAGATCCAAGAAGAGAAAGGCAATGCTGTAGAAGAGGAAGAGGCTGCGAATGACAAACGACTCCTGGCACAACAAGAACGTATTCAAGAAGCTATGGCGAAAGAGCAGCAGCAACAACGACCACTTGCACAGAAACAAAACGAACTTGCCCCTGGCCAAGATCAGCCATTACTTGTGGATAATGATAAGGAGCTATATACCATGGCAAAGGTAAAGATCACAGGTATCGTTTTGGAACGCTCTTCTCATTACGCGTTATAGGTGCTTGTGGAGGTGCACGATCGGTTTTACAAAGGATTGGATGCGTACAACAAGGAGCAAAATGACGCAGGATCGTCATCATCATCATCACCACCAGCTGTCAAGAAGCCCGATGTGAAGGATTTGATACCCGAGATGAGAAAACAGGTTTTGGATGGAGTGCATGCTGTATTTTCTGGTCTGATTCCTCAGCAACAGCCTTTGCCGACATCCATGTATTGGCAACTTGCAGAATCATTTGGCGCCGTATGTCTACCAGATCTCACAGGCAATGTAACACACGTGATAGCTGCCAAGGTAAACAACACACACACAACATGTAGAGAGGGGCCCATTCAAATGACTAATCTATAAACAAATATAGGCTGGTACGGATAAGGTCAAGCGAGCAAGGAAAACCAACCGCATCAAGATAGTGACAGCCGATTGGTTGATGGATAGTGTGGGACGTTGGGAGCGACAAGATGAGCAAAAGTATATCCTACCGGATCTCGAGCCACCAAACAACAATGAGAGTGAATTTGAGAATCCCGAGTCAACACCATTTGATGAGGGTGCGTTCGATCCTGAGGAACATGGTCTAGTCGATGATATTGATTGGGACGAGGCCGATAGAGAAGTAGACGATGCAATCAATGAAAGTGGCACTGATGTGTGGGATACGGATTCAGAAGCTATTGGAAGGCAAGTATACTTATCCATCATGTGTGTGTAACGCCATTCCATGTGGCTCTAATGTTTGTATATATGTAATCTTATAGTCCTGCATCATCACGTATCAAGAGCAAGAGGAAACGTAGGAATGTTGACACTGATAGCTCCGGAGGCGAAGACAATTTTACCGATAGCGATGAAGAAGCAAAATCACCCTTAAGCAAGAGAAGGTTAATGATTGCAAAACGAGGTCGATCACAGCTATCACAAGTTGCAACGATGGGAGATGATGACAAGAACGACGAAGGCATTAGCACAGGTGGCCATACAACGGACAATGAAGAAGAAGAGGATTATCCAGAAGAAAGAGATAGTGATTCATCATCATCGTCGGGTTCAGATTTAGATGATTTTGCTGGTCTACTTGATGGGGAAATTGAATAAACAATTAAAAGTGTACAGTGATAATGAATGAATGAAATAGTAGTAGTCGGTGATTTATTGGCATTCTGCTCATTGTCAATGACAATTTGGCCCCGCCCATGCGTTGACGGTCGATAGATTCAAAAATAGGATAGAACCAATTTCATCTTTGGCAGACAGACAGTATGACAGAAGTTTCGATCGGAAGCTGCCCTTTTGGCTGAGTGTGCACAAACCCACATTTCACTCATGCTAATATGATGTTCCTCTCATGCAATACCACATTGCCTTCTGCACGTTTTTTTAAACACCTCATTGTTTTTCCCTCGTTTCTTTTTTAGTATCTCTCTCTCTTCCTTTCTTTTTCTTTTTCTCCCACTCATTTCACAATGCCTCCTCCTCATGACGAACGGAGGCCTTTATTGAACGGGGACAACACTACGTCTAACAAGCATGGGTCGTTTGGTGTTTCAGCAGACGAGTTGACAAAGTTGGTCGACCCCAAGAACCCTGACCTCCTCAAACAACTCGGTGGTGTCAAAGCACTCGCCAAGAAACTACGTGTCGATGTCACCACAGGTCTTTCAGCTGACGAAGGCGTTCAACATTCCGGGCAAGAAGCATTCCAAGAACGACATGAAGCATTCGGACGCAATGTGTTGCCAGAGGCCAAGAGCAAGACTTTTCTCGAGCTTCTTTGGGCGTCCTATAATGATAAGACTTTGAGTACGTGTATACAAATAATCATCATCATGCATGATCCACTTACTTACTTTGTATTTGTAGTCATGTTGACGATTGCATCGTTTGTCTCGTTGGCTGTTGGCATATGGGAGGACTACTCGCCACGACATCCGCCTGATGAGCCACGCGTTGGCTGGTATGTATTACGATTGGTGGTGGCTGGTTCTTTTCCCTTGCATGTTACACAGCAGATCATCCCAAAACTAATCAATGACACGTGTAATATTATAGGGTGGAAGGCACTGCCATTCTCGTTGCCGTACTTGCTGTTGTATTGACCAATGCAGTGAACGACTATCAAAAGGAAGCACAATTCAAAAAGTTGAACGCCAAAAAGGAAGATCGCCATGTCAACGTTCTTCGTGGCGGCAAGCAGCAGCAAATTAGTGTCCATGATGTCAATGTCGGTGACGTACTTGAACTTGAACCTGGTGAAATTGTGGCTGTGGATGGCATCTACCTCGAAGGTCACAATATGGCATGCGATGAATCATCAGCTACTGGTGAATCCGACACAATGAAGAAGGCTACCGAAGACAAAGGCGACTGCTTTATCTTATCCGGCTCCAAGGTCCTCGAAGGCATGGGTCGCATGTTGGTCATTGCTGTCGGTGAAAAGTCATTTTATGGTAAAATCATGATGGCCATGCGTGGTGACGAAGCCGAAGGTACACCTCTCCAAAACAAGCTCGATGCTCTTGCCGAGCAAATTGCAAAGCTTGGTTTTGCTGCTGCTATCGCTATGTTGCTTGCCCTTGTCATCAAGTACTTTGTCACTGCATCCATGGCATCGGAGTTCCCTGAACCTGCCGAGATTGCTGCTGCTATGATCAGCATTGTCATTCAAGCCATCACCATCATTGTCGTTGCTGTTCCTGAAGGTTTACCTATGGCTGTTACCATGGCACTTGCATTTGCTACTACACAAATGCTCAAAGACAACAACCTTGTACGTGTCCTTGCAGCTTGTGAAACCATGGGCAACGCCACTGCCATTTGCTCTGATAAGACCGGCACATTGACCCAAAACAAGATGACCGTTGTTCGTGCAACCTTGGCTGATGAATCATTCGATGCCGTTGAAAAGATTCGCCAATGGGCTGGCAAAGTGAGTGATAAGTATGTATCGCCTTTGCTCAAGGAGACCATTGCTGTCAACTCGACCGCCTTTGAAGGCAAGAATGAAAATGGCACTTTGGAGTTCATTGGTTCCAAGACCGAATGTGCACTATTGGGCTTTGCCAAATCTCTTGGTGCTGAATACGACAGCTTACGACATGATGCCAAAATTGCCAAAGTGTATCCATTTGCATCCAAGCGAAAGACCATGACCACCATTACTGAAATTCGCGAGAACTCCGCCGACACTGCTTCTGGATCCAACCATGCTGCTTATCGTATTCACGTCAAGGGTGCTTCTGAAATTGTTTTGGGTGCCTGTACACAATACATGGATGCCAATGGCAAGGCCAAGTCACTTGACAAGGATGCAAAGGCACGATGGAACGCCATCATTACCGATTATGCAAACAATGCCCTTCGTACGCTTGCCATTGCTTATCGTGATATCAAGCAAGATGAATACAGCAACGCCGCTGGTGAAGAGCCACCCCTTGAACGACTCGTGTTGATTGGTATTGTTGGTATCATGGATCCATTGCGTCCTGGTGTGGTTGAATCGGTTGCCAAGTTCCGTGAAGCTGGTGTTTTCGTACGCATGATTACTGGTGACAATCTTAACACTGCCAAGGCCATTGCTCGCAATGCTGGTATCTTGACTAAGGGTGGTGTAGCATTGACGGGCCCTGAATTACGTGAAATGTCCGTGGAAGAACAACGTAACGTGATCCCTCGATTGCAAGTGCTTGCACGTTCATCCCCTACCGATAAGACTGTTGTGGTGACTCGATTGCAAGAACAAGATCAAGTCGTTGGCATGACTGGTGATGGTACCAATGATGGCCCTGCTCTTAAATTGGCTGATGTTGGTTTCAGCATGGGTATCACGGGCACCGAAGTTGCCAAGGAAGCAAGTGATATCATCCTTATGGACGACAATTTCAATTCGATTCTCAAGGCATTGTTGTGGGGCCGTTCGGTGAATGATGGTGTACGCAAATTCTTGACTTTCCAGCTTACTGTCAACATTGCTGCTGTTGTCTTATCCTTCATCAGTGCTATTGGATCCGAGAATTCCGAAAGTGTCCTTAGCGCTGTGCAATTGCTTTGGGTGAACTTGATCATGGATACGCTTGCTGCACTTGCTCTTGCCACTGAACCACCCTCTGACGACTTGTTGAACCGCAAACCCATTTCAAAGTATGCACATTTGATCAACTTCAAGATGGCCAAGATGATTTTGGGTCAAGCTATTTTCCAAATTGCTGTCAACTTATCCGTGATTTACGCTGGCAAGCCCATTTTCCATTTGACGGATAGCCCTGAGGATCAAGTTGTTCTACGCACGATTGTATTCAACATTTTCGTCTTCCTTCAAGTGTTCAACGAGATCAATTGCCGCCGTATCGATGGCTCCATCAATGTATTCAAGGGTATTTTCAGGGACTGGATCTTCCTTGTGATTCAATTGGTTGTTGTTCTCTGCCAATTCCTTATTGTCACTTTTGGTGGTATTGCATTCAAGACAACCCCACTCACTCCCAACCAATGGCTGGTGACCATTCTTATTGGTGCCTTATCATTGCCAGTTGGCACCATCATTCGCTTATTGCCTGATTGTGGTATTGAACGCAAGTTTAAAGAGGATGCACGTCAACTTGCTACCTATCCACGCATGCACTGGGAAGGTGCTATTGGCGATGTGCGTAATGGTTTGCGTGTCTATTCCATGTTACGTCGTTCGCGTCATCCACGTCGTCCTGCTCATAGCCAAGCTCAACGTAATGGATCCTCCACAAGCATGTTCGCCACATCTCCACCACGACTTTATGGTGCTACTCAAAGTGGATCACCACCACCACCACGTGGCAACAATGATGGTCCTGCTGGTAGCCCTGGCAGCAGCAATGGTACCACCAACCGCTTTGCATCCTTGGTCGCTTATGCAGAAAACTTTAACAAGGCCGCTGCAGAAGCTGCTGATCGCCAACAAACCAAGGCATCGTCTGGTAATCACTAAAAAATATGTGTCATCCGGATTTGGATCAGATTGAAATCCCCCACGTGTGTTTTCCATATCCATTGTCATTACACCCGTAGTATCAACTTGTCTCCTCCAATATCGTTTGTATAGCATTGAGTAAAAAAAAAGTCGATTTATGAACAGTCTACCTTTGTTATGTTGTTGTTATTGTTCCTGTTGGGGGTGTGGTTTGTGAAATGACAAAGGATGTCAATATCAACGGGGTTGGTGCAAATGTCAGGCTGGATGGAATGCATCTTGCAGTCTAAGATCCGCTATTTAAAAGGCTGCTCTTTGATGATACAATGAGCCATTGCCTTTCTTCTCGCATATTCTTATATACAATGAAAGCACAATTCCTTGGTGTATCTATTGCTGTTGCATTGTTCTGCAACACAGCTGTTGTCTCGGCAGGTACAAATCCCAACATAGTATACTTTAAACAACATGCACCTTCATTAATCCATTTTTGTATATAGATCCCAAAGAGGCTCACATGATGGAGGATGGACTCTTACCACCACCAAATGAGGTGTTAGGTGTGGAATTTAAAGACGTGCCACCTGTGGAGAAAATTACTACCGTCACTGCAACACGTGGTGTAGATGATCAACAGCAGCCTGAAGATGAAGTGGTATGTATGCCAAATACAATGCGTGTCATGATCCTTGTATCTAAACCAGTGGGTATGTGTATGTAGATGGAAGAGCCTGAAATGGAAGAAGAGGAAGAGGAAGAGGAAGAAGAACCTACCATGTTTGAAGCTGCTGGTGAAATGGAAATCGAAGAGGAGGGCGAAGAAGAGGAAGGTGATGATGATGAGCCAAAGCAATACGTTGGCGGTGACTGGACAGGCCATGATTACGAGGAACCCAAGAGCAAACAAGGTGAAAAAGATGTTAAGGAGAGCAACAAGAAACAATCTCAAGATGAAGATGAAGAGAAACATGTACTATCAGCAGGTAGCGAAGATGAAATCGCTGCCGCATCAGCATCTGAAAAAGATCCATCGATCAATGCGAAGAATCAAGGAGAATTGGATGCTATCGAAGCTGCTAGTGCAGCTGCCGCTGCTGCCTCTAGTAGTGGTGCCATGTCATCATCAGCAGCAGCATCACCATCCATGTCATCAATGGGTAGTGCGAACAACCGTGAAGCTGCCGCTGCTACCAGCACCATAGCTACCACCAATCATCCCAGTAGCCAAGCATCATCTGCAAGTGCCTCACATCATAGCAACACCCAATCAGCATCCAATGCATCTTCCGTATCACGAGTCCATGCCATCACTGCACTCGCTATTTTATTGATTGGTAGTACTCTGCCATCTCTTGTGTAATAAACCTTTGTGGCAATGAATGTGTCACACTTTAAAATACCAGCATTCGATTTCCTCTTATTACAGTCTATGTACAGCTTGCTTTTATTTGCATAGTTGAGAGATTATTGTCATAAGATAGCTAGCTACATTAATATCATAGTGGCAATTCATACAGCAACAATAGAACACTAAAGAATGCGATATAGAAGCGTTTATTGAATGCAATGTTGATGCCCCTCTACACTTGCTGGTTTCCTTCCCGTGCCTTTTTTGGATGAAGCGAATCCATGGTTACCTATGCATCCAAGGTTTTCCATCCCATGTACCCACATCCACATCCACATCCATATCCATATCAACATCCACATCCACATCCATGTCGATACCGATATCCATATCCCATATCCATAAGAAGTCGTATGTATTGAAGCAAGTTGCTACACGTAAACAAAGCTGCCTCTATGCAATGACTATCTATTGTCCTCGTAACGAAGGCTGTAAGGCAGAGTGCTGCAAGCAAAGAACGCTGTTGGAGATAATGGAGTAAAGGCCCTGCTAACGTCGACTGCTGTTACGTTTGATCGTGGGAGAGAAGCATGCAAGAGCGTGTATTGTAGTAGGTTGCAAGGTTGTGAATGCTGTTAGAGACGATGGAATGAAGACCTTGCTAATGGCAACTGCTGTTACTATTGGTTGTGGTAGAAGAGTGTACAAGAGAAGGTGTAGTGTCAAGAGACCCGTGTGTAGTAGTGGAGTGCACACGCCATTGACTTGACATGTTGTCAAAGACAATCGGATCAAGGCAATCGTAGGATTGACATGATGGGTTGAAGCAGGACAATCGTTCGCATGGTGGTAGTTGTATACTTGAATGGGCCAACCGTTGAGAATGGGAGGAAGAGGGAGTAGAAGAGGTGGAAATTAAAGTAGGCTGAGCTGTAGGACACCTCTTGTATAAATGCATGAACACTGTACATCAATCCTTGATATTGAGATTGCCCCTCTCGAACCTGAAACTTTGACACAAGGTGCTCTTGGACGTGCTGATCAATGTTGTATTAAAAAAGACATCATGTCCATTTGAAAAATTGGAACGGGAGGGTGCAATGTGGGTTTACTATGTAAGTCGGAAATGCAGGTCAGCCCCAGATCCATGATTTATCGAAACAATATACATTACCTTGGGATTCCCCATTTCGAACATGAAACTTTGTCAGAAGGTTCGCTGGAACATGTTGATCCACCTCATTTATTTTGAATTTGCAGACTTCATTGTGAAGATTTAAAATACGGGGCGGCCCAAATGGTAGATGATGGGGAACAAAAGAGCGGACGGTCCACCGCCCCGAAGTTGCCTACCTCCAACTTGAAAATCGGTCAGAAGGGTGCTCTCGAGCATGCTGATCAACTTTTTCTAATAAAGACCTCACGCTTCATTCGAAGATTTTGAATGGGAGCGTCCAAAAGTTTGAAAGACGGAGACATTCGCAGGGCCTGCGATTCATTAATTTTCATGTTTGCTGTTTGGCGTAGCTCAGTCAAATCAACTCGGATCAAGACACTTGAACCATGGAAATGCTCGGCTGATGCAGGAGCATCATTCCACTGTAACACAATGAACAAAAGTTGGGATTGAGAGGAAGTGGCTGTTAGCTGGCAATACATGATAATGCATAAAGGATCATACATCGGCCATTCCAATCATGCAAAGTAGCTGAGTTACACAAAGAGGTCCCTCTGAATCTTTTGCTCTGCCAGGGTCCAGCTACTTGACAATGAACAAAGACCACTTCTCATATAGCATCACGCTTACAAACATAAAGGTGCCTGTATCTCCAAACGTTACAATGAAATGTAGGGTTTTGAATAGAGCAATGTGCTCGGCTTGGCCAACTGCACCTTGGGTGCCAGTTTCACGATCAAGCTTGCCAATCCCAGATTTCGCAATGTCGCTACCAGCCAAACTGGATCTGGGGGTCGACCTCTTCGACGACGACGACCAAAAAATATTTTTTGGGCTAGTTGCGACATTGAACGTGAAACTTTCACACAAGGTGCAGTTGGCCAAGCCGAGCCCATTGCTCTAATAAAAACCCCACGTTTCATTGTAAAGTTCGGAGATACAGGCGTCTTTATGTTTTTACTATGCTGTAAGCGTGATGTTATATGGGAAGTGGTCTTCGTTCAATGTCAAGTCGCTGGACCCTGGCAGAGCAAAAGATGCAGAGGGACCTCTTTGTGTAACTCAGCTACTTTGCATGACTAGAAGGATGGAAGGATGATACTGTATACTATTGACAGTATCCCATACATTGCGAGCTAACAGCCATTTCCTCACAATCGGCAATGTTGCCCATTCTATGACAAAGGAACGATGCTCCTGCTTCAGACATTCATTTCCATGATTGGATTATGTTGATTCGAGTTGATTTGGCTGAGCTACGCTCATACAAGGTTACTTCAGTTGAGCAACATAGAGCATGGTTAGATGTGTGGATTGATGTAATCCCTCTTTGGCACCATCTCGGTCAAATCAACTCGAATCCATAATCACAATCATGGAAATAGATGTCTGAAACTAATTGTTTCCGCTGTCATAGAATGGGCAACATTGCCGATTGTGAAGGAGAATGGCTGATAGCATTGATATATAGACTATTGTGGATAGTCATAAAGTATAATCCATCAATCCTTCCAGTCATGCAGGATAGCTATGTTACTCAAACACGTCCTCATCTTGCTCCGTCAGAAGTCTAGCTACTTTACATTAAACAAAGACCACTTCTCATATAGCATCACGCTTACAAACATAAAGGTGCCTGTATCTCCAAACTTTACACAATGAAATGTAGGGTTTTGAATGAGGCAATATTAAAACCGGCTTGGACAACTGCCTTCGTGTACGAAGTTTCACGTTCAATGTCACTTTGGAGATACAGGCACCTTTATGTTTGTAAGCGTGATGCTATATGAGAAGTGGTCTTTGTTTAATGTCAAGTAGGTGGACCCTGGCAGAGCAAAAGATGCAGAGGGTCGTGTTTGTGTAACTTGAGTCATTCAGCACAGGCGATGCATGATTCTTGTACACTATTTAGGAATAGTTCAAACTGCCGGCTAATAGCCCATTCCTTCCATTCACCTTTGTTGTCCAATCCAATGCATACGAACGATTGTCTTGCTCCAGCCCAGCATGCCCATCATTTAACTTTCATGATTCGAGCTAACCTAGTAGTAAGGTAATGGCTGTTGTTGGATCATCATTATCATGTAAAGTGTAAAATGGCACACACCCTTTTGCTATACATGAGGATCATCATTTCTTTTATTTACGTGTACCTATTGTCTATTGTGAGGGTGATGATGACGATGGGTGGAGTGGCCTCAGTGTAATAGCAGTAGGGGATTTAAACTTGGGGGACAGCAGCTCCACGACTTGAGACAACGCTTCTCTTCTTTTTCTCTCACCTTTCCTTATTCCATTCACGACATCTCGATCAAGGTAATGTATTATAGAAGAGTGCTCTTGTTGGCTGTGAGGTGTTAATGTAGTTCTGAACATGCATTGTCAGGGAATGAGTGTGTCCAAGTGCTGAGGAATGAGCGTGGTTGGTGGTTGGTGGTTGCCATGGCGATATCGTTGCTTCCTCTTGTTCGTTGCTATTCCCGCTCTACGCTTGGTGTCAACAGGTACATTCAGAGTCCAATGTTGCAGCCGAACTGGTTCCATTGACGTGTTAGCTTGTATAGAGAGCAAGTTTGGTTTCAAGACGTTGGCTGGTTTGGCGTTCTGTTTCGGCTCAACAACACTACACCATGGTTTTCGGTCTCTAACAACCAGCAGCTAAGGATCTTTATGTCTATGGAAAAGGTAAGTGCAATGAAACAAACAATGAAAGAGGCGTTTTATTGTACGTGTGTGCTAATAATGAATTGAATAGATTTCTTTGGTCAGGCAATGCAACTTGGGGGCATCATCATCATCTCTTTGGGTTCAAGTCCCAGCCTGTATCAAGTGGCCGCTGCGTCGCTCTGCACTAGCCAAGTGTGCTGGAAAAGCTTCTTGGAGCGCGTTCAGGGCTCTATAGGCATGCGTTGGATTGATGGTTGTTGGAAGAGCATGGTCACCGTGTCGAGGTAAAAGGGGATTTGCAACAGCTTGTGAATATGTTTAACCAACACGCTCTTCTCGTGACAGGCTCGTTCTTTCCCTTGAGGATTTCTTTTCATGAGGTGGGAAATGATTGGAAGGATTGGGGATCATTCTTTCTTTGGGGAGAGTATGAATGAGAACAACTATGAGCCTGGACTCTACGTAAGTGATGTCCTTCCTTGCCATGGATCGAACTGGCCTTGCGTGATTCGTGCAGTGCTTTCTCAAGAACAAGGGATCGCCCGACGTTGCTCGTATGGTGGTGATTTGGTTTGTGAATTCCTTCTGATTTGCTTTCTTCCTTTGAGAGGATCGCCTAACGGTATACCAAATCGTCATCATTCCGGTACCAGATGGTCTAACTTGCCTGCTTTCGTATTTGTAGAGACGACGATTACGATGATCACCCCATCTACAACAATGACAATGATGACGACAACGAGATTCAAAAGGAAGCCTGCAAGATCCCATTCTTTTCAACTTGTGTATTCTTGGATGTTTGGTGTGACGGATGAGATTGAGGACTGGTGACGAGTACGAGTAGGAATGATGACGGAGGACGACTACGACGATGGTGGTGACAATGTACAGTACATAGCAAGATAGCTAGATGAAATAAAGCATTGTTTATTTATTACACGCTTGTTGGAGGTTGCTAGCTTGTGGATTACATACTATTGCTTCGAAGATGGAATAATAAAGGTGGTCCGGTTACTGTATCGGTCATGCAAGAAGTATATGGCTTTTGTGATGCGATAAGGAGGAGTGGGAAGTGGGATGATGTTTTGTGTTTGAGCGTAACTCGACCAAATCCCCTCGGATCAAGGAAGCTGAAGGATGGGGATGATGGGCTGGAGCAGGACAATCGTTCGTGTGCATTGGATTGGGCAACAAAGGTGAATGGAAGGAATGGGCTATTGGCCGGCAGCTTACAAACCATTAAGCAAAATAATTTTTCTGATGTTGGATGATTCAATTTGGATCGTGGAATGAGGGTGCTTATACAGTTGTAGCAACAATGGGAAAGTTACTATCAGGGGTTATGAGGAACGCTACTACCATTGTGCACTGGATTAGTGTAGATGCTATTAAAGAGCTGAGGAACAAGAAGATGAATGAAACAAGCTGTTTCTATAATGACTATCGATGGATGTTGGATTTGCCTGATTGTGGTATGAAGGATAAGAGTGATGTGATAATGGGAGCTCCCATTTATAGCATAGCAGATGCTTGTGAGCTGTGTTCGTGTGTACCTGAAACCACCTTCCATGATTGGAGCCAATTGCGCTGACATACGGCAAATAGGGCATAGTACATAATCTATGCTGTCATTTTCAATTTGACACTCCTTCGACACAACCACCATGACTGACATTGCTGTCATTGACGAATGGATCACTACCGACAATGGCTACTCGATCTTCACCAAGACATGGAAGCCTTCGACAACCGTCGTAGCTCAGATTGTGTAAGACGAGTCGAGATCCAGGTTTTTAAAGACAACTTTATTCAACTTGGGTTGGTTTGATAATAGGATGGTGCATGGCTTTGGTGAGCATATCACACGCTACGATCGCATGTTCCAATATTGGGCCGAGCATGGTATACAATGTTATGGATTCGATCAGCGAGGATTTGGACAAAGTGGACAAAAAGCAAATGATCGTGGCAACAACCATGGGTAACAACTCTTCCATGAGCCATGCATAGCTACGTACTCATATGGCACTCATCATAGGTATCACACTGTTCTTCAAGACATCAATGCAGCTATCCACCGTGTCAAGCAACCTGATGTTCCCCTCTTCTTGATGGGCCATAGTATGGTAATTAGCATATGAAGGATTGGATACCAGGAGGATGATGACAATGAATATTTCTATAGGGAGGTGGTCTCATTCTCAATCTACTCTTCCGCCCTGAAGAGTATGATGGCGTCAAGTTTGTAGCGGGTGCCATTGCTTCAGCTCCCCTTGTGCGATTGAGCATGCCAATCTCTCCTTTCAGGTAAGCTACTACATCTACGTATCGACATTTTACTAATCCAAGTTCTTAGATATTACCCTCTCTTGCTTGCATCCAACCTTATTCCCAACTTCACAATCCAAGCTGGCTTGAATCCCGATGCCATGTCTCATGACGCTGACGAGGTCAAGAAGCTTATAGAAGATCCTCTTGTGCATGATTATGCCACCCTGGGAACAGGTTTGTGTGAAAAAGGAAAAATGGAGAGCATGTCATACTGAATTGCACTAGTTCGCAGTTTCTTGGATGCAGGAGAAGATGTGATCAAGCATGCTCATAAGATCAAGACACCCATTGTTTACTCGCACGGTATCCCTGATGCTATCAATGATTACAAGGCTACCAAGATTGCATATGAGTCAACGGGGAGTACGGACAAGACGCTAAAGGCATGGGACGACCTCTTCCACGATTGTAAGTTTATAATCACCATCATCCCGCTATCCCCAATTTCGCTCACAATGAACATGATAGTGCATAATGAGACACCTGCAGAACGTCAGCAAGTCATGGATTATTATTTAGAATGGATAAAGGCTCGAATTCCTTCTACAGTGTAATAGACTAGATATCATCCTCCAAGAATATCCTTATTTTCTCCATGATCATGTTGCTGTTGTTGTTGCTTGTAAAGTGCGTGAGGCACACACTGCTGGTTTTATTAACCTTAACGCTTCACGCTTGATTATGGTTCCAACTGAGAGCTGCGAGTCGCATGTAGTAAAATCGTCGCCTTCAACGAACTGTCACGTCTTTAGCAAACACGTCAAATATCTTCTATCATACCTTTCATCACTTACGTCTTAATACTTGGTGTGCGCCTTTTCCCCCTTCCTTGAGTAATTTGCCGGCTGGGAGTTTGTTGATATCATCCTCCAACTCTGAGGTCGATTTCGCCAAAAGCGTGCTCTTATCCTGCCAATCGCTTCTTGCACATCGGTCGTTGATACAGTTCTCGCCCACTTGCTTAATTCCATGGTGACTTTCTAGTCAAGCAGTACATTGATTAGAGAAGCAGATTAAAGGAAACCAACAAAGTCCATTACCTCAGGGCCACGTGCCTCAAGAGGTTGTACAATAAATGATGCAGTGGATCAATTACAGCTATACGTAAAGGCCACCACAATCTACTTGTAGACAAGGACCATTAAGATTGTTAGGGCCATACATACGATGTTATACATTTTGCATACCTTTAAGCTGCAAAGCAGGCACCACAACTGCTCTTTCGCTCTTCGTTGTGGACATCATCCGGTCTACGACGCATTTGCTCTCAACCAGGTGCTTCATTTTGTCGTCTGTTATCAAACGGGAAGCATCCTTCCTTGAGAGGGAAGAAGCCGTTATGTCACCCCCGTGCGGGTTGTAGAAGACTGTACCACCAAATCCAACTTTGCACATGCATCTTGGAATGTAGCTGCATCAAAGGGAGTGTGAGCTTGTTCTTCTTCGGGCAAGATGATTAGCTCTTACCTTGCCAAAAAGAGCCAATATCACAATGACAACAATGACAACAATGACAATACAAGAAGAATGACAATGAAAGACTGAAGATCTTCGCACGAATGAGTACATGGGTCGCTCACAAATAAGACTATCCGCCATAATAATACATACTCACCAAGAGCTTTTGAAGGTGTCAGCAATAAAAAATGATAGGATGGAAGAGTGAAAAGAGTGATGTGTCGTAGTGTGAGAGTAGGCGACAACATCGTTCTTTATATGTGCATGGTGGGCGTGGGTATTTTTGTGCCAAGATGAATGATAAAATGCTTGTTGGGAATAGTTATGAGCTGATAGATTATTGATGCGCCTGCACAAAGAACCTTGGTGTGATTGATTGTTCATGCATAAAACAGGATATGAGATAAACAAGGTGGCCATATCCATCATCATCAAAGACCTTGACGTGCTGTATGAGTGTTCGCTTCAGAAATGGAAGTCGATGACACCTTCATCGATGAAGACATTGTGCACAAGCGTGAATGTTCCCTATCACCACAACCGTGCATGAGGGTTATATTGATCATCAAAGTGGCTCACAATGGTATAGTATTAAGCGCATAATGAGACGCCTGCTGAATGACAACAGGTTATGGATTATATTTACAATGATGGATAAAGGCTCAAAATTCTTCTACAGTGTAATAGAATACCTAGCTCTATCAAAGAGTTTCATCTTGACTTCATTGGATGTTTTGATTTCCTCCTTGTTCATATTCATGCTGCTGCTGCTGCTGCTTGTTATCTTCGATTGTAGGTTCGGTGGATGATGATGGTGTATCCAAAGGCTGAGCTAGCTCGTTTTCTTGATTGACGTGTTCAACAGCTGCTACTGATTCTTTCGTGTCGAGATCTTGCTTAGCTTGTTCAGGTATCTTGGGCTCCTCAATGCCGGTTGTAATAGAAGGCACCATCTGGTCGGATGTCGAATCATGGTTGTTGTTGTTGTCATTCTTTTGCCTTCGAGGTCCTTTGGATTTTGATTGTTGATGGGGTAACGGCCCTTCCACAAAAACTTTTTCCTCAAGCTTGATGTCATTATCCATATCCCCTTGCAGCCAGATGTATAACGTTGGGAATTCAATGATCCGTTCACCACGCAAGAGGTCTTTCCAGGTACGATCCAAATGAGGTGTCAAATCAATGAACGTGTCTTTGGGTCCTTCGGGCTTTTTCAATGCCACTATAAATCGCTCGATGCCTGCATTGACAAAGTCCTTTGCTTGATATCGAATAACAGAATAGGCACCTTTGCCCTGGGGTGTCTCAGTGAATAATAGATTGTCAAAAAAGCCTCGTAGTGGTTTGGCACTTGGGAATCTAAGGATATCCATGGTTGGTTGTCATGGCAACAGTCATCGCCATTGTAGCGTATACTTACGAATGCTCCACTATCCTTTGAACCTGACCCTTTTGACAAAAGCAACATTCAATCGACCAAAACACTTGATGAAAACTACATTCCACCTTGATAAGTAACGTATTCACCCCCTTCATGGTTTTCTTATTACTCACTTGCTGCTGTAATTGGTTTTGTTCATCTTGTGCCTTGACATACCCGATGGCAACATGCTGTAATTGACGCCCATAGCACGCACTTGCTTGACCAGAGCACGATTCCTTTGTTCAACCGGCCAGGGATCTCGACGATCAGCTCGCAATCTTTCACGTGAAAGGGTATCGCTCTTCCTTGACACATCTTCCAAATAGACATAGTCTAATGCGATGAAACATGGTTAAGCTTGGATGATCAGGCCATAGAATAAAGATCACTTTACCACTCATCATGTTGGAATAGTTGTATTGATCACGACTCACGAAATGGGTCTTGCTTCGTTCACCAGAACAGTCGTTGTCTTGCTTGTGCTGTTTGACACAACCAACCGAGCATGTGCGCATGTTGCATCGTGGGCATGTGTATTTGCTTGGCTGCTCGCGACATACTTGGCACGTCCCATCGACAGGTGGATTCACTGCTGTTGACTCATTTTGTTGTTCCATTAGAAGAGATCAAAAGGGACACCGAATGCACGTTGACGATCGATCAAGAAGAGGAGAAAGGAAAAAGGTTGGGCGGGTCTTTGTGCGACAATGAAAATCCTGCCATTTTATCCTGCCAAATGCCCTCCTTTCCGTTATCGATTACGAGGCCTATGCGATGGCTGATAAGAAATCCCATTGTATATAGTGAACGCTAATGGAATTGATATTACACTTTACAAAGCTTGAATCAACACATGTTGCTCTTTGGCAAGATCCCTTTCCATAACCAGACATCATGTATTAGGCTCAACTAATAGTATGGCATACATCTTTCACATTGATCAATAAAAGTAACTAGCAAAGAAGCAGGGTGGTTAGGATCAATGGTAGTTGTTGTGGTGGCGGTTGTGATGGCAACGGTGCTTCAAGAAGCATGAATGATTAAGCCCAAGTCCGCTGTTCTTCTTTTCCAAATACATACTCACGCGTGTATTGACAATGAGCCGCCGTATATTTTCCCAAGTACAAGAGAAGGAAGATAACGACAATGACTATGGGTCACGAGCTGCATTGCCCATCTCCAAGACGAAAGCCGATTTGGTCAATGGCCAACCAGTATCAGGGGAAGACTACTTGCTCTTAGTACGGTGAGTCATGTCGAGATTCATGCAATGAGTACCAGCGTTGGTGCTGATACGGTAGCATGCTATAGACAGCAGTCGAAAAAATGTGCCCAAACAGTAACAGCACCACCACCCAAAGAAAAAGCCAAGTTATCACTACCACCTCAGTTCCGGTTCTTTGAATCCGAGAGTAATGACACGTGCCTTGTCCTCCCTGACTCAGAGTGGCAAGAAGGATTTGTCACCTATTTCAAATCATATCAAGAGGTAGTTTGGTTATTGGATTTGGTTGTTTATGATGATGTTAAATGATGAGATCTAGTATGCCCAATCCACCAAGGATCAAGTGAAAACCAACCAAGTTGCTCCCACTCAAAAAGCTGCATGGCATACCTTTTGTTACAGCAAAACGCCATCGATTGAAAAGTTAAATGTCGTTGCAAGTCTATCACAGGTAAAAAAGGAAAACATGAGGAAGAAGAGATGTGGATCAACCTAATGCTGATATGGATGAGCAGCCTGTTATCATTGCAGTGCTTCGATATTATACAGAATGGCTAGAGGATATGTCCGAGGGCGAATGCTTATGGATCTACACCTTGTTGTTATATCTTGATCCAGTCATGACAGCTGAACACACTTCTATCCTGCGAGACATATCAAGGAAATGCATCAAACTCAGAAGCGACAAGCAAGAACATGATGAACAAGTCTTTCGACTCAACATGATAATCACCATCATTGGCAAGGTCTTTTCTCAGGCGGATCTTTTATAGAATAGCTAATGCAATTGTACATAATACATCCCTATTTTATTTACTATGCTTTGGGTATTGTTGTTGGCTGGGTCTCATACTAGTACTTGCCTGAAAGCGGAGCCAAAAATAGTGTCAGGAGAGGAGAGCAAGCAATGTCGTGAGTGAGTTGGCGAGTCCCTATTGAAGATCCTCCTCTTCATCTACCGCAATGGTAAGTGATCAATCACCACAAGGGAAATGTGAATGGGATGAGATGACACTGCATACGGCTTTTATGAGTGGGATTGGATTTAGAAGAGATGGATGGATGGATACATTGAAAAAGTGGATGGATGGATGGATGGATACATACATGTTTTCTTGAGCATGAAGCTAATGTTGAAATGTCGATAGCCCACCCGTCTCCATCACAACCGAAAGAAGCGCGGACACGTCTCTGCTGGTCACGGTCGTATTGGTACGCTAATCAACAAATGGCAACGCTACGAAACGACAATGCACAACTCATTCACTCTATGCCCTTTTTTCTTCTTCTTTATCGGCTGTAACGTCGTTCCATAGGCAAGCACAGAAAGCATCCTGGTGGTCGCGGTCTTGCTGGTGGTCAACACCATCACCGTATCAACATGGACAAGTACCATCCTGGTTACTTTGGTAAGGTTGGTATGCGCCACTTCCACTTGAAGCGCAACCAATACTGGCGTCCTGTTGTCAACCTTGACAAGATCTGGTCTTTGGCTGGTGAAGGTGTTCGTGAAAAGTACAAGAACACTGAAAAGGTCCCTGTCATTGATGCTTTGCAAAACGGTTACGCCAAGGTCTTGGCTAAGGGCAAGGTCTCTCAACCCGTCATTGTTCGCACTCGCTTCGTCTCCCGTCTTGCTGAGGAAAAGATCAAGAAGGCTGGTGGTGGTAAGTAACAATCATAACTACGTATGGGTGTTACATCTTGCTAATCATGTCTATGTCTAGTTGTCGAGCTCATTGCTTAAGCATCTCCCTTTTGTTTTCTTTGAATAAAATCGACAATGACAACAAAGCAATATAGAATGGATCATCAATCATGTGAATGACTTTTAATGTGGCGTTTACTAAAACAGGCTCTATAGTAATATATTGAAAGGGGTAAGGGCTGCTAAGCACCACCATCACCATCATCCTATCTCGGCACGGAATCGGATATTCTTTACCCGGGCGATTGCAGATTATGGCAAGTGTGATACACGCAACTGCTTGAACCAAAAGCGGAAGGAGTAGTAGCCAAGGATTCAAAAAGATAGATACCTCCTCCCCCATTGTTCGCTATTTCTTTCTCTCTCTCTCTCTCTCGTCTTTTTATAACTCATTCATGGACACACAAACGTCGAATACTCCTTCTCCTCTTCCTGTATTATCCACATTGCCAGCCGTCATTCCACCCACTTCTCGCTTGAACTTTATCCGCACTTGGTGGCAAAGATCCGATCAAACAGCCGCCATTGCTGAAACTCGACTCTTACACCACGCATTGCAACCCACAGAAATCTTTAAAGGATCCGTCATTGGAAAGCTTGTGCAGGTGCCCTTAGACAACAGTGACAAGAACCAGCGTATCGTCAACACGCTCTATCTACGGAGGAACCCTGATGGTTCAAGCAGCTCTTTTGATTTGGATACAGAAAATACCACCGTCGATACTATCAAGGAGGATCTCAAAGCATCTAAAGATAAGAACTTGGTGATATGCCATGGCTATGGTGCAGGTAAAAATGACATTGGGTGCTTTAAGTATACGTATCATTGACATGCATGAATATTAGGTCTTGGCTTCTTTTATAGAAACTTTTATGCATTGGGTCAAATGCCTGGATGGCGTGTATTTGCTATAGGTAATTCATGGATTGGGGATCTTTATTGAATTACATTGACGTGATGTATTTTGGATATAGATTGGATTGGTATGGGTAGAAGCTCAAGACCCAAGTGGACAATCACAAAAAAGGGCAGCGAGTCATGGGACCAAATCATTGATGAGGTAAAGAAGGAATGATAGTAGGGAACAATGAATGATAGCTGACAATGGAGCCACGTATAGGTTGAGAATCACTTTATTGACTCCTTGGAGGATTGGCGAAAGAAGATCGGTTTGGAGAAAATGACATTGGCTGGCCATTCTCTTGGTGGTTACTTTGCAACATGCTATTCAAGGAAATATCCTGAGCGTGTGGAAAAGCTCTACTTGATATCACCTGGTAAGTGGCATTCAGGAACATAAAGTATACTATGTATCTCGATGTTAAATCTCTTTCATGTTCTTAGCTGGTGTACCAGAGGCCCCTCCAGAAGTGACTAGACCTAAGGATGATAAGCCAAAGGATGTCATTGACAAAGAAGCTTCCGATTTGAATGCCAGTATGCAAACAGATGCCGAAGAGGCTATGGCCAATGAACCGCAACCTCCGTCACCACCTCGTAGACGAATTCCAGGATGGGCCAAATATCTATGGAATATGAATGTCACGCCTATGAGTATTGTTCGGTTAACAGGTCCTTATGGTGCTAGGTAAGTAATGATGGTAATAGGCGCTGCATGGATAAGGATGTTGGTGGTTAATTGTTGTTTTTACTATCATGTAGTCTCGTCAATCGATATACCTCTCGTCGTTTTGCTCATTTAGACACCCACGAACAACATGCGTTATACGATTACTTGTAGGTCACACACACATGCAAAGCAAGCTGTCCCATTGTCTCATGTTGCATTCTTTTACAGGTATCATATTACATCTTCTGCCGGATCAGGCGAGTTTGCATTATCAGCCATTTTAGCTCCTGGTGCCTATGCCCGACGACCTTTATTCCATCGACTTGCTGATCTCAAGATGCCAACTGTGTTTATTTATGGCGAAGATGGTAGGAGAGAGCAATTAAAAAGTGAATGTATCTCATACTCAACTACTCTTTTAATAGATTGGATGGATTACAAGGCTGCTGAAAAAGCAAAGGCTCATATGCAAGTACCAGTAAAGGTGATCCGCATCCCTTATGGAGGTAAAAAGTACAAATGAGTCGTATTTGTCATTGGGTTAACGTTGTGTGTATCATACCTACCTAGGTCATCACATGTACCTTGATAACCCGGATGAATTCAACAATGTGATGCTTGAGGAATTGACTGCTGCTGATGGAACCAAGTCATAGCCCATTGATTAGATTATACGTTTAGATTTCGTTTCGATAAAGCTAATACATCAACATGAAAAACACGATGCACTCAAGTCTTATATTGACATTGCGTTTGGTCGCATTTGCAATTATCTGATAAGCTGGTTGAGAACGGATTTGGTAAGGTTGGATGACCCGATGCATCCCGAGAATTGGGTCGTGGTCAGTAATCAAAACTTGTCAGATCATGCATTGTCTACCTATCAAGTTAAAACGTTTTTGAGTCACCTTGAAATCTTGATCGCTTTCTTGGTAAGCGTCTATCGTGGTTGAGTAGCACCAAATGGGGGTGTATATTTTAAAACATTTCGGCCACCGCATGGGGATTGACCACACACCAAAAATCGTGTGCACGGACATGCACAGCCTATTGCATGTGCCAATGTAAGGATAAAAGTGAGGAGATGTGGGCGTGTGTGGGGGAGAGGTAGATTTAGAAGAAAATATGGGCAGCGGGGAACTATACAAAGAGGATGTGTAACACACTCCGACCCGAGGTGGAAGAAGAAGAATGAGTGGTGGGGGAATCAGTATACTTGGAAGAGATTTGAGCTATAGTATACAAATGGATAATGGCCGCGGGTAGCAGATCAAGGGTTCAAGTCAAAACACAAGTTCTAGGCAACAATGGTGAGTATTGGGGTGAACCCAACATGTGTGGGTTGGTGTACGACTCGGCTGTTTCCAAAGCAGGTAACCCTGCCGTGGAAAGTCAAGCTGACCGATCTTGCTTTCCACACCCCCACCACCCAATCACCCAACGCTATAGTTACCCCCGGACATATAAGGAGGGGGTGCAACGACGAGCCATAAAGAAATCACCCCTGAACCCATCACTCACACACACTCTCTCTCACACACACTAGCTCTTTCTTTCTTCCTTCTTTTTCTCTCTCACTCTTTTTTACTTTCACGTCAACATGGCACCTATCGACAATTCCCCTGCTGATCCAAACACACCTCTTCAAAAGAAGCCTATCTCATATAAAAACTTGGCTCTCGGTGCAAGTAAGTATCATTTATAGGTTATATCCCCGTCGCCGCTCCAACACGACGACGCGCGTTGCATGGAATACGATATTGATCCTCCCTCTCCCTCCCTTTATAGCGCTAAACTTGTTTGAAGTATCCACACTCGGTCAACCTTTTGAGGTCATCAAGACACAACTTGCAGCCAACCGAGGCCAGTCCATGGTAGAGGCTCTCAAAACGATTTACAGCCGTGGTGGTGTTCTTGGATTCTATCAAGGATTGATTCCATGGGCATGGATTGAAGCTGGTACCAAAGGTGCAGTGCTTCTCTTTACTGCTTCCGAGTTTGAGTTCCGTGCTCGACTTGCAGGCGCGTCCCCCTTTATGGTACGTTTGTGTGTGTGTGTGTGTATGTGTGGCGTTAAAGAAAAGGGGGTAAAGGGAATGTTCCCTTTGGGCGTATCAGCGTGTGTAACCGTTTCATGTTGTCTATGTGTAGTCTGGTATCGTTGGTGGTATGGCGGGTGGTATTGCTCAAGCCTATAGCACCATGGGCTTTTGTACTTTTATGAAGACTGTGGAGGTGACAAGACACAAGTCGGGTAAGAAAGGAAAAGGAAATAGGGATCAACCGTGCATGGCGTGTTGTGTGGCTGACTTTGGATATTTAGGTGCCAAGGAATCTACATTCAAGATTGCTGGTGATATCTTCAAGCGTGAAGGTATTCGAGGTATCAACAAGGGTGTCAACGCCGTTGCCGTTCGACAATGCACAAACTGGGCATCGCGCTTTGGTATTACACGTTTCACACAAGAAAGCATCATCAAGGCACGCTATGGTGATGCACCCGATGCAGCCAAACGTGCTACTGCCATTGATAAAGCTATGGCATCTATTGTGGGTGGTGCCTTGTCTTGTTGGAATCAGCCTATTGAAGTCATTCGTGTTGAAATGTAAGTTGTTGGAAAAAAAGGGAACACCCTTACTTTACGGGTGATGAGATTCACATGAACTCATATAAATATCACATGAAGGCAAAGTCAAGTCAAGGCAGCAGGTCGTCCAGAAAAAATGTCCATTGCCACAGCATCCAAATGGATCTACCAAAACAATGGCATTTCTGGTTTCTATCGTGGTGTCGTACCTCGAATTGGTCTTGGCATGTGGCAAACTCTTTGCATGGTTGCCCTTGGTATGTATAAGCAACAAAGACATTGTATGATGGATCATGATGGATTAACATCTCTTTATTGCAGGTGATTACTTCCGCCAGTTGTTTGGTACCAACTAGACGAATCCCATCCCACACGAGCTATTTCTTCCTATACCATATTTCCCTTTTGACATAGCATCTCATGTACATCACGCCCCTTACTACCACCACCACCATCATCATTTTTCCTCCTGTCTTTTCATTCGCACGCTGCTATTAATACAATCGAAAGCAAAAAAAACATATACACTACATGATACTGCAATCAGTCATATCCCGCATGACGACACGTTTGATAGCTGGCCAATCGCTTCTACAAGCTGCAAACTCGAGCAAATCTTCCACCTTTAGTAGTCCATGGTATCGCTCCATATCGTGGATCATGTTCTTGATATCAGGTGCTGATGAGATGATGTAAATGTTGGCAAGTGCTTTGAGTGCTGAGAAATAAGGGGTCACTGATTTTTGGCGAAGTGTGACAGCAAAGTCATTATAGGCGTTCATATCACTACTCCCAACATTAGATACCGGCCCAGGGATCATGCTACTACTACTTGCCTGATGTATTGAAAACCACCTTGCTCGCTCACTGTAACAGTTTTCAAATGCTTATACAAAACCCTGTTGTTGTCATGGCAACGTCAGCTATTGTCATGGCAACATGGAATACCTATCCCCCTTACTCTGCAAATCGACGCCCAATCTCGTTGAAAAAGAGATCCATGGTTGATTTCTCGGCCGCACCACGTAATATGGATGTATTGGATCGTAAACATTCAATCGTGTCTTGACATGCCTATCTCATCATGGATCAATACAACGTCCTTTTCAACACCCCTTGTTAGCATCTTTTTTTTACCTTGGTGGGTTTAAGATCCGTCAATACGTCGCCACGGGGATTGTAATCTTCTGGCTTTTGTTCATGCACAAGAATGTATTCGACTTGCGCCAAGAGAACCTATGTACACACAAAGGCTTGAATCATGGATCTCCCATTTTATCCCTTGACATTCCTTACATACCTGAATACTTTGGTCCATCCCACATGCTACACAATCATCCAATATTCTCTCAAACACCTTTTTTTCCTTGTTGACGTCGTTTAAAAAGTCAAACTTGTCCACATGCTTGCTCTACAGTGAAACCCGGTGGATGAGAAAAGATGACCCACAAACGTTTTCTTTGACTTACTATGCGTTCATCATAATAAAGCTGCACCATTTGTTGAATCACATCGCCAATATGCACCATCTCAAAAAACTCTGTAAGGGGAGGCACATCGCCAGGACTTTGTTCCAATGAATCCATGTCAGGGGTATATGAGTCTAAATGTTCGATGGCTCTTTTGAACGAAAACGTCAATAAGAATACAATCCTTCTACTGGTGATGGTATATATATATATACATACCTATCAAAAGCCGGCTTGATGTGCTGGTTACCAAGAAAGCGTGCCAATTGGACAAAGATTTGTTCATAAGCCTTTTGGCTGCAGGGGTGTTGAAAGCTTTTCGTTAGCTGCTGGTGCCAATAGGACCATGTTGGATGGCTTCTTACATTTCATTTTGCATTCGACCAGGAAATCCAATGTTGAGAAATTGTTCCACACGACGCTCAGCGTCCTTGTTGAGATGAATTAGCTGCAACACGGTGTCGAGACTTAGGAAATCTTGCATCATATCAAGTTCATGCATTGCCCATTTAAGATCGGCGCTGCGTGCTGTATCTTGTGATCGCAATGATTGGTGAGAAGATTGTCGAGAGAGCAGCAAGCTTTTGTTTTTGGGAGGTGGAGGTGAGGATACAGTGATGGGCGTCACTTCAGGTGTCCTTGGTGGAGTAATTTGTAATGATGATTCTTCCGATACGGGCGATCCAAGAGAGGATGGCGATTTGGTGGTGGTGGTATCTTCTGAAGATCTCAGCGTGGATAGAATGGGTGATGCAATCGTTGTGGCTGCTGAAGATACCAGATCTACAGGCACCGTCATGACTTTTTTGAATGCCATCAAATAGTTACTATGCGTATGGATTAGTTTTGTGAATGCATGATACGAGATGTGTGTGTATGTATTTTACCGCTTAAAGGTCTCACGCGATTGATTGGATAATCGTGAAGTGGGATCGTCTCCTCGTCGCACACCCGAACTCAGATTCTGCATGTAACACACACATGAGCAAAGATCAAGTCATCGTGTGTAACATCAACAACCGTGTATGTATAACTTACCCACTCATCAATTAGTTCCTGGGATTTTGTCTTTACACATAATTGTTCCTCTGAGAGATAATCATCCAAAAAGGGTATAAAAAGTTTGTACAAAAGATTGATGCCTCTCTCTCGGTCAATGTTGATTGGTAAATCACCGCCGGTCAATGCATTGATGGTATCTCGCACAGACGTCAATACCGTGGACATGGTGTTCAAGTATAGTAATTGATCTCGTTCATGGGCTGTTGCAAGCAGTGAACTAACATATTCGGAAACCTTTCCAAAAATACCCAGTGGTCAACTTTAAATGCTCCCGGAGTGATCTTCTTACTGCTGCTACCACTCAACTTACCACATCCTCCAATGCACGATCCACAAACAAATAAAACATGTCCATCTCCTCGGGAAATACTTTGGCGATCACATGCGATTGCTCCACAAAGGCATTCTTGATATCAGCCATGAATCCTTTGAATGGCTCCAAGTCATTTCTCGATGTTCTTTTTGGGCGGTGGCAAAAGAAATAAGCTTTCTCATTAGTATACGGTCCGATAGTTTTTCCCCCCTTGCTGCATATAGGCTATCCTCCCCCAACCCAACACTCACTTGAAATTGTTTTCAGGCTTGGCATTGTCGTTGTTGGAAAAGATGGGATGCTTTTGAATAAATGTTTGTTGACACAATGCACTGCTGACAGGACTCAGGGCAATCAACGCATCTGCAAATGTCTACAACAACAACAATGATGTCATGTTTCAGCTATTTTTCACGAAAGGCATCATGATCATCATGCTTGTTTGTACCTTCATCTCTGCTGTACTTGTAACATCGTATGCGATTTCAAATTCCTGCAATGACGCGGTTTCAAAGTATTGACATACAGCATCAAGAGATTCGTTTATCTATGAACCACGGAGAGTAAGGGATTCCCATTCATTTGACCATCTTCCTCTCCCCCCCCCAAACCCCACATTTCAGATGCCGCTGGGAAAAGACAATTTTCTTCTTACCTCCTTCCAGTCATCCACAGCATGGCAATTGCCAAAGCTAACCAGCCTGCTGAGCAACTCGCCACATTTCACGGGTTCTTGCCCATATTCAAGCAACACTCTCGATTCTCGATGCTTATGTCGAAGGTCGATGTAGTACGGCATTAAATACTCATACAATCGCTTGAATTGAAGCCGAGCCACGCCCTCTTGGCCTAATGCATATCATCAATAAAGTCATCTTTCGTGTTCATGCCATTCAACATACCATGGTTGTCATTTGGAAACGTGTCACCGTGTTCTACAATACCAAAGTGTCAAGTTTTAGCGTATTGCATAAGCAACTGGGATAGGGAAAAGATTACCAAGCATATCCGAGAGGTTGGAACTGTCATTTTTCAATACGTCATGTAACAATGGGTTCCAAATGGCGTCGTCATAGACGAGCGATTTGAAATCGCGGGATGCAAGAGCGACATGAGGTAGCGATGGCACTGGGAGTAGCTTGAAAATACGACGTAGAATATGTTGTGGGAGGTGTTTTTGTTGCTGTGAAGATACAGGTTCGAGTGGAGCGGGTGCATCATTGGCTGACAGATCATCTTCATCCAGTAGAGAGGACATAATGGGGTTTTATAATAAGGGAAAGAAAAGAATGAATGCAAGAGTAAGCAGCAGCAGCAGCGTTCAAGGGTTGTGGGACAAGAGGGAGGAGGAGATCCATGCCAAATTTGGGTTCACTCTCGATGTGGTGCTTTTGCTCAACTCCGTTTGGACTGCAGCCTTTTTCATTTTCCTCTCTTTTTCTTTCTTTATATACACTCTCTCTCTCCTCACACATATACTCTCTCATCTTGACCACTTGATTTGTATTGTCTCTCTCTCTCTCTACTACAATGACACATTCACATCATCGCTCTTCGCTTCCTCATTTTGACCTTGCCAACCATCCACCGGCATCCACTATTCAAATGATGACTCAGCTTTTGGAACGGATTACAAAGACAAACGACAAACTGCAGGCCAGTAGCCACGATAAGCGTTCAGCATACACTTGTTTCCATGCAAGAAGCATACCGACCATCTCCATCCATTCCTATTTGAATCGTATCCTCAAATATTGCCCCTGCACAAACGAATGCTTTCTCAGCTTGTTGGTGTACTTTGATCGGATGTCTCGTAATGCGACTGGTCTACGTATCGACTCTTTCAATATCCATCGCTTGGTCATTGCCGGTATCATGGTTGCCAGCAAATTCTACAGTGACATTTTCTTTACGAATACAAGATACGCAAAGGTAAATCCATCATCCTTTCCCCCTTCCCCACTCCGAGCAACCCCCCCTCCTTCCCTTCCTCTTCCTTCCCTTTTGTGGATGGCGATGCTACCTGTGTGCATGTGTGTGCGTGTGTGTGTGTGTGGAGAGAGAGAGTGAGAGAGATGTGGGTATGTTAAGGACCCTTTTATGCTGATGATTGTCATGTGAACCGTTTCCCTTTGTCTATCTCAGGTCGGAGGTCTACCAGTAGCCGAGTTGAATGCCTTGGAACTAGAATTTCTCCACCTCAATGACTTCAATCTCAACGTGACGATAGAAGAATTACAACAATACGGTGATCAGTTGTTGATGCATTGGATACGTGAAGAAGAACGAAAAAGGGACTTGCAGTGGCGAAGGAAGGAGGTTGATCTCATGATGCGATCGAGGAGCACCAGCAGTACAAGCAACAGTAGCTGTGAAGACGATATGGATCGATATCACCACCACCATCATCATCATCGACATCGTACTAGCAGCAGAGAACATCATCATCACCATATGCAAGAACGACCTTTTACAACAACACCTCTTCATCGCAAACAGACAACATCGACAACGTCACCTTCAAATACTACACAAAGACATTCGTGGCACATTGATCATCATCCTCATCATCATCGCTTACCCACTCCACCTTATATTATCCATCCGTAATACTATTTTATATTCTATCCATTGCACACACACACACACAACATATTCCATACGACCTCCACAACGACGACAACACACACGCATGCATCATAAGATACCTCACCTATCCAAGAAGAACAAAAAAAAGCTGCTCTCTCTCTCTCTCTCTTCCTACCATCCGTTAACCCATTTTCTTTTATTTGCTCGACTTTCTGTTTTCTTTTTCCCTTTTATCATGAATATAACCTACTGCAAGCACCTGCCTGTATATAACCTTAACGAGATGGGATTGAATGATGGAGTTGAGTGAATGTGATGAATGATCCAGGACGCGCGTGTTTCTATAAACGAGATCGGGGTTATGAGTAATTATGGCTGTACCTTGGTACGTGTAACAGCATACGCGCCTCTAATGTGATGCAAGGCCCATGCACATGGTGCATCATATGAGCATAGACGTGTCCAATGACGGATGCGTCTGTGCGGATAGCGGTTAAAACCGAAACAATTTGAACCTTACACAACAGGAACCACGCATGCTAATAGAGATTCATTATACACATACGGCATCTTCTTCTTAGTTCCAACTAGCCGTCTTCCAATCAACTAAGCTAAGAAAAGCAGTTGGCTTCACCACCACCACCAAAAATGTAAATGGCAGGTCATGAGAAGAAGGGTGGGTACATGTCATATGCAAGATGGAGGTGCACGTTGATGACGAGGTGCATCAACAACTATATACGAGTGTTTTCGAGAAAGAGGCTCATCATTCATTGCACAACCTTGTTATCAACCACCCGAGAAGTTTAAAATGCCAAATGACTGGCTATACCAATGGAGCACAAGACGCTTGCTAAAAACAGGTGCTGTAAATACGAATACAGCTTTGATCTTACCGTGGTCATGGACGTGATTCAATTGCTCATTTGCACCAAGATCCAGTACAATCCCCAGATCACATGATACATTGGCTTGTATGCCTCATCTACACCTTCTTACGTCGCAATTAAAGGACAAGAGGGCATGTTGTATCGATGCGTGTAAGCACAATGGATACAACCATCCACCGCCATGCTTCCACACCACTGGATTGTTTCAGGTTTGTTGATATTGTTGTCACCAATAGCACAATCAGCCATCCAATTTGGATCGACACGATATGAGAATATCCAATCCAATGGGGCGGATCATGCCAATTTGGGTCTCAGCTTGATTCCTCCTTTTGAGATGCATTACAAGAAGTTGATAATGACCATCACTTGAGATAATCAATAATCGTGCTATGTACATAACAGCGTAGGAGTATCCTGATTGACACCATGAACCACAAAAAGAAACCAGACGAGCAATGAATCTTCTTGGTTTAGCCGCGAGAGAGAGAGAGAAAACGCCTAAAACTTTTGGGGGGATGCATAAACAAAAACATGTTGTTGGCATATAAAACGCCACACTTCCTCTACTCTCAAGTAGCCCCTTTCCCATTTTTCCTATCATGGCTATCGATAATGGGCAACAACAACATGAAAAGCAGCACCTTATCGTGTCCATGAAGGATCAACATGATGATCATTCACCACCACCACCACCAACATCCACCACAACAACATACAACGCCATTCCTCCTCCTTCAGCAACCCCACCCAATAATGATGACGACGAGCTCAAGACCAATATTCCTCTCCCACTTATGGCTTTATGGTATGGTTGTCAATTTGCATAGGGATTAGCGGACATGCATTGACTCGGTAAGTATGGTAGTCTTTGTACTGGAAGCTTTCTAGCAATGTTGGACTTGTCGATTTGTTTGACAATTTTACCCGAGATTGGCACTGAATTCAAGCAGTAAGTGACATTAAATGATGGCATTGCTGGGAGAAATTGGCTAATAGAGATGGTAGATTCAACATTGCTACATGGGTCCATAACGCCTTTTCCTTGTGCTCATTGACAGCATCACCCATAAGTAAGTAAGCCGTTGCATGATTCCATAAATTTACACCTGTGACTTTAACCATCTTCATCAGCTTCCAGATTATCCGATATCTTTGGTCGCAAGCCTATCTTGGTCGCCATCACCACGTTGTTCTTGGTGGGATCTGCCGGGTGTGGATTCTCACAAAGTTTGGAGCAATTGATCTTTTTTCGTGCTCTTTCAGGCTTTGGTGGAGGTGGTTTGATGCTTTTTGCAAATCTAGTCACCCACGATACTGTACCAGCAAACATCCGACATCGCTATCAATCATACAGCGGCATGGTTAGCTCTGTAAGTGATATACAATACGTATACCTTCATGACGTTGTTGCTGAAAGAGGGCATGTATGTTAGCTTGGTATAGCATTTGGATCACCTGTGGGCGGCTTCATTACTGATTTTATCGGTTGGCGTTACTGCTTTAAGATCAACATCATCCCATTCCTCTTGATCTTGTATGTGTACTTGGTCCACATGAAGAACTACAAGGTGCCCTCTATGAATCGTATCCCAAATGGTACCTTGATGCAGCGTCTCAAGTATATTGATTTTGGTGGATCCATCCTTTGTTGCATGGGAAACACATCCGTGTGTGCCTTTTTGATTCTCGGTGGCAATACGCATGATTGGAATGACCCAATTGTTCTTTCCTTGATGGCACTAGCAATCATGTCGTTTTTATCCCTAGCTGTTTATGAGTGTTACGTCCCACGTAATCCTTTGGTACCACCTCATCTCCTCGGCAATCGTACTGTGGTACTTGGTTGTATTGGCTTGTGGCTATTGTGTTCAGTGTCGGGCGGAACAAGTGTTTCCATGCCTCAATACTACATTGTAAATTTCAACTCCCAAAGTGCACCACACGAAACGGCTTGTTGATTTCATCTTTTTAGGGCGTACTCGGGTTTACTACAAGCAAGACAGGCTTATGTATCATGGTGTTCACATTCGGAAGTGCTTGTGGATCCTATTTTGCGGGACGGGGATTTATACAACGATATACAAAGGGTGAATTTCAAAAGATCGCTGTTGCCTTTACATCCATCGTTGTTGTTGGCGTCACCATCATGTACTTTTGGATGCTGAAACAAATCCCCTTCATGGTTGGCCTGGTATTATGGGGTCTAGTGGGCATCTCGCAAGGCTTTTTCTTTGTAAATATGAACTTGACGATCCCAAACTCAGTTGCCAAATCCGGTACGTGGTTCTAAGTTTCTACCAAAGAAAAAAAAGTAATGACGACAATCCAACTTTAGATTTGGCATCCACCTTTTCGTTAATACAAATGTCACGCCAAATGGGCTACATGGGAGGTGTTGCTGCTGCATCTTCAGTGACTCAAGCAAGCCTCAAGATCTTGTTACATAAGCGTTTCAAAGGCCCTGATGCTGAAGATGTAAGTAAAGCATTACTGCTTTGTTGTTGTTGTAAACCAGGTGTTTATTCCAAACCTTGTACATAGCTTATTCACTTTATTCGGACTTCCTTACGGGATGTGCGTTCATTATCGCCACAAATACAAGCCATTGTTGCCGAGGTACTCGGTATTTCATTGTCGAGGGCGTATATTCTCCTTATAGGATTCGCCATCTTATCATTGGTGGCGTTCTCCCGCATGAAAAACGTGGATGCAAAGTTGATTACTAACATGGGGCGTACCTGAATATGTCATAGGCGATATCAGATTCTATGTAATACAGTACTAATAAATACGTACCTGAGATGAAACTTTGTTCATGATGATGTATATCCACCGTGTAAGGTGCGGAGTGGGTTGGAGGAGGAGGTGGAGGAGGAGGTTGCTGTTTCAAGATACCATGAGTAACATTCCAAGTTTCCTCCGCACACACACACATCACACGTATGATGTACCTCCTCCCTCCCACCTTCTCCCACCTCCCACCGCTGTTATCGATCACCTACTACTACTAGCTTGGTATCATGGCAACCGGTAAACGAAACCCATTTGGCAATCCTTGGCAACCATTTCCCACTACACCTTGGCAAAAACTCAATTTGCTTGTAAACAAGGCTTGTAAGAGGCATCACAATCGTAGAGAGGAATCGGCTTTAGCATTCATGTAGATAAAGGGACAAAACATTAGAGCTTGTACATCCTTTTTGTTTGGGAGAAGTATATACTCAGACGCCACCACCACAACCGCTCGAAAATACTTCTTCGCTTGTCTTTCCTATATGTCAAAAATCCAGCGTTGCACGACATGCTGACCGACGTGTTACAAAAAATGCATCGATTATTAACTTACTGTCGTGCGACTAGTCATGGTCTTTGTTGATACAAATAAAAGTAAGGTTTATCTAGGATCAACTCGCCATTCTTCTTCGTTGGCAAAGTTTTCTTCCTTCCTCTCTCACATCTCTCTCCTGGATTTGCCTCTTGGTTGTTTGCCATGATTTCTCTTGATCGCAACGAGCAGCAGCATCTTATTCTCCCGATAAGAAGCTACCATGGTGATGGAGAACATGCTCCAAACAAGTACTACGATTCCATTTCTCGACCTGTCAAACAAGATCATGATGGCCAAGATGATGGCGATGACGATGGAGAGAATAAGGCGGGGATTTCCATCCTCGTTATGGTTACATGGTATCTAACTCGTTACAACAGGCAACTAACAATCATCACGGCAGCCACCGTTGTTGAATGTATAATGTCGTCGTCGTCGTTACTCACATAGAGATGTAGCTTGTCTATGGGCAGCTTTTTAGCATGCTTAGATAACTCGATTGTTTTCACAGTGATGTCCCAAATTGGCAGCGAATTCAAGCAGTAAGTAAACAACCCCTGAAACTAGAAATGGTGAATAACAAAGTGCCTTGTTGTTGCATATTTTTAGATCCAACCTTGCTACATGGATCCAAACTATTTACTCACTTTTTGTTGTCACAACCTTGCCCTTATGTAAGTACATAGCAATCATATTACATCATTTTACGAACTCAAAACTCATCACATGATGTGACGCGATCATCATCATCATCTTCATCTTCTTCCAGCAAGTCGGCTTTCTGATATGTTTGGACGAAAGCCGGTCCTCATGGCCATTAGCTTTCTTTTCCTAGTGGGATCGGCTGGTTGTGGTTTCTCTCAAAACTTGTCGCAACTGATCTTTTTCCGTGCCGTGGCAGGTCTTGGTGGAGGAGGTCTTGTTTTCTTGCCGGATGTCCTCATCCATGACTTGGCGCCACTGAAAAATCGTAGCGGGTACCAATCGTACGTGACCTGCATGAATTCGGTATGTTGTTGTTACATTTCCAGAAATTGTGAGGTTATTCAACCTGGTAACTTTAATAGGTTGCACTGGCTTTGGGCTCCCCCATTGGAGGATTTATCACCAACTTGGTAGGTTGGCGGTATTGTTTCCACATGAACGTCATCCCCCTTGCTGTCAGCTTGTATGTCTTTACATTTCATTTGAAAAACTATCGCGTTGCCAGCATGGACCAAATGGGCAAGGTTTCAATGATGGATCGTATCAAGCTTGTTGACTTTGGTGGCTCCATTCTTTGTGGTATCGGCAATGCCGCGCTTTGTACCGCATTGATTCTTGGTGGCAATACACGTGACTGGAGTGATCCATTTGTTGTTTCAATGATGGTGGCTGCCATTGCATCCTTCATTTCACTTGGTCTCTACGAAGTCTATGTTCCAAAATTCCCATTGTTGCCACCCTACTTGTTCCGTAATCGCACCGTAGTCATTGGAGGCCTTGGCATGATGCTTGTAAGCATGTTATCAGGTGGCTGCAATATCTCATTGCCCCAATTTTTCATGGCAAGTATCTTTATTATTATCGTTTCATCATACGTATTTGCTTATGTATCGATAATGTGATATAGGGCGTATTGGGATTATCCATTGACAAGGCTGGTTTGTGTGTTGCAGCTCACACAATTGGCGTCATTGCAGGTTCCTTTGCTGCCGGTTGGTATGTGCAACGTCCAAGATCGTTTCGTAATAGCGGCATGGGGATTGCCATTACACTCGGCGTTGCTTGCGCATTCATGTACTTTTGGATGTTACAGCAAATCTCGTTCCCAGTTGGAATGTTATTGTTTACCTTGGCAGGTTGTGCCATCGGAGCTTATGTTATCATTGTCAAAGTGGCGGTTCCAGTAGCGGTTTCAAAAGCAGGTACGTACAAACACCATGTCGTCATCTCTTTTTTTTCTTTTAAGGTTGATGTCAATAATCTCACGCATCTTGTGTATCAGATATGACATTTGTATTCATGCTGATTCAATTGGCTCGACACATGGGAACAATCCTCGGCGTATCAGCAACATCCTCAGTTACACAAGCAAGTCTCAAAATTCTGTTGCATGAACGTTTCAAAGGTCCCGACGCTGAGCAAGTAAGTCAAAAATGTTGTCCGCTACATATATATGACGTATATTTTTTGGCTCACATCACACACCTCCTTTCTCTCTTATAGCTTGTACATTTCATTCGCACATCGTTACGCGAGGTGCACACATTATCACCCAAAATCCAGGCTATCGTTGCCGACATCCTGGCCATCTCATTATCAAGGGCGTTCATTCTCCTTACAGGTGTTGCAGTTTTTACGACCATTGTCTTTTCATTTGTAAGCAAATCTGTAAAGAACGTCTAATGTATATACGTATTGCATATCTTCTCTCATCAAATAAAACACTGAATGAAAAACCAAACCTTGCGAGTGATGATGATGTTTGTAGCACGTTTACAAGAAGAGATGTGACGAACTCTAATATGCATGCATTGCGGGCTAATGTCGTGATACCATCATTTTATGCACTCGAATGAACGAATGCATTTACGATGTTGGTCTTACATGACACACAGAGAGAGAAAGTGATCGGGTGTGAAGTCATCATTTATGCATCAGCCAACAAGATAGAAAAAGAGGGGTGGCTCAACCGGTTGGATTTGTGTAACAGAGATTTTTGTGTCATGGAGACTAAACCACAACAATAAAAACACATGACAATGATCAAAGATAGATTGGAAAAAGAACAAAAGGATTTTAAGGGGGGGGAGGAAGGGGGGTTTGATGGGTGGCAAGTAATAATGTAATACAGCTTCGGTTATGTCTCAAATAAAGGCACCACAAAGGAGAAGGTGATGTAAAAGAAAGCAAGGAGGGAGGTATGTACATGATGCGATACGAATATTGGAGAGAGAATAAAGAATAGGTCTTCCCATTATGGTCATGCTTTTTATCGCGAGCCACCATCTCTCTCTCTTCTTTTTGTCTACGCGCACGATACTCCTTCCTTTGTAGCTGGCACTTGATCAGCCCGACACTTTCAACTACTTTAAACATATGAATCTCTGCAAACCTTACAATGACCAGCAGCTCATCGTCAGCAAGGACCAATTTACCTTCCTCCTCAACCCCTTCTTCTCCTTCCATTGCACCAACCGCAGGAGGGGGTGGGGGCACAACAATAGCACTGAAACAACGTAGAGGATCCCTTTTACGCGGCGACATTACGACTTCACCATCGACCACCATACGCAATGGGAAATCACGAGGAGGTGGTGCACTATCAGATGATTTGGTTCGCAACCTTGGCTTGGATTATGATGAAGTCCAGAAACGAACGCTGAAACGATGGGTGAATGCTAAGCTTTCGATGGCTGAAGACGCTGACCATGTGGATCGTATTGAAAAGGATCTTAAGGTACGTTGATGATGGGATGGATCATGGATGGGATGGCATATAGCTAAGCAAGGATACAGGATGGCAAACGACTCCTCAAGTTGTTATCGGTTGTGTCGGGTCAATCAGCTCCCAAGCCAGAACGCATGAATATGAGGATTCACCAGCTATCAAATGTCGCACAGGCCCTGGCATTCTTACAAAAGCAGATCCATCCCGACATTTTGCCCGACATTGGCAACGAGGCTATCGTCAATGGAGATGTGAAAAAGACATTGGCTCTCATCTTTTTCATTATGCTCAAGTTTCAAGTGCAGCTCATTATCAATGATCATGGGGATGATTATATGACATCATTAGCAGTAAGTAATCATCATGGATACCACCGCCACATCGTTGTCATGGATACCTACTAACAACAATACAACAACATAGCAACTATCAGAACGCCATGACAACGACGATATCCCTCCTTCATCCATCATCGATCTTGAACAATCACCATCCACACCACGACCCACTCCAGCCAGCAGCAACAATCGACGACATAATACGACAATTGCCGATAAAGCAACATCATCGACAACAGCAAGCAGTGAAGCTAAATTGGCATTGCTGTATTGGGTGCGTATCCAATTGGAAGACTACATTGCAGCCAACATTGTTCCACCCATTCAAGACTTTTCTCGTTCATGGCGTACAGGGCTTGCTTTTTGCCTTTTACTTCATCGACATGATCCATCCTTGATTCCTGATCTTCTCACGCATCACATTCATTCGGATATGTCTGAAAAACGCACATGGCATACACTGCTCACTATGGCATTCGATCTTGCTGAATCCCACCTTTCTGTACCACGCTATCTCGAGCCACAAGATTTGACAGATGTTGATTATCCACATGAATCAAGCGTTATGATGTATGTCAGTGAATACTATAAGGTCATGTCGCAAGTCCAACGACAAGATACCGAGGAATCAAGGAAATCAAAGACATCTCGACGGCGTGCGTCTATTGCTGAAGCCATGGGTGATCCTGTTACTATACCCGATGAAATACAACAACAGCCAAAGTAAGTCTTTAAAAACTCTACCCAAGAAGAATGATACTTATTCATCATCGCGTGATATGTAGGACACCATCACCAATACCACTGCCTGATATCGTTGAAGAACCTGATGCATTGATGCCACCACCAGTGGTTGAGGAGAAACCAGCATTTGCGAATACGAGTCCACCCACCACCACCACCACATCGCGTACGCCTGATGAAGCACCTATACCCAAACCCATGCCATCATCGCGACGTCATCATCCTCATCGCCATCAACGTGAATCCAGTCTTCCTGATAGCGACAAGGCAAGAATTCGTGCTGACCTCAATAGCCGTTTAATGATGCAACTCACGGGCCATTTACCACGTGGCATTCACCCTGTATTGGACGACTTGCTCAACATTCATCAAGATGTTATTTCCTTTATCAACACCAACACACGCAGCATCGACGCTATTCCTGAAGTGTTGATACAATCTACTGAAGCCAATGAATACGCTGATAAGATGATGGTCATTGAGGAGCAAATTGCAACGAAGCGTAAACAGCTGGATGCTGCAGGAAGAGCACGTGATACGCTCACATCACCACCCGAGATGGCAGATGATACGCTGATCCGATTGACTGATTTGCAAAGATCACAAGTGGCCAAATTGTATGAGGCATTATGTGACGAATGGGAAGCATTCCAAGAACTCGTTCAAAGGACGCGGATGGATTTGGTACAATTGGCAGCGGATTTGAAGCAAGTGGAAGATGGCGTGGGTGTATACAAGCAACAAGCCCAAATGGTGAAGGAAAAGATAGCAGCGTTGCAGCTCATGTTGACACAGGTGGCACCTCGAGACGATCAACAACGTATTATTCACCCCCTTGATGGCAATGATGCGACATGTGCAGTGTACGAAAAGGCCGTTTCGGATGCATCAATGGCAATGGAGGCATTTGATAGCAATGAATGGAAAAAGTATCAGCGTTTTGTACGTGATCTTGTGCCAGCCATCCGACAAGCTGTGGATACGCACCATGGCAGTATGCATGCGAAGCGTGATTCATTAAATGCGAGCTACAAGCAAACCAAGCAACGCTACAGCATGTTCAAGCGAGGCATGGTTTTTGGATCACAGACGACTCAATTGGACGAGGAACTTGAAGGAATTCAAGCCATCATGGATAGCCAACAACATAAGCCAACAACAGATGAAGCTATTATGGATTTGGAGAGTCGTGTGGATGCGGTCAAGAACAAGATCATTGGACTACGTGAAGAATACTATGACCTGTTTTCTGATCAGCAAGATCAAGAGGATAAGCATGGATTTGAGCAAAGACTGGATCAACTTGAGACGCGATATCGTCGAGTAGCAGATTGGGTGGATCAAGTGCGTATATGGTTTATCCAAGCGGGACGTATACGTGGTTGGATTGAAGCCCGAATTGTCATGCTGAATGAGAGAAACGCTGCTACAGAGGGGATCGATCCACTAGGACCTGATTTTGAAGCACCTGGGAATGCAAAGGATATCCAGCTTGAACATGAACAATTGCGACGTGACATTGAGCGTTTTGAGGCAGATGATATGACACGATTACGCAACCATGTCAAGAAATTGACAACCATCACCAACAATGACAACGACACACGTGATAAGCTTAGTCCAGCAGATGCATCCACCATTGAAATCACACTTGAGACGCTCAACATGCTCCACCAATTGACACAGCTACTCAACAAACGATCCATCTTTGTGGATACAATGATGTTGCGGATACGATGGGAAGAGTTGTTTGCATCAGCGAGTGCGTGGATAGATACTACTCATCATGAAACGACCCAATTTATGCATGGGGATGCTCGATGGAAGAAGAAGACATGCGACAACAACAACAATGACAAGCAACCAAAAGCTGAACATGTGATCCAAACGCTGGTAGACTTGGAGAACCGGATCTCGGCATTTGATCAAGGAGCCTACGCACAAGTATTGGATGCGTATCAGGAAATGGAGGATTTATACGATGCTGCTGCCACACTACCGGAGCATTTGGAGAATCGGCAATCTGCTTTTGAGAAATCCTTTGCAGATTTGATGCAACGCCGTGCATTTTGTCGCAAGGTTGTTGAGCAGTTTCTTGCTTTGACAGATGTCATTGCCCAATTTGATCATCTTGTGCATCAAGGAAACATGCTATGCAAGTCTATGCAAGAAGAGCAATCAAGTGATGATGATGTCTTCGATGACCAAGTACAAGCATTCAAGGAGAGATCAGCCTATTTGGTGTCGGAGGTCGCTGTAACCAGCATACCCTATCCTTATCAAGTACCTGGTTCGACTGCGTACACAAAAGACGACGAATTGAGCAACCGAATGAGCAATGAGAAGATTCAAAGTGTGATTGAGGAATATGGGATGCAGTTAGCTGCATTGGCGGAACAACTAGAAGATTTATTGGCAAGTCAACGACAACATCTTTCGCTTCAAGAACGAGCCAAGCTTTTATATGATGATATGGTGCGTATGACCATTTGGCTTCAGGATCGAACCTATCATCTTCAGCAGTCGTCATCATCCTCCATGAGCTTGTTAGTAGAGGTGGAAGAAGATGATGATCAAAGCAGCAGCGGGATGGATACTGAGCAAGTGTCACGGTTGGAGGATGAGTGCCGTGCCCTGGAAGCATGGCTACAACAAAATGAATACGGCCGATTGATTGAACGAGTGCGAGCTATTGAAGAGGAAATTGATTACACCAACACGAGTACCATCGACCGCAGTCTGCTCATCCATACCGAAGAGGAGCTTAAAGAACAACATGAGCGACTCCAATCTGCTATCAAACAACACAAGAAGCAGTTGGCATTTTTCAAGGCCCACATCGAATGGCAAAGGGATTGGGAGCATGCTAATCAAATTACCATGACGACGGCACACGACTTGTGGAGATTCATTGTCGATCATGCCATGTTTGATCCTGTAAGGGTGTCGTTTGCTTCAGATGATGATGAGAACAAGTTGCATGCCGCATTGAGCGGATTCAAGGAAAAGATCTCATCCGACATTCTCCAACACGTCCAAGCTCGCTTTGACACTATGATGACCCATGGGCAGCAGGGATTAAGTGGAAACGTATCAACAAAGCTTAAAGCACAACACAACCAGCTCAACGACAAACATATGGGCATTGTATCCTTGTTGGAGTATGCATCAAAAGCGATTGATCAACGTATCAGCATTGGCCATGTATTTGGGAATCAGCAGCGCCAAATTGAAAAAGGCCACTTGATCCTGGAGCAATCAGAAGAAGAGGGATTTGGTGATGGTGATGACATTGAGGAACAAGTGCAAACGTTCAAAGATGAGGTGGATGCCATCGTGGATGCCATGACGACTATTGAAAACACCAAATTTTCACAACCCAATATCAACTTTGGTGAACAGCTGCAGTGGGAATTTGACACGATCGATCCTATCGAATACCATGCACGGACTCAATGTCATATCCAAACATTCATGCAGGAACGACAAAATGAACTCCGATTGCTCGAAAAGAAGGTTATTCAGCTCCTCGATGATCATCGTCATGCTGAGAAGGTTCGACAAAAGATGCAACAATTCAACAATGACATCCTTCAGTTGAATGCATGGATTGAGCAACGTATGCATCATGTGAAAGATCAACACATGGATCCTCTTGCCGACATATTAGACACGGTGGTGATCAAGAGCAAAATGGTGAGTTGCGATTAATGTGCTTTGGTATGCAAAGAAGTAATGTATTTATGGTATATAGGAAGATGTCAATAAGCTCTTGGGCGAGATGACACAAATTGAAAATGAAAAAGTCCGTCCTTTGCAATCGGCCATCGCTCAGCTATTGAAAGAACGAGATGACGATGCTATGGAAACATTATGTCGACACATGGACAATGCTTTATATCATTTGAGTTATCTCAAGAACGCAGCCAGCAGTCAATTGGCTACATTGGATGCGATGTCGAAGCGAGCTACATGGGAACAGCAGTATGCATCTACATCAACACGCCTCAAGGCTTTGGATGACCAAGTGCGATATTTGAGCAAGCAGCACGAGAGTAGCAACATTGTTGATCTTGATACCCGGCAGCAATCTCTCGATCAATTAAAGCAATCCAAGGATGAGTTGCTTGAAAACGATATCCAGCCGACACAAAGAGCCTATGCGGATTTCAAAGATGCCTTGGATCAATGCAGCGGAGGAGGTATTGCAATGCCGATCCAGATTGAAGTTTGCCTTGATTCTCTTGATCGCACGATGAAAAAGGTGGACAATGCGTTTGATAATATGCAGCAACGACTTGATTTTGCTCGGAAATGTCAAACTCTGGAGAATGATATTGACCAGGCACTGGCATCCTTAACTCAACAACACACACACTTGCAAGATTTTATCCAACACAAAGCTCGATGGCACACCAATGATAAACACGATGTCAACTATGGACAATTACAAAAGGAGGGAGAGGATTTTACATCATGGTTTGAATCATTCCAGCAGCATACCATTGACTCTCTTCAACACCAATGCCACACTCTCGACACTCCAATGACGACTTTACCTGATACATTGAGAATGAAATTGCTGCAGCTTGAAGAGAAGGCATTGATATTCAATCACCACGCGCAATTTGCCAAAGACATTATCAACCAAGCCGATACAGTGGATAAGATCTTGCAACGTGCAAATGAATTGGAGAGAAAAGCCACGTCGATCCAGGATGAGCTCCTTGGTGACAATGCGTCTTCACTAGGTGCAAAGGAACATGTTCAACGTTTTCAGCAGCAGACGTATGAGATCCGTCAGCAAGTGAGCAGTGATGTTCCATATCCAAAACGACAACAGCACCAGCAGGAAGAAGATGATGACTTTGTCGATATCCAGATCCAAGACGAGTCGATGAATGCTGAAATCAAGGATATGCTAGCAGCCAAATGTTCATTGTTAGATGATCTTGCAGTTGGCCTTGAGCAACAGCTATCATGTAAAGAGCGCATGTCTCGATGCAAGGTGCTTCTTGAAGGTTGTAAACATCATGCGACTTCGGTGCAGGATTGGATCAAAGAGAAAGGAAAATCTGTTGAGGAACAGCGTGATATTTTGCTGAAACGCCCGAATCCAGTGCCATTGATTCAACTTCAACAAGCGATCAGCACCATGAGTGGTCTTGAGAGAGTCATGAATGCCAAAGATAATGCGATGATGGTGCTTGATTCCCAATTTGAAGCATGTCTCACAGCTTTTGATGCGATGCCGGATGATGACCAGCAACAGTATCAATCTTTGGCTGATGAATTTGACCTCGTGTCAAGAACGTACGAGCATACCCAGAACGCATGGTCAGCATTGCACGAAGACTTGATCACGACAATTGCTGCATTGACATCCATCTTGGCTCCGACCATGGTCCATCATCGTGCCGAGAAACTTGTACAACAGCTCACACAGCTTGAGGAAACAATTGATAGTTACCAGCGGCAACATGATGATGAGCTTACCGATGATCAGATTGCACAATGGCAAAAGCAAGTGGACAAGCTAGATACGAATGGATATCAGAAACTCTTGCAGGAATTGGAAAGTGCATCTACAAGTACTAGCAGTGCAAAGGAGGTACCATTGAATGCTGCCAAGACGCAATTGGATGGAGCAAGCGATATTATCCTTGGGATTCGATCTTTGCTGACACAATTATACGACGCTGTGAATCTCAGCAAGTTGCACAAGACCTATGCTGAAAATGCAAATGTTGTATCCTCTTTGATGACTCGTGCGCAAGAATTACTCGATAGTATTTGCGATCAATTCAGTGTCATGACAGCAGACAACCATCATGTTCAACGACAATCACTCTTGGCTGCTCATCGTGATGCACAACAACAATGTAACGAGTGCAAAGATGCATTTGACGACCTATGCGGCTATTTCGAATTTGCAACAAAGCAACAATCCGATGAGGATGGGGGAATGGACGGCATACACCGCCAAATTGAGAATCAATGGAATGGCGTTCAAGAAGGACAAGAGCGACTTGCATTGCTGTTGAATCGTTCGGATCGATGGGTGGAAAGATACGATGCGCTTGAAAAGTTACAACGTAGTTTATCCACTGTGCAGCGCGATTTGAGTGGAGGAGGAAGTCGATTCAAAAAGCACACATCCACATCCACCTTGTACAACAGCAGCACCAGCTCGCGTAGTAGCAGTAATGATGAAGCCAACATCCTTGATAACCTTGGTAAACGCTTGACAGCAATTGAGCAAGAATTGGATCGGGTTTTGAGATATGCTCAGCAACGAGATGCCGACGACATGAAAAACAGCAAAGCATTTTCAACGCATTGCGAGAAAATGAAGGAAGATTTGGAAAAATGCCGATCAACATTAGCAAAACGACAACGTGATATGGAAGAGGCACGTCTTTTGGGTCTTTATTCGGATGAGATCAAGCAACAATGTCGACGATGTGAAGAGCAAATCCAAATCCTAAAGCAACAAACGAATGCCAACCCTGGTATTGCCGATAAGAAGCCATCCACCATGAGGAACATTATGAAGTCATATGGTGAAACTCTCACGCGCGCAAAACAAGTCCATCGTCGATGCAAAGAGAGTATTCAAAAAGGAGGTGTTATTGCAGAGCGATCACGTACCTTGGTTGATACCTATCGATTCAGTCAGCTTGAAGTGGAACGACTCAAACGACCCTTAGAAAAGAACATCAGCCAGCTACAACAACGCATTCATGATGAAGACGAATATTTAAACGTACTCAAATCGGTGTGCAAGTGCGTTGAAGACGAGATTGAATTGATGACACGCTTGAATGAGTACAAGGCAACAATAGCGCGATATTCACGTAGCGCACGCATGACATGGGCACGTCGACCCTCATCTTCTCTCTTACCTTCTCCCGATTTGCCTGAATTTGATCGTAGATTTGAAGCGATGGGATCTTTGGTGGCCTCTTTTATGTTGAGTGGTAATGAGATCAAAGGCCATTTGCAAGGAGGACGCCTCTCTGATAGCCCACGTGCTGATGCTGTTACACAATCGATCGATCGACATCAAGAAGCTGTGCAACGAGAATGGTCAGCAGTCAAAATGTCAGCACACAACACACGTGGCAAACTAGAAGAGTTATACATGCGACAACAAGCAAGCACCAAATTGAAGGAAACCATGCGACATGCGAATGATCTACGTCAGCGTGTTCAATCTCTCCATTTGACTGGCAGCAAGAGTATATCGATGGAAAAGCAAGAACTAAGATCCATTCAAGATGATATGCAAACGGGTACCTTGGCCAAGAAGATACGTGAGGTGGATGCTTTACTTTCACGTAATATGGTTTCATCGGATCAGCAAATGAAACGACAACGACAAGAACTTCACTCGTTGGTGACCGAGTTGACAAAGTTGGTGCATGAACGACAAGCACAAGCTGAAGTGGAAGGCAACATTACGGTGTTTATGGGCATTGTGGATCGCATGGATGAGCAAATTATCCAGTTATCAAGATTGATAGAGAGCTGTGCACCCCATCATGCTCGTGTCACTGATCAGCGTTTCAACAAGGCGGATTTACAAGGATTGCTTCGTCGACTGGTTCATGGTTATAAGCAGCTTGCACCACAAATAGCTGATTCGGTCACAGCAGCCAAAGCTGAAGCGAGGAAACAATTCATTGACCAAGAGCAACGTGTATCGGATCGATTGGAAAAGACATTGAAACATTGGACAAGAGCACAATCCGAAGCAGCTTCCAGAGAAAAGGAACTACAAGCATGTATTAATCAATTGGGTCACGAGTTCTTCACCAAGCTTGCCATGACCAAAAGTACTTCCAACAAAAGTGCCAAACCTCCCATTGCACCTCGATATGGTGGTGGTTTCCGTTCATCGACCTTGTCAGTGGATAATCGTCAACACAAAAGAACAACACCCACGCATTCAACATCACGCCATCGTAATAGCAAAGGGTCTCCGCCAAAGTATGTTGTATCGGATCCTAAGAACGAATTGGATGTGCAATTGGGAAAGATCGTCAATGACAGTCCTTATCGCATGAAAATCAAAATGGTGCCAGGTGAAGTTGGAAAATATTGGTTTGGTGAAGATCAACCACGTTTGGTGTATTGTCGAATCCTGCCAAGCAAAATGGTCATGGTGCGAGTAGGCGGTGGATGGGAAGAATTATCGAGTTTCCTCAAGAGTAAGTTCTCTATAATATAGGGGTTGTATATATACTCATCAAATCTATTATATAATAGGTCATGGGAATTTGCAGCCTATTCATACACGCTCTACTGCCAGTGATCGATCCAATGTATCGGTGGATGAAGGAGGAGGCTCTGAAAGTGGATCACTCACATCGTCAACCGCTCCAGTGACTATTCAAGGAGGAGGAGGAAGTAACAATACATCGTCATCATCATCATCGCATCATGGTGGTAGCCATAGCACAGGGTTTGTGGAAGGGGACAAGTACATCCAATTCGATGACGAAGGAAACCATATCGCCGTGAAAATGTCCAAGGCACAAGATACTGCACGTATTCCTTTATCCAACATTAGAAGATTTGCATGATACCCAACTTTTTATTATAAAGATAAAATCCATTGACACTCATTCATGCATTGTACGTGTGGAGCAGTAACGTCACGTGTTTGGTAATTTTGCGGTACTTTGCCGAGCAACGGGCATCCATCTCTTTGCACTCTTTCTCTCTCCCTCCCTCTCTTTTTCATTTCTATATGCGTATCGCGCTCGAGACCAGAAAGCCTCTTCCACAATACAAGTGCTGGTATGCTTACGATGCCAAAAAGAATGCGACTGTCAACGATCTACGACGTGCCATCAACAAGGATCTCAAGCTTGTCCAGTCCAGCCGCGATCTAGAACTCAAGGGAGGTTCCTTTGCTTTTCTTCCACAATTGCCTCTCAAGGGATTGATCCAAGACGATGACATTATCACGTAAGCCGAATCCATTATTTATTGAACGTGGATAAATAGTAACTGTTTGTAGTATCAAGTTTGACAAGCATAACAAGAAACGCGTGGTGAAGAAGACTACAGTGCGTGCCAAGGTGGAAAAGCCAAAGAAGAGCGACAAGCGATCGACAATGGATAAGAAGAGCAGCAATGAAAAGAAGAGAAAAGCCATCGACACCGAGGACGACAAGCCCAAAAAGAAGCGTAAAGAGAAGGAGACAACTTCACCCAGCAAGCCAGAGACGACAACAACAGCAGCAGCAGCAGCATCGAACGATGGTCTTACAAAGACACAAAAGAGGAACCGACGCAAAGCCATCAAACGAATCAAACAGCGTGAAGAGCAAGAGAAGCTGAAACAACAACAACAACAACAGACAAAGCAAAAGAACGTGATCGAGACAACCCACGACGAGGATAAAACAGCATCATCAGAGCACCTTCTCAAATTCAACAAGAACAAACGCAAAGATTTCCTCAAAGTACAAAACAAAAAGAAGCGTGAACACGTACGATTTGACGGCATCCAAGAGGAAGAGGAGGAGGAGGAGGAGGAGTGGGAAGCACCCGACGAGATTACAGCTACTACCTATGATGATCAATACGATGCATATGGATATGAGATGGAGGATCATGAGAATCTTTATGGAGCAGCGTATGTGACATCGGTTGAGGCAGATCAACGATACAAGGGTGAAAAGAAAGAAGGCAAATCGTATCCTATCGATCACATGGCCGATCATTTTTATGCTGAAGCACCACCGTCATCAGAGGATGTTGAGGAAGATGAAATTGAAATCACCCAAGAAGAGCAGCAGCAGCAGCAACCTATTCAACGCAACTATGAAGAGCTTCCCAAACTCGGATTTTCTGGTTCTTCCATTCCTGCTGTGGGGGATTTAATCGCATTCAAGGTACATGAATGAATCATCTTCATATGTCACCAATACTTACATCTATTGTTGTAGCTGCTTTCTATGACAGAGGCATATACACCAGAGATTTCGGATTGGAAGGTAAATGATGAAAGCGTGGCATTGGTACTTCATGTGAATTAACACAGCATATGACGAGTAGGAAGCCAAGGTGCTCTCTTTGGATACCGATGGGCAACCATCCATTACAGTCGAATACCAACCAGGATTTTTGTTAAAGAAGCATCATGGAAAGTTTGATTTACCGGATGAGGAAGAAGACGAGGACGAGGAGGGCGACGAAGAGAATGAATTTGCAAAGGACCAAACAATGACCTATACCGATTCGGATATTGTTGACATGCGAAAAGTAGTAGAAGAATGAGTGTACATGCATATAACCTACCCCTTATTCACCCACTTTATTCTCATTGATTCATGTAAATACAATCAAATTGCTCATTTATAAATCTTTTCAATGTCATCCTTGTACTCCTTTTCTATATCTTTGCGCTTCAGCTTTCCACTGGTGGTCAAAAACTTGTCCGCCCATTCGACATCTTTGGTGACTACAATGTCTTTGATGATCTCGGCACGATTGCAATCACTTTCTTTGGCAGTTTGCTGCAAGTCTTTTAAAAGCTCATCCTTGTCCATATCCTTTTTCGATGGTTCAACAACGCCCACGATATAATCCTTGTCACTGTTGGCAATGATGCAAATGTTTTTGATATGATGGCTGTTACGATACTTGGATTCGAGACTTTCGAGGGCAATGTATTCACCATGGGACAACTTGACCAGATTCTTGGCTCGGTCCGTGATAGCAAAAGTACCATCGTCGTTGAGATTGGCAACATCACCGGTCTTGAACCAGCCATCCTCGGTGATCGCTTCCTTTGTAAGGTCTGGGAGTTTATAATAACCACGCATCAAAGAGGGGCCACGGATCCACAGCTCGCCACAACCATTCTCTGCCTTGTAATCCGTTTCGGGTACATCGACTAGCTTGAATTCAATGGAAGGTGAAGGAGGACCAATGACACCAGTAACCATGCCCAAAGAAGGTACAGTGATAGCTCCAAGACCACAACATTCTGTAAGCCTGATTCACGCTTCATTGTCAGCAACCTTGTCGACATCCAATTGTTAGAGACTTACCCATATCCCTGTAAGAGATAGCATACTGCAGTAGTCATAAATTTGTGTGTGTCAAAGGAAAGAGGGGCACCTCCAGAAAGACAATAAACGAGATGACCGCCTGTTTTTGCACGTACAGGTGCAAAGATGGTAGCATCCATTGCTCGAGTGATTGAATTTTCTTGTCCAAAGAATTTAAGCATTTGCCACTTGGTTTCCACAGCCACTAAATATATACAAGACCCTTTGTTTAATGACATGGCTCACGTGTGAAGGGAGCATTGTTTATCATACATACCATCAAATGCTTTACGCACGGACCAATGTTGTTTATCCAATTCATGCATGACACCTTTCCGGATACGTTCCCAAATTGCAGGAACGCCTGCCATGATGGTGGGTTTTAAAGTTTCAAGATCACCTTTTCCCTTGCCTTGGCCATCTTTGCCACAAACCGATTCTGGCATTAAGGTGCGTACGGTGCCATAGCCAATGGGAATAGCCTTCCAATAATAACAATGATGCCATGTTGGTCCATCAACATCACACACAATGACCTACCCCAAAACGACTTACCGTTGAAATGAAAATGAACTCGACAATGAATTCAAGTACGTGTGCGAGTGGTAAAAATCCAATGTAGCAATGCTTGCCATGGTCAATGAGATTCAAAACAAGGTGCTCGGCAGCACTCATGGCTGCAACGATATTGCCGTGTGTCAGCTCAATGCCTTTGGGATTACCAGTGGTGCCTGATCTAATTCATTTACCCCAAGCGTCAACTTAAATCATAATACTGGCATCGTTCCTACTTACGAGTACATGATCATGGCAAGATCATCGGCCTTTGGTGCTGAACTTTCAATGTCTTTGGAACTCATCTTTGTGTCAAGGATATCGGGCCAATGATGTACTTGCATGTCATTGTAAGACTTGAACTTGTCAAGCTGATCCTGGGCTTCAAAATGCTTGCCAGTGTAAATCACCATCTTTGGCTCATACGATCCCTCTTTTCCTTTCTCTTTGGCTTTGTGCAAAGCCTCCATCAATGAGATCTGATACGTGAAAGGTCATTCTCTCTCCTTGTTGTCATGGATTGGCATTCCCTTTTACCTCTGTAAAGATTCCTTTAGGCTCGATCTCGTTAATGATGTGAGCCACTGCATCGGGTGGCATGCTGTCATATGCCGTGCTAATGACAACACCGATGGCACAACAAGCTGCATGGCAAACAATGAGTATCCTGTATGAGCAAGAAAAAAGTGCATTTTACTTACCCAATGCCATTTGCATCCACTCGGGTCTAACAACATGATTCGTAAGCGATCCATATGGACTGATGATAATATACGTTGCTAGTCATTTTACCTGGTCTTGGCATAAATGAGCATCCTGTCACCTTTTTGGAATCCTTGATCAAGTAACCACGTTGCCATGGTATCGGTATTCTTTTTGGCATCGCCATAGTTTAACCACTCGTAATCTCCTAACTCGTACATGTTCCATTTCTTGGTGTTGCCCTTGTCGTCTTTCTTTTCTTTGCTATGGATCTTTTGGTGATGATGAGCATGATCCAACTTTGTGAAGGTACATGTGTTCCATTCACTCACCTTGATGAGATCACGCCAACCAAATGCAGGCTTGCGTGCATTTTGCTCGGTCACGGATGACCATACATTGTATACTGTGTATGCTTTGTCTTTGAGGTCTGGTGTAATGGGCTCACGCACCAACCCATCTTTTGCATCACGATGGCGGTATACATGCTCTCCAACCTCGATGGTTGGATTTGGATACTTTGGTAGGAACAAGCCTTTCATGAAATTCATTGTATATGTATATCCAAGGCAACAAGAAAAGTTGTAAAGAAGGAAAAAAGGAAAAAGAAAAAAGAGGCGGTTCTGAAACAATGGTCATGTTGTTGTAGAACCCCAACCTGCAGCATTGTTCTGAAACATTCGCGTTGTTGACATCATGCACAGACACACTAGCGCTTTCTTTCAATTTCCGAAAACATGTAGTGCGTGTGCTCCCTTACCTATATAGTATAGTGTATCCCCATTTTGACAACTTGTGCATCGTGATGTAACATACATGTCATAAAGATGTGGGCCGTGCACGATGGCAGACGCATTTCTATGAATGTGTGATTTGAGAGAAAGGAGATAGCTTGTGAGCAATATCATCCAACAATGAAAGAGCTTCGTCTTATGCGTAAATTTTTCACCTTCTTCGTCTTCTGGGTCATTGTGGTACATTGCGTATCGAGCTATGTACCTTCACCTCTTTATCTGTGAGTCTCTTTGACTGACACCTTGATGTTGCCCGCTTCTTTCTTATTTGCGATTGAATACCTGTAACCCTTCTATGTCTTTATTACCTATATATAGCTACAATTTATATATACAAATCATGCACATTGCTAACAGTTATTTATGGTTTTTTGGGGGAAGAAACGATGGCCGCCTCCAGCTTGGTTGAGAATTGGTGGTGGTGGTGATGACATTCTACGTATTGTGAGGTGTTAATATGGGCTACTCACTTTTTGCTCTCCTACACCACTTACCTTTACTTGGAGGAATTCTTCGAACGATGTTACCGCTGAACGGAAATCGCTGGCATTCTTCATCAGGTCGAAATTCGCAAGCTCAATAAGGCGGTATGTCGCATGGTACTTCAAATCCATCTTGTATGTACAACAAGAAAAACCTAACAAAGATAACATGTCAGAATGGGGATACGGCAAAACATATCGCAGCTCCCATGAAATCTTACCATGAATGTGAATACCAGCAACAACATAATGGCCGCTCTTCGATTCAATAATTTCATCCAGCATCAACTTCATGACATTTCCTAGCTTGAACAAATCCGTCTCCACAGCAATCTTTCTTGTATGGGGCTTCTTGACTTCACCAGCAATGCACTCAACTCCACCCTTTGTTATCAAGATGTCAGGCTTTGGTGCAATCAATGACTTGTCAACTCTGGCGTATGCTGTCTTGGCTGCCTTGGATGACTTGGTAGGCCTTCATACATATCCGATACATCTTGTAGATCAGCTACTTGACACAGCTTGACAACGTCATTGTGATATTGATATAAATCCTTGGTAATGTTATAGCCATTCATGATCCACTAGATTTGAAAAGAGTATCAGCTGCAGTGGTAAAATAAAAGAACTTCAAAAGTACCTGTGCATCCACACATGCATTATCGATATTCTCCTTTGCTTGGCCAACGCCCGACAACCAAAAGAGCCTCGTCATTGGAGTGCCATCATCCTCGTCCTCTTGAACGTCACTGTCATCAATTGCCTCGCTATAGCCCTACAACAAACGAGCACACGCATAAACATAATACCTTTCATCTTTCCACGAAAGTTACCTTGACAGCTTGATCCTTGAGTCTTTTTGACTGCCGCTTGGATGATGATGGCTCACTGTCGCGTTTGGTACCTATCGCTGTGTGAGATGCAAGCTTTTGTACCCAAAATCTGGTCATACCAGCTCGTTCTTTTAGGATTTCGCTGCCCACGTCAAGCTGCAGTGTGTAATGCCATTGTGGTTTGCTTGTTGTAATCTGTAAAAAAGAGTAAAGAAAAGGTTTGTGTCAACACCACAAAGAAAATAGCACGTCTTTCTCAAACTTCCTGCTTGCCTTTGCTACTTTCATACACTTTCATACGCTTCATTGCTGGTCAACATTGCGCAAGACTTGCTGATTGATGTACGCTTTTGGATAGAATCGTTGAGAAAAGATAAATGAGAACACAGCGTCGAATTCAACGAAGTAACAAAAAATGGAATACGTACAAAACCTTGGAAAATTGACCTTGTAAGCAATCAAAGGAGTATGACAGAGGAAAGAGGCGTGTGGGAGTATGATGGGCGGCGACAACATCCTTTTATTGTGCATTGCGGGCGTGGGCATTTTGTGTGTTGGGGAGGATGCATTGATAAATTGATGCTGCATGAGATGATAAAGTGATGGGGCGCACATACCAGGATTAAGTCTGAAGAGCCTAGTGCAATGTTGTGTATGCATACACCCATTGGCCAAATTAGACCAGGTGATACGAAATCTATCAACGAAATTAATCACTTGTACGCGTAATGCCATTATCATAAAGGTGAATTCCCATATTGTCAACCTACTCTTAATATTGGTAAGCGTGTTCGGTAAGCAGCGAGAATGATCGGATCACAAGAACATGGTAAATCCAAGGCCGTAGGGATACTAAACGAAGAGTGGAAGTACTCAACCTCGACCAAGCCAGCCCACCCCAACTCCCATGGTGTGTGAATGCGCATTGATGTAATCTTAGTTTGGCCGTAGCTCAGTCAAATCAGCTAGGATCAAGGTAATTGAATCATAGAAGTAAATGTCTGGAGCAGGAGCATCATTCCACTGTCACACAATGAATAAAAGTTGGGATTGAGAGGAAGTGGCTGTTAGCTGGCAATACATGGTAATGCATAAAGTATCATACATCGACCCTTCCATTCATGCAAACGTAGCTGTGTTACACAACACGACCCTCTGCATCTTTTGCTCTGCCAGGGTCCACCTACTTGACAATGAACAAAGACCACTCGTCATATAGCATCACGCTTACAAACATAAAGGTGCCTGTATCTCCAAACTTTACAATCAAACGTGGGGTTTTGAATAGAGCAATGGGCTCGGCTTGGCCAACAGCGCCTTGTGTGAAAGTTTCGCGTTCAATGTCGCAAACAGCCCAAAAATATTTTTTGGTCGTCGTCGTCAAAGAGGTCGTGACCCCTTTGTCCAGTTTGGCTGGCGGCGACATTATGGTATCCGCGATTTGGGCGTATTCTCGATCGTGAAACTGGCACCCAAGGTGCAGTTGGCTGCCGAGCACATTGCTCTAATAAAAACCCCACGTTTCATTGTATAGTTCGGAGATACAGGCACCTTTATGTTTGTAAGCGTGATGCGTTATATGAAGAGTGGTCTTTGTTCACGGCCAAGTAGGTGGACCCTGGCAGAGCAAAAGAGCAATACGTAACTGAACGAAGTACAAT